ACGGCTGCTACGCATCTTGCCTTGTCTTCTATCTCTGCTTACCCTATTCTACTCTTGCCTCCGCCGGCTTTTCCATACCACGGGCCCACCGCCCACCCTCTACTTACCCCTACTTTTTCTCTCTCTCTCCTTCTTTGGGCCACCCTACGGGTTGGTCGGGTTTCTCTCATCTATCTTTCTGTCCTCTTTTCCTCTCTCTCTCTCCTTCTTCGGGCCACCCTACGGGTTGGTCGGGTTTCTCTGTCTTTCCTTCCTCTTTTCTCTCTCTCCTTCTTTGGGCCACCCTACGGGTTATACGGGTTATACGGGTTTTTCTCATCTTTCTTTCCACTTTTCCTCTCTCTCTCTCCTTCTTCGGGCCACCCTACGGGTTGATCGGGTTTTGATCTTTCTTCTTTTCCTTTTCTCCCTCTCTCTCTCTCTCTCTCTCTCTCTCTCTCTCTCTCTCTCTCTCTCTCTCTCTCCCTCTCTCTCTCTCTCTCTCTCTCTCTCTCTCTCCCTTTGGGACACCTTACGGGTTGCACGGGTTTTTCGTCTTTTTGTTTTTTCTTTTCCTTTTCTTCTTCTGCTTTTTTCTCCCCTGGGACACCACCCTACGGGTTGGCCGGGCATCTTGTCTTTTTCTTCCATCATTTCTCTTACGATACCTGCAGGGTTGGGTGCATTTGATCTTTTCTTCTATCATCATCATTTCTCTTGCGATACCTGCAGGGTTGGGTAGATTTGACCTTTTCTTCTCTTTTAATTATTCCTCTCTCTCAAGATACCTGCAGGGCCTGTCTCAGCCCCAATTCCAGATTAGATCACACAGTTTGCTGCTCTGGATCCATCCTTCCTCTATCCTCATTCCTACCTTGCTCTTCCTCCTTAACCATTCCACTATCAACGTGCCGGTATCACCATTCTCATCCTCTCCCAGCTCGCCCTCACCCATCATCCAATCCCATACCTCGTCCCTCGAACTGAACAACAACCCTAACGCTACCGATCTCAGTTCCTCTCGTACCCGATGATCGCCCCGATCTCTCCCTTCTGTCCACACCACCCTTCGTTCCACAACTTCTTCCATTTGATGTACCTCCCCTCTGCCAAACTCATGTCTTTGCCGTCTCTTTTGTACTGCTCACACAGCATGCATGGTCTCCAGCATTTGTTGCAACCCGACGACCCTTCCATCTTCGTCCTGGCCAGTTTCCCATCCATCTCTTCCATTTTCTCTACCAGTCCTAACGTCTTGACCAGTGGACAAGTCCTCCATGACGTGTGCCTGCGCTCCGTCTTGCCCGATCGTGCTGTGCAAACCGTGCAACAACCTCTGTACATCGATAGCTTTGCTTCGAACCCTTCTCTGCTGCTGATATCCGAGCACATCGGACGTTTCGACACTCGGGGGATCTGTCTGCTGTGTTCCAGTTCTTCCACGGCTGTAGCTCGGGCTTCCGGGGTCTCTTGTCGTTCTCCCACTTCTGTTTCTGTTGCTGCTGCTGCTGGTGCTGTCGCTCTAGCCGTGGTGGCGGTTGTTGTTGTTGTTGTAGCTTCCATGGTCCCGGCATCGATCATGATAAAGTCGTCTTCATCCATGTCCAGATCCTCGAATGATGAAGTATCATCATCATCCTTGTCCTCCTTCTCCTGACTCTCATCACCACCGCCATCATCGAATTGCCTCATCCTCTCCCCACTCTTGTAAACCAAAAATTCCTTCACCACCCACATCGAATTGCTCATCATCTCTCCCCATATCCGCCTGTCTCTGGCCTGGCCGCACCACGCTGCGTAAGCCTTCCACCCTCCTTCTCCTCTTCCACCACTCGATTCGGTTCCGAAGCCGGCTTTTCGGATGATGTTCCTCCCGATCGGATCTCGAACTGCTGTCATCAACACCGGTACTGCTATGCCGGGCCACTGGCATTTTCGTTTGGCGTCTTCCCTGGTGTTGCACATCCTCTGGTTGATGCCGCACTTCCTGCAAGCCTTGCTCGCCTTTGCGTATTTGATCTGCTTCCGGAATGTGTCAACATCGACAATTGTCGTTTCGTCGGCCTCGTCTGTCACCGTCAGCTCTCGACTCTCGCACTCCCGGCCACCGTGCTCCAGATGTGAGTCTTTCTCTTCTGACTTCATCCAACACATCGGACAGCCGAGCTTCATCTCGTCTAGAGCCTCTTCGACCATCTCCTTTTCCAGCTCGGACTGCCTGACCAGCTCTGTACCTGCTGCCACCATTCCACCACCACACCTGTCGCACGGAGCTTTGGGGGCGTGATGCTGGCGGCTGCCGCCATTACTACAGTTCGTCTCGCTCTCGGTCTCGCTGTTGTTGTTGTCGCTGCCGCTGCTGCTGCTGTCGTGACACTCCTGGATCGTTTCTGCCGCATCGAAGTACTTGCCTAGCACCAGCCTTCGACAACCCTCCGTCTTGATGTACTCCATCATCGCTGCTCCGTCCGGTCCGAGTGCCTCGTTGTAACGCTCCCGCGTCCCTTGCTCTTCTTCCTCCCACCCTTGCTCCAGCAGTACGATCGAGTCCACTCTCTCGTTGGGATCTCGACCCGCTCTGCCCGATGCTTGGGCGAACTCGATCAGTCCGTATGGCAGTCCCGAGTGGATGACCGCCTTGACGGCCTCGTAGTTGAGTCCGGTGCTGAGAGCTGTCGTCGACACGATGAAGCCGCCGTTCGCCTTCCACTGCTCTAGCGTTTCCCCGCCGTCGACGTGTCCGGCGTAGAAGAAGCTCCGCAGCCTAGCTTTTCCGCCATCTCCTCGCAGTCTTTCTTGCTTCGGCGGTAGACGACGGCCTTCTCTTTCCTGGTGCTCCGTAGCTCGTCGGCGACCTCTTCGCACACTCTGGCCGTCTCTTCGACCAGCTTGCCTTTGCCGATGTCCTGTCTGACGGTGTAAGTGATGTTCTCCCTCACCGTGCATGCTCGTATGAGCGACATCATTCCGATGCCGATACCTAGACTTCGTCGTAGCTCGACCTCCATGTACCTTGGGGTGTGGCCGTCAGCATCACCATCGGTACTCCTAGTGACTTGAGCTTCTCCAGCTCCACGAGATGCGGTCTCCAGCTGTGCGAAGTCACCAGCAAGTGGCACTCGTCCACCACCACTCGTCTCAGTCGGCCCTGCTCCGCCATCTGCCGTGCGTACGACCAGAAGTGATCGTGCATCTTGTCCACGCTGACGACCACGAGAGCTGCTGGATCGACGGTGCTGTGACTCCATTCTTCACAGTCACCCACCGTCTTTTGTGCTTCTCGCACCGTCTCGTCGATGAGCTTGCGGAACGGTACCACCACGATGGTCACCCCGACGTCTTCTTCCAGACAAGCGGGTGCGGTGAAGAGTAGAGTCTTGCCTCCGGCTGTCGGCAGAACGACGGTGAGAACGTTGAACCCACCGTCCATGATTCTCCCGAGCGCTTCTCCTTGTGCTTTCGATCTGTATCTGATCGTCACCGCGTCGTCGTCCATTGGTTTCTTGAGTGCTTTGCGTATAGCCCTCTCCTTTTCCTGTGCCGTCGGTCTTCTGTAGCGTTGCAGCCTCTCGCGCCTTCTTCGGCTTCGTTCGATGATCGGACTGTCGTCTACGTGCTGCTGCAGATGCTGTTGGTGGTTCCTGCCGCTGCACCTTGGAGAGTACCTGGATTCGTCGTGGTGGTTGTCATCATTATCGTCATCGTCGATGTAGATGACTTCGTTGCTGTCGTTCTTGTCGTTGGCATCATCGTTGTGTGAGTCGTGCCTGTTTCCCTCTGTCACCGGGGTCGGCATTCCGTTGTTGTTGTTGTTCGAGTAGATGCCCAAGCCAACGATGGGGGTCATGGGTTGCTGTCGTCCCTGCTGCAGCTCCTCTCCTCGAAGTCTTGTCAGTTCGAATTCTTGTGCCTTGAGCTTCATCCGCAAGTCTTCGATCTCCTTCTGCTGCCTTTCGGATTGTTGTAAGAACGGTGAGAGATCTACTGTCGTCGGAGTGGCGGCAACAGTAACAGCTCCTCCTTTTGCCGCGGGCAGTCTCTTGATCAATCTCTCTTTCCTCAATCCTTCAAAGTCGACGGTTTGCATCCCATCGTCTTTGTTGCTGCTGCTCTCGGCCTTTCTTTTCCTCTTCGGATCTCTGTGGTCGAGCTCGAAAAACCTATGCCAGCTTTCGCTGAGATCGCCGAAGATGTCGATCGACTCTTGGTTGAGATACTTCAAGATGTCCGCTCTGACCGCGTATCTGCCGGCTCCGGTGCCGAAGCCGCCGGCTTTCTGTAGCTCGATCGCGTTGCCCTCCTCGAGATCGTCATCCATATCACCCGCCTGGGCTTCTTCCGGATCTTCGGCCTCCTCTCGGTAGCCTTTGGCGAACCTCGGTCCGACGAATCTCCTGCCTAGAAAGACGGCGGCGTGTCTGTAGTTCTGGGTGTGTAGCTTGGCCTTCAGTCGTTTGGCCGTCTCTCGTTTCATCGTGTCGGTGAGCTTCTGCGTCTCCCACGGGCCGTGCGAGTCCGCCCAGATGTAGTCACTCCATCCTTGACCGTACTGTACCTGCACCGACAGCAACTCGGCGAACGCCCGCACGTGGGTGAGATAGATGACCGCGATCTGACCCAGTTTCCACGGCAAGAAGCGTGGCACCATCTTGGGCATGTCGAGCATTGCTTGTGACTTGTGGTAGCTCGTCACCGTCATCACTCTGCCGTCCAAGACGAAGACGTTGCGGTGGTTGGCCACTCCGTTGCGGAAGCGCAGACTGGTGATCTCGGTTCCTCTGGCGGGCTGGCCGCTCAAGACGTGCACGCAGAATATGAACAGCTCCCTGAACTTGTCCACCCTCCGGAGATAGTTGGCCACCAGTCTCGACTGCCACTGGTCACCTCTGCGCATCTTCTTCCCCTGGTTCGAGCCTAGCATCCTCTTCAACATCCAGTCGAGACCTTGTGCTTCGAGATCCTGGTTCGGGTCGGCACCGAAGTACCAGCCTCTCTTCTTCACCGTCATGTCGTCGGTGATGCTATCGAGATCTAACACGAAGCGATCTGCCTTGCGGCCTGCCCACATGAGATCCCTCCACATGTAGTCTTCGCAATCGTCTAGAGCGGAGCGTGCCATGGACTTGAAGTTGTACACCGTGAACTCGATGCTGCCGAGAGCGACGCCGGCTCCGTCGTGAGTCCAGTGCAGCTTCCCCCTGGGCGTGGAAGTTCTTTGCGATCTTCTTTCCGTACGCTAGCAAGCTCAACATCTCTCCCATCACGCTCATCGATCCGTCGGCTAGAAACTCTTTTCTCTGCTCGAGAAATGCCTCGAAGTCGGCCTCCCCTTGGTTTTCGCGGTCGAGTGATGGGAGCAGAGCTTCGGCGGTCACGATCCTGGACACGTACACCAGTCCGGCGATCATGTAAGAGTAGTCGTTGCCATCGCGTAGCCGAGCGTTGGTCTCGTCGATGCCCATCACGGCCATGAAATGGATTAGAGCGCTGTCGAAGCGGTCGTTCCACACCTTTTGAACAACAACACCCGACTGAGCTCTACCATCGCTGGGATTTGATCGTCTTCTACGGATGATGTGTCTCCCTCGAGAACGATCAATCTCCACACCTCCTCTAATGCTCTTTCGAGTTGGTCGTTCCATGGGAAGAGCCTCCGAGCATCGTGCATGTGATCTTGTGCTTGCCGTCTGCCTTGATCGTGTTGTGGATCTGTGTCGGAATTGTCGTCGTCGTCGTCGTCGTCGTCGTCGTCGTCGTCGTCGTCGTCGTCGGTATCAGTGTTGGTGTTAGCATTGTACACACTGTTTACCTCATCAGTGTTGGCGTTAGCATTGTACACACTGTTTACCTCATCGCTGTCGCTTTCGGTATCGTCATTGTTGCTGCCATCGCCACTTGACTCGCTGTCCGTGGCTTCGTGACGAGTGCACCATACTCGTAGACAGTAACAAACCATTCGCTTCCAGTACCCGGTGTACCGTTCTTGACTCTCTGGATTCTGCAACCGGGATAGCGGTCTCACGTCTGGCTTGTGCATCTCTGCACTTCGAAGCCAACGACGCAAGCCTTCCGGCATCGAGCTCAGTCCTGAGACACCCCTCTCGACCATCTTCTCGATCACCGCTGCTACCTTGAGTAACGCTTCTTCATCCTTCTCGGGCAGCCGGCTGGTGTACGAGAGATGGGTGAGATTACAGTTCTTGAGATGCTCTCTCCATCTTGTCTTGTTCCACCATCCGGTGTTCTCGCATTTCTCAACCCTGTCTGCTAGTATCTCCTGCTCTTTCTGCCATTGCTCTTTTAACTTCTGGAAGTCATCTTTGATGCCGTCGAACTGGATCTGCTTGGCTCGGGGAGTGATTCTCCGACACTTGCTCTTTCCCTATCGATCTGATCGGGTGTCTTGACGACAAACCACTTTTGTTTGCCTGAACTCTTGCAAAACGTCTGGATGTAGACATCTTTCCAGCACTGACGGTCTTCGTCAGTAGATTTCCAGCCGTGTGCATTACGACAGTGTTTGCCGATGTTGGTACGGTCGCTGGTGGTGAAGCCGCAGTGACTGGGGGAGTCTGTTGTTGTCGATGCATCCCCTCGTACGTCTTGTTCGCCGGCGGTGTTGTCCTGGTTGTGGATGCAGTAGTAGCCTGGGATTGGCTTACACAGATACTCAATTGCCGGCTGTCCTGGCTCGGGTAGACGGACTGTGGATGGGTCTGGCATGTTGCGTCCGCTGTGATGCTGTCTTAGTGCAGCCCTTGCCTTCTTCGACGTAGAAGTGTAAGAAGTATGGACCAAGCGCAGATGGCTGTCTAAGCCTCGCACTGCGTAGCCGTGTTCCTTGCAGATGAGAACTTCGTGCTCTGCTAGATAGACGTAGTTCGACATGGCTGCTGCGATTTCTTGCTGCTCTGTCTCCTCAATACTGCCTTCTTGACGCGTCATGACTCTAGCTGTGTCGTCCTCGCCGGCTGGCTCTAGAGCGTATTCGGTCAACCGATATGCTAGCTCCATGTCTTCTGGCTAAATGCAAGTCGAGATGGATAATTGTATACTTTCTCTCTTGCTGGATCGTTCATAAGAGAAGCTTAGTGTACGTATGGAACGATGAATAGTGGCAAGAAAAGATAGAGCAGAGAAACAGAACGGAGCGAGAGATTCGCCGACGCGTCTTACCCTTCTCGTAGTGTCTCTTATCAGAGAGCTGTCGCGGAATACACACGCAGAACCTTGCTTGTAGCATTGTGCGACCTGTGGGCTGATCATGCGATAACTATGCATCTTACTTGCTGATGGTTTGCGATATCTCATGAGAATGGTCTAGCGGGACACATGTCTGTCCAATGGGGTGCGGGGGGCTAAGCCTGGGACGCCTCCACCCTTGTCAAATCTAATATATATGCTTCGCGTTTCCCCGCCACGCTCTTGCGTTTCTTCAGAATTCAGCTTAGCGTACTATCTTTCTCTTCCACTTTCTCTTTTCCCCCTCTTTTTGTTATCTTACACCTTGCTTTTCTCTCTTGCGCGATTTTCCTGTCTTGCTCGGGCAGGGTGGATCTACATAAGTTTGGCAAAGAATCGAATAGTAGTTGTCACTGCAACTGTAACGATGGCGGGTGTGAAAAATGTCCGCACACGTGTTCTCTATCGACTTGAACCAAATTCTGTCGGTGCTGTAGCGACCGCGGATCTCCAGAACGATGTCGCTTCTCCACAGCGCCTTGTCCGCGACGCTTCGCAAGTGCCGTCAGCGGTGCCTCTTGCACCTCGGCCCTCTGCACTTCCTAGCACGCAAGCGGTCGCCGGACCGAGCGCCCCTACGGCGTCTCAAGTGCAACGTCAACACCAATCCCTTCGAGCTAGAGCCGATGCTGGAGAGACCGAAGCTCGGCTCCAGATGATGTCGCCGGCCGATGTCGAATCGGAACTGCGCAACCAGAGACTCCCAGACAAGCCTGACGTCTCGATCTGGGACTATCTGAACAACCCCGGTCCCGATGTCTCACCTATACAAGCCGCGAGCGACCTGCTTGCTGCTGCAGCCGACCGAGCGGAGAGCGCTAGTGTCCAAGCTGCTTACATCTGGCGATGGGTGAAGATCAACAACCTGTGGGACACTCACCCAGACCCAAACCTTCGTAGTGAACAAGCTTTCATTAACAGTGTTGCTAATCACAAAGTGGTCAAAGTCATGGTCGTCGTTGGCACCTCTGCTCAATGGTCTAAAGAGAACCACCAGCAATCCATTGCTGAGATATGGGGCGACAACTGGCTTGATACTATTCCTGCTTCAATGAGACCTGCCGAGTCTGTCAAAGACCTATCTAAGAGAATGCTGAGTGAAGTGGCCATCACTAGTGCAAACGTGCCAGATCAGCAACAAGCTGTGATCGGTTGGCGTTGTGCTATTGAGAGACGTCTTGATCCTGCAAACCGTCCTCCTCGAACGCGAATCTTGAAGACTCGTAAGCTTATTCCAGAAGATGTCAAGTTCTTCAACAGTACCATGAATGCATCCGCCTCGAGCGTTCGGGAAGATGTGCTAGAGCTGATGCCTGTGGTCCCGACAACACCGCAACAGCAGCCGACTTCTGCTATCCGAACAAAAGACAGTTCCCGGAAGAGAAAGCGCATAGAAAACGATGATCTTACTATCGCCAATCCTGATTTGGAGCCAAGTGATGGTACAGATTGTCTGGATAATGGTCCTCAAGACGTAGCGGAAGCTACGAATACAGTACGCCGAGACGGCGAGTCTCGAATCAAGAGAATCCGTGGCCATCGGATCATTGAACCAGTCACTCCACCTTGCGAGTCTCCTGCTGCTGGCCTGTCGCAACTGTTAGATGAAATTCCCTTAAGCAGTTTTGATAACGAAGCGGTGACATCGGCTGATGGTTCTGATAATGCGACAACCTGTGATGGCCCTGAATTCGCTCGCATGTTTGCTAAATTTGCTGAGATCCACGCATATTTCGAGAAGCATGGCACCTCATCATCGAAACTTGTCCGTAACTGTTGTGACTCCTGTCGCGACTATACGCTTCGTGCCCTAGCATGTCTGAAAGCAGATCTTATACCTTCAGTGGCTGGTATTGAGCAAGTCAAAAACATATATTTGGTGACCGGGAAGTGGTTCCAGGCCGGACGCTCAATGGGACCACTCAAGAACCTACTCCTCACTTGCAAAAATCTAAACGCTTGCTGCGAGTGGTTCAAGATTCTTCTGACGAAGAAACTGAAGAGTTCACTATATAGATCACAAATTTGACCATATATCTTACTCCCAGATCTTTGGTGTTAATGTTGTTGGGGTGACCTTGCATGCCTACAAGAAGTCGGGTGGAGTTGCGGGCGCAATTCTTGGCAAACTTCGAAAGTCATACTTGCCATATTTTGGACAACGATACTCAACAAGTCGCAGCCAGAATCAGAAATCTAAATGGTGCAATTGCCTTTGTATCATATTAACTCATCTCTACCATAGTTTTACAAATATTGAGTCGTGTTCATACAACTTACAAGATCGGGGTTCTACTACGGGTTCAACTTCACTTCTACCCCGCCAAGCGCCGAAAGCATAACCCCGCGAAACCCTTTTTAGACGGGCTGTAGTGCAACCCATGGATTCTATTAGCTAGGCTAGGTTTAGATAACTCTAGGTTCTTAAGCTTAAAGGTCTTTTTAAAGCATAGTTATTAGTAGCATAAAAAGGATATATTAGCTATTATTACTAAGATACTTAGGGCTAAAAATAGGTATTCTATCTAGCTATAGTTTAGAGAAATAGATTAAGTATCTATTTAAAACCCTTAATAATCTAGTAAATAGTCTCTATTATTATTTATTAAGATTTAGCCTTAGTAGTGTTTATCTCTTTTTTAAATAACTTTAAAACATAAGGTTTATTAATATAACTAGTAATAGCTATTTTAAGCTCTATAGTTCTAATTAAACTAGTAAGCTTATTAAACAAGAGTAATTTTCTATAAAGTCTTAATGTTTCTAGCTATATTAAAACTTTAGATCTTACATCTTTTAAATGCATACTATTTAATATCTTTTGAAGTGCCTATACCTTTTTATTAGTACTCTCTATATAGGTGTCTCTAAGTATTAGGTTAAAGAGTTTATAGGCTTTTATAAGGTATTTACTAATATAGCAATCTTCTTACTTTAGTCTCTCTAAATATAATATAAGAAATATATTCTTATTAGAGTTCTCTTATACCTAAAACTAGTCTAGGATTTTTTATATAAAGAGCTATCTAATTATTCTAAATAGTATAAGGCTATAACTTAAACTATTTATATATATTATCTTTTAAGTTAGTAGTAAGAGTCTATAACTTAATATTCTCTAGTTCTACCTAATTAGTAGTTACTAAAATAGAAAACTTAATATATGCTTTAACTTTTCTAATAAAGGTATTAACTAATCTATTATAGATACTATTAAAGGGCTTAATATAAATAATAAACAATATATTAATAGAAAGTAGTATATATAGGATTTTCTTACTTATATAGTTAGATAAAAACTCTAATTTAGATTTCTTTAAAATCTAGTATTTAGTAATTAGTCTTTAATTAGTAGATAAAGAGTCTTCTAGTAAGAAAATATAGCTTTTATTACTACTATTATAAGAAGTAGAAATATAATTCTTTTTAATATTAACTAATATATAACATAGTCTAAACTTTAATAGACTATAAGGGTAAAAAGCTCTTAGGTTAATTACTAGTAATAATGCTACTAAACTATGCACTAGGAAGACCTAGTAAGATCTAGTTAAGTTAAATATAGACCCTAGGCATATTTACTAATAGTATAGATATCTTATCAATTCCTAAGAATATAAAAGTAGACAAAGTATTATACTTATAAAATATAGACTAGATATTGTCTAATGTTATCTACTAACTTAATACCCTAGTAAGGTACCTTAAATAGTTATAATCTAACTTATAGTTCTATAGGTATTAAAGGCTAAAATAAAGAACATATCCTAGACTTAGTAGGTTATTATTTTAGTAGTTAATAGTATTCTCTAGTGATAGATATCACTTATTATTAGATAACTAATAATTTATATTCTTTTAGAGCTCTTATTCTAAGTAAGCTATTTTATATATTTTTCCTTTATTTTATTAAAGCTTTTTATAAATTTGTAGCTTAGCTAAGAGCCTCTAGTTAGGGCACTAATAGAGTACTTCTAAGTATAGGATATAATCTAATATATTATTAAAGGTAATATAAAGATAACTATCTAACTAGCTAAGTAGTAAAGGCAAAGATATTAACTAAAGTAGTGCTAAGGCGCTAATGCTAAAGGCTACTAATGTAGAGAGCACTAAGTTTTACACGCTAATATCTAATTACTCGATATTTCTTATTATGCAATTTAGGGGCTTAAGGCGTTATTCCTATTCCAAGTTTCGCCTTATAGTAAGAGTCTTGCTAGCTTTGGCACCTAATAGTTAATAAAGGCCATGGTCGTTGATACGACAGGCAATGTACGACAATGCGGATAATCTTTATCCACGACTTGGTGTACGACATCTATACGATTTTCGCCTAAGCGTCCTACGCTTACCATGGTCCTAATAGAAACGAGAACTTGGGCGCTATGCTTACAAGTTAAGTGCGCCACCTCACATACAAAATATCATGTCAACACCGGACACCGCTAATGCTGCTTACAATGTGATACCAAATCTTCTCTTTCTGCTTCGCCACACTGACGATGTTGCTGCTGCCTATCTCTGCACAGCCAGCGCGATACAAATCTCCAAGACATTAGAGGAAGGCGCACATTTCTGCGGTTATCGCAACGTCCAGATGATACTCGCTGCGCAGGAACACGAAACGGGGGCCGCAAACATTAAAATTCCCACTATCTCAGATCTCCAGATTAAGATCGAGGACGCCTGGAAAGCTGGAATTAACCCTCATGGCATGGCACAAACTGGAGGTATCCGTGGCACTAGGAAACACATTGGCACTTCAGAGGTAAGCGAGTCTTGAGATCATCCCACTCTGCTCACACCTGATTTTCTGTCAGGCTGAGGCCCTCCTTCTGAGTTTAGGGATTCCTTGTACAGGCAGCGCATTCCATGGTAAACACGCATGGCAGCAGTTGCTCGACTACACCGAAGCGTACTTTTCCACTTCTTTCGACCCATCAGTGAAGATGAGTGGATCACAGGAAGCTCATCTGACAAATAAGTCGCCAATCTTCTTGCAGCGCCCTAGCCATTCTCTCACTATTGTCGGCATGATCAGGTTCAGGTCCGGAAAACGAGGAATTTTGACGTTCGATCCTGCGTGGCAGACTCCTTCGCTGATGAGGAAGCCATTGAGTGCAAGCCAACATCGAGCCTGGAAGTTGAAGTGGTTGCTAAAGCAATATACTAAGAGCGAGCGATACCTCAAACGATACCCTGCGTTCGAGACTCTGATCATCGAGCGCCAAGGCTAGTGTCCCTGGAAAGTCAGAGGACGGCAGCATCCCAATTTGAGTACATGTCATCTGTTGGCTTGAAGGTTCAAGTCGAGCGGTCCTGGCAGAGGTTGTGGTCGAATCCGCTGATTGATCTCGCACCATGGTCCTGCTCACGACTTCCTCATTGCAAAGAGCAAAGCTGTCTGTCGACACTGTACGGTGTACCAGGGCTATCGGGGTTTCGTGCTGTAAAATCCTGATCGGACGTACTGGGCCATGGTCATTGCCAGCACCAAACGTGTGTGCTTGTGATAATGCACATTCAAGCCCAAGAATGAGTACTACCGGTTTTGGCATCAAAACGATGTAGCATTGGGCAAGTTTCACTCATACGTCGGATGTCAGTGTCGGTTGTCTTTGACTTTCGTCGCGTGCAAGTGCAAATCACCCCAGAACTGCATTCATCCAAAGCTGCAAAGTCGCCAGCTTCTTCAGAATCAACAACGGGTCGTACTGAGGAGCCAGGCAGTCGATCATAGGGCCAACATATTTCAAGACAAATACTCGACATCGTACAACATCAAACGGCATTGGGCACAACAATCAGAGTCAAAAGTTCCGAGGATTCTTGCATACAACCTTCATAATTCAAGGGAGACCATGTGCCCTTCGCTGTGCCACGATTTCCTGCAACGCTCTTGCAATGACAGGACGCTCCTTCAACGCTGCGAACCAAGCGTAATAATGAGGGTACTTCTCTTCCAGACCGACATCCTTCTGCAATTCGCGCAGAAGGCCTTCACCCGTCGCAGCCCAAGCGACGAATGAAATATCAGCATATGTGCATCTATCCCCAACGAGCCATCCAGTCCGATTGCGACTCAGAGCAACATCGAGCACACCGATCACGCGTTCGATCTCCTTCATAAAGCGATCAATGGCGGATGGAAGCTTCTCAGGATGGAATCTGGCGAACCAGGTCGCCTGTCCAAAATATGGACCCTGACCTGTGTACATGTAAGCACATTGTGATTGAAGATTTGGTTTGGAAAACCTTACCCGAGACTTGGAACATAAGCCATTGCATAGATGCATATTTTTGCGGCGCATCCAGATAGGAAAGCTTTCCTTCTTTATCATATTGATCAATCAGATACAAGATTATGGCTCCAGACTAGGTAAGTCGGTCAGAAAAGCTCTTTCAAGCGGAGTTGGGCCTCATTCGCATTGTGCTCACCTCCCAGACAGTCATGTCCGTGTTCGGATCCTCAATAGTCGGAAGACGGCCGTTTGGATTGAGCTCAAGATACTGTGGCTCTTTCACTTGGTTGAACTCGAGGAGGTTCAGCTCATAGGGAATCTCGAGTTCTTCCATTATCATGCGAACTTTCCTGAGTTTTGTTAGGCATGAAGCATTATGTAGAGGAGAAAGATGTTATATTGTCATACCATGGATTAGGCCCGCCCTAATGAGCCCAGATGCGAATTGGCTGTATTGACATACCCGATGCTAGACACGAAAATCAAGATACTTCAACTATTGATGAAAATGAAAAGCACATGTTGGAGGAAGATCTCCTGTCAGGACTATGAAAGATCATTGTACGATCTAGGCAGCAACAAAGCTAGGCAGCAACTGATCGGTGCGGCTGGGGATGATTCGTGAGGGTGGGGCAGGGTGCCTCTACCACCCACGAAATGGGAATTTTCGGGCCACGATATGTCGACGAATGTTGTTTCAATCAAGATCGCAAAAGTTGCGTTAGACAAGTCAAGTAATTGCTAGATGATCGTCTGAGCCTCGGCAAAGGTTACTCTTTGTTTGGTGTTGAATATGCTCAGGAGTGTTATTGTGGTAACGCTATCGCCACCTCTTCTACAGTCACCTCTGACAGCAAATGCAACATGGCTTGCAAGGGAAGCAACGCAGAATATTGTGGCGCTGGCTCTTTGATGATGCTTTACGGCAGGAACGCCGTCTCGTCGACCACTTCGAGCACTTCCAGCACTTCCAGCACTTCCAGCACTTCCAGCACTCCCAGCACTTCCAGCATATCTTCTAGCTTGGCAATTTCTTTGACTGCATCTTCAAGCTCTGCAATCACGTCCTCCATTTCGTCGGCCGTGACCAGTTCTTCATCTGCCTCCCAAGCTACCACAGTGCCAACCTCCGCCTTAAACAACTATACCTACATGGGATGCTACAATGAAACCCACGATCGTCGCGCACTTAATGGAATTGGCCGCACTGGATCTTCGAACAGCCTGGAATCTTGCGCAGCCTTCTGTTCTGGATATGCTTACTTCGGAGTCGAATACGGAGCAGAGTGCTATTGCGGCTCAACCATCTACTCCAACTCCGTTCGTCAGAACGATGACACTAGCTGTAACATGGCATGTGCTGCAAACGCATCTCAGAAGTGCGGTGGCCCTGACTTCCTCAACGTTTACTACACCAATGTTACATCTTCGACAAGTACCACAACGAGCAGTGCCCCGAGCACACCAACAGGGCCTGTTGTCGTACAGTCTGTCGGCGATTATTCGTATATGGGATGTTACACTGAGGTCACCAATGGTCGAGCACTTACTGGATTGAGCAAGGCAGCTTCCTCTGTCAGTGTGGATTCTTGTGCTTCTTACTGCTCGGCATACACCTACTTTGGTGTCGAATACGGCAGTGAATGTTACTGCGGGGATGTCATTCAGATCGGATCCAGCGCTGTCACTGATGGCCGCTGCAAGATGTCTTGTGCTGCGAATGCCACTCAAATCTGCGGTGGACCCAATGGTCTGAACATGTATCAGAAGGTCTCCAGCGTCTCGAGCACATCAAGCATATTGAGCACGTCCAGCGCTTCGAGCTCTGTGAGTATCCCCAGCAGCTCGAGCACGACCGCTTTGTCCAGTGACATCAGCACCTCAAGTTCCAGCATCACTTCAGCTTCGGCCTCTGCATCGCCTGTTGTCGTTGCTGGGATCCCATTCACGGTTGAGAAAGATGCGACGTACTCAGGTACCACGATTAGCAACTTTGCAAGGAAACGCGCAGATTCTGACCTCAGTTCTTGCATGACCGCATGTGCTAATAACGCAATCTGTATGGGTACAGCGTTTGATGGTACCACCTGCACATACTTCAGCTTTGTCGATCCTAGCAGCAGAACAACAATGGTTGGAACAACATTTGCCACAGTCCAGAACAGGTCACCTGTCTCTTCCAGCTCCACCGCATCATCACTCTCGAACTCCTTGACATCATCAATGCCGTCGACTTCGGTATCTGCCTCTTCAAGGAGTTCCTCCGCAATTTCGAGTAGCGTTTCCACAGCTTCCAGCAGCAGTTCAACAATTTCTGGAACAGCAACTGGACCTGTCGCCAAACCCACTGTAGGCAGCTATGTCGATCAAGGATGCTGGAAAGAGATTGGCGGTCGTGCTCTGCAGGGCAAGTCATTCTCCAATAGCTCCAACAGCCTTGAGTTCTGCGCGTCATTCTGTTCTGGATACACGTACTTCGCAACAGAGTATTCTTCTGAGTGTTACTGTTCCAACACTGTCAGTTCGCTTTCTGACCCTGCTACGGATGGACGTTGCAATATGCTATGCTCTGCCGACAAGTTTGAGTACTGTGGCGGACCTAATGGTTTGAGTTTGTACAAGTACAACGCAACCATCTTGTCGTATAGCAGCCCTACCTCTGCCAGCAGTGTCATCTTGTCCGGTACCATCACGTCCTCGAGCTCTTCCGCTTCAAGCTCTCTATCCCCAGCTCTTCTAGCAGCACTTCATCATCATCGTCCGATCTCGCATCGAGCAGCGTCAGCTTCACAAGCTCAATCCCAAGCAGCTCAAGCGTGTCATCAACCATCTCGCCCAGTATGGTCACAAGTGATTCATCGAGCACGATTTCAAGCACGTTCAGTGTCTCCTCTACAAGTTCGTCCTCTGCTTCAACGTCGTCCGCTTCGTCGTCCGCTTCATCAACCTGGGTGCTTTCGTCAACTGCTTTATCCTCATCTTCGCTATCAACCTCCTCGTCCCCTGCACCAAGTTCACTGATCACGAGCAGCGCCGCATCTTCAAGCTCCGCATCGTTCACTTCATCATCTTCAACCTCGACTTCGCCTACAATTGTCCCGACGATATCAGGCTACGCGGCGCAAGGATGTTATAGCGAAGCTTCAAGTGGTCGCGCACTTGCCGCTAGATCTATAACCAACACTACTGGTATGACTCCGGCGATGTGTGCATCGTTCTGTTCCAGCTATGCCTGGTTCGGTGTTGAATATGGATCGGAGTGTTACTGCGGACCATACCCTCGCATTGGAAGTAAACCACAAATCGACAACAGCACTTGCAACATGCTCTGCCCTGGTGACAAGACTTCTTACTGCGGGGCTGGCAACAGACTCAACATGTACTACAGCGACAACAGCACCAAGGCATCCACAGATCCCATGAATCTCAACACGACTGGTAGCTATGCGTTCTATTCTTGCTACAAGGACAGTCCTCGTGTGTTTAGCGTGTCAGCGTCGAGCGACTCGATGTCTGTAAATGCGTGTCAGAAGCTAGCTTCAGCAGGTAAATACACCTGGTTCGGCACAGAGTACGGACGTGAGTGCTGGATGGGTAATTCATTGGCAGCAGGAACGGCCAACGCTACCGCGAGTGACTGCAATATGGCGTGCAATGGCATGCCAGGACAGCTTTGCGGCGGGCCTTCCAGGCTTTCGCTCTATACAAGGATCGCAACCTAGTGTTATCTGCTTTCTTCCATTAGAAATCTCTTAGGGTGTATAAGACGCTATTCTCAGTACCATTTCTCTCTGCATTCTGGGATACATGCTTATATGATGTCTGCCACCATCTCGGTCACTGTATAACTCGTCAACATGATGTTCCCAGGCGGAATGATCGGAATGATACTGGCGTTGACGATGCGCACATTGGACGTTCCAAAGATATTGGTTTTGTTACCAACGAAGCTTCCCTTTCCATTTGGCGTCATCGAAAAAGTACCGCAGGAACGATGTGTCGCCTTTCCTGTATCTATCAAGTCGGTTCAATGTCGGCAGATGCAATGTTTGATACAAAAAGCGAATTTGTCTACGTACTGCATCGCGAACAAGAGATTTGTTGCTTTGTTCACGATGTCTGTAACCATTATCACTGTGCATTGTGCTTTCCAAGGCAGAGGATACTATTGGCGGACTATCTGATGGCAAGAGTTGTCGGGACGGTCGGCGTGTGGTCAAGATCTCGATTCTAAAACTTGATTCATTATTAATGTTGTACTACTCGAGTAATGCAATCTGACCTCGGATGGCGACCTCTAAAGTCGGAAGATTGTCGATGTCAACTACACAGCTAATTCAAGTCTGCGCTCAAAGTCCACGATCGTGTCGGCAACCATTGCGGCGAAGTCGAAATGCCAGATCTTCTGAGAGCGATCCTTGATCTCCTCGAAGCAGGTTTCTGCCTTTGTCCATCTTTTCGAATGCGCCCACTCTTCTTGATGATACAGATCGCAGACCCTTCGACTGCTGTTGACTAACCACTGGCTTCTCGCACGCCTGACACAGTTGTATGTTTCGAAGGCAGCCTTCAGAGCGTGATCTTTATCGGTTCTGCCCTCAGCAAGGGATGTGTTGATCATATCAACCAGAGTGCTCAAGCAGAGTGCGTCTTCCACACCCATACAAGCTCCAGCGCCATGATGAGGGCTTGACGCATGAGCGGCATCTCCAGCTAGGCATATCTTGCCTTTGTTGTAGTACGGTACTGGATACTCGCAGAGATCAAATACCGCCCACTTCTCGAGCTTTTCCGGAAACATAGCAATGGTGTCGCGGACGCAGGGGTTCCAGTTGCGGAATGCATGCACAAGGTCATCTCGACTTCCTGGGGCCACGAGAAGTCTGTCACTGGGCCAATCGTCTGGATCAGATATGAAGGCCGTGGCATTGATCACAGCGCCGTTCGCTACAGGGTAGTGGATCAGATGAGCACCTGGTCCAACGTGGTTGTGCTGATTCCTTGCTTTGTACTCTCCCAGAGCTTCGACGGCTTTGTCCATGGGTATGAGAGCACGATATGCAACCTTGTGAGTATAGGCAGGATACGAAACTGGATTGTCCTTTCCGAACACAAGCTCACGCGCTTTCGACTTGATGCCATCGCATGCGATAACTATATTCCACGATAGTGAGCCTTGATTTCACCTAGCCTTCGAGCGACATAACTTACTTGCGTCAGCCTCCGCTCTTGTACCATCGCTGAAAGCCATCGACATCTTCTCGCCCCAGTCGATGCGCTCCAGTCTTTTCCTCAACTCGATTGTTCCGTCGGGTATGATGTCTACCAAAGACTCGAGAAATTGGTCTCTTCGACATCCTTCGAAACCCTTGTATCCTGCATCGATCTTGTACAGCAACTTCTGGTCCTTTGGACTGTTGGCATCCCTTTCATTGAAACCGTCGATCCATCGGAGGTAGTCGTTGGGGTCGTCTTTATCAGCGGATGTCGGTACAGAGCCACCGGACCGCAGAGCAGTAACAACATACGGATTGATGAGTTCCATGCATCTTATGGCGTTTGCGGTGAAAGCGATCCCAGCACCGATTTCGCGAAAGCCGCGCGCTTGTTCGTAGACCTTCACCTTGACATCGCGATGGATGAGTCCAGCCGCAAGGATGAGTCCTACTATGCCACCGCCAATGATGGCTATCTCGAGGGGCTCGCTAGTGGTAGTTGTGCTGATCATGATAATGAGAAAAAACTGATGTTTCGAAGCATCAGGCGCCTTGATGATTCTTATCAACTTCCTTACACAGGATCTCAACTATGTGGAGCTTGAATTACTCCGGTCCAACACTTTTGGAATCATTCTTGCCCTGTTTGCATACCCCATGGTCTGACTTACGGAGTTTCTGAAAGTGCTGGTGACCAATGACAGCAAACCTTGCCCACAATTGACAGGAAACTAAGGTATAGGCAATCCTGGCAAAGAATCCATAACTTCTTTTGATCGATCAGACCATGGACTAGTCGCCCGGCAACGAGAATCACAATAACAATGGAATTAAGTCATGGGTCGTTGTGATCAAGCTGAACAGGTCTATTATGTATCTATTCTACTGTACTACTCCTGGAAAAGATCTAGAACACCGGTCTTGACGGCCATGAAATACACTGCGTCTAGCACAGCTTTCACGTCCAAAGTTCTGATGGGCACTCGATGATTGCCCTGCCACTCGAGCAGAATAGTGGAGCCTGGATCGCAATACTTTTCATACAATTCTCGGTGGAGCTCAAGGCCAGGATCTTGAACTCCATGCACATGAATCGTGGGGATGTGTAGAACATGTTTGGTTGACCCAAGTGGTATCAGTGGCCGATGGCTCGAAGTGGACAACTCGGCTGCGTCGACCAAGCCCTCCGGTGGCAGAGTATCAGGCTCCAACCATACTAGCGGACCTCTACCGGCAAGTAGGATCGCAAAGCGGAAGTTTGGCCACACCTCTGCCTGCAGACCCATCTTCCTCTGCAGATCCTGTTGGGCATAGAGCATACTGGCTGCGATCTTTGCACCTTGACTGAAGCCTAGAAGTGCTACCCACTCGCCAGTGGCACCCTTCAAGTCGTCAACACACATAGCTGTAGTGATTGCGGTGTCTATGTCCTCAATCACTTGGCGATTGTCGCGAGTTGTAGCATGGGCGGATGTCTGTAACCACGCTTTGAACGGACCGTGATCTTTGTAGACGGACGTCACGTCCGAGCCCGGCTGTGCTGGAAAAGGCGCTTCTGCGTAAACAAGCCGGAACCATTGTTTGAGTGCTCTTTCCAGAACACGACATTGCATGCGGAAGATGCGTGAGTTGGTACCACCACCATGTAGACAGAGCATCCGGGGTAGACGTAGTGTTGTGTCGTTTTTCTGTGATGAAAGAACAAACATGATGCCTGGTTGTTATGACTTCGAGGATGGTCGTCGGATCGCAATTGGATCTGCAGCTCGCAGCGAAAACAATACTAGGCCGGGAGGACCATTTGACGTATTGACGGGTCGCAACTGATACGCACTCAATATCATAGCTTATTCCAGGCAGCCATTCTTCCAGAAGGATTCGATAATGCTGACATGATGGTCTTCCGAACACTCCACGGCGTTTTCGTCCTCGACTAGCGTCATGCCGGGATATTCAAGACACTTCCCAACAAGGCTGAGTTTTGGTTTCGGCGGAGTTTGTGAAACACCGGGAGTACATGCATGATCTGTGTGAGCTGTTTGTTTCCTGCTGCGTCTATCTCCGATTGTCTCCTTTGCGGTCTCCGCCGCAGTTAAGCATTTCCTATTCCGGTCGCGTATTCTCCGACCGCCCCTGCGAAGGCATCTCGGGTTTTGTGCAGGTGTTCGGCCGAGATCTACGGACACAAACGATACTGAGTTTGTCTTTCTGGTTTCCATCTTGCTCTTCATCTCCAGCTAACATCATTCAAGCCTCCTGCGATTGTCTTTGGTCTAAATCGTTCTCTACCTTTCTTTGAACCTGGATGAAATGGAGAACCGCAAGGAGAAAACCCCTTTGAACTTCGGAGACAGTGTTGCTAATAAGCAGCCAAACCCAGTCAGTGAACCAATGACAAATTGCGAAAGTGCAGTCAGCACTGCGAAAGCACAATTGCCGCCTCCGAATGGTGGTCTTACAGCTTGGCTGCAGGTTCTCGGATGCTTTATGCTCTACTTCAACACCTGGTATGTAGAATTCAGAAGGACATGGAACATCAGGATCAGGCTGACTTCGAGGAACAAAAGGGGTCTCGCAAATGCTTTTGGCGAGTTCCAGACCTACTATGAGTCTGGCGCTATGTTCAAACAGTCGTCCTCCGATATCGCGTGGATAGGATCAGTGCAATCATTGATGCTGCTTCTGACTGGCGTCTTCGCTGGACCATGTTACGATGCTGGGTTTCTTCGTACTCTGTTGGTTGTCGGGTCTTTCTTGGTTGTCTTCGGACACATGATGCTGAGCATCTGTCACGCGTACTGGCAAGTCCTACTCGCACAGGGGATTTGTNNTGTAGGCATTGGAGCTGGGTGAGTGCACCTCTTAGTCCAAAATTTCCTGGATATGCATTGACCTAGGGCTGCCTTCAGATGTCTGTTTGTCCCATGTGTCGCCATCTTGCCTCAATACTTCAGCTCGCGACTCGGCCTCGCGATTGGACTCATATCTTCAGGCTCGGCTCTTGGAGGCGTGATCTATCCAGTCGTTCTTTATCGACTAATAAACACGATTGGCTTTGGCTGGTCAACACGTGTAATCGGGTTCGTCGCACTTGCCACCTTGCTCATCCCAATCGCTGTCTTACGGCTACGTGTAACACCTCCCAGAGTCAGAGCGATGGTCGATATCTCGGCATTGACCGATGTCTGGTACATGAGCTTTGTAATCACGACATTCCTTGCATTCATGGGCTTGTTTGTGCTGCTATTTTACCTCTCTTTCTTCGCCGAGAACAACCAGATTACCGACAAGAGCATGGCGGCATACATCGTCGTCATCTTCAACGCAGCGTCTTGCTTCGGTCGCACAGTTCCAAATGCGATCTCAGACAAGACTGGGCCGTTTAACCTCATCGCACCCGGGACGCTGCTTGCTGGAATCTTCACCTTCTGTCTCATGGCTGTTAACAAAGAGGCCAGCCTGATCGTTGTTACTGTTCTTGCGGGCTTCGTCAGTGGAGTCGTCATCGGGATGCCCCCTCTCTGCTTTGTAGCCATCACTCCCGACAAGTCGAAATTGGGCACGCGAATGGGAATGGGATATGCGATGATGGGACTGGGTGTTCTTGCAGGTGGGCCAGGTGCAGGGAACATATTGGGTGTTGGGCAGGATCTGAACTGGCCAGGAGCTTGGGCTTTCAGCGGCGCTTCGTGTGTTGCTGCTGGTCTCGGCTACGCTGGCATCAGAATCGTCAAGTACGGGAAGCAGGTTAGAGTGAGGGCGTGATGGGATGTACGTTTGACAGAGAATACACGTCTTGTTAAGATCTGAGCGCTATTTCTGCCCTGAATGTTCGTTGCAAACACGCGGGAAAGAACAGGCTAGAAATCAAGATATCCATGGACACGCGTTCACTTGAACCTTCTCATCTTAAGAGCCGATTAATTCAACGCAATTCACACACAAGACTGCATCGGTTGACGATCCTCAGAATCAGCAGGATCGATGAGTGTCGAAGTGAGATCGGTGAAACAAAGTGGTGTCAAAGTGCGACCGGTGAAATCCTGCGTGATTGCAAGTCCGGGGGTCTCGGCCCTATTGTCTAGCAGCTTGTTGGTATAAAGACGGATAAAGACGGATAAAGACGGAGTTTGCTTGAGTAACTAGGCCAGGATTTATCGTGCATGACGGCTGAATCACACCAACACGAGCCATGATACCGGACTGCTGCTTTCCACCATACGTGTATGCCGGTGAGCGCGATCGACGCGTACACTGAAACTAGGGCGCGTGCTGCAAATCGATGCAGGTGAGTACTCAAGTGGAAGGATGGAGCGCGAAGGATTCGAAAATGCTGAGAAAGGAAAGCCAGAAGCCGAAAACGGTGATGGACGCGGTGGTAGTGGGAGCAAAATAGATTGATGTTGTTATGATGGAGACAGATGTCAACCGATCAGCTTTTGTAGCTGACACGGCGCTCGCTCCTTCCCAACGGCCTGGGGTGGGTCTCTTGCCAGCCACTGCCGGAAAGAGGGACGGGCCGTGCGCCACCTCGACCTCATTCTTTCCCCGTGTGGCACAGCTCTTTCACGGTGCTCGACCATTGGCTGGGATAAGTCTGCTGTCTGACGGGTAATAGCGAATGCACAGCTATTTTCAAATTATTGGCACTGGGACACAACCTTGCGTCTAGATTCACGCAGATGCGGTGGCGGCATACATACACAGCACCATTACAGTCAATATTAGGAGTCTTTCGACAAATCCTGCTCTTGAAATTCTAAATCGTGACTGCGTTGCGGTATGTACAGAGCAGCTCCACATGTTTAATTCAACTGGTATCCATCGCTTGTTTCGAAAGCTTGTCCAAGCTTATCTAGGCAGACTTGAGCTAGGCGGTTGATGGGCGAAAGCTCCTGGAGTGCGTTGCACATGGACTGGAAAACCGGGCGAAAACTCGACTCTGTACTCATTCGACTTCGGGCAAACTCGGCACAGAGTGTCAGAGGGATCGGCGTCAATGGATGAACCTGTATGGGAGTTGGAGATGGACAACGACTGACATGTTCAGGTCAACACACCTTGTACAGGCTGAACTCTGCCAGCTTTTGCACCAGATCGACTATTTGATGTGCTGATGCTGAAGTTTTTGTTTCATAGCTTCTCATCATGGCCTCGAACCCGCTGAGGTCCGACTGGCAGGATAGCAGCGCCGTGTATAGCGACAATGCAGTGGCATGGGCAGTCATGACCGTGAAAAGCAACATTGAGTCAGTGAACTTGCTCTCGTCTTCGGACCCAGCCATCGTCTTGACTATCTGTGATGACAATGCATTCTCGAGACGCTGGTGTCGTCGCAAGAACTCATCAGCGATATTGCTTTGCGGTCTTTGAACACTACCGTTTCGTTGATGCGACAAACAACGTCCGCCCAAGGTAACAAGCAGGATCGAGTCTGTGAAAGGAGAAGACGTATGTCTTTCACTGCCAGCTATGACCTGCGAGAGGAACAATGCTTCAACCGATTGGCCTCTTTGGAAAGCAGCTTCTGGAGCAGGCAGACAAGTCATGATCTGAGGCAAAGTCAGCAAGCTCCCATGGATGGATGTGCGGAGGGGCAGAANTACCTGCTCAGTGAACATTAGTGGTAGGTCATCCATCAGATTGATGAACCTATCCAGCGAGTAAGCGAACCAAAATGTTCTACGCCTCTCCTCCAACTCAATCCAGCTGAGGCAAGCATGGTTTTGGCGATGCTGAGGACTATCGAGCAAGTGGAGTTTGTTCAGTTGAACCAGCCTGAAGAATCGACCTGCGCTCAACCAACCTCTTTGGTAGTTGATGTGAATGATCTCAAAGCTAGCAAGCAGCGCCCAGCTTTGTATATGTTCGATCGCCATAACATCGCTGTTGGTGTCCCACTCGAGCGCCTCAAGCATCTTGCGAGTCTGAGAGTACAACAAGGCCTGGACATGCTGGAATTGGCTTGAAGTTGTTGCTGCCAACGTCCATACAGCGTGCTGTAAGCACTTCAATGGCTCGGACATATCTGGTCGAGAGACTCGACTGAGGAATCGCCTCTGATTAAGAAGGGGTACGAACGCTTGAATACGGTCAAAGTACAGATGGTTCCTGGTCAGAATCAGCAAAAGAAAAAAGAACATATTCGACAATGGATATCGTGGCACGTACAAATCAGCTTTCACCAGTGTAGAGAGTGGGGTAAGATCGGTATGAGCTGGTGTGACCGGCAGAGATGGGAAAAAGCTCCAGGATGATGATTGACTTGTGAGGGCGCTCCGATTCCCGGCGACTGGAATTCCAGAACTACTGCTGTGTAGACCGAGAGATGGTTCGCATACATTGGTGTCGCTGATTTCCAGATCGAGATTGTACGAAAAGTAGTCGGATGCATTGACTTGATCCAGCATTTGCATTGGATAGTCGTCGCTCCACTCTTGCCCTACTGTCGTGGAAGAAAAGTCATTCGTTGACTTCCACGGCAAAGAAGGTTGACCAGACAACTTGGGGGACGTTGTGTGCGCTTGTTGAGTCTCTGAATGTAATATGGGCTCTGATATCTCATCGCTTGTATGCTGGGTGATAATACTGTCTACTCGTGACGGAGCTCTTGGACGTGAGAAGTCATGCAACTGTGTCGGCTGAACGCACGCTTCAGTACTTGTACCACCATTCAGGATTCCTTCCAGAGCCGCTGTATTGTAAGACGTCAGATCAGACTCAACGCTGTATGTAAGAGCGATGATGCTTACAGAGTCGATTCTGCATGGCTTTGAGGTGACCTTTCTTGGGCCCGCGTGGCTGTCTCACCGTTGGTATGCATTGGACACCTAGGTCTTTGCACCCACCACATTGAGGCTGCTTCCTGTCACACCTCAACTTGCGTGTGCGACACTGCTCACAGGCAAGACCTGGCTGCTGTCGAGAGGTTGTTGCAAGTCCGTTTGGAGTGGAGTCTGGGTCGGGCGAAGTTGAAGACATGATCCAGATGATATTGCTAGTTGACTTCTTCGTGGTGCGGATCAACGCGGCCTTCTATAGCATTCCCCAATCGAAGTCGGAAGGATGACTGTAGGATTCACCTCATGGGGGTCATATAATAAACACGGTCGTGAAGATCGGGGAAAGAACTCAGAGAGCATGCGGCGTACTCGATGCGAGCTCCACGTGCGATTGTTGAGCAGCATGTGGCGTACAGCCAACCGACTAGATCCTTCGAATGAACTAATCTAATCAACTGACTCCAGGTTGCATGCGTTCCTGGACAGACTTGTCTTCAGCCTTCTGCAATGCAAGTCGCTCTCATCACAATTCATGTGCCCTATTAACGGCTTTGTATGCTGGCCTTCTGATAACAGTCCTTGCTATATAAGATACGCTTACACTTGCAATGCAGAGATATCAAGTATAACTTCCTAAACAGTTTGCTTACCGGAGGATGATCCGTAGCATCCTACTGTAGCGTTGACAGCCATCACTGATCAGAGAGGCTTAGTTATCAAGGCCAAGGATATAATTGGCATGTGCAGAGTATGATCGGCGGCCCAGAGGCCGCTATAAGCCAGGCCAAACGCACTGACCCCTGCAGGATCTCAACACGAACTAAAAGCTGGGCGAACATGCAAGCATGTATCTGCCGACAGGCTAAGCAAGCCGAAGCATTGGTGCCAAACGCGCCAAACGCTTCGCTCGCAGAATGACTCCAATTCTGGGTTCGCTTGATGCAGCTCTTACAGCTCTGCCAGCCAGAGGATTCGACAAATTAATGTTCACCGGTGAGAGCGCCTGCGGGATCGCGATCATCGAGCGATATTGTAGCTGATCGCGAGTACATACCCCTGGCGATCGAGTCACTTGCGGGAAAATGTTACAAGCTGACACTGCAACGACCAGGTTTTGAATTGGTCAGTTATCACGGCATGCCACTGCATGGCTGCAGAAGAGGCACATAATCTCGAGGGGGCCATATGCAGTCATCCATGGAAGTGATACTTTATCCACGAGACAAATACCCGGTGATCCAGATGTGATGTTGCATGACGGGAAAAGGGAGAGACTCGGGTTATGCACAGAGACGGGAGCGAGCAGCGGACCTTGCCGCTTGCCGCGAGTCAACCAAGATTTGCTGTACAGTCGTGGAACGGGCTTTGAACCATGGGCTCTAAGAGCTTCAAGTAGAGCGTTGACCTTTTTCAAGCATTGGATTCGGGTGAGATATCTTTCTACGAACATCAAAGGAGGAGATATATCATAGGTAAATTATGCAGTCAGATTGAGAAACAGAGTCTACAGAGTAACAACCAACTTAGTGGCAGAGACGCCCTTCATGATCTGATCCACAGCCTGCTGAACGTGTTCCAATCCGTTTCCAACGATTTGTGGGCCGGGAGCAGGAATGAAAGCGCCAGCAGCAAGAGCTTTTGGCAGATAGTCAACATAGATCGCCCGGCCGACTGCATTGTCTTTAAGAGTGGTTCCGAAGATTCTCTTGATGGAGATACCCTCCGGTGGGTTGTCAACCCCACCCTTGGTAGTGGCGATAACGCCTTTGCCAGCGACCTCTTGAAGGACGTCGACCGAGATCTTGAGAGCATCTCCACCGATGCAATCGAGAACTCCAGCGATATCCTTTCCGTGCAGGGCCTTGGTGAGGTCTTCCTGGATACTAGCTGAATTGTAGTCCAGAACTTTGCTGGCACCGAGCTTCTTGACGTAGTCAAAGTTCTTGGCCGAAGCAGTGGTGATGACTTCGTAGCCGGCAGCACAACACAGCTGGATGGCGTTGCTTCCGACACTTGAAGACCCGCCCCAAATCAAGATGGCCTTGCCGTTGGACTTCTGAGCAGGGTGAGTTGGGAGATCCAGCTGGAGGAATGGCGATTCTTGGAACAAGCCGCAAGCTGCGGTGGAAAGGCCTAGAGGGATAACAGCAGCGTCCTCATAGGCAACTGTATCGGGGAGAGGAGTGGCCATGTGATCCGCAAGAATAGTGTGTGTCTGGAAGCCGTTGTCTTGGACGCGCTTGGTGGCCATGCCGAGCGCGTGGCCAACGACACGGTCACCCTTCTTGAAACGCGTGACGCCTGAACCGACGGCAATAATCTCGCCAGCGACATCTTGTCCAAGGATAGTGGGATACTCCATAGGCCACCACGCAAAAGCTTGGAGACTGCCGTCAACTGGGTTGATGGCAACAGCACGGTTTTGCACAAGGATCTCATGCTCTTCAGGTGTGTAGGCCGGAGCAGACTTGACCTCGAAAGGTCTTGCCTTGGGGGCGGTGAGCCAGGCTGCGCTGTTTGACATGATGAAGCGGCGTTGAGAGTTGAGATCTTGTAGCAAAGGACGACGGATCGCACAAAGAGAAGGGAATTGAAGAGATTGTTTACGAAGACCGATCGATAAAGCCTGCGATGTTGCGGCTTGGAGGGACTTCATGGCTTCTTATACCATAGTGTTGAACACGAAGTCAAGGTAAGCGCTGGTGCCGCATTTTGTTACGGCGCAATCCTGCCATCGTGGTTGGGAAAGGTGATCATAACTCCGACGATCGTGCGCAGGAGGATGGAGTCGTCGGAGAAACAACAAAGACGTGGGCACATCCCCATTGGGTAATCAATAAATCCGGAGTGCTAGGCCGAATCGAGTCATTGTCATATCCGCCGCAGGAATTGGGCAGCGTCCTCCGTAGAGATCGCCCCAACGCAATTCCCGACGCCAATTCCCCGTTGTTTCGTCCTTCGAAAAGAGCTTGCTTGGTTCGAGTCAAGTTGCAACATGCGGAGGACAACGCAATGAGTGGTGCAAGGGATGCCCGTTGCCGGACCAACGGCGTCTGCCCTGATCAACACGAACCTTGGAAGGCTCCAGCAACAGCATAGAAACCCTGGCGTTTCGATATCACCGTGCTTATCTCTTCGTAACACTTTCAAACCCAGGGTCATGGCGTTCCTGTCAACCATGCATCGACACATTGCACATATATCACGGCAAGATCAAAGTCACGCGTCCACAATTGCGGGTAATAAAGTATACGATACTCTGGAACGACTTTCAAGACACTCCATCTTTGCTCTGCTTTGTAGTAAGGAATATGCGTCCATGCTCACCCCATCATCCACGCCACGGCTGCTGTGGAAGTACATTCATCACTCATGCCGCAGCTTGCTCAATCCATCTCCGTATCTCACATTGGCTGGTTGACAAAGACCTTCATCGGCGTAACAGAAACCCTCTCCATATCCCAAACCCCCAACTTGGCGTATGGGTCGTCCTTGACCAACTTCCACACCTCCTCCAGCGAACTTGACTTGATGACATGAATACTGCCAATGATCTTGGTCATCCCATCTTCGGGACTCGTGGGTTGTGCAGAAAGCATAGGACCTCCGAAAAGATTTTGGCGCTGTCCATCAGGGGTTGGTTGTGCTCGAGATGCTTGGGTCGGTTCTCAAGGCGAGTCTGAAGCATGTTTGGGTTGTCGGGAAGCTGGACAAACCAGTCATACAGAGGCTGAGACATTTTTGGTAGATTGATGGTGTTTGGTGAGCTTGCAGTACAGGACGCAGAGAGGTCGCTTAGTTGATGTGAAGATGATTGAAAATGAGCTGCTGAGAAACAATCTGATATATCATCAAAGCAATTACGACGCTGACACTATGATCTGTTCTCCTTGGGACAGCGGTCAGGCGCAGCATACTCGGAGTTCATGTAGTCCGAGATGGTCATCATGACTAACCACCGGATGGCTACGGACTTTCGGTCCTTGGGAAAATGTCAAACTCCGACTCGCTGCTGCTGTCCACTATCTCCACAAGCTGTGATGGGGCTTTCACTGCCTTGGTTCTGGGTGATCTGGCCATGCTACAGTTTATTGTACTGAAGCTTGTCGGTGGATCTGCCTTCTGTGTGTGTATGCTAAACCATGGAACGTCAAGATTTGAACATTAAGAGATCACAGCCAATACATTTATGGTCAAAGAAAGAAACATAGTTGTGATTGAATAATGGACTATGTATGACAGTGACTCCAGAGTAATCTATATACTCGTCACCTTGTTGCTTTGTACAGCATGGGCATGTTTGACATTGCCTCAAAGCTGAGCTGCGGCGATGATCTCGGGAAGCATGTTCTTCGTGTTGTTCCAAACTTGACTGGTCCCCACGACAAACAATGACCCAATGTACCATGTGTTCCTGTGACCCTGCAAACCATTCATCTTGCGGTAGAAGCCGTTGGCTATATCAGACTTCGAAGCCTCCAGATGGAAAGGGGAGAAGTCCTCGAAGTCAACAAACTCAGGCTCAACGGCAGAAGTGCCATTGATCTGGTTTTGGAGCCACTTGATGGTATCGCGCGTAGCACTCTCGACCTGAGATTTGGTCTGAGCCTGCAAAGTGTTGTACCAATAGAAGAAGTAGCCAGGAGCAGAAGACGGCGTGAACTGAACGACGCCAGGCAGACTTGCAACGTGGTAAGGAGTGTTTGCGCCAACATTGATGTAGCCGTTGCCATTCTCCAGACCGGTATTGTTGACAACGCCACCATAATAGTATTTGCCATTGATTTGAGCCAAAATTTTCTGTTCTTGGGCGTCCAAATCGAACTGCTTGGTGTTGTTCAGCAAAGGAGGCATGGCAAGAATGAGCTGTTTAGCGACGATGAGCTTGTTGCCTGTCGGTGTGTTCACGACGACTTTGACGCCAGATTTCGCATCTGTACCACGTTTAGTCGCAGTGACAGAAGACTTCAACAAGACGTTGTCTCGAATTTCAGCCAAGGCCTTGACATAGAGCTCAGAGTTGTCGTAGTTTGCATTCAAGATGGCTGCGCCTTGATCCTCCTGAAGCATGACATGATTCAAATCATTGAACATGTACAAAGCAAGATCTTGCAGCACGTCACCAGGGTTTGCGGGCGTTGCAAAGATTGATTCGGCAGAATCCCCCAGGTTGTACTTCTCAATGTACTCGGGCCACGTCAGCAGAAGATCTGCTGGCACAGGATTTGGCAGATCAATTCCGTTTTCCAGATAGGGGTAACGATCAAGCTGAGCAACATAGTCGGTGCCCAAAGTACCCTGACTATAGTTGTTGACGCGGATTTGCTTGGTAAAGTCGAAGTAGTTTGGGTTGCCGAAGTATGCTGGATTGAAGTTTGCAAGTGGTGTATCGAGGCGATTGAAGAAATCGCGAACAACAGGAGTATCAAGATATAGCTGCACTCCAAAGTCGACATTGACACCTCTAGCAGGGTCGGTGAAGGTTCGTGCGTGACCGCCAAGTCTGTTCGTGATTTCGACAAGCGTGAAAGTCTTGTTCTTGTCAGCGAGGCTGATGGCTGCATAGGTGCCTGCAGCTCCGCCTCCAATGATTGCGAAGTCACGCTTGATGACATCTTCAGCAGAATACGAAGATTCGCTGAATTGATTGCGACCGGTAGCTGGGCTGGCCAGGACAGAAGCCGCGCCGGCAGCAAGAGCTAACGTGATCTTCATTTTCTGTCGATGAATTGAAAACAATTGGTTGGTTAAGGATGGATGATCAAGAATCATGCAGAAACATGCAAAATCATGCAGCCTGACATGATATATATCCTGTATGCAGCTGAGTGCGTCAAATCATCCACCTCTTTGCTGTGCTAAAGTCCGCATTGCAGATGAGCGCGTCTGTGCATCGATATCAGAAACTCCGGATCGGACCATTGACCACCAGCAACCATCGCCTCGCTGGTTTTCCGGTGTTGACCAAGGAGGCTCCTGATTGCAGACGTCGGGTTCTCAAGCCATAGATGTTTCTCATGCTTGCTTCGGCCGATCCTGACGTGACGCGTGGCAACAATGACCGTAGTTGCGAGGACGCAGCTGTGCGTGCTTACAAACGCACGATGGTCAGAAATCTGAAGTATAGTGACGGTTTTGGTCAATGACAATTGCACGATACCTTGACGTGTTTGAGGTCGCGTAAGAGTCTCTGTTTTCACTAGTAAGGTAGCTGGGTAGTTAGCAAGAGGTTACTTAACAATTTTGCATGCGTGTGCAAGTGATTTTAATCACGTGAGTTTAGCTGATGGTAGCACCCTGCTCGTAGTTGTACGGCGACGGCGACAACCATATGACAGATGATGTTACCTAGTTGACATCTGAACGAAACAATTGTTTACCTTGCATGCCAGTTGATCAATCACTTCGCATGAATCTGATATAATGAAGAAAACATCTTAGAAATTGGTTCGATCGCAGTTTTCTAGGGCTTCAAACACCAAAGTATTGTCGCGGCTGGTTGTCAATCAAAGATTCTGATCTTGGGATTTGAGACAGTAGTCTCATGCCGCTTTGTGACATCGATGTCAGTAAGTAAGAGTTAAAGGAATGTTTGTAGGGGCGCGGAAGTTGAATAGCAAAATTGATTTTAGGGCACGCGATATTGTATCTCAAACACGCAAACTACTCTGTCAACCAAGTTTCTTGCCATTCTCGCCCATCGTCTGCATTAGTCGGGTCCTGATGTGTTCACCGACTGTGGTCTCCATCCCAGATCCATCCAAAGCTTTGCAGTTCAACTTGAGATCACCGTTGAGAAAGAAAGGGACACTGTATCTATGCTTCGTGCCTGAAGTGAGAACTCGATGTCTTGCACTACGATAGTAACCTCCTGTCCACTTTTGCATCATGTCTCCCATGTTGATGACATACGAATATGGCTTGACGGGGACAGGGATCCAAGTCTGAGATGGAGGATACCAGACTTCTAGACCTTCGGTTCCCTCTTCTTGAAGCAAAATAGCGATGCCCCCGAAATCTGTGTGGTCACCAACNNTATGTTTGTTAGCGACACTCCAGGAATTGCAGTTCAGATCGGCTCAGGACTCACCTCCAAATTGTCGCTGATCAAGCACTTCCTGAGGTGCGTAGTGGATCAGTCTCATGGGGATTGAAGGTCTCCCATAAGCAAGTGAACACAGGGCATCCGGCGAGCAGTTCCACTCTTTTGGAAGACCAAGTGACAGAATCTGCAACAAGACTTTGACAAGCTCAATCATCTTACTTTGGTAGTCCATAATTGGTTCGCGGAATTTATCGTCAGGCAGAGATTTTGGCCACAAGTTGGGGCCTGTTGAGAATGTACCAGCTTCTGGATCGTCTGCTGGTATTTCTGCACCAATTATGAAAGCCTCCAGAAAGTGAGTATAAACAAGAGCCGTGGAATAGACCGATTCATGAACGTACCTCTTTGANNTATCTGGGAGGAGACCTTCCTGATGGACTTGAATCCCGGGTGGCTCGTACCCGCGGAGGGATCGTCCCATGCATTCGCTGATCGCGACGTGCATCTTTTCTTCGTGACTCAGGGCAAAAAACAACTTGGCACAGGCCAAAGCACTGTCACGGTCTTGCTCAGAGACGCCGTGACCGGTCAGATAGAAAAAGCCGAAGGTTGAGCATGCATGGCGCATAGCTTCGACGACATCTGCCACAGCCTGGGCTGAGGCATTGGCCAAAAATGGACCGATGTCAACGGTGGGGATGGAAGGAGTAGGGTCTTCGGTGTGAGCCATGTCAGGAGAGAGATCGCGAGAGGTCAAGATGTTGAAAATGAGATAGAAACAGGACAGTCCTTGCTGGGTCATATGTGACTTGCGCAGGTCACCAGTAGCCGATAGTAGGAACAGCCAAGCCGATGGCAGGTGACCTAATTTTGGTCAAGAGTCAAGATATGAAAAGCATAAGTCCGAGGCTGCCGCTTCCGAATGCCTCGAGCCTAGATGGACTGTGATCACTCGAGGAAACTCCGAGTCCGGCGCTTGCAGTTGAGAGGTTAAGTATGACTCTGAACCGACTGATTTTGTATCGCACTTGTCTACCAATCCAATCTCCAAGCTCTTTTCAGATTTTCGTATCTCCCTCTCTTGAACCCACTTTACCATAACAACCATGTCTCAAGAGTACGACTGGCTGGTCCAGACCCCTGCCAATGCCGCCGACCGCGAAACCCGCATCAACGTCAGACCTATTCATCTTGTTCACAACAAGCCTCTGATCGAAGGCCGTAAATTATTGTTCGGTGGTCCGAGCCTTGCGCACCAACCCGAGGGCCCTGATGCCGACCTTCCAGTCAATGGTAGCATCATGCTCGTCAGAGCCGCCAGCGCTGAAGAAGTGCGAGATATGGTTCGACAGGATCCATACGCGCAGGCAGGATTCTGGGACGCCGAAAAGGCCATCATCACCCCGTTCAGATGCGTGGTTCGAAAGCAAGGCTGATGGAGCCTTTTGACCGAGGAAGGGGAGTCAGGAAGCATTCGATTAAGTGTAGTGAGGTCTGTGGGTGCTGGTCGATGAAGAGAGGGTGGTGGGCTTGGATGGGTGTCGGAACGATCACTGCACGCTTCTTGTCAATGTTCTCAAGGCTACCTACTCGAATTATACTGTTTGTCTATTCAGTGTCTCACTCTTATGTCTGTATGTGCGTACGAGCAGTCTAAGCAGCTGAAGCTGACGCGACCGAAGCCAAACAGAAAGTCTTGCTACCACAACCGCGACCACCGCAGATGATCTGCATACATCTTGTCATTGCGGCACGACTGCAACGAGCGTATACAGTGATTGGTGTGTAGGCAACAAAGACTTGAACATGGCGATACAGCGACTACTCCGCGACTCCGAAGGAAGAGTGGCCCCCTTTGGACGGCACCACAGGAACAACCTCGGGAACTTGTCTTGGCAGGCCAAGCTGCAGCCTGCAGGGACGAATTTCCATCACACTTTGTTCGGGCTTTCATCAAACTCCGGCATGCTGTCTTGGAAGGCACCGAAGGACCTTCAATCCTGTTGCCAGCGGGACCGTCGGATTCGATTCATCTCATCAGATACTGATCCTGGCCTGCACCGAGGGGATGTATTGCAGTACGTCTATTTTGAGCCGGTGTTTCTGTTCACGGCGTGCACAATGTTCGGGCGCCAGAAAATCTCCCCTTCGAAACACCGTCCGAGGTTATTGATCTATAGTCAAAAACACTGGTAGGTGAACCAGGTAGTATAACACTGCCCGTTCAATTTCTCTCAGCACATTCTCTCCTCCTGATCAATCCGTCATCAACGCCTGGGCTCAACCCTCACTCAGACAAAGCCTCCTCAAGTGCATTTAACCGCACTACCGTCAGAGCAGAAATGTCTGATCCGACACAGCTTCTGCGTCAGTCAAAGCAGACTGTTCTTGTCTTCGGTCCCCAATCGCTGTCGTTCGACCTGTCAACTTTGAAGCGACTGAAGGCAAAGCTTCACACCTCAGATTCCTACAGATGGATCTTGGACGCTCTCATCCAATCTCTGGGTCGATGGCTTCCCCTCACGAACGAGCTACCACAGCTCAAAAAGCTTGACATGGGAAGATGCATTGATGAGATAATCAGTTATCTCATGAACGAATCATCCAAAGAGATTAACTTTGTCTCCAAGAACGCTGTTCTGACCCCTCTGGTCGTTGCTGGGCACTTGGTTCAATACCAAGACTATCAGGATCTCNNGTCAATGTCCCAAAACTCAGCCATGTCTCCCCCCGCCATAGGCTTCTGCATCGGTCTTCTTACTGCCTCAGCTGTCACTGCCAGTCAGAATCGCGAAAGTCTGCATGACAACGCCCGCAACGCAATGACTCTTGCTATGCTAGTAGGAGGCATTGTCGATTCGAATGATGAGAGTCAGCCAGACGGGCCTTGGCAGTCGCTCGCCGTAGCTTGGGCCAAGAGTGGCGAAGAAAAACTGGTCGAACAAGTCCTGAGCTCTATTCCTGGAGTTAGTTTGCTTCATCCTATCTTTGTGGACTCCCGATACTGACCGCGAATACAANNGGCATACATATCTGTGCACTACGACTGGAACCGAGCAACTATCACGCTCCCGAAGACTCATGTAGCAAAGGCTCAAAGTCAATTTACCGCTCAAGGTTTTACGACTAATGTGGTTGCACTACATGGTTGTTTCCATCTGCTTGATCACCAGAGAGACTACGAAGCGCTTGTACAGCTTGCTTGCCATGATCAGTTCTTGCAATCGACACATGCTATGTTTGACCCTGCGATCAGAGATATCCTTGTCAATACATCCAGGTGGTACGACACGGTCAGACAGTCGCTGAGCGCTTCTCTATCCGCGACTTTCCTGACTTTTGGCCTCGAGAAATGTATACCGCCATCGCTCATTCGCGAAATCGGTCCGCAGAATATCATTATGATGAATGATGCGGACGTACTCTCTCCTCAAGAGGGTAGACCCACCTGTCCCGAACTTCGTCCAGGCTCGTCTGTTGACGACATAGCCGTCATCAGTATGTCGTGCAAGTTCGCTGGCTCTGACGATGTCAACGAATTCTGGAACACGCTCATGACTGGAGTGTCTCAACACCAACAAGTGCCCGAGGATAGATTTTCGATGAACACAACTTTCAGACCAGACTCCAAAGACAAGCGAACCTGGTACGGTAACTTCCTGCGCGATCATAAGGCATTCGACCACAAGTTCTTTAAGAAATCACCAAGAGAGGCCGCTTCAATGGATCCACAGCAGCGTATCATGCTGCAGGTCGTATATCAAGCTCTAGAGCAGGCGGGATACTTCGTCACTTCTACACCCGCTACCGACGTTGGCTGTTATGTAGGATTCGTTGCAAACGACTATCAGAACAATGTTGCTTGTCATGAGCCAAATGCGTATACTGCAACTGGTAATCTGTCAAGTTTCATTGCTGGCAAGATTAGCCATTACTTCGGATGGACTGGTCCAGCATTGGTGATTGACACTGCCTGCTCGTCATCTGCAGTCGCAATTCATCAAGCTTGTCGTGCAATTCTTTCAGGAGAATGCAGCCAAGCGATCGCGGGCGGAGCTTTGGTGATCACTAGCCCTCTTTGGTTCCAGAACCTCGCTGGCGCTTCATTCCTTAGTCCAACAGGACCTTGCAAACCTTTCGACGCCAACGCTGACGGATACTGTCGTGGAGAAGGTGTCGCAGCAGTAATGCTCAAGCGAATGTCTGCTGCAGTCGCTGATGGAGATCAGATCCTTGGTGCNATTGCGGCGACTGAAGTCCGCCAGAACATGAATTGTACGCCGATCGTCGTGCCCAATGCACCTTCACTATCTTCGCTGTTTGAGAGTGTTCTTCACAAGGCCGGTCTGCAACCTGAAGATATCTCAGTCGTCGAAGCACACGGTACCGGGACGCCAGTCGGTGATCCGGCCGAGTGGGACAGCATTCGGACAATCATGGGAGGAGCTCGTTCTCGACACAGAAACCAAAATCTCGTTGTCGGCTCCGTAAAAGGTCACATTGGACATACGGAGTGCACCTCAGGTGTGGCGGCCCTGATCAAGATCCTTGCTATGATGCATGCTGGCAAGATTCCCCCGCAAGCGAGTTTTAGCCAACTCAACCCCGCGCTGCAGAACAAAGATCAGGATCGGATGGAGGTTGCCACGACCTTGAGAGATTGGAATTATGATTTCCGGGCGGCATTGATCAACAACGTGGGTGCCTGAACATTCTTCTAAATCACTCTGACTAACATTTCTTGCAGNTATGGCGCTTCTGGCTCCAATGCTTCCATGGTCATCACACAACCTTTCAAGCACAACAAACCCATATCGAGAGAGCAGATGAAACCAGACATGATGACTTCCCAGCATCCGTTTATGCTGTCCGGAAACGATATGGAAAGCATCCGTCGCAACGCCTCACGACTGCTGGACTGGATGATGATGTACCCGCAACACTCTTTGGCCGACATTGCATTCAACAACAACCGGAAGAACAGCCCGACTCTCGATCACGCAGCCATCTTCCAGGCGAATACTCTGACCAAGCTTCAAGACCATCTGCGAAACATTGCTCTTGACAACGCAGAGCTGGCTTCAACTCGCTTGGACCGGCCAGTGATACTATGCTTTGGCGGTCAAGTTTCGACGAGTGTGAGCATCAAACGTGCAGTTTACGACAACTTCTTCGTATATCGCAACAACCTTGATGCTTGTGATCGTGCCATCACTTCACTAGGACTACGCAGCATTTTTCCGTATGTCTTCGACAAGACTCAGGAAGAAGATCCTGTGAGCCTGCAAATGAAGCTGTTTGCGATTCAATATGCAAGCGCAAAATCTTGGATTGATTGCGGTCTGAATGTCGTGGCTGCTGTGGGCCATAGCTTTGGCGAGCTGACCGCTCTTTGTATCACAGGTGTACTCACGCTTGAGGATACCATCAAAGTCATCTCCAGACGTGCCAAACTTGTGAAAGAGCATTGGGGTGAGNNGGAGAAGGGAGCTATGCTGGCTATTGAAGCGTCTTTTGAAGAGGTACACTCTTTTCTGGAAAAAACAGCTACCCTCACAAGCGAGCAGAATATAACCGCCCCCACCATTGCATGCCATAACGGACCAACGTCTTTCACCATTGCAGGCTCAATCAAGGCTATAGACGCTGCAGAGAGTGCAGCAAGCAAGATGGTCCCCAAGCCACGCATCAAAAGGCTGAAAGTGACTAATGCTTTCCACTCAACACTCGTCGGCTCACTGACACCTGAGCTTCTGAAGCTAAGCAAAGACATCAAATTCAAGAAGGCACACATTCCGCTCATGCACTCCACTGAGGATCTTCTGGAACAACCCAATGGGGAGTTCGTTGCGAATCATTTGAGGAACCCAGTCTACTTCCACCATGCCCTGACGCGCCTTTCAAAAATGTACCCCTCCGCTGTGTATCTCGAGGCGGGTACAAACTCGACTGTGACAAACATGGCTAGTCGCGCGTTGGACGCGCCGTCGAATTGTCATTTCCAAGCAGTCAACCTAGCCGTGGATAACGCCGTGTCGAATGTTGTGGATGTAACGGTGGCTCTGTGGAGAGCTGGCCTTCGCTTCCAGTACTGGGCGCATCACCAATCGCAGACTCTGGAATACGCTATCTGCATGTTGCCATCAAGACAATTTGCCAAGTCGAGCCATTGGCTGGATCTCAAACAGCCGTCCCTGATGGCGCAGATTGAGTCAGACGCACCAGTGACTTCTGATTCAGCACCGATCACCGCTCTATGGTCTTTCCTAGGCTTTGATAAGTCGGTTAACTCCGTGGCAAAGTTCAAGATCAACACACACGTGCCTGACTATGAAAAATATCTTTCAGGGCATGTCATCGCCCAAGAAGCACCCATCTGTCCGGCCACTCTTCAGATCCACATTGTCGTTGACGCTGTGAAAAGTCTACGTCCCTCGTACGAGGTTCACACTCATCGCCCTGTTGTCAAGAGTGTCAGCAATCAAGCGCCCATCTGCAGAAATTCCTCTAGGTTTGTCTTTCTTGAGGCACAGCCCAACACACAGCAAGAAGGCGAGTGGAGCTGGAGGATTTTCAGCACAGAGGCACAAGGAAGTGCTGAGACAACGCATGTCAGTGGTCTGATATCTTTCAGACCAATCGATGACAGAGATTATGCTCTTGATTTTGCTAGATTCAATCGTCTAGTCAGTCACGACCGCTGCAAACAGCTTCTCCAGGATCCTACGCCAGACGACACCATCACAGGACGTAACATCTATCGTGCTTTCTCTGACGTCGTCGATTATGGTGACCTCTATAGNGTGCTTGAAAAGCTCGTTGGCAAAGGCACAGAGTCAGCTGGGCAGATCGTATTGCAGCAAGATCAAGACTCATGGTTCGATGCTATTGCTACAGACTGCTTCAGTCAGGTCGGCGGTATCTGGGTCAACTGCATGACTGATCGTGCCCAATCGACATTGTACATTGCCAACGGTATCGAGCAGTGGTTGCAATCACCAAGAGCTCGATCGCAGACCGATGGACCTCGCGTTTTCGATATTTTTGCTACCCATCACAAGGCGTCCAAATCAGCATACTGCACAGATGTGTTCGTGTTTGATTCGCAGACCGGAGAATTGTCAGAGGTAATCTTTGGAATCAGTTATGTCGAGGTTTCAAAGGTCAGTATGCAGAGGATGCTCTCCAGGTTAACTTCCGGTACCCAATCGCATCAACTATCTGGATCTGTGCCTGTGGGGATCGGGACATCCATGCAAATCTATCCATCGCCTGCTTCAACCAACAACGCATTACCAACGATGACATCCTTATCAGTCGCCCCAGTTCAACCGCTCTTTACAGGACCCCGCAACGACAAAGATCATGTGTCAGACAAGCTTAAAAACATCATTGGACACTTGTGTGGTCTTGAAAAGCATGAAATCAAAGATGACGCGCAACTCGCCGATCTTGGTGTTGATTCGCTCATGTCCATGGAGCTTCTGAAAGAGATCGAGACTGCCTTCAAGATCACGGTACCGGAAGAGGATCGCGTCGATGTAGTGGACCTAGCCAGTCTTGTCAAAGGCGTTTCTTCGTTGGTCAGTGGCAACACTCCAGATTCGTATCAGACTGAACCAGACTCCGAGGACGTCTCCGATGCCACTGACGCCACGTCAATCTCGTCAGCTGATGAGGTCAAAGAACTCCGGCTCGATGGTACAGAGTGGCTCACGTCATTCGAGGAGATGAACATGGATACTGACTCCTGCATCTCCGAGTACGGCTTTGCAGACTATCTGGTTGGCGTGGACATCAAGCAAACAGAGCTTTGCATTCTCATGATTCTCGAAGCGCTCGAGAAACTGGGCCGTGGCCTGACGGCTATCTCACCAGGCGCAGAAGTGGAACGCGTCCACCACATTGTTGAGCACAAACGACTTGTTGACTATTTGTATCATATCTTGAATACCAAGGCAGGCTTGATTGAGTCAAGAGAAGGTAAATGGGTTCGCACCAACACCCCGTTGCCTCATAAGACAAGCGAAGCGATTCTCCAGGAACTGCACCATTCTCACCCTAGCCATAGCGACGCATTCGAACTTGCATACCACTGTGGTACCCATCTGGCCGAGGTACTAAAGGGTACGGAGACTGGAGTCAAACTCATCTTTGGCAGCACCAAAGGTCGGGATCTGGTTTCGAAACTTTACGGCAATTGGCCTTTGAACGTTCTGTACTATAACAGAATGGCATCGCTGCTCGAGCAGATCGCTACGAAGCTCCCAAGAGGTCAAGGGCCGCTGAAGATCCTAGAGATGGGAGCCGGAACGGCAGGCACAACCAAAATCCTGCTTCCCCGACTTGCTAAGCTCGGCATACCTGTCGAGTACACTTTTACTGATCTGTCACCATCTTTTGTTGCTGCTGCTAGGAAGCAATTCAAGCAGTATGGATTCATGCGCTTCCGGGCTCATGACATAGAAAAGGCACCAGCGGACGATCTGGTCGGATCTCAGCATCTCGTCATAGCTAGCAACGCCGTACATGCAACCCATGATCTAGCTGTTTCTGCTACCAACATCAAGCAGGCGCTTCAGCCAGGAGGTGCCCTGCTCATGCTTGAGATGACCAAGCCGGTGGTGTTCATCGACATCATCTTCGGTCTGTTTGAGGGATGGTGGCTGTTCGATGATGGTCGCGATCACGCTATATCACATCAAGACCGCTGGGACCGCGTCCTTCGTTCAGTCGGATTCGACAAAGTCATCTGGACAGATGGCGAACGTCCCGAGAACGAGATTGAGCGACTCATGCTTGCAGTGAACCCCGACACAAGGTACGATAACCTCGAAGATCCCTTTCCAGTACCTATCGTCGATCTTCCGGCTGACCTTCAAACGCGGAAGACAGCCGTCGAAGCATATGTTAATAAGTTCTGTCAAGGATGGACAGGCCCTATATCCTTGATCAAAAACACTAGCGTCCAGTTCGCCAAGCGCGTCGTTATGATCACTGGCGCGACGGGAAGCTTGGGTACACATCTCGTTGCTCACGTCTCCCGTCTGCCCGATGTCTGGCGGGTCGTTTGTGTTAATCGCAAGTCTCGAGTTGATCCTATGACCCGACAACTGGATGCTCTACGAGACCGAAAAATCCACCTGGAGCCCTCTGTTTCGTCCAAGCTGATAGTANNTATGAGTGATACCAGCAAAGATTTGCTGGGCTTGGAGAAACGTCAGTACGAATGGCTGGCAAATCACGTCACGCATATCTGCCACAATGCCTGGCCAATGAGCGCGCAACGTCCCGTGCATGGCTTCGAAACACAGTTCCAAGTCATGCGGAATCTCATAGATCTGGCAACTGAGGCGGCTTCGAATCACGGATCAGTTGTCAGTTTCGAGCTTGTCTCTTCCATCGCCGTGGTTGGTCATTATCCTCTTTGGACAGGTCGTCGCATGGTGCCCGAGGAGCGCATGTGTATACGATCTGTTCTCCCCAACGGTTATGGTGATGCAAAGTACGTCTGTGAAACGATGCTTGATTCGACACTCCGTCGCCATCCCGACCACTTCAGGGCCTTCGTTACGCGTCCAGGTCAGATTGCTGGATCCAAATATAGTGGCGTCTGGAACACTACCGAGCACCTGAGTTTCCTGGTCAAGTCTTGCCAGACTCTCCGAGCCTTGCCTGCTTTCGAGGGCGAACTTTCTTGGACACCTGTAGAAGACGTCGCTGGCACGTGTGCTGATCTTCTGCTCACCGATAGCGCATCCCACTTTGTTTACCACATCGACAACCCGGTGCGACAGCCTTGGCCTCCCATGATCAAGCTGTGGGCCAACGTATTAAACATACCGCAATCGAATGTCATAGATTTTGACGAATGGATCGATCGTGTGCGCCAGTACACTGGGAAATCAAGTGAGAACCCCGCGAGCAAGCTGTTGGGATTCCTGGACAAGAACTTCATACGGATGTCCTGTGGCGGCTTGATCTTGGAGACCATAAACAGCGTCCATGATTCTCAGACTCTGGCTGCAGCTGGTGCTGTTAGCGACCGGATTGCTCGAAGATACCTGGAGGCATGGATGGATTGTGGATACTTGAAAAGATGACATGCAGCAATAATTCACGTGGTCTGTGTAGTCGGACGAGGTCGCATGTACATCAACGATGATGACTTAACATATTGCTAATCTCTCTTTGACCGAAGCTCCGAGCAATCAAACTCACCATAGATATTATAGAATTGGAATATTTTTCGATATGGGCTCCTACATGTTTGTACTCAACACATTGCAGCAAGATCCAAAGACAGATCTGAGGTCTTGTTGCATCTCCCACCTGTTGGCAAATGATGGCGCTTCGCGCCTGTATACATCAAAGTCTGTCACGAACCCTCGTTTAGAATCAAATCTTTGCCGATGACCAGCAGCTCAAGCCCTCCGGCAAGAACCTCTTGCCTCTATTGCCATATGGAGATTTTCTTTGATGGACCACGATGGCTTATTGACCGAATTTTATGGAAGCACTATCAGTTATGGCCATTCTTACCATTACTTTCAGAAGCTTTGTTCACAGATCAATCATCGCTACCAGAACATGGACGTACTGGAGATCGGTGCGGGCACCGAAGGCGCATCCAGATACTTCCTCAACTCTGAACAGGTATCCTTCAACACCTATACGTTCACGGACATCTCGAACGCCTTCTTCGAGCAAGCTGCAGAGGAGTTTGCCGAACATGCGGATAAGATGGAGTTCCGCCCACTTGACATTCGCCGGGATCCTGCAGAGCAAGAATTTAAGCCGCACTCCTACGACCTCATCATCGCCTCCAATGTGCTTCATGCCACGCCAAAGCTCGAGGAAACTCTTGCAAACGTCCGCAAGCTCCTCAAACCTGGCGGTCAGCTCGTCATCATTGAGGTGACGCATCGCGAACACGCACGTATCGGGTTCATCTTCGGTCTGTTCGCTGATTGGTGGGCTGGACATGATGACGGCCGCGTTCATGAGCCTTTCGTCACTTACGACCAGTGGGATACAATTCTCAAGAATACTGGCTTCTCTGGTATCGATAGCCGCACACTCGACCCCGACAGCACCATATTCCCCAACAGTGTGTTCAGCACTCACGCCGTCAATGATCTTGTCAAGCGACTTGATGCACCTCGGGAGTCGCCAGTCAAGGACAGCTATCCTCGAGTTGTTGTTATCGGAGGCAAGACATCGAAAACGTCCTCGTTGCTGGAACAATTACCTTCTGCTATGCCTCATCGCGAGGTACAGGCCGTCGACAGCATCAAGGCTGTGGTTGACGCTGATATCGATCCTACGTCAACCTTCATCATTCTCTCAGAGCTCGACGAAGAGACCTTCGCAGGGCTTGATGACGACAGATTTGACGCTCTCCAGTCGATATTCAATAATGCAAGCTATGTGCTGTGGGTGACAGAGAGCGCTTGGACCGACCATCCCAATCAGGGCACAACTATCGGTCTCCTTCGGACTCTGCGCCTGGAGTATGTCAATATCCAGATCCAGGTTCTTGACGTTGACAACGCAAACAATCTCACCCCAGAGATTCTATCCGAGACTGTCCATCGCCTTGAGGACGGCGCAAACCACCAGGAGAGCGGTATTCTGTGGACACAAGAACCAGAGCTCTATCTACGTGATGGTCGGATCGTTGTCGCACGTCTCAAGTCGGACGTGATGAAGAACAACAGATTGAACAGCAACCGCCGACCCATCAGCGCTGAGGTGGATCCTACCCAGGAAACTTTGGAGCTGACCGAAGACGATGGCACGATTTTCTTTAGACATCTCGAAGATCGTCGCGTTCCNAGCGTAAATGATGCAGGCAAGACGAAGGTTGAAGTGACATACTCGCTGGCTAAGGCTGTACGCGTTGGTAGATTGGGCTTCTACAATATGATCCAAGGTCGCATCTCAAAATCTGGTGAAGCTGTTGTCGCTCTGATAGCCGAGAACACATCCACTGCTCTGGTCGTCAGCGATCAACTGGTCCGACTCAGTCCCGGAACTCTCGCCGAATGTGTGCTACCTTTATTACTTGCCGATCTGATGGCTCAAAATCTGCTGCTGGATGCCACAACTGGTACCACAATTCTGGTGCTTGAGCCTCCTACATGGCTCGTTGATCCACTGGTACAGCAAAGTACTGCTGCACACATCAGAGTCGTCTTCGTGACCATCAATAGCCAAACTGTCGGCGATAACGGTGAATGGATCCAGTTGCATAAGCGCGAAACACAAAGCGAGCTTTCGAAGAGGTTACCGCGGCAAGTCTCCTCACTATGGAAGATGAACAAGGCCGGAGAGGGCACTGACATTGCCCAACGACTCTCAGCCACGGTTCCACGCAGTTGTTCTGTCTTCAACTTGGATCATCTCTTCCAGCATTCTGCAGCAGTACTATCGCAGAGTTGCAGTCGTATCGCATCTGTGCGACTCCAGGATGCTGTGTCTAGACTCGACGTCCTCCCAGCTTGCGACCCACAGTCCATCTTCACACCGAGCCACTTAGTGTCCGCTAATAATGCTCTTCCCGTCGATGCGGTCGTCTCGTGGCAAGCTGAAGCGAAGATTAACGCTCGCTCCCGCTCTATCGAGACCGGCCAGCTTTTCGTGTCAGACAAGACTTACCTCCTGGTCGGCTTGTCAGGCGACCTTGGACGGTCGATCGCTAGATACATGATTGAGGGTGGCGCTCGTCATGTTGTGCTTTTCAGTCGGTCTCCCAAAATTGAACAGGAGTGGATCGAGGATATCGCGGCGATTGGTGGTAACGTTATGGTTCTGCCTATGTGAGTCTTCTAGGATATGCAAAATGACCAATGCTAATCACGATTAGGNGATGTATCCAATGTCGCTTCGCTCGACGCTGGCCTGGCCAGTATCCGTACGACGATGCCTCCAATCGCTGGCGTGGCCTTTGGGCCACTCGTGCTGCAGGACGTCATGTTCAAGAACATGGATCTTTCAATGATGGAAATGGTGCTTGCGCCCAAGGTCAATGGAGCCCGCTTACTCAACGAGCGCTTGTCAGATCCGCAGAACCCTCTCGACTTCTTTGTCATGTTCTCGTCTTTTGTCATGGTGTCTGGCAATCCTGGACAGGCAGCCTACAGCGCCGCCAATGCTTACACACATGCTCTCGCTCAGTACCGACGCACACGTGGTATGGCTGGGTCCACAATCGATATCGGTGCAGTCTATGGCATCGGGTTCATCGCTAGAGCTGGACGAGAAGAAGAGTATGACGTCGTAAGTTTCATGTTCGACGAGGTCAATGAATGGGAACTTCATGCGCTTTTGCCGAGGCCGTGGTCGCTGGTCGTGCTCCTGGCACAGAGCCAGTAGAGCTGGTAACCGGAATGCCGTTCATTGATCCAGCTGATCGCGATCAGATTCCTTACTTTGATGACCCACGTCTCGCATACTACAAANCTCGCCACGCGTCGTGGTAAGGGCTTTGAGGCTGCCGGTACTGCTGGTTCTACTCAAGAGCGTCTACTCAACGCAGAAACTATGGACGACGTTCGTGTGATCATCTTGGAAGGTCTGTCTGTCAAGATTCGCGGAGCGCTACAGATCGTAGCATCTGATGAGCTAGACTTGGCATCTCCCCTGATCGATCAAGGCGTTGATTCTTTGAGTGCCGTCATCATTGGCACATGGTTCTCCAAGAACTTGAGCATTGATATCCCTCTTCTCAAAATTCTTGGTGGTGCTTCGATCTCCGATCTCGTGGGCGAGGCCATGATCCGCCTCTCAGCTCAAGTGATACCATTAGCGTACAGCGAATGTCAGGAGACTGCTGAAGCCGTCGTCTCGATAGCAAATCAGCAAGTCAAGCAATCGGAATCTGAATCTTCTGCCGAGTCCAGCAGTCTCGACGAGTACACCGAGACATCAACTCCGACAACGCTCTCTTCTTCGCCACCACCTTCCGACAGAAAGATCGAGAGTGTGGCGAGGACCGCACCGCTTTCTTTGACGCAAGAATATGCCTGGAAGCAACAACAGCTTGGGCTCGACTCTTCCGTTTTCAACAGCACAATTTGCATGCACATGCAAGGTGAGCTCGACCTCGATAGATTGGGCCGGGCTTTCAATCAGGCTCTACAGCGCCATGATGCGTTCCGCACATGCTTTGTTCCCGATCCAAGTGATTCGTCTAGGACCTTACAATCGGTGATGAGGTCACCAAGGGTTGCCTTCGAGACTGTGAAAGTCGTCGACCAGGCAGCTGCCGAGAAAGGAGCTGCAGACATCGAGGCCTATCAGTATGATGTAACGGTGGGAGATACTCTGAAGGTGGTCAACTTCCATTGGTCGTCCACTGACCATCTTCTCGTCTTTGCCTATCACCGTCTTGTCGGTGATGGTTGGACAACCGAACACGTATTCGTCGAAGTTGGTCAGCTGTATCATGGTAAGCAGCTTGAAATGCCGCCAAGCTACGTTGACTTCGCACTCCGTCAGAGAAAGCAGATCGAGTTTGGAGAGATGAGCAACGATCTCTCTTACTGGTCAACACTGTTCGAAACGCTGCCTACCCAGCAGCCTTCTCTCAACGTCCCGGGCAAGCAGCTCACAACCTCGCTCTCCTGGAACGAGCACGAGGTATCAGCACGTCTCAACCCAATGGTAGCTGTACGTATCAAGGATCGCAGTCGCAAGCACAAGACGACCCCGATGCAGTTCTATCTTGCTGCATACTACGTTCTCCTGGCTCGCATGACCGGCACATCGGACGTCTGCATCGGTGTCGCCGACACTCATCGCTCTACACTTTCCGACCAAGCCACTATGGGCTACTTCGCCACTCTTCTCCCCTCTGCGTCTGGGCTACACTTCTGACAAGATATTCAGNNCGAAGCTCTTGTCGCTGTCAAAGAGCAGATGCGCACAGCTCTTCTGCATAGCGCTACACCTTACGCTGCCATTCTGAAGCACCTTGGATTATCACAGCCATCTGCCTCCGAGCCAGCATCACAAGCACCTCTGTTCCAGGCAGTCTTTGACTACAAACAAGGTCAAGCAGAGAGTGGAACCATCGGCAGTGCAAAGATTGTGGACTCGAGAACTCCCAGAGCCAAGTCACCATTCGATGTCGTGCTGGAGATGAGCGATGACCCTAACAAGGATCCTCTGATCACTATCAAGCTGCAGAGTGACAGGTACTCGACTACGGATCCTGAGGTGGTGATGGACGCGTACCTGTCGATATTGAGTATCTTTTCGAGGAATCCTGCGTTGAGGGTTGAGGACGGTCGCTTGGCACAAGGAGTCAAGGCCAGGGCGTGAAGCGTGTCATAAACAGATCATTCGTTCTTTCCGTATAATTTTTACTAGATTCTCTTGTCCGCAAATCGCTCGAAGCTTCTCTGCCAAGCACAAGACTCATCATAACGTTGTTCCCACAGTCATGGCATCATTCCGTTTTGGTAGACGCACGATCTGTTGATCGCAGGTAAAGCTATGATATATAACCTGTCACGTTCACTCCGACGTTCAATCCGAATCCGTTCATCATATTTAACATGCTTGCTAGATATCCTTTCGTCGCCCTCGCTCTTGCCCTTTCGCAGTCTTACCCGGCCTCGCCAGTTGCGAAGGACAGCCTTGTCAAGAGAGACAACACTTTCTATACCGAAGTTGGCGAGTGCCACGGTTTTGTTAACCTACTTCGATGAAAAGACCTTCTATTCTGACTGCGACTTTGTTTTTGCAGGCATGCCTAGAAATTGTACAAATAGGAAAATGATTAGACTAGGTTATACTTAACTAGTACAAGTGCTAGTAATAGTATATATAATACCTTTATTTTAGCTATAAGAATAAGCCCTATAATACTACTAATGATGCTTTTCTATAATCATTAAAAGGCATAGGCTACTAGTCTTATTCTACTTAAAGTACTATAATTATTAGGACATTATGTTATAGATAAGAAGCCTATGCCTAGTGGTAGTTAACTAATAACACTAAGAGTAATTGTCATATAGTATATAATAATATACTAGGACAGCTATCTTAAAGGTAGACACTGTAAAAAGTAAATAGCAAAGCGAGATATCTCTCGGCTGCGATCGGCATTCTGAAACAAACCGAGAAACCCTCGCTTGCCTCGGTGCCCTGAAGCTAATCACCGAGCACGTGCACACTTAGGTCGCCGAACACTTTCCCCTACCAGGAAAGCAGCGCGCCCCAGTAAATTCTGACCGTCGAATCCCTCGAATCCTTCGAATCCTTCGAAATGTCGTTGCGGAACGAAGGCTAATCGATAATGTAAAGTAGAAAGTACAAGTACGATCAATTCTCCGAACATCTCAAGCTCTATATTATTCAGTCTTCTATATCGCTTGCCAGTGCTCACCACACCAACCAAGATGCCTCTGAACATAGCCATTGTCGGCGCTGGCCCGATAGGATGCACTCTTGCTCATCTCACTCTCAAATCTCCTCAACCCATCTCCGTCACCATATTCGAAGGTGAAGCCAACTCTGACGCTCGCAGTCAGGGTGGCAGTCTGGATCTACACGACGAGAGTGGCTTGCTTGCGATCAAGAAAGCCGGACTTTATGAGAAGTTTCTAGAGCATGCCCGATTTGACGGAGAAGCCATTATTGTTTCCGACAAGCGAATGAAAAGATACATCAACATGGGCGGAGGTACCAAGGAAAGTAATCGTGGTCGTCCAGAGATCGACAGGCCCCAATTGCGTAAGCTGCTCATTGACACATTGCCTGAGACTGTGGTGAAATGGGGTCATCGTTTGCAGTCAGTCACGACGCCCTCTGGATCGTCTCAACCTAAGGATATTACTCTCAACTTTGAGCATACATCTGTCAGTGGTTTTGATTTGATAGTAGGTGCCGACGGCGCCAACTCGAGAATACGCCTTCTAGTCACAGATGTTCAGCCTCACTTCTCCGGTGTGACGGCTGTCAGGTTCGGTGTCAGCGACGTCGCCACGAGGGCACCGGAACTGTACTCACTGGTCAACAAAGGCAGTTTGTTCGCAATCAGTGACCACAAAGCCTTGATGGCCCAGCAGCTTGGAGATGGTAGTCTTTCTGTCTATGCAATGTTAGTTCCACCATCTGCCGACTGGCTCAGAACCTCCCCATACCACACCAATGACATGAAGATGGCCAAACCTGCTCTGCTGGAAGAATTCAAAGATTGGGCTCCCGATCTCAAGGCTATCATCGAGAACGCTGATCATGGCCTCTGGGCATCGAACCTGGATATGCTGCCTGTCGGTACTGCCTGGGAACATCGCCCCGGCGTGACCTTGATTGGTGATGCAGCTCATCTCATGACNCCCCTTGCCGGAGAGGGCGTGAACCTAGGCCTTGCAGACACACTCTCTCTCGCGTCCGCCATCGAAGCCGCCAACACCTCCTCCACACCCTCAGCCGCACTGCCATCTGCCGTCAAAAACTACGAACTTGAAATGTTCGTTCGCGCAAAAAAGTGCCAGGATCTGAGTTATAGAATGATGAAGTGCATTCTGATCAAGCCAAACGCCCCAGAAGCGACAATTGAGGAATTCGCCGCTGGCGCTCTCGAAGTCGGATGTCCCAGCTTCTTGTACCCGATCGCTAAACTGGCTATCAACGCTTACTTCTTCTACTTCNNCAGAGCCTGGCATTGGTTCTGGAATACGGAGCAGACATACAACGCTGGCATGAAGACTTCTTTTAAACATTGAGATTGCACATGGGATTAAGGACAAGCGAGGGTGTTTAACATTGCAGCTTAGAGCTCACCACTTGTGGATCTGTGACTGTCCTCTGATCCGTATATGGGGACATTACCACAACCTATAATGTTAATTGTATGCATACATTGAGATAACAACACTAGATCTTCCACAATGGCCGCTATCCTCGTTCCATCAGTGACAAAGTTCTGAGCAGTATCTCGTATTCAGCTGGCCCCAAGGAAAGCTGTTGTCCCTGCGATGTCGCGTCAAAGCGACAAGGAGTCAAGTACAAACAGGACGGTGGCTTCCCGGTCACGGCGGAAGAAAGTCGCTTATGTAGGTGGAGTCGTGGAAGTTCTCAGATGGAAATCGACATTCATGGTAAAGACGGTAACGCGGCAGAGACTTCGTACGCGTCAAGGCCACAGTCGCATCGCAGCTGTTGTATAGACTTCTCTGACCCCAAGCAATAATCCCGCTCTTCCATGTGGCATTACGATTGTTGGCGGTCTTCCAGAGTCTGAGGTACGCTAATCAAGCCATTTCCACCAGTCCACAAACTCTCTAGCCACGGCCTCGAGCGTTCGGGCTTCCAGGTAGCATATTATGGAGAATGCGAACTGACCAAGAACGAACTCCTCCGTATTGTGCTTACATGGCATAGACTTGTATTGTACCTGCCGTCTCTGATTTGTTCTTGCAGTCCTTTGTACAGAACATCCGCCATGTTTTTCCCTGTCCTGACTTGCTGATAACCGTTCTGTGTCAGGAATGAGTGTCTCAGCGAAGATCAGCGTCTTCTCGAGAGCTTCACTTGAGAAACATCCTGAGAAACAATCGTGAACGAGATCCGGTGACACTTGAAATGAAGGGCACATATCAACCATTGATTTCGGACACCAAGAAGCCCAGACAAACATTCATCTGCCAGAAACGACAATAGCAGTGTCAGTACCCGGAGAATCGGCCTGAGAGTCCGGATCTATAGACAAGAAAAACATGCAAGTGCCGGTATCGCTCTCGAAAGACACTTCAACGCAATTCGTACGGGCACTACAGATCGGGGTACAGTCGTTGATGCTCATGGCATTGGGTGAATCCTCGTATATCGCGACGGTTCCCTGGTAAGCAGTGTCAACCTGGATGTTGTATGTGATGGGCGCGGTGGATTCTGCTGGCGCTGGAGAAGTAGCAGATGCTGTGACAATGGTCGATGTTGCGAATGATGATGATGATGATGATGATGATGACGTTGTAGGAAGTATGCTTGTTGTCGATGCCATTGATGTCGTTGATGTCGTCGATGTTGTGCCGTTTTCTTTAGATGCTGATGTTGTGCTGATGGCAGACAAAGTGCCGCTGGCTGTTTTGGAGTCGATTGTTTCGAAACTTGTATTGGTGATGTTGAGAGACGCATTCGATGGTTTCGATTCTGAGACACTCATCGAACTTGATGTTGAGGTGACTTTCAGTCTCGACGAAGTCGAAGTTGTCAGTTTGGAAGGATCGGAGGATGACAGTCTGCTGCTGCTCAAGAGGGATGGCAGTGGAGTGCTTGCAGAAGTTGATGAACGGCTGCTCGAAGCTGAGACTCGTAGGCTTGACTTTTTCGAGGATTTGCTGTTGGTGGTGATTGTTGCTACTTTACGGCTTGATGACGTTTTGGTACTCGTCTTGAATGTGAGACTGGATTTGCTCGTGGTGGTTTTTGCCCAAGAGGAACTGTGGGTATGCTGTGTCGACGAAGATGTCTTCTCACTTGTTCTAGTGACAGATACGAAAGATCCGCTGCTGGACCGCGAAATTGCTTTACTGCTTGACTTCGTTGAGGATGACGAGAGTTTCTTGCTACTTGTCCTTGTTGGTGAGGGACCTTTAGTAGAGCTTTTTGAGGACGAGGAAGGCTTAGAAGATGACCTCTTCGAACTCGAAGATTTTGGGTTCAAGGTAGTGGAACCTTTCGAGGTGAAACTGGAAGTTGGTCTAGGATCTGCCAGAACACAATTACAAGCATGTCGCACAGAAGGATTGTTCTGATTCGGTATGGGAGAATCTGTTCTTGGTCTGGAGGGAGCTATTAGCCTGGAGTGATATTAAGTTAGAGAAGATTCGCCTTACATATATTGCCAGAAATGACAGAAGTCGACAGAATCCTTAAACTCATTCTTGATAAAGTTAGACGCTGAAGAAGGACATCCAGCAGGCACAAAACTTTGCATTCTCGCAGCGTCCTGGATCGCTTTCTTATCTCGGGACCAGGTTCCGGACTGGGCAGCATTGATGATGCATTTGCATGCTCCCAAAAGTGCATCTGGATCTATCTTCGGGAGCGGTGACCGGGTCCTTCCNNACTACGCAATGAGGTCAACATTTGGGTTTCCTACTGATGGGGTATCAAAGACTGGGTCATCAACTTACTCGCTCAGATACCAGGTGCAGAAGTAGTCAGGATGCTGGACTTGTTGTTTGACCAGACCAATGTCAGAAGGAACACATGCTCGCTGTTCCAAGACGAATGTATGTGCCGAGGGGAACAAAGAGAGCAACGGTAACAGTACGTGAAGAAACTGCATTCTTTCGGGTCGAGAGGAGTTGGAGTCAGGTCGAGGCGCATGCAAGAGAGTCGAGAAGACCACGGCGTGATTTATACGTAAGTCATCATCCCTGTAACTCGGATGAAGACAGCGCGACGCTGCGAGCAAATTTCAATATTGATCCTTCGCAAACGTTGTTCAGCTGGCCGATAACATGCTCATTCGTGGGCGTTCCAGAGCCATGACACCGTCAAAACTATATTGAAAGGACGCTTGAAGGAATTTCAAGAACCACATTTTAGACATAGACAGATCAGAGTGAGGATAACAATTGATCAAAGTTGGAATGTTTGTCGAAACTGATCGCTCGAACGACAAAGATAGGTTCCGAATATGACCCCACGAACAGAAACGTTGGCCGTTTCAACAGTCACTCAGCCGCAGAGGATCAAATCTAGAATCCTGTCTTCTAGGCCTGAGCCTGTGCGATGGTTCTAAAGTCGACCGCGAGCAAGATCATTCATATGCCATAAATTAGCACAATGTTTCTCACGTCACACAGTGCATGAGAAAGACCCGGACAAACCTCCATCTTCGTGGACATCACTTGTTGGTCGAAGCTAGTGTGCATTTCTACCGATCAACTTCGAAGTTCGAGAGGGCAAGTGAGCAAACATTCGAATGATCTAGTCTGCACCAGTGTTTCCACCATTTGGACCTATGTCAACAGATTCATTCCCGGCATCTTCTTTCTCAGCAAACGACCGCAGGACTAAGTAGTCGACTGAACAAGCTATTGTAATCCGTGCCTACGTCTTCCTCACCATGCTTCCAACTCGAAAAACTTGAGCTCTTCTGGTGCACTGACAAGTATGGTTTGCAGTTGGGTATGTGTGAACTGTCAACCGATGTATCTGTGCCTGCCAGCGTCAGAAGCCAGGTATAAAGATGCAGCGTCTAGAAAGAAGAGTAGATGATGTCTCGAAGAATATGGCCTGCAGCGGGACAATAAGAAAGGAAATACCAGGCTAAGCGCAAGAGTAGCAATGCTCTGTGATACAGAACAAAGGGAAGGAGACAGTAGTGTGATTCCTTAGGATTGAACGATGGGCCAATCTTTGGGCAAGCCAGGAGAGCAGTCAATTCCAGGTAAAGAATGTCATGTCTTGAGGCTCGAAAGGAATAATCGGTACCATTGGAGGCGCACCAGAGGCGAAGAATCAAAAATGTAAGGACGTCGTACGACGAGGACGGCAGCAGTCCCTCGGCGCCTGTGGTGCTGAAATAGTGTCTAAGCCTCACAAAGAATGTTCTGGATGAGTAACAGAATGCAGTGGTGATCCAACGAGTCACTCTCAACTCGGGAAAGGGTTGGGGGCAGGCACGCTGGTGAACCTCTGCATCAGGTCATTGTATGCTTGGCGCATATACTGAATCTCTGCTTCTTGTTGCTGTAGTCTCTGATGCAGAGCACTGTTCTCCTTCTCAAGCGACTCGAGTCTGAGGCTTGGGTGCAAAACTTGATGGACCGTTGAAGTAGGCACATCGCTAGGCACAGCCTGATGGGCCTGAACAGTGACTGGATAATCAGGAAATGTACCATCAGACTGGGGAGGTTGGTAACCACTCGTAGATGGGGATGAGTGTGTGTCGTCGAATGAAGCAGGAGAGTCTTGAGTATGGTCAGTGGGAGGATTGAGTTGTGCATCAGCGGCATCTCTGGCCAACTTTGCAGCCAGTCTCTTTCCAGTCAGCTTGTATATGCGACCTTGATGCAACGGATGGCCTTTGGGGTAGCGTCGTATTACTTGGGGGTTCATCTCGCGGGCAATGTTGTATACACGGTCTCTTCCGATAATGTGGAGGTCGGGATACTTGTCGCGAAGATACGTGTACAGCTCACCACGGTGCATCTTGAGTACCTCGTCGTTTTTGTACTCTTCTGTCAGCAAATCTTTGATGGTTTTTTGCAGGTCTTCTTCGTTGGTCTCTGGACGAATGCGCTTGTGAAGACCGAGTTNTTTCCTGGTGTCCATGACATAGCGACGGGTGACTCTATGGCCAGCCTGGTTCAAGATATCGCTGATTGCTTCATCAGAAAGTCGCGGGCCACGAAAGAGTCGTGTCAACTCTGCCTGCAGTGCATCCTTGTCGGGCTTGTCGCGTCTTGATATGCCCCATATCTTGAGATTGCGCTCGAGGGTGCGCTTTTTACAGATGACGTTGTGTTCAGTTGCTAGCTTTTCGATGGCTTGGAGGATAGTCAGACCATCTACCGAGATCCACTGCCTGAGATCTTCTTTGCGTTCCTTCAAGCCTTCGATAGGCTGCGTCATGTTGAAAGGAACCTGGCGGACGGGGTAGGCGGATGTCGGTAGTTCTGGCGAAGTGGGAGGGAGCAAGCGCCGCAACTTCTCAAAAGCAGATCTGAGTGCCAAGAATCAATGAGGCTCTGCGGGAAGGCCCTCGGCAGACCCGGACCGCGGCGAGCGACAAGAATGCGGGGAAAAGCGTGGTGGAAAAAATGTCAGCGGCAAGTGCGAGGGTCGCGACTTCCTGCACATCAACATTTCACACGATGAAGTTGTCAAATCCATCGGCGGTGCCCGTGTACACCATCTCTGGATCAGCGACAGCTCGCCCTCTACCAGAATGGCTCGCGCGACAGAGAAAGCGCAGTTTGAAGCAGGACCCGGAATGGGCAAACAGAGTCGAGCTGCTGCAGGACTTTGAGTTTGAAGAGGCCTCGCAGTGTGTGAGAGTCAGTGATGATGGAGAGTGGGTCATGAGCACAGGTATGGACATTCTCTTCAGATGCAGAAGAAGGAAGAAGCTCACACAAGGCNNAGGAACGTACAAGCCGCAACAACACGTGCACTACCTGCCGCATCTGTCGCTGTCGTATGCGCGCCACACCGACTCGCTCAACCAGACCTTCCTCCTCCTCTCGTCCGATTACAGCAAATCCCTGCATCTGCAGACCGACCGCACCCTCGAGTTTCACACGCCCGGAGGCATGCACTACCGCACCCGCATCCCTCGCTACGGCCGCGACCTCAAGTACAACAAGCGCGCAGCCGAAGCCCTGATCCCTGCCTCGGGTGTCAACCAGGATGGCATGGGCGAAGTCTACCGTCTTAACCTGGAGCTGGGACGTTACATGAAGGGCTACGAGGTCGATGTTGGTGGTGATGACTGGACCAGCTCGGGCGCCGGCGCCTTGCAGGGTGGAATCAACACGGGCTGCGTCAACACGGCCGCCATTGCCGAAGACTCGCACAACCTCCTCGCCTTTGGCACGAGCATCGGCACCGTCGAGTTCTGGGACTCGCGCTCTCGCAGCCGCGTCGGCATCCTTCAATCCNNCCCTTCGCAGTTGCAAGACGAACGTACACAAATCACCGCCCTCGAATTCCATCGCTCCGGTCTCAACCTGGCAACCGGAGACTCTGACGGTATCGTTCGCGTATATGATCTGCGTTCGCCCATGCCGCTCCTCACAAAAGACCAAGGCTACGGCTACGCCATCCAGACCCTCAAGTACATGTCACCCACTTCGACCCAAGTCCAGAGCGAAAAGCTCATGTCGGCCGACAAGCGCATCATCAAGATTTGGGAAGCCTCCAACGGTGATCCCTGGACAAGCGTCGAACCCGCCGTCGACCTCAACCACGTCGAGTGGTGCAAGGACAGTGGTATGCTCCTCACCGCCAACGAGGGCCGTCAACAACACTCCTTCTTTATCCCACAGCTGGGACCCGCTCCTAAGTGGTGTTCCTTCCTCGACAACCTCGTCGAAGAAATGGCCGAAGACGCCCAAGATCCATCTGCCTTCAATGCCGGTGCACAAGAGACTGGCGCTGTCTACGACAACTACAAGTTCTTGTCGACTCAACAACTCCGCGAACTCAACCTCGACCACCTTGTCGGCACCACCTCCCTCCTCCGCCCTTACATGCACGGTTACTTTGTCGCCCAGAAGCTGTACGAGCAAGCCCGCCTCATCAGCAACCCCGACATGTTCGAAGAACAACGCGCCAAATCCATTGCCGAAAAGATCAACAAGGAGCGCGAGTCTCGCATTCGTGGAAACAAGGCTGCAAAGGTCAAGGTCAACAGGAGACTGGCAGAAAAGATGGCTGCAAGAGAAGAAGCGAACGAACGTCGCAAGGCCAGACGTGTCTTGCGACAGGGAGGAGACGAGCCCCAACCACAGGCAGACGGAGAAGACGAGGAACAAGATGCAGACAAGCCAGCAAGAGGTGTGCTTGGAGACGATCGTTTCGCCTCGCTGTTCCAAGACGAAGACTTCGAGATCGACGAGCAGTCGCGCGAGTTCCAGCTTCACAACCCCTCGACCGTACCAGTCGCCAAAGACTCTCAACGCAAGCGTGGTCTCACGGCTGTCGAAGAAGAAGCCAACCAATCCATCCACGGCTCCTCAGACGACGAATCCGAAAGCGACCTCGACGACGCGGCAGCCGAAAGACAACAACGCGGTGTCCAACGTCGCAACGACCGTGGCGACGACAACACCGTCGACAAGAACCGCATCTCCTCGACCAACTACCGCAAATCTGGCCACAAGCCAAAGCAACCGCAAATGTCCGTCTCCTCCTCGCTACCCAAGAACAAGAATGCAAACGCCAACCGTCGGGATCGTTCCTTTGGCTCTCTTGCCCAGAATCTTAGGGATCAACCAAAGAGCAGCATCAGGCAAGGAGGTGTCGTTGGTGAGAAGGAAGTCACATTTGCACCACAAAAGGTCCAGAAGAGACCTCAAAGGCCGAGAGAAAGCTACGGTGGTGATGCCGATGATGGAACTGGCAGAAAAGTTCCCAGAGGCAAGGAAAGAAGAAGCGCTTCCGGAAATGTGTTTAGAGGCATGTGAGCTGTTTTTTCTGTATTTGCATCTGCATCTGCATCTGTTTAAATTTTTCTTCTTTCTTCGAATGTCAATATACCCTTTTTCGTTTTGCATCTACGGTTCATTCCTTTGTAATGTCCTTCAAAAGATCCGTCACGCGTCACATCAATGTCGAGAATCACACCAAGGTCTAAATTGCAGAGTTGAAACACGCATAAAAGGGAGCAAAACGAAACGAAACGTACAGCAGCAGGGATTCCCATCAAGGACGTAAAACCACAACGACTTTCGCAGCAGAGAACAACAGGAAAATAAAGTGTGACAGTGCAGTATGCCGAATCGCAAGCCGAGGGTTTTCTCAAGGTAGCATGTAGTAGAGTGCATGAGAGGAGGATTCGGGAAGTGATTGCTTCTCCAACCATGCCTGATATCATTACGAACCTGTCTCCTCCATCACCAAACCACTCTTTGTTATCAAAACCACGACCGAGATACATATCTGCCTTGGTGCGCGAACTTAGCTGAGATCTCCAACTTTTGCTCCGGATTACCGCACTTGTACTAGCATACGTGCGGCGATATGTCCAGCATTGGATGAACGAGAGCCATGCGTCAAACCGTGCTAAGATTGGACAATATTGGATATCCACTTAGTAAATGAAGAACAGCCGACATGTCAAGAGGGAGATATGGGCACACGATTCGCATGCTGTGTGACAAACGAGTTAGCCCAAGGTAACGAAATGGTGAAGAATGGAAGGTGCGACCTCTTGTTGTTGGCACGTCTGAATATGAGATTGGCCTTGGCGATCAGAGACATGAAAGAGGAACGACTATTTGGTATGGTACGTTAGCCATTCGAGTCTTGGCGTGTTGTTGGATTGAGCAATCACACCGTTCATCAGAGGCCTGGCCATGTCTAATGAGGCAACGGTTGAGAAGAGAAGTGGTGTCCATGCTTGAAGAGACAATACCGTAGGAGTGGAGAGAGAGAGAGCCAGATCCATGGTCGAAGAACCGATGGCGTAGTTCGTGGACGGGACAGAGGAGGAAAAGACACGGCCAGATCCAAGCTCGAAGAGACAATGCCGTAGCACGTAGAGGGCCAGTGTATCCAAGCTCGAAGAGACAATGCCGTAGCACGTAGAGGGCCAGCGTATCCAAGCTCGAAGAAACGATGCCGCAGCACGTAGAGGGCCAGTGTATCCAAGCTCGAAGAGACAACGCCGCAGCACGTGAAAGTTTAGATCCAGACTCGGGCGAGACTCATGCTTGGAGAAGGAACAGTCGACATCCGCGCCTGGAGAGAACAGCTGAAGGAAAGTCGCGACTTGAGATTCAGTTCATACTAAGGACATGCAAGGCCAGCGAAAGCAACGAACAAGAGGCGCACAGATCCATACTTCATGAATAAGAAGAAAGAACTTTCATGGCATTGTAGAGGAAGGTGAACGCCAACCAGGTGCAAGAAACATGAGCTTGGGGGATGAGTTGGTTGCGGTCGTGTCTAACTTGGTAGTATGTCGCGTCGCGTCGTCGCGTACGCGTCGAGTCGGCGTTCGGCGATAACGGAGTGACACCAACGCCAAGCCCGAATCTTGCTTTGGCGCATCACCAAGGGTTGGACGCAGAATACGTTGCTCGGGAGAAATAATGTCTACGGCAGCATACTAGGAGTTATGACTAGAAAATTGGATGCAAAAATTCATAGAGCTCGTTAGAGTAATTTCTATGCTTTTGCGATATTGTTCATGTATTGAAAGTGAATTTTCCGTGGCTGAAGATGATGGAATTCCGTGCTTCGTGAGGGAATTCTCCTGCTAAGATTTTGGCTGAGCAATGACTTCTTTCTCCAACCCTCGCACCTTTTCACCAAGTCTACACCCCGACAGCTCTTGGCCTGAAAAAAGCAGGTCCGATCATCATCTCCAGACTCGTGCCACCTCTGTGCTATGCACCGCTGTGTTTGCACAATTGGTGGAAACTCTCCACTGGAACGAACTTGACCATCACCACTGCATGGAAACTTCAGGCTTCTGCACTCTTCTCTTTGCCTTCTCATTCATCAGTCAGTCGGTCTAGCAAAGCTATCGAGTGTACCATGACAATGAGACCTATCATGACAATGGCGTTCAAGAAGAAAGAGGTCCAAACAAGACCGGCAGCAACCGATCCTACTTCTGTATCCCAGTCCTTGTCAATGCCATATTCAACGACAGAGGCACTTGCTGTAGCTGCAACATGTTGCCAAGTAGCAGCTGTTAGCGAGAACAAAGTCGACAAAATCATGCACACCGCACAGATCCCCGAGACCTTTCGAGAAGGAAATGGTTTGACGTCAACCAAACTATCTGTTCCTCGATCTCTCTCCTCGTACCAGCCGGGAAATGTCGCCAGACCGGCCATAGCTACACTTGTGAGTACAACACTTAAGANTCCTGTCCTCGTCAGCATTCAAACCAGTATCAATGCTACCCATTGAAGTATTACTCACAAAAGTCCCGGGAAAAGCACCCCACTCTGGAAGTGATGCAGCAGGCCAACAAGATTTGTCTCATTTGACGATTGAATGGATTGACGTCGAGCTTCATCGCCACAGACCCATTGCAGACCGTTGGATCTGCTGCACATACCAAAGTATCCCGCTCGCACTTCTATGCTTTGTTGAGTGTCTGGTCCCGAGGAGTTGATCGTAGTTCTACCGCCCATGACAAACACGGTCGGTAACCCGGAGGAGCATCCGGCAAGAACAACGCCTGTGTTTTGTGCGTGAGTGCTGTCTCTTGCTGATTATTGCCATGTNNGCCTACATGGTAAGACCACTGGACCAATCGATACCATCATCAGAATGTGATGATATCCGATGAAAGCTATCAGTCATGTAAGCAAAAGTTTGTAAAAGACTGGACGGGAGATGATACGTATGGCGCGTTGCAAAAACTCCATTTGGAAGGAATCTTTGTAGCAAGGCGTTTCTATAAGATCACTACGAGCACAGCGTTACAGGCGAACTAACAAAGGCAAAAGGAAAAACAAAAGGATAACGAAAGGGCAACACTACTACTGCTTATGTTATGCATGCAGCCCATTTTCTTTGCCAGCGCTTACAGGCGTCCCCTGATTGGCTATACCATTGAAGGATCAGCGTAACCTGATATGGTCACATTATCACCAGCCTGGGCCACATTCTCTTGAATTATTTGAGAAAGCTTCGCGCTGTTCTTTACTGATGGAAATGCGCCATACAATCCACCATGAGCAATGAACGTTTGTCGTTAGGGTCCAGCTTTGAGCTTGGGAGAACAATTTCCACTGGAAAACCTCGACTTGGATTTTCTGACCCAAGCTTGGACGATGGCCAAAAGGCGGGAAACAGGTGTGTTTTCGATTAAATGATGATATCTTTTCAATTTTGATAATGATTAACGACCTGCGAAAGTGCTTTGTCGGGCAAGGCCGATTTACAAGTGTTGCCGTCAAGTATCACAGGTCCTGTTTCCGGACATGGCTCGGGGACTCCCAGTAGCGATTCGATAGACCCAGCTACAATAGCTTTGCCTGCTAGCCCTAAGCCCGACACTGACCCAGCCTCAATTCCTTTACCCGACAGTCCACTCTCGCAGGCGGCTTCTGTGAGCCCTTCTCAAATTAGCAATGAATCTTTGCCGAAAAGGCCAACACGGAAGAACAAATACAGCCCGGATCAAACAAGTCGATATGATCGTCTCATACTTGGACTCGCAAAGTCAGCTCCTCATCTTAATCCACTTGGTCACTTGACAGATCATAAGCACCGTCTTGGATCACTGTCTGTGTTGAGGATCCCGATGAGCCGACAAGTTTCGACGAAACCCATCACCGAAGTTGTTGTGGATGATTTCAGGACAGATGAGATTGCCGATGTCGTGAGATCCCTTCTGGAGGGGATCAGCTCTACCTCGCATCAGCGTGTGATTTTGATCGAAGACATATCATATATTACACCTTCAATACTTCAACAGTGCTTCCAGGGATGTTTACCAAATCCTGGATTCCTCGCAGACCACTTGAGCGCATCACGAAATCAACCACATAACCCTATGAGCGTTCAAAAATGCGTGCTCTAGGGGGAAGGCATAGCTCAATCCATTGGTGGAGGCCATATTGGCGTGCGGTTTTCCCTCCACATCTCAATGAAAAACGTTGGCAGGTCTTGTTGGATTCCGGATCGTGCAAGTGGCTATCCAGACCACGAACTGGAGGACGGACCACATCGCATACCAACAACGTCATCGAGCATTCTTTCGATATCGAAACCAACATTAGGCGTGATGAATGGTATCCACTCGGATCTGGCAGTGAGCAGGCAGACCTCGCAGCGTGGGAAGAGAGGGCGACTATCTATGTTGTTGAGCCACCAGACGAGCCTAAGACTTGTATGTGATGTCCCTTCTTATACTTGAAATGAAACATGGCTTATTTGGAAACCAACTACAGATGTACTGATGATAGACCCATTACCAAGGGTAGACTATTTTGAAGATGCCGTTCTCATTAGAAGATGGAGTCCGTTTTATGACGCGGTCCCCCGAGGACAACCACCAAGCACCTTTGACAATGTCGACGCATCAAGAGACGGCGATTCGTTGATCTCTTATCTGGAATCTATCAAATCTACCCGCGAGGACCTTACTTCATGGTTAGAACACGATAAAGATTCGGAAGAGGAACCCATGGATATTTTGGAAGCGCTTCTGACAGTCGTTGGAACAGATACCGAGACCCTGCTTGACATAATCATGACCGAATTGGACAGCATCACAGGGAAGATTATGAATAAAGCACTGTTGCAAGAAAAACTAACTTCCTGGCGAACTTCGATGTCCCGATATACGCTGGAACTGGAAGGTATGCATAGGTCACTGGATGGCTTCCACGAGTTTCTGGTCGACTACGAAGCTTCCAACAAGGCAAAATCCAAGCTAAAGCATATCCGGTTGCGGGTCAAGAAGACGCTCGCACATGCAGTGAGCTCATACGCTACAATGAGGGCTGAGATGTCCATCCTTGACAGCAGGAGAAGTATCGCTGAAGCAGAAAGTGTTGGTAAACTCACAGAGTTGGCCTTTATCTTCATCCCCATCACCTTTGCGGCCAGCGTCTTTAGCATGCAAATCAAGGAACTTCAGAATGCTGTTCCGCTACGAAGTTTCATCATCGCTTGTATCATCACATTGGCTTGCTCGTATGGCCTCCGTCTTCTCGTCCGTAGTCGCTTGCTACGCCGGTCCATGCAGAGATTGATCGAAGACGTGCAAGTATACGCCGAAGTCCAGCCCAACAGACCAATACGTACTCGCAAGTTCATCTCTTTCATATTGGTCAAGCATGTCGTATCGGCGTCGGCTATCGTCGCTGTTCCAGTCATTGTGCCTCTGTGGACGAATACGAATCTGGACGCTGGATTCAAAACTGCAATCACGGTCGTGTTGCTTGTTTTTGTTCTTCTGGCCGCTTTATATGCGACGAGCGAAGAAGAAGGGTCGTTTGACCGGGCTTGGAAGCAGTGGGCCAGAAACACTTTTACGGCAAAGCGTGTCCGACGGACTACAGTGGCTGAGGTATAAAGTCTAGCATATACGTCGGTGTCAAGATTCATGAGCCTCCTTGCCATCCCTCGACAAGATAATGTCATAAGAGGCTCTCTATCCCTCTATCCCCTTCCTCTTCCCATCCATCCGACTCAAATCACATACGGAATGAACAACCAAGGAACCCTCTTCTCATACTCGACCCACGCATCCCCATACTTTTCTCTACACTTTTGGATATCTCTGATAGCGCGATGCACAATCATACAAGCGAAAAACAAAGGATAGAACCATGGGAACGGGGAGTCGAAACCGGTGATTGCGCCCCATGAAAGCGCAAAGAAGAGATCGCAAGTGTAGTGAATCTTGCGTGCTCTGGCGTCTATTTTTGTGAAGATCGTGTTAGTAGGGGGCTCAGAAGGAAGAAAAGACGATTTGAGGAAGAAGAAGGGAAGGAGAACGAGAAAGAGAAAGAAAATACTTACNNACCACCCATCACACAAAATCGAATCTCCAGTCTTAGTCTTGATGCTGACAGGATTTTTTACTGCTTTCCACGGCAATTGTGGGAATGTCTTCCGATCCAACTCCACACCGCGTTCCTGTGCTCTAAACATGTTTTTCTGACTGTTTGCTGTATCCCAGATCCAGTAGACGAACAGATAGGTAACGAACAGCAGAGTCAAGAGATAAGGGTTCCAGTGGTACTCCGAAGGGTCGTGGTTGGCGATGTACAAGGTGCAGTGGCAGTAGGATAGAGGTACACCCGCGAGGTTCCAGAAGATGAGCATGAAGCCCCATTNTTCAAAGTACATGTNCCCTGTTTGAGAGAAGAGTGTTAGTTAGCTTTCACGATCCTGTTCTCATCGCAGATGATACGATCTCTGTTTGGTGGAGGTAGGAAATACATACCAGCTTGTGATGATCAACTCTTCGCCCTTGGAGCAAGCATTCGCATACAAGAAATGTGCCATGAGCAGGAACCAAGCTTCCCCAGACACATATCCATAAGTTTCATACTGTCTCGCACAAGCGCCAGCAGTAGTTAAGAAGAGTATATACCATGGAATCCTGACTTCAAAGAACATCTTAAAGTCCAGCCAGGTAAACAATCTCGGGTTGAGTTCTGCCCCCATGAAAAAGTCATAGATGGGCGATCCAGTCATACGATGTTGAGCACCCCTAGCCAGTGCAGAAATGTACGCAATAATGGATACCAAGAAACCAGAAATGATGGCCACACTCATAATGGAACCAAACTCATCGATAATGGTGTACAAAGGGAAGACTCCAGAGACGTGAAGTAGAATGGCCAGAATGATGGTGGTATACCAACTCCACACTGCAGAGCAGTAATACTCCAATTGTTTGTTGTTTAGACTGGGTAGTCTCTTGCCTTTACCATAGACACCAGGCATGTAGAGATAACAGGCTCCCTCAAAGATTAGAAAAGTCCAGTAGATGGTCCAGGCTTTGAGGTGAGGGAAAGCATGTTCGTAGCACAGAGTCCAGAGGTGTGAGAAGAAGTCATTCCAGGATTGGCCAGGGGTGCGAGAGGGAAAGTGGCCGGAGTAGAAGGTGGCTCCGAGCCACATGTAATACATGAGAAGAGGAAAGCCAATCATCATGCAGCTTACTCCTACTGCACCGCCAAACTCGCGCTCGCCGCTGTTGTCAACGCGGTGATCTTCTGCTTGTTCTGAAGTCTCGGTCACGGAGACTAGTGGAGATCTCTCATCCTGCGCAGGTTTATTCGATCCATCTCGTGCAATGCTGATAGTTTGTCAGAAAATGCCAAAATCCCCCAAGCATGAGCAGTCGCTGAAACGGGAAAACATACCTGCGAGGAGATGTGACGGCCATGATGCAAACACAATATGGAAAGCACAACAACACCAGTAAAACCAACAATATATTCAAGCACTGCAAGAAACATAATTCGGCGCTGGGTAAATGTCAATTATAAAGAAAGGAGAAACTTTGTGATGGTTCCCAAGGGGAAAGCACCACGGAAACCGCGGTTTCCGGGGCTGCGGAAATGGACCTCTGCGCTTCGAAACACGCCACTTCAGGTTCGGGAGATGTGTGATGGCGGTATCTTTCTTAGGACCATTGAATGCAAGAAATACGGATGCGATTGATATGCAATCGCCCACAACGAAAAAATGCTGACATAGCGGGGTTTTATGGTTCAGACGATATTCGGTGGACCGGATTTGAAGAAGGCTGATGATGTATCTATGACCCTGCTTCGCCATTGTTTCGTTCACAGAAACGCGCTACGAACATTTATCGCTACAAATTTGAAAGCTTAAATAACTCGAACACGACTGGTACACCTGTTTATGATGAAGACAGAAAGTCATTGCGATCGTGAGTGCGCAGTTGAAGTCGTGAATGTTGATTGCTTTGATGTTAGGCGTTTCCGGGCTTTGCCTCTCGAGGATTTGCATAACGGGAGAACGAAAGTCATGTTTTCATTAAATTCGTATAATCTATTCATGACCAATGGGCTTGGCCAACTTCTGCCATGCAATCGAGGCAGAAGCACCAAGCAAGAAGTTAGGCTGTCCGGAGATGGCAGGGTTCTCACCGATGAAGTTGTTAGGGAAGCCAATATCAAACGGTCTGACATCTTCCAACTTCTTGATCTGCGCATCGGACAGCTTGATAGTCAAAGCCTTGATGTTGTCGTGAAGATGCTCGACCTTGCGACCACCGACAAGAGGGAAGACATTGATGGTCTTGGACATGACGTAGGCCAGAGCAACGGCAGTGATGGTGACATTGTGCTCGTTGGCGACTTCCTCGAGGGCAGCGCTCATCTTGGCTTCGTCTTCGGATTGTTCGGGACCGCCCATCAAGCTGCGGATACCTTCGTTCTTCTTCTTGCGCTCTTCGATGGCGGCCTTTGTCTGGAACCTGCCACCACCGAGGACATCCCAAGGGGCAAGAGCCATACCGAAGTGACGGGCCATGGGAATAATCTCACGCTCAAAGTCACGGAGCATGATGTTCCAGCGGCCTTGGTAGATGGAGAAGGGAGTCTTGCCATGAGCTCTGGCGTAGTAGTTGGCGGCTGATACGATCCAGGCAGGCGAGTCACTGATACCGAGGTACATGACTTTTCCTTGCTCGACCAGGATGTGCAGGCTGTCCATGATCTCCTCGATTGAGGTTGTGTGATCCCACCAATGCAGGTAGAGAATGTCGATAAAGTCGGTCTGGAGCTTCTTGAGCGAGTCGCGAACACTCATGAACAGACTGCGCTTGTGGTTTCCGCAGTGATTGGCAGCCTTGCCCTTGCCCAGAGCATAGCCCTTGTAGTCGGTGGTGAACTTTGTAGCAATGACCATCTGATCACGGTTTCCACGCTCTTGCATCCACTCACCGAGCCATTGCTCAGACTGCTCGTTCTGGTAATTGTTGGCTGTGTCGATGAAGTTGCCTCCGGCCTCGACAAAGGCGTCAAGAAGAGCGAACGACTGCTTCTTGTCCATGCTGCCCATGAACTCGGACCATGCATCACCGATCGACATGGCACCAAGCTGCAGAGGTGAGACGCGGACACCAGCAGTCGAAGACAGAATGCGCAATCTGCCGAGCTCGGTGGCTGGCTCGGGTGCGGGTTCGAAGAAAGACATGATGGCTTGTCTGGTCGAGATCTGACAAGAATGTGGTGATTGGGATGTCGCAACTAAATATCAGGGGCTGGAATCAAGGGGTACTGTTGAGCTTTATACCATCAAGGTCCGGAGGTAAAGATGTAGCTTTCTCCTCAAGCTCCGCATGGAATGATTAGATCATCGACGGACTTAAGCATCATATCCGGCCAACGACGACCTGTACCCTTCAACCGAAGATGCAACAGGGAGCGTATTGACAATGACTATAGCCAACAGAACAAGCAGTATACGCCGCACCAAGACTTGCGCTCATGCAATCCATGAACTTCGACACAGAGAGCTCCTCATATCACTGGACAGAGGGAAGAGAAGATCGAGAAGATGCGCGGAAGCTCTTATGTGGGGCACGAAAGAGAGCTCAGGGGCTTGGCGCCATGACTTTCCTCGACCCCCGGTCGCATCTCACATCCTCTCTGACCTCGCATTCATCTGTGATTCGACATCAACATGGCGCCTCATCGATTTTCTCCTCTATAGCCGATTTATACTTGAGGCGGTCCAGCCCATACCCGAATCACAAGTCTGCCAGGATCAAGGCGCTCAAAGATTCTGACGACTCCGCCGCACGACCTTGACGAACAACATGGAACGCCTCTTGTCGACACAACTTAAGATGCGCGTCGTACAGCCGAAGGGACTGCCTGCTACCAAGAGAGGTAGTATCTCATGAGAAACGATTATGAGCAGGCCATTACCAAAAGCCCATATCGTATCATTAGTGAAAGAGCAAGGAATTATCAGAACAGAACTCCGACGCCAATGGTCCAGCACACACTCGCACGCCGGAGGAATTGTTATCTCAACTCCATTGGAGCGAGCAACCACTGGCTGCGACACAATAACACTCCATGCTTGTCACGCCATTCAACACGATTTAGACTCCCGTGGCGCTTCGAGCCTGCATGATGTGTTTCAACAATTCATTAGTGTTGAAGTGCTATGGGAGTCGTCGTCGTCTCGCTTGACGTCGAAAAGACGCGTAACCAAACGAACAACCCATTGGAGTTGCTGTTTGTACATGATCAACGAGGTACAGGGCGAGAACACCGCTCGATGATTTCTATGGTAAGCTCTATTCCCGCTCTGTTGTCCGGACACTTTCTTGCTCGATCCACTCCTCGACAATGCCTGCATAATCCTCAGGTCCATATGCCTCGAACACCTCTTTCCACAGATTGCCTTTCCTCCTGTTCTGCAAACCCAGATCCTTGCACAGCATATCCAAATACGGCACAGCATCAAACACGAAGTCGGGGAATCTGCCTCCGTACCCACAAGGATATCTCCATCTACCAAACCTTGAATGCAAGACTGCCGATTCAACCCTGGACACGGGCGAGGAAGGAACGCGGACCAAGGAGTTAGAGAGATAGGCCGTAATCCAAAGGGCTTGCAGAGATGCGCAGAGAGAAGTCGATATAGTAGTTACCATGCCTGCGAAGGCAATGGAGGGGACGGGACCTGTAGAACATGGTGCCATGAAACGGTAGAGGGTGAAAGGCAGCGAAGTTGCATCGGCAGTCGTGTCACCGCCGGGAATGGGTGTCGGAGGTTGATTTTCCAGCCGCGGAAAGCGAGACAGAATTTNTTCGTCTGCCAAAGCAAAATCGGTCGATGTAGAAGGTGTTGCTGCCGAACTGGTAGGCAGGCCGAGAGTCGCATCCAATCCTTCAGGCAGAAAAGTCATCGGTGGTCGTGCTTTCCAACCTGTCGCGCAGACAAGCGCATCAGTTTCCAAGGTCGTGCCATCACTGAGAGATACAGTTTTCTCTCGCAAGGCCACAACATCAGCAATGTGTACTCTGACCTTTCCCTCTCGTACCAGGCCTAGGAAATCGCCATCGAAGTTGAGGATACCTAAGCCACTTCCCGTCCAGAAGGCTGAATGTCTAGGTTTAAGTTTCGCAGTCCCAGGATGCTTGTCGTATCCCATCAAAGCATTTGCATCAGTTGAAAGCACCCACCAAAACGCGTCTACCAGTTTTCTGCCTAGCCAGGAGCCATGCAGAAAGTTTCTTACAGAACCGAAACCGTCTTCGTCGCCCCAGACACACGGAGATAGCCAGGTCAAAAAGCGACGGTGGACTAGTTTCTCCAACCAGGCTTTCACAGGTGTCACATAGGGAGGTGCCATCCAAGTTGGTCCCTGGCCTGACGAGCGAATGACGAGATTAACAGGAACGTTGCGGAATGCGCAGGCATACGCGACATCCCAAGCTGATTTTGAGCCGCCGAGGACTGTGACTGCAGAGGTCTTGTTGAAGAGGCGATCTGTGTGTTGAGGGAAGTCGCGAGAGTGGATAAGAAGACCTGATTTCTTAAAAATGTCCTCTCCGGTGAACGTTGGTACGAATGGAGTCGAAGTCAGACCAGTGGCTATGACCAATTTCCTCGTCTGCAAAACGAGTAGACCGTAGTTATCAGTCTTGAGAGTCCAACCTTCGCTGCTAGTCCCTGCTGATGCTTCCAANNGTACTTTGGTGTTGAATCTGATGCGAGAGTAGACTCCGGTTTTCTTGGCATAGTCACTTAGATATCGATGAATGATATGTCCAGGAATATGTTTGCCAGCCTTAACGCCGTAGGTCTCAGTGTCCATGGGAAAGTCCGGGTACTCGTATGTACCGAGCATATTGTTCGACTTCAGATCTGGGTACTGGCGCTCTTGACTCCATACCCCTCCGACCGTTGATTGTGCTTCAAGAACGAGAATGTTGGCTGCAGGGTGTACTTGCAAGTATGTCGCAGCGACAGCAAGACCATACCATCCTACAATTATCGCCATCAGACACAAGCCAGATAAGATAAGCTAGAAAAAGTAGGCTTACCTGCTCCAACAACGACCAAATCACACACTTCTTGCATGGCTACCTTTCGTCGAACAGGAGATGAGTATCAGCGAGGAAGACAGGATCAGAAGTCAATACTTTGAGGACAACAGAACACAAAACTCAGCACGGTCAAGTCGAAGGAATCGGAAGGATTCCTGCACTAGTGCCAGCATATATTGACCTGCATGGTATGGGGTCCGTGCTCGAGTGCTCGACCCTGTTGTTGTGATAGGTATCACCACATGACTCATTGATGATTCTCACATACTGTTTCTATACCAAGTACGGATACTCGATCATTCCCTGAGGTATGTAGCAGTAGCGTTGAGAGGGTTATCGAGAAAGTTTGGGAAGCGAATGACAAGTTCGAAGTGGTCTGAAATAGATTAATTGGACCTATTATCGCCAAGCCCGGCTAGAGTTACTGCATCACATATCAGAGTAAGAGTTGCACAACACCTATGTCTTCGTGCCGTCATGTTGGTAAGCTGTGTATTGCTCACTGGAGTTCAGTGAAACCGGCAGCTACGCGGCTTTCCTGCACAAACTCCTCAAGGTCTTTCAAGAATGTCTCTGTCTGCTCGATGGCTGCGAAATGTCCTCCCTTCTCATGAGCACGGAAGAAAGTCAAGTTACCTGTAGTAGCGGCCCATAACTTCGGAACAGGGTATAGCTCATACGGATAGTAAGAGTATCCGAATCGCTTGTTATCCGGTATCTTGTACTCAGACATGTTGTGTGGATTGCCATTGACGCCAGGAGTGTAGAACTAGAGAAGGAGTTGATCAGCAGAGCTAGAAGCATACAATGAGCATCTACGTACAATTCGATAAGGCCAGAGACATGTCGCTGCACATCCAGTGAGCCAATACAAGCTGACAGACTCCAAGATCAGAGATGTGGGTGGGTCTCCATCGGTCCATGCGAGAAACTTCTCGCCAATNNCCTGCTACGAGTCAGATTTGAATGAGTGTTTCTATGAACTTCGGGCCCACCAAGCCAAGAGAGCTACAGGGCTACTCGACAGCACAAGACCAATTGTGGCTGGCTTTGTAGCATGCTGAATAGCATATGAACTGCCAGTCTTCAGGAACTCGCGAGCTCTGTCGAGGCCTTTGCACTCGGATTCTGTTATATCGTCTTCGAGCCGCTCAGGTTCGTCCTCCATGATGCAGAAGTTGANCTTGCTGTGTCAGCAGCATAGATTTATCTTATCTTTAAGGAACTTACTGTGGATTGCTATCGATAGTTAGCAGTATCTCGATTGAGGAATGGAGAGGTGCTTACCCCTGCATTCATCATGCTTTGCTGCCATCACTCTGGCGACCTTACTTCCAACATCCCCACCCTGCACCATGTACCCGGCTCCGAAGCCCAGATTGAGCATAAGCTGATTCATCAACCTCGCGACGTCTTCAATCCCAAAGTCTTTGTCGAGAGGAGGAGGGCTTGAAAAAGCGTAGCCAGGCAAAGATGGAACCACAAGATGATATGGCAGATCGTCAGGACTGTATCTGTTGCGCAACTTGTCGAGCATGGGCAAGAACTCCAGAAAACTACCTGGCCAACCATGAAGCAACAACAAGGGAACGGCGTCCTGTCTCTTTGACAACATGGCAACATAGTGGACGTGAAAGTTGCCAAGGTCATTCTCGATGTCCATGTGGAAGTGGTCGAAAGTGTTCATGTATGTCTCATGCTTCCGCCTGACAAGCGTGTAAGCAGAATTGTCCTGAGGTCTCGAACATGCTTACCAATCGAATGTGTTTTTCCATTCTTCCACTGCCTGCTTCAGCCAGTCGTGTCGCATACCATACTTCCTATCGCCATCAGGTAGGCTGTTCTCATAGGTCGGTTTCGCAATGGGAGTTATGCGCAGGAGTAAATCGAGTTGCTGTAGGTCGTCATCAGAAACACGTACCGTGAAAGGCGTAATTCTCGGCGTGGTCTTGTCAGTCGATGATTTAGCCATGTCTTTGCCCCAAAAGCCTGTTTGAGATACTCTGTCTCGCATTCGAAAGAATGAGCAGAGTTGCGCTGGTGGGCTGATATATAGGTCCTCGACCCCGCTTGCTGACATATTGTGCGATACATGAAGCTGCTGTCACACCTACTTGAATTGCATACTTCGTCCGCATACTTACATCGAATCAAGATCGCCGTCATCGAACGTTACTGACCAGAGGCACGAGTCACACCTTGTCACCGTTGAATACAGCTTCCCGGGCAGATTCGAGCCGAGAAGGGAGAACTTGCATTTCATTCTGCCTGCAGAAGGCCTCCTATCGTGTTCGCGACTCGCTCAACAACATGGCCTCTGTTCCGAGAGTGTGTTCCGTAGGAGCGCCTAGCATCTTCGTGCATAAGCCGATGATGGAAAGAAACAACCACCGTCATATGCCAAACACGAACGCGTCGCTGACTCAGCATGGACTGCGGGCTTGGCGAATGTCTTGCCGTTTAGACCCGCTCTATTCCCGCAAGAGCATCATCAGACCGATCCGAGCCTATCGCAACTTCAATTGACTGTATGAATCAGGAAACGCCCGCGGAAGGATCATTTCCTAAAATATATATAAGCACGTAGTTCCTCTGCCTGATGTTGTCGCATAGTCATACACAACATGAGTGAGTATCCAGAAGAAAAGGCACCGCCCCTAACGACTGTGGCCAACTTTCGTGATGTTGCAAGCTTGGTCAAGAACATCGAACCAGGATTGTTGTATCGTAGTGCTNNAAACTCGGTGAGCGTTTTCCATAATTTCATGGCTGAAGGCCACAGCTGATCATGTTTTCCAGATGATGCGAGTCGAGAAGACCTTAACACTCTTCGCGACCGACATAAAATACGATCAGTGATAGATTTACGCGGCATGTAAGAAAGGCACGTTATCGTTTTCATCTTTCAATACTGACTTGTTTCCAGGAATCCGTGGCCCATGATCTCTACATTGCAACTGCCGGGCAAGCACGATACCGATTATACTTACCAGTATCCAGATCTAATCGCCTGTACCAGCATACTCGGCCTTAGGTTGCATTACATAGGCCTCGGTGGTCCGCAATATGGCCGGTATGTGGCAAGTCAGATAGGTTTTTGGAACAAAGCCAAAGCCTTCACCGAAATTGCTTTCATGCCGGCAAGCGGCATTAAGAATTGGAAAACCTTTGTCAACACGAAGATGGGTAAAGAACGCATGGCTATACCCGAGGCCATCATCGATCACTCATTACCACAGATCAAGGCTATCTTCAAGGTCTTGACGGATCCTTCGTCATATCCAGTCTTGATCTTGAACAACTGGGGCACGGATTTCGTGTCGCTGATCGTTTCTCTAGCCCTGTTCGCTCTGCATACAGACATGGAGTGCATACATCGCGATTACATGCAGACATACGACGCATTAGCCGATCTGNNGAAACAAAAGCGACTCGAGGACAACAAAGCGTTGGGCTTCTCAGACGAAACCCTGGTGGAGCCTTACCTTCCCTTTGTCAGCTCGCTGGATAAACACATACAAGACAAACATGGCGATATCGAACAATATCTGACAAGCGTCGGTATAAGTCAGTCCGAGCTTCAGACTCTCCGGGATACGCTACGATCTGGGTCAAAGCTGTCTGAGAAGCACGGGTGGCTAGTTGATATCTGATGCTCGAGGCCCTGGAAAACACTACCGAACACAGCTCGCTATTCCCATTCTTCAAAGAACACAGTCAGCGTGATATGTCGGCTTTCGAGACTGGTTCCTGGTGGTTGAGCAGCCTACAGTTCTTGAAGGAACGACGATCTCACGCCATGCCAGTTCCATACAGCAAGATTCGTTCTCTCGGATCCATTAACAGCAGTCAGTCTTTCCAACGAATCTGATCGGGCATTAGACCCTCATCATTTGTGATTTACCTGAACAGCAAGGACTTCTTACTAGTCTGGCAGCACTCATAATCAATACATCCTGCCGCACATCCAGTCCGAATTATGACCACGAGCTGTTACAAGTATACATCGGAGCAGGAATAATCCAATCAGCCATGCCTTGGATATCGTCTGAGGAAGTGGGTCCATATCTAGAGAGATTGTGGATGTAGACCTTGATAACTACAGTCATAAGTTACTGAACCAAATAAACTCCACTATCTCATATGTTCTCGAACGAGTCTAGTCGCTCTGCGGCACGCATGCCGATCTGTCGATCTTTGAAGCCTCGCTGTAATATCCGCGTCTCCCATGACATACCAACGTATCTGCCTCTGTGGACCTGTTACAACCTCAGTTGAATCCATCAAGAATATCAAAAGCCTGCCTGCAGCTCTCCAACAGTTCCCCATCAGCTCAATCATGGAGCGCCCCTACCACATCCGCGGCGGCTCTCTCGGCGAAAGTATCTGCCGCCTCCATGCTATGCGCAGTAATGTGCAGTTCAACATCACCATCAAGTCGGCTGATGTGAAGAATACGCCGCTTGGCCAAGAATTCTTTCGACTGATTGAAAAAATCAACGCTTCTGAACGGCTTGACATAGACACCTGCTTTGCACCTTATGATCTCATTTTGATGCATTTTCTGCCGCTGCTTGTTAAACTGGCTCCAACGACTTCAGTCGATGGTTTCACAGTTTATGACTTTGTTTGCGCTCCTACGTACCACCTGAAAGTCTTCGGCACAGCAAAGGGACACTTGGAAATCAGAGGAGAAGAGACATGTACCCTCACTCCCGCTTACGATATCGCACCACTATCCATATCCGACGCACCTGGTCCATGGAAAACGATGCCGAAGATGCCTGCTCGAGAAATGACCATAGCAAGATCACCAGAAGAGATGAGTCCTCTGAAGAGCGTACAGGGAAAAGCCAAAACAACAGAGGGGCATCTCAAGTACTTTAAACCACGCGAACGGGGCCGCGAGACAGAATTTCATCGTGAAGTCGAGCACCTACATCGCATCAAAAAAGCAGGTCTAGCTGGCCCTGACCATAGACTACCAGTTCTCGAAAGTCTTGTGGTGGCAGGTGAACAAGAAGAGGTCGTTGTTGGTCTATTGATGAACCTTATCGCATCTCCAGCGCTAGGATGCCATCTACAGAGTCCAGGATTCAGAGATGGTAGGGGCTTGCACAAGAAATGGGAGCAACAAGTCATCGCTACATTGAAGTTGTTGCATGAGCACGGGATAGTATGGGGTGACGTGAATGCATGCAACGTTGCTATCGATGAAGATATGAATGCGTGGGTGATTGACTTCGGCGGCAGGAATACTCGCGACTTCGTTGATGATGATAAAGCAGAGACAGTAGAGGGCGATTGGCAAGGTGTGCACAGGTTGTTCAAGAATTGGTTGCCCGGTCAAGCTGTCTCAGATCATTGCTGAGAACTGGAGCTGCTCGTCTTTGAGATTTGTGAGGGGCCCAAGCTCACGCGGTCATCTTCTGCTCTGCTGTCGTGATCAGTATCTTGGAAACGCTCCTCCGCCCCACCATTTGCCTCGACCTCAGCCTCAGAAGCACGCAACAGTCTCTCCCGAACATCTGAGTCTGCATGAACTTCGAAATCAGTGCTATTTGAGCTTCTGTAATCGCGCAGCTCTATGTCTTCCGTAGCACAATCTAGATTTTGCATTCCATCTCGATTTTCGGTGTTCAAGATCGTCGTGGTGAGTTCGACATCAACCAACTCGATACCCCAGCGCTGCGTGCCATGAGAATCCATGAAGAAGCCCATTTTCGCTTTATGCTGCCTTCCGACTGATGAGGGGTCCGAAAGCAAGTACTTATACCAAGGTTGCGATGGTGGTGCATGCTCAGTCCATGTGAGAAGTCTGTCACTGGCGTATACCCAGCCAAGCGTGCTGGCTAACGTATCCCCGTCTCTAGGTATTGCTTTGTATTCTTTCCGGTTGGCAAAGTATAAGATGATCGTCGTGATGATCAGAAAGACCAGGATTGACATGCTCAATATGGCAGCAGCTGGCGACATACGTAGTTCTTCGATTGGAGTACTGATGTTTGCGTCGATTGGATCATACGACTTTCTGAAATAGTCTGGTGGCTCGTAGGCGTAGCTTTCCTGATTCTCGCTTAGGTTGAAGGTTGCGAAGTGTTTGAAGAAGATCCCGAATGTCTGATTGGCGGTTTTCATGAGTGTTTCGGGATCCAAGAGAGCCTGTTGGTCGTTGTTTGCAAGGTGAAGCATCGAATACGACATCAAGTCGACATTCAGACCACGGTCTTGGAAGCGAAACCAGTCACCTTGTTGACCGGAGCTGATGAGGGTATCCCAGAAGATGTAACCCCAACTGTGAGACCAGTCAGTAGTGGGAGCATTGACTGATGCTCAAATACTCTAGACCCACCTTGCATTGACCCTGATGTACTTTTCCTCAAAATCCTGCTGATTGCCATCAGCATCATATGTTGTGCTTATCCTTGTCAGATTTTCTTGAGTGTAGGGATATGCCCAAGCTCCAGTGGCGTTATGTAACGCGCTAGTGATCTGGTAGTCCAATATTACGCCCGTATTCATCTCAACAGTGACCACTGCCTCCGCCTCCTCGATACGTGGTTCGCAACTGATAGCCGCCATCTTGGGAGCTTCTTGCCAGACGAAAAGCTCAGGAACCATGGGCCCAACAATGCTGATTGAATCTTTAGAGGCTTCCGGGGATGAGGAGTAGTTGTTGTTCACTGTGTAGTATGGGGTGTAGTAGCCTGCCAGGGGAAATCCATCGATCCAGGTAGAAGTCAAATCCGGTCCGTTCGCATTGGACCAATATCCAACAGCGGCACCTCCGACGCCCGCTGAAGTCTCATTAGCACAGCAGTTTATTGCCTCCATATTAAGAGTTGCGTCGGTCAGATTCTGCAAGATATAGCCATAGTCAAGTCCAGATGGGCTGTTCGTTTCGTTCCACAATGGTTTACCATCTCCAGCCGAATTCTTAAAGTCAATCTTGGTCAGCCAGAGAGACGGGTCGCCTGGGTAGGCTTGAGTATGGCAAACAAGACTAGCCTTCACGGCTGTTGTTGATACGGTGGTGTTGCGATTAGATCCACTATCCACATCGGCAACGTTTGAGAAGTTCCGGGGTATAAAGCTCCAGACATCCTTGCTCCATGCTGGTGTAGCTGCCGATTGTGTGATCTCGATTGTGGCAGCGTAAAGCCAGCTCTGCAAAGACACGTCGTATAGGTCAGGTATGAACAAGTCGCGTGTTTGATTCGGACTCATAAGGTAGAAGTCATCATTCATCAACATGTTTCGAGTGCTTGGCTCGGTACGGATGACTAGAGGTGTAATCGCTTTTACTGCTCGATCAACTTGTCGCAACTCTCAATACCATAAAGCAGACATGCTTACGGTGACTTCTCAAGTCAGTATATCAGCGTGTTTGCTCATGATTGTGAGAACGTACANTGCTTCTGTTGCATAGAAACCGACACCAACCAACGTAAGTAACCAGTGCGAGCGTCTGAGAGCCTTGAGTGGAACCAATGCAGTAGGTGTGTTCAGGTACTCCACCGACACGGACTTGGACAACTCTGTGGGTCTTTTGACCATTGCGATGTATGGTTGGTATCGTTGAACAACATCAGCTGCTGTTGCAAACCATAGTTTGGCGCAGATGGCCAAGAAAGTCGGGATGATCGAATACGGAGCAAGTGTCGCTGGGGTGTGAGCAAGATCTATGTGGATCTGGTAAAGTAGAGATGCCTGGTACAAGCCTGTGGTTAGAGATAGCCTATACAGCACAATCAGACCTACGAGAAGCAGCAATAGAAAGCACAACAATGGTATGCCGACTCGGAGCCTCAGGAAGCTTGGTCGTGAATCACCCGCTGGTGGGGCAAGACTTGGCAGTATCTTGTCTGTGATCGAGTAAGTTATAATGATGATCTTGCGGGGGCGGAATTGAACCAACCATCNGTCTGATTGGTCATCCTCTTCGTGTCTCAAGATCCTAAGCTTTCCACCGATCATGCCGAGGACGTATCCTTCGAGCCGCAAAGTCAATTTTTCTCGTGACAGTGTATCGATATGATCAAGCTTGTCTCTCAAGAGTGGATCTCCCAGAAGCAACGAAGCAGCAGCCTCTATCTTTCCAGGATCTTGGTCTAGACCGAGAGGCCTTCGTAATAAACGCGTCGTACAGTAAACATGAAGCATCAGAAGACTAGAGAGAAGAAGCAATACTCCCAGCGTGACCCCAACGCCATGGCTTGTTATGATTCTAANCCTGGATGTTGTTGTACCAGCAGAGAAGGTAGATTGATCTCTGTTAGAATCTTGCTTCCATGCCTCCATAAGCATCTCGCCTAGAAACTGCTGAAGCAAGTTCGTGACATCCGATAGCAGGCTTGTACTGCTGAACAACTTGTGAGGGTCCATGTTGTACTTAGGGCCTGCAGCGATAGCTGACAAAGGACCGCCATACCAAGGCTCATCGCCGTTGTTGTATAGCGTGCCATAGTTACGTCCAACTTTTGCTGACCAGTTGGAAGCAAAGAACGTACTCTCTACTAGGGAAGTGTTGTAGATAGTCTCAGTAGGCCGTTCACGATTGTGCCGATAGTTCTCGGCATCGAAGACAACAGACGTGGAAGTTTGATTAATGAGAACAGTTGCATCGACCGAGCCCGAGAAATATTGACTCGAGCAAAGCATAATTTTTGCATCGAAGGATGGAGCGTCTTCGCCAAAACAGTACCCGTGGCAATTTCCAGTTACCATATTGGAAGCAGATCCGATGAGCAGCATACTGCGGTTTGCGCAAGTCGACAGAGTTGCGTTGTTTGTCGTCATACCTTGTGAAAGGCTATCGTATGGTGCAGGTGCCCACCAGCCTCCGCTATTATCCAACACTTTATCGATACCTGGTACACCAGAGAACACGATCGAGCACCCGTCATCGGAAGTGGCCTCGTATGTGATATTGCTGAATGCTTCAGTCATATCCGAAAGCAGATTTTCTGTCCATGTAACGTTGCCAATTTGAATAAGTGACATCGGCACGCACTCCAGCTCAACCTGGTAAACTGTAGCTCGACTAGACCAGTTTTGAGGGGACATTGCTGTAAATATGGCTCCCATGGGTGGCTCACCGAAGGTAGAGGGCCAAAAGGGAACAACTGCATACTCAGTCGAAACCCAGGTAGAGGTACTTTGATTAAGCACGGCAGCGATGGTCGCTCGAAACGTGACCATTTCAGATGCAGCTGGAGAGGTGATGAGATCTTGCACTTCATGCATCTTGTTGAAGACCGTGAGGGCTGTGAACTGAGTGTTGGCAGGAAACAGAAGGATCGCTGATAGGGGCGATACCACGAGCAGAGCCAGAAGGTTTATCATAGAAGCAGACAACATGGCCCAACTGCGCTTACCACCATTTTTCTTCCTACTCCAAGCATCGGAAGGATCATTCCACCATGATCTTGTAGGCATGCAGATTGTATGCGCTGCACTTGCGCCTCTTGGTCTCGACAATCTTGCGAAAATTTCTGTCCTGCGCACATCGTTGACCATGGTCGCAACCAGCAGTGAACATATCGTTGCGATTAATGTTGGTAAGAATCTCCAGCTGAAGAAGGTGATGGCTGTATTGTTGTCATTGCATATACCGTGATCTCTTGATGATTTTGCTGTCAGGTAGAAGATTATAGCACTCAGAATGAGCGAAGAAACAACAAGAAATGCCAGGTATGATGGCCTGAGTGTGAGCGGAAGCCAGTCATGAGAAATTTGTGGCTCAGGTGACAATCTGGTGTTTTGTTCTTTGTCAACAGGTCCATCCTCGGCTGTGTTGTTCCTGAGTCTTTTTGGACGCGAAGACATTTCAGGATCGTGATTTCCTCTGTAGGTAGCCGAAGACCGGGCTGTCAAATCGCGACCTCTCCCCTTAACCATCGGTACCATGATAGAGGACGATGCAGTTCAAGTGGTGAACATATCTTCTATGTCGCAAAAGACACCAGCGAAAAGTCGAAGCGGCCTCGGAACACCTTATGAATTCAAACACTCAGTGGCATCCTGCGCTTGTGCTTACAACGAGGCTTAGGCCAAGGCTGAGCATGCTGCTTCACCGGTTTCGTGTTGAGTACTGACTCGTGGAAGACAGCCGCATCGTTTCAACCGCAACGAACTTGACTAAAAGACATACAAACTAGATTTAGCATAGAACCGAACACTTAGATCAGCATTTATCCACAATCTTCTTATAGATGTTCCTAGTTGGGTGGGCGTCCAGTGACCGCTGAATGGCCAGACAGCAGTCCGACTTGCTGCCGAAGACCGCCACGAATCGCACGATGATCAATGTGATCGTTCCCATCGCGTTCAAAGCCGCTAGATACCAGGAAAATAACTGTGTCTTCGATGGTGACTTCTCAACAAATACCGGTACCGACTCACATCTCGTGATGAGATTGCGTTCGTGTGAGGAGACGCTTGACAGACAGGTTCAGGCAAACTGGATGAGTTCGGAAACTCGCTCGCGCATGCCAAGACCAGACCCACTTTGAGGTTCGCGCCTCGCGAGTCGCGGTTGCCAATTCTTGTCCATCTCATAGTCATCGACTCTCGATCACATCCGGAGGCCCTATGGAAGAGACAAATCAATCGCTTTGATTTTTGAGTAATGTCTGGTCCGGAAACACCGCGCTCATTCTTGCAAAAAGCCGTCAGTCCAGTGTAGTACGCGACAACGGTGAGTTGACGAGACTGACGGCCTTTCGCAGTGTGAGAATTGCCGGCTTAGGAAGATCAAATGTGACAAACAAATACCATGCGCCAGCTGCCAGACATTGGGTATAGCTTGTCAAGCCGCTGTTACTCGAGCTGCCGAACATAGACCGCGCATTGTGGTGACCAGTCAATATGAACGGCAGATTACCTTGATCCAAGAACGATTACAAGGTATCGAAAACAGCCTCAAACAGTTGTCGCGAGGTTCTCTCGTTTCGACTCCTCAGACCAAGTCATCGATATCAGAAGCCGAGCACTCACCTGCCCCTACAAACAATAGTATCGCGATCTACGAAGGAGAATCATCTTTCGGCAACCAGACCATACAAGCAGGTCAACTCGCCGACGTCACTGCCACTGCAGTACCAGGTGTGCCATCGAGCGAGTTGTCGAACGCTCTCTTACTGCTCAAAGATAGCTTGAAGCGACATGAAGCGCTATCGCGGACTCACGAGACACACCTCAACACTAGAGTCAAGCTAGACTCTGCGAATCAGCAAGAGCTTCCGCCTGCTCCACTCGTGATCGCTTTGATCAAGATAGCAAAGGTGAGCCAACCAGCACTCGAGCTCAGTACCTTCAACGCTAAGAGTAGTCGTACAGCGCGCCCATCTGTATCTTTAGTTGCTTTCTCCTACAAGGGGGTAGCGCAGCTGGAAGCACTCTGCCAAAAGGTCTACTTCCCGCTAGAACCACCATCGGTGGGGTCCATGACATTTTTCTATGGTTTCCTGTATTTTGTCATTCGTGACTATTGGAGCCAGCAAGACCCTGCGCTTCGCGAATATGACGCACAGGCTATCATTGATCTTTGTGAGACGCGGTTTTGCGCTGGCCTCGAAAATTTTGAGACGCTTACAGTCCCCGTCTTGCCAAATATTCAAGCACTCCTTATCGGTGTGAGTACAGCTATATCGATTGACCTTTGAAGACGCTGACAAGATTTCAAGGCGATCAAAGCACAGGAAGAATGCAAACTGTCTTTGAGCTGGACATTTCTCTCAGCCGCAGCGACCATGTGCCATACACTCGGCTTCCATCGTAAATCATCACTCGCCCACGAAGACCAAGAATCCGCAGACATCAAACGACATATATTCTGGCAGCTATACATGCTAGACAAAAATCTATCACTGAACCTAGGACGAGGATCAAACTTTCCAGATTCGGATATCGATGCCGAATTCTTCACCCCATCGTCAATTCCAGCACAGAGGCCATGGGACTTGATGTCACTGGCTACTATTCTGTTTGCGAAACTCCAAGGACAAGTTTATGACAAGTTGTATTCTGCTTCGGCAATGAATTCATCTCTGGAAGAACGAAGTCGTGTGGTGGATGAACTATCGTCACAGGTGAACGCTCTGCGGAATCAACTTCTCTCGGTAAATCGCAATGAGACCTTAGTAAAAGCGATGTGGACTGACGAGACCAGNATTGACTTTACTGGTGCTTATTACCAGGAACGTCTGATAGGAATGGCACACTCGGCGGATTTCGTCTGCTATTCTGTTCTGACAGTCATCTATCGAGCTCAACCACTGATGAGCAGCACCACCGAAATTAGCCCTCGGTGCTACGAAGCCGCACGACTTGGACTGGAGAACCATCTCCGGTGCTTTGCACAGTTCAGAGATCGTTCAGTGCCACAGCAGGCTGAATATGTGAATTGGTAAGCACTGTTCACACTAACAACCAAAGCGCTCAGAATTGACTTCTACAGGATTCTGCTATATCCTTCATTCACACCTTTCACAGTCGTCTTTATCCACGCGATCGCAACATCCAACACGGAAGAGCTACAACTACTACAAGAAACAGTGCACTCCCTCGACCACATAAAGTTTCTTTCTCCAGCAGCAAAACGTCTCCACGATGTATGCGCCGCATTCGCCAAAGTGGCAGCGGCATTCATAACCTCACAGCGCACACTGAGCAATTGGCACTGTCGTGGCGATGGCACTTTATCGCTCGCATCCGCAGACGAGACAAACTACGAAGCGGACTTGGCAGCGGTAGGACAGGATCAAGATGCACTATCGGCGTTCTTGACTTCATTGGCGACGCAGAATCGGCCGTTGACGGATTTCCTGCATATGGATTTTTTGGATGCTGAGTTGGGGATGGGAGAATTGTTTCCGCCTACACAGTGATGAGACAAAAGGAGGCCGAGGGCATGTTCGGCAAGGATTAGCGAACCAAGATTTGGCTGCATGCGATGAGGGCTCGGTTGGGAAGGCACAGCCGAGTAGCGGTCATGCAGGCTGAGACGGAATTCTCAAGGAACAGGACAGCAAGCTGCTGCAAATTGACATGTCATCAGGATACAAGCTGAAGAATCATGCTCGGAAAATAGTTGACGTAGCAAACAATGATAAGTACTGCGTGGGCAATAATGCAGGGCTGCACATGCACAAGTGCGGCGCGGCGAGGCGCGGCCAAGAGCAGCTGGAGGTCAAGGTGCATCTGCAGTGTGGGGGTTGTGGCCCGAGCGGCGTGACGGGTGATTGGCGGAGATAATCCATCCATGACCTTGACGGGTCCAGCATTAGCCAACTCGGTCTATTGCTCTCAGTCTGTGTACAGCTTCATGTCGCTGGCAGTGACAATGTCATGGACTTTCTCAAGTCGTGCTGTACGAATCTACAAGCTGTAGTAAGTCTTCCCTGTGCTCAGGGGTAGATAACAGGGGGCTGACACAGGCGCAAACAGGAAGGCTACTCGTCCATCGACTACCTCATCTACAACCACCAGGACGCGACACAGGGCCAGAAGAGCGATTGGGATGATCAGGACCAGCGAAATGACCTTCTGTTGGGCTTGCGACAGCGCCGGGTGCTGGTGCAGTCGGCCGTGCAGCAGAAGAAGGTCTGCGTCTTTGGCGGCTTCCAGGCGGCCGACGACTACATGAAAGAGCTGGGATGGCAGGTGCACCAGCGAGGGCGACTCGAGGCCGCTGCCCTGACGCGCCCTAACAACGATCCCAAGCTCGTCATGCAGAACCAGCACATCTTCAGCATGTTCCTAGCTGCCGTCGAGGCTTCACTGTCCATCTCTCTGTCTCAGCTCTGCGGCGCCATTCGTGTAGGCCACCTGACCTGGATCCTACCCACCGACGGCGACCACCAACTGCTGTCCCTGCGCGCGCAAATGACCAGCCAAGGCACTCTCGCTCTACTGCCGCACGCGACCAACACTGGCCTATCTATTGCGAACGACACCGACGGNCAAAATGTCTTGCTCGCTCCTTCAGGCACTCCAGCGACAGTCGCATCGCCCCTGAACCCCCTGGATACCAACGACGGTGCCTCATCATACCAAGCTCGAAGAGAAGCCCGCATGCGCCTCAGTCGTCGCGCAAAACACGCCAACTGGAAAACCTTGGCTGCCACAAAGTTGGAAAAAGCAAGTCTACCACATGATGATTCCTGGTTGAGAGTCAGTCTGCGGTCGTCTACTTCGCAAGATCAACTCGAGTGTCTATGGCCAGGCTCGTTATGTTTGGAAATACCTTCCCAACAACTGCCACCCGCGCTGGATCGAACAGACAGTATGCACTGGTTTGACTCGAAGGATCCATATCAGAATCCACTGGATACTGCCGAGTCCTGGTTCCTCGGACAAGAAGAGCGTGCAAATCAGGCACAAAAGATGCGACAAGCTGAGAAGGACAAGGAAAATGCTGCTAACAACATACCCGAAGAAGCCATACCGGATCACTTGTCGGTCACATCACCAGTCTACTCTCGCAGTGCACAGGATCAGATCAGCGTGAATGGCATTTATCCAACACCGCCCGATGCCATACCCCCGATAATCTGCGCGGATCCATCTATACCCAATGTAATAGTCTCCGACAATCCTATCGAAGCATTACCTGGGTTACCGGAGGAAACTCAAGATCCATACCACGATCAAGACATGGGACAGGATAACAATACCTTGGACGTTGACCTGGATACTGAAGACTACCATAAAGAAAGCACGGATGATCTGTTTGGAGATGCCGATGAAGAAATGTTTGAGAATCCTGGTGTGACGGATGCTGATTTTAGCTTCTTTGACAATCCTGGTGGTGTCCCCTCGATGCCTTCGATTTCTGGTCCAGCCGAGGAAATGGTCGATCCTATGTCTGACCCTACGCCAAAACCTGAAGCTGTTGTGCTCCATCCACCACCTGTCCAGGATGAACTCGAAGACGATATTCCTCCGGAGCTTGTGAAGAGCCAAGAGGTACAGAAAGAGACAAAGGAAGAGGAAGAACAAGACTGTCCAGATGTAAAGCTAGAGGATGTGCCGGAAGAGGTTGCCTCCACTCCGCCTTTGAGCCCGCTGAAGATCAAGGACCGGCTTTTACCCGCAGGGCAAGGAGACAATCATGTTCCTAGCTTGCGAAGAGACAGCACTTTCCTACCTGTGGTCTTCAAAGGTGATCTGTCCACTTTTGATGCCAAGTATCGAGCCCTTGGAAAATTCGATAGCTGTTTTGTCAAGCAGGAACACAGCACGAACAGATCTAACAGTATTGCACTTCCTGAGAAGCCGTTCAAAGCACGCAATTCTTACTCGCTTTCTCAGAGACGCGCTACTGTCGCTGAGGCCAAGCTCACACCTCGGAATGACGCTTCGCAAGATGAATCAGAATCCGAGACCAGCCAGGATTCGGACTCGGAGAGTATGTCGTCTGTCGAGGGCAGTCTTCGGTCGCTTGATATCAGGAAAAGGAAACGTGGGTCAGCTGACGAAGGTCCAACCCCAAGATTTCATGCCGACTCGATTGTTGAGAGCGATGTAGAGAGTGTTGTTTCCGACGCGACCGCCATGGCTGACCCTGGACCCATGATCGACCAGTTGGTGGCTGCAAGAGAATCTCAGAATCGTGTCACGGAACAGCAACACAAGTTTTCGGACAATCTTGCAATTTGGAGAATGCCTTCCAAGTCGTTACCAGCTGGTCAAGATCTGAGCATCTGGCCTGTGCTCGACTTCACCGCTGATGATCTTGTTGACATAGCTCAGCTCGTTGCTGAACAGAGTACTTTTGCCGGAGCTTGGGAAGTCGATACTCGAGAAGCCCCCACTATTACCTCACCTATCTATTGTACAGCTCAAGACGCGCTGCGACAAGTTTTCGAAAAGGCGCAAGACTGTGACTTTGCAAGAGTAGGTGCAATGGCTGCTCATCACGCTGAGCAAGCGATCGCGGCCGCTGCAAAGATTCAGCAACGTCCCGTGCCGCGACGGCCAGGCAATATCAGCTCTGTCATCACAATACCTGCACCAGCCGTTCACGTCCGTCGAGCAGGACAAGGATGGGAACTACAGCCGACTGCCATCAACTTCTGGGATACACTCGGACTTGAGCCTGCCCATGGACCAAAAGATGTCGCAGCATTTGCTGTATTCCCGGACAGTGGTGTTTTGAGTGAAGCTGTTGCTGATTTCTTGCAAGACATCCGTCTAGCCTACGAGAATCGCAAACTCGGCAAGCACTATATTGGAGGCGAGACTGGCGAGCACGAAGATGGGTTGTTAGCATATCGCTCGCATGGTGAACCGTCCATCGTCAACACACTTCAAGGTTTGCAAACGGCTTGCAACGCACTCGGTGATTTGCTTCACGATGCCGACCTCGAAGATACCATCATCATCTACATGATCAACCCTTTCGACGACGAGTCTATGATCAAGTACCTATGTGGTTGCTTCCAAGCAATGCTCATAGCTTACTCCTCAGACCGCGAAGATCCGCCACCATTGATCTTGCAGATTGTTCCAATTAGTCGCATTGCATGTCCGACCGCAATGATCGTCCCAGACCAGGATTGGCTATCTTCGCTTGCCTCTTTCATCTATGACAGAGTTCCGCTAGAAAGCAGCGATAACCAAACTTCCTTTTGGCCCCTGAACTTGTTCCCAAGTATCCATCTGGCATCACCTCCAAGCCGCAAAATCAACTTTACACTTACGGAACGCACGCCCAAGAATCTGCTCGAGGAAGCACAGATTTTGCATGTTGCGTATGCTGTCAATGCAGACAATAGCTGGCTTAGTGCAGCGTGGACGGACAATACAGGATCACACTATCACAAAGCATCATACTGCCTCAGCAACACGGACGGTAGGATTATACTCACGGAAGTCAGAGACACGACGTTGAGTCTCGCACGCGACTGTCCCCATCGCATCTTTGTTGCTCGCGCAGGCGTCATGCGCGACTGGGAAAAGAGGATCTGGCGAGAGAAGCCTTCTGAAAACTGGAGTATTGCTTTGTTAGACGTGGACATGAATCCCGCTCTGCAAGTTGGGGCGAATACTGAAGGAGGCGGGGTATTGGGCATGGGAGCATTCATGACTCCAGCTGCTACACCCCAAGCATCCACCTTCACATCGCCAGAAACCGGAGATACCAAGCCGTCTACTCCCGCCGGCGAAACTCCGACCCAACAACAGGAACTCGGTACTCTGCAAACCGACCCAGATGCCTTTCTCATCGACAACACGGACGAAACCTGGGGTGTCCTGATGCCNTTTTCGTGTACCCGCAGCACCACCTTATCTCGCCCTCTGGCTTCTGGCTTGCTTCTCAAACGCGGCTCTTCTTCCTCGCTCTCTAATCTGCCTTCCCTGGCGGTAGATCTGATGGACGTGATCCCGCCCCGTGTCTCCGAAAACACCGTTTCGTGGCTTGCACAACGCGCGCCGGAGACTGTGCTCAAAGAAACTATGGTTTGGTACAGAGGGTTGGGCTTGCTTGGCAGATTGAGGGGGGTAGGTGGGAGGGGTGCCAGTGGCACGGAAGACGGAAATGTACCCTGGCATTTGGGAGTTGCTGTTGCGGGAGCTGATGCTTTGCAGGGGTTTTTGGAGTAGAGAGGCAGAAGCATGTGTGGGTGGGATTGTTTGTGTATGTTGTCGGGCTGGGATAGGGTGGATGAATGTTCTCAGATATGTGGTTGTTAGGTCGTCGGCTTGTCTGATATCATGTCCGGCATCGAACTTTTCCATGGTTTTCTCTTGCATCGTTGTGTAGCCAAGCCGGCAAATCATCAAGACTCCAGATCGCACGATGCGATGTTCAACCCGATCTCTGCACGACTCAACAGTTGAAACAGCCGTACGCTTGCTGAATACAGAGACCACGATTTCGCAACAGTCAAAGAGTTGCATGGAAGCGAGACATCGAAGGTAAGACCTTTACAACGGTTTCGCTGCTCTAGACTTTTAAAGAAACAGACCCCTTTTTGCTTTCAGCAACCTTTTGCGGGGTTGCTTGGTCGTTTGAAGACAGGTAACCTGGGAGACGATGTTTATATTCAAGCATGGCAAAGACTTGAAGGTTCTGTTTGCGTCTCTAGCGGAGAACAGGGTCAGTCTTGCTTATGCGAGCATTCACTCCCTAGTGCATGTTGCACCATTTGTTCAACCTCATCCTACAAGCCACAAGCATATTGCAACGAGACAAAAGATCTCTAACTGCCTTTGCAATGACACAAGTGTAAGCCAAGCAAGCTACAAAGGGTCAAGACGTTTGGCAGGGCTTTAACGGTGATATACAGAATTTGACGCCACAACCCAACGGTCTTCTAGAGCACAACTTCCATTCGCTTGGTCACCTTCTCGAATACCCGGACAAGTGGTTAAGCACGATAATCTCAACGATGCTATACGAAGAACTGGTTCGAAATGCCTTGATGGTGGCTTTGCGCTATCAGATTTCTCGCTGAAACATTGGATCCTTCTGGTCAAGCCATACTTGGACATGCTATATATTCCAGTATCGCCACGAGAGGCTTCGCTCTTGAGCGAACGTCCTTGATCTTGAGTCTCTTCAATATGCGTTTCGTCGACACTGCTATCCCAATCTTGGTCGGCTTGTCCACATTTGTGGAAGCCCAAAATGTCGACTTTGGCAAAGTCTACTCGGCCAAGCCGCAACTCAAGTCTGCGAGTAACACTCAGTCTTCGACCTCGTCGGTGAAGACTTCCTCGGTTGCGTCCTCCATTGTCTCGGTTCTGAGCTCTCGGCATGCGGCAACCATGATTTCCTCGGCCTCGACGGCCTCTTCTTCCAAGAAATCGTCAAGCTCTGCAAAATCAAGCAGCATATCGAAGTCGTCGGTCACATCGTCTTCAAAATCTTCGTCGCCTACGACGTTGAGTACTAAGAAAGTTACTTCATCGACTAAGCAATTGACCTTGTCCACTCAGAAGACTTCTTCGTCTGCCGCTGCTTCAAAATGCAACAATAAGGATATTACTGATGCCAAGGGCAAAGTCTATACCATCAAGTGTAGTTCAGACACCAACATTGGAGCATTCACAAACAAGCCAGCCACCAAGTCTTTTGCCGATTGTATGACTGCTTGCGATGACACACCAAATTGTGTCGCTTTCTCGTACGTTGGCGGTGATCAAGGACAGGGATCGGGAACCTGCTGGCTCAAGAGTTCAGCAGGTGGTGCCATCGCTGCTGGCACTGACCACGTCGCCGGATTCTTGAAGTCCGCTGCCTCGTCTTCCAAGATGATGACTACCTCAACCAAGAAGTCATCTTCATCCTCTGCCAAGGTCAGCACCTCGACCAAGAAAGTCACATCGGTCTCTAGCAAAGCATCGACTTCTACTTCGACCAAGAAGACAAGCTCAACCAAGGTCAAGCGCGCCACTGCAACGACTTGCAGCAATCCCAACAACATCATGTTCAACTATGCAACCCCAAACACACCCACACAGTTCTTGGTTGACACAACTCTGGCTGGCTTGGCTGCTGCTCAGTGGTATNNCCCCCCTGCCGGATATAGCACTAGCTTTACCAATGCATTGGCCGGGCTCTTTGCACCGAACTACCTTGGCTACCAACAGCTCTCTTCATACGATACCAGTGCTTGTGCTGCCTACTGCAATGCCCGCTCTGATTGCAATGCTTTCAACATGTACATTCAGCGCACGCCTACTTTCATTCCCGACGACTCTTGTCCCAACCCCAACGCCGCCGCTCAGATCACATGTGCTCTCTACGGTAGCCCTGTAGATGCCTCGCAAGCTACCAACATTGGTCAATACCGTAAGGATTTTATGGTTGTCATTCAAGGCTCCAATGGTTACAATCTTAATCCCGCACCTGCTTCGGTTTCTTCTTTCCAAGGCCCTACTGCTCTTGATGGTGTTGCGTACAGCTCTAACATCTATCTCGGCCAGAAGTATTTCTCTACTTATAGTGTCTCTCAATGCAGTGATTTGTGTAACGCCTACACAGTCAACAGCAAATCGCAAAACGCCGGGTCTTCAACGTACACGCCTTGCAACTATTTCAATGTCTTCAATCTCACTCTCAATGGACAGACTCAGCTGATGGGATGCTACCTCTTCTCCACCAGCGACGCAGCCAACTACGACAACTACAGAACAGCACAAGATTCCAGTGGAACCGTGTACAATCTGACCAATTCCTACGGTTATGCTTTGTATCCTCAAGACAAGGGACTCACCAGCGTCGCATGGACTCCTGCGCCTACCGGCAAGAACGCATCTTGCTCTGCTCTAGGCAAAGCTGGCGATTCTTTTGTGGATTATAATGGTGTTAACTATACCCTTGGTTGTGGGTATGATGTCCAGTATGCTGCGGACATTGGCAACCAGACTACGGCAGACTTTTACTCTTGTTTCGCTATCTGTGATAGTGGCGTCTATCCTGGTTGCAATGGGTTTGCCTACCTTGCTAATACCTGCTATTTCAAAAATCTGGCTGGCACTTCTCGCACACCGCAGTTGAACAACTATAATGTGGACATGGCTTGGATGCCTTCGTCGTACGCTGGCTTCAACGCCTATACCGTGCCGGGGACTGTCTCGTATACCACGACTACGACTGTCTGGGCTGGTCCAGGAAGCACTACAACCACCACAATCAATGGTCTGGCTGGAACTGTGATTGTTAAGACTGCAGGCCAGGTCCCTGCGGCAACGACTACCACTTATATCACAGTCACTGCCGATTCAGGCACGGCATCCACCATCGCAACTCAAACCATTACACCCACCAAAGGATTGACCGGCACTGTTTCTATCATCTACCCTACGCCAGTCACTACATGTGGAAACAAAGGCGCGGCGGTAGGGTTCTACTCCAATCCAGTCCCAGGACAACAGGGAGTATCACAATACCCAGCCTTCAAACCCGAAGCCCTAAAGACAGTAACACCCTACCCACAAGTCTCCGGCATTTCCTACATCGGCGAGTACAACGATGACACCCACAGCACCTACGTCTACGGCAAATACCAATCCAGCAACACCCTCTCCACCTTAGCTCTCAACCACGTCTTCTACATCTTCGCCGGCCATGGAACTGGCTACTACTACATCAATTTACCTCAAGCCGATGACGTGACACTGCTTTGGGTAGGCCCTAATGCCGTTTCCGGATATACACGCGCCAATGCACAATTAATCCAGACTTGGAGTGCACCTGCCCCAGCAACTCTGGGTTTCTTCCTTACAGCAAATACGTACACGCCTGTGAGATTGTGGTTTGCGAATGGGGGTGGGTATGGTGGGTTCCAGTTTACTCTTACTGCGCCGGATGGAGCCACTATTCTCCAGACGACGCCTAACTCGAATGCCGGAGTTATGAATCCGGATGTGGTCATGTTCCCTTGTGATGGGTCTAAAGGTTCCAAGTTCCCTGCTTTTGGCAAGGAGACTTGAGTATTTCTGCATATGCGTGTATATTTCTCTCTTAATTTTTTTTCAGCGATATAGAACTTTTCTTTTGTCTATTGTATATACTAGACTGATTTGAGGTTTTCAATTCATTTCTGTCTCAGTTGATTCTTTACATCTTGATTGTTTTGTGATGTGAGATATGTAGCCTCCCCGTGTGCAAAAGTATGTAACACGTGTGGCTATAAAAACGCACAATACCATTAGACAATAGGATAGTATTCACTAAGGAGCAATCTCTTAGCAGCTCTCTTTGGCCAATCTTCATTCTAGGATAGAACTGTGCATTTCTACAGCGTGTATTTTGCTCACTGCTATAGTTGGAGTATAGTGAGGCTTACATCTTTCAGCACACAGGCAGGAGATACGAGGGATACGGAGTATCACAAGCAAGGACGTCGATTTTGTATCCTCGTATTTAGTCTTTACGTATCCATACGGCAGATACCTCTAAGTTGACAACTCTACTCCGAGCATTCGCGCTAGAAGACATGAGATCTCGCAACACTCTCCACGAATCTTTCTTTCTATCTTTCTCTTTAGCTCATTCTTACACTTTTGCCGACGTTATGAAGTTTGACATTTTTGTAACAAGTCTCTTCTTCACCTTTACCCTCGCCCTGCCTCGAGACCATGCCCAGACAGCCATGCTTGATAATATCCACCTTTGGCATCCTCCCGGTGCAAATGATTGTTTGTGATCACTGTTGTCGAATTAGTATATTCTCATGCTGATCCGTTTTCAGNNAGTCAGAGGCCCTTGCCCAATGATGAACACACTCGCAAACCATGGTTTCATCCCCCGCAACGGCGATAACATCACAAAGCAAAACGCCATCCGAGGTCTACAAGAGTCTCTCAACTTCGACGCTGCATTGGCAGGATTAATGTGGGAGCAAGCCATCATCGCCAATCCTGAGCCCAATGCTACATTCTTCACTTTGTATGGTTTTTGGCTCTCCACTTTTCTTGGTCAGTGGGATGATGGTCCTGATACGACGATAGANCAGCAACTTAATCGCCACAATATCCTCGAACACGATGCAAGTCTCAGCCGTATGGATGCCTACTATAGCAACAATCATATCTTTGATCCTGGAGTGTTTGCCACTACAACACGCTACTGGACCAACAAAACACTGACAGCNAAAAGGCTTGCAAACAGCAAACTAGCAAGGACNATAAGAGAGAGCAGAGCTTTCAACCCTAGCTACTCGTTTGCAGAAACTAATGAGCAGTTTAGTCTTGGCGAGGTTGCTGCTCCGGTCATTGCGTTTGGGGATGTTGCTAAGGTGACTGTGGAAAGAGAGCTGGTGGTGTACTTTTTCGGTGAGTACGATTGTGTGAAAAGGAGAAAGGCTGACATGTATCCAGAACATGAGCGTTTGCCGTTCGAGTTGGCATGGCTGAGGAAGAATGAGGCGGTGACACTCAAGCGTATCTTGAAGGCTGTTAACTCAATCAGGAGTGCCACCGATTTGCCGACTAGTGAGACATCCTCGGTACAGAGTACTTCTGAAAGCATCCAGATCGCTGATGACAATCTGCATATGCCAACGAAGTTGTAGTGAGTATGGTTGGTTTTGATTATGACGCGATTTGCCACCATTGAAAGCAAGCTTCGGTCTGCAATCATCTACTTGTCCTGTATAGAAATCTCTATATCCCCAGTAGCTCTTCATTGTCGAAGATGTTGAGCCAGTACTCCCACGATTGTGCATCGATCTCGGGATTTTCCAAAGTTGTATCGTGACTTGAAGGCAATGCTTCATTTCGATTCTGCGTTGGCTGAGTGTGTTGTTGGGGACTTGTGCTCAAGCTTCCAGCAATGTTTTGTCCGGTTGATCGACTCTGCTGTATTTGTATCTGCTGCACGAACTCGGGCACACAGTCTGCAGTCGAGGCTCTGCGATTCCAAGCTCGGAGTGCCAGGTTATTGAGACTGTGACAGTAATTACTGTAGAAGCTCTGGTGATCCCAACCGAGGAGTTCAGGATTGTAGTGATATGCTAGCGAGACCTGTTGCCATGCTTCATCCGCGATGGATTTGTCCAGCTCTTGGAACGCTAAGCTATGAAGTACAGGAAACAGGGCTTCGAAGCAGTAGAAGAGTTTCGTGTGCCATCTGTAGCGGTCCAACATCTGGCTTGCGCAGCTTGAGTGTTGAGTTTGTAGAAGCAGTAGAGCTATGTCGAAAGCTTGTTGCCTATCACTCGTTGATACATCCTTATCGGAAGAATCATTGTTCAGATGGCAATGCCGAAGAGCGAGACGATATCCGGTCGTTTTGACTAGGCACCTGGACACACGTTGAAGCGGTATTGAGCCATCACAATGTCTGGCGTATCTTTCTTCCAGACGAGCTTCCAACTCTTGAATGGCTTGAATCTTGCTTTGGCTGTCGGAATGCAGACCAAGATTCCGGACGAAACTGCCAATCTCATATCTGATGGAGCAGAACAGCATCTCCGTTACACCTTCTCTCTCAGGTGGTATTGTAGTCATTTCTGGGTGGAGGTCTGCGTCATTGAAATTTAGTGGTCGCTTGGTGTCAAAGATAAGATTGTGAGCTGGATCGCTGCTGTCGATCTCCTCGCATAAATTGACATAATGGCGGTTGAGAAGGTAGATCTGCCACCAAAGTCTGCGATGCATCTCTGCTGCAAAGATGGTCATGCCTTGCAAGTTTTTCTCCCTGTGAATACCCAGCCGGTGAGCAAGTCTAACTGCGACGCCTATCACTAGCCAGAGACTCTGTGGGGAACTATGCTGCCGAGCGGCCATNNCTGGATTTGAAGCACAAAGTCAGTAAGCCTGTGAGAAAGATAACGAGATCGGACCGACCAGATACAATACAAGAGCCTGCAACACTTCTGTTGTAGCAACCTCCACGAAGTTGGCGTCAGCAAGGGACCTTTTAGTCAAGACGAATAGTCTTCGGATGCACTCGTGCTTGGGAAACATCATAAGATTAAAGCACTCCTCGTCATTAAGTGATTCGATGGCTGTAAGGAAGATAGAAGAGAGCAGCGCTCGTGACTGCTTTGACAGAGTTTCTGGTCTGCAACTTGCTGCTTGCAGTACCATACGTTGCATAGTCTGTACATGCAGCAAGTTGACCATAGGGTTGACATTGTCGATGTAGGTCTGCCACAGCTGAAAAATCTGCACTGCCTCGGGCCATTCAGAATTTGATGCCGAGTTACCAGGCAAACAATCAAACAGAACAGATTCTACTCTGAAAGGTTCGCTGCGGATCTCAGAGATTTGTGTGACGGGCACCTGGATCTGTTGTGAAATGCCACTTGCAGGCGGAGTGATGGGGTTGGTGTTCCAGGGCGAAGGATTCACAAGCGCGGAAAAGTCTGTCTGCTCAGTCCCAGGTCCCGCTTCAGATCTTGTGTTTCCGGACGCAACATCTCTTCTNNCCCTTCGTCTCGTGGCCAACGAATTGCGATGGTTCCGTATGCACTCCACCGCAGCTTTCCGACACGCTGCACACGGAATTTGACCGTCACATTTGATCTTGCGTTGCTGACATCGCGTACAGCTATGATACCGTGTTATAGTCGAACTCATGGCTGATATGAGTAACCGTCGGGTTTGAGATAATTGCGATACAGAGCGAGTAGTTGAAGAGACTGGAAAGGAGCGGTCACCGGAATTGTCGGCGTAACGGGACCGACGGGACCGACGGGACCGATGAGACCGATGAGACCCACCGCGCACATATTTTCCGTCGCGGCGTATCCGTCAACAACCTCTTTCTCGTTCAACAAGTATAACAGGCAGGTTAGCAACAGCGAGTAGTATCGACAGATCATAGCGCACTGATGACATTGGCAAACCAGTATGGAATATGCTGTCATAGATTGGCGATTCTCAAGCGAAAGTTTCGCTCACGACCCTTTGCCATGCCGAGCGTTGCTGCAACCTCTGATACCAAGCTGCTACGTGTTCTCGAGAAGAGATCTCCTTCTCCATCGAAAGACGTGGGAGGAAGTGGAGCCATGGGAGATGGTACAAATCTACAAGCGAAAACTCNNCTGTTCATTGATCAATATCACCCCTTGCCAAAACTCCACTTGAACTTACATGACTAGTCAAGTATGGTTGGGTCGCAAGAAGCTTCTCATAGTAGTCAAGCACTTCTTTGAAATTCTTCTTCATCAGCTCGACCACAGCATGATGTGCTTCGCCGCGACCAAAGANATCTGCGGCAACAGAATTAGCAAGAATATCATCGGCTGGAACACAGATTGTCGCTCACTGCTTGAATAACTTCTCGTATGCAAGCTTGAAGATGCTCGTATCGAAGTACGAATATTCAACTGATGCGGCCTGCTCAAAGATGGCAAGATTTTCTGGATCCATCGGAGCCAACAAGGACGAATCTGGGTGTGCATACTTGGCGATCAGATACTTGCAGATGGCTCTGGATTCGAATACGTGAAGATAGCCATCCTCAAGCGCTGGAAGCTTGCCAAAGGNGTGGATGTTGCGAACGAACTCAGNGCTTCTGGACGCAAAATCAGTTACGGGTGAGACAATATGCGGTTCGTATAGTCAAACCTTGTGTGCACCTTGGCTCATGTCGACATCTATCAACTCGTATGGCAGATCGAGTTCGTTCAAGACAAGCATTACCCGCTGCGTACAGGCCGAAAGCTGAGATCCATAAACTCGTATGGCCATTGCTCCGCTGATCAAGTCTGTAAGGACTTTTTGGTATCTTGCTCACCATAGGCTTGAAGCCGTATACTTATATTGTTTTGCTTGAAACACGGACTTGCGGTCCCGTCAGGAGATGTCACGGAACTTCTGCAGCGCGGCATGAAGCGAATATCCCTGTTCGTCGACGTCGAGCATGCGGATTAGAGTGACGAACCTCCGACCATGTCGAAGACGGGGATCAAGCTCAGGCTCAACGCGGGAGTAAACGCGTGCGACCGCGATGGTAGACTCTACGTATACGAGGTTGCATTCATCGCTTCGAAGGTCTGCATTAGTCCTGCGATGATTTCTCTGCTTTCAAGCCCTACAGTATTTGAGAAACCGGATGATTCAAGAAAGAGGAGAAGCAAGTTGAAGTGATGTATTAGGCGAACGGGTCTGATGTCATGGCCAAAAATAACAAAGTTTCGAGTCGAGTCTTGGCAAAAGACCCTCTGAGTTTCTATTTTCGACGACCGTTTGGACGTCTCTTTGCGCCTTCGAGACAACTCCGCTTCCAGACTTGACCCTAAAGAGCTATCGGAAGGTCAGATATCCGCCTCATCCTTGGCAAATGGGTCTTGTACGAGAAGATCGCTGGAGAAATGACCACAAACATGGGGTCGATCTCTCTTGTACGAGAATTTACATTAACGGTAGGCAAAATATCTCAGACATGGCGACGGTGCGAGGGAAACTCTTCTCGGCTTTTGTCATTGCACGTTGAGAGTGCCATCCATGTGTTAGGAGAATGGGATATATAAGACCTCAAGATGCTCCTCCTTCAACAATCATATCTCATCTTCATTCAGCATCTTCACAGCACATCAACATCACAACACATCAGCACACCTTCATTCTTCAACAACAACAACAATCAATCACTACATACATCGATCTTGAACCTCCACAATCGACAAGATGCTTTCCAAGTCCTTGATCTCCGTCTTGGCTCTGACCTCCGCTGTCTCCGCCTCCCCCGCTCTCCGCCGTGAGACTCAGAGCAACGACAACTGTCTTGCTAAGACCAATGCTTGCCGCACAACTCGCGGCCCCGATGGCCTCTCTGCAAACCAAGCTCAATGCTCAGCAGAGGATGCAGCTTGCAAGGGTGCTTGCTATGCAACCCTGATCAAGTGTCAGAACACCCGTGGTGCTGATGGCCTTTCGGCCAACCAGGCTGCATGCATTGGCCAGTACGCCGACTGCCTTGGAGAGAACCCCATCGCCTCGACTGGAGGTATCATTTCCAGCTTCATCCCTTACACAGCCACTGCCTCTTCTTCCGCAGCCGCTGCAACTACCTATGCTTGCAACCCTGCTCATTCTTACCCCGGCGGACAGCAGTGTGTCTCTACAAACGGTGCCTTGACTCTCGTCTCACCTACCACCTCAAAGGCTTCTTCCGCAGCCGCCGCAACCACTTACGCCTGCAACCCCGCTCATTCTTACCCCGGTGGACAGCAGTGCATCTCTACCAACGGTGCCTTGACCCTTGTCACACCCACTAGCACCAAGGCCTCGTCCACAAGCACTACTGCCGTTGCAGGCTCTCCTGCTCCCAGCGACTGCAAGTCTAAGGACAACATCTGCCGCACTACTCGCAAGGACGGTCTCTCTGCCAACATGGCTCAGTGCGCTGCCGACAATGCCGCCTGCCAGGGCGCTTGCTACGAAGCCTACAACAACTGCAGAACCACTCGCGGCCCCGATGGTCTTTCCGCCAACATGGCAGAATGCGCCTCTCAGTATGCCAGCTGCCTCGGCGAGAACCCCATCGCTTCCACTGGCGGCCTGATCTCTTCGTTCCTGCCTTACAGCGCTACTGCATCCACCATGGCTACCTCTACCGCTAAGGCTTCTTCCGCTGCTGCTGCCTCTTCCGCTGCCGTCTCTGCCGCCGCTCCCGGCTCCAACCCCAAGAAAGTCGATGGCGCCACCTGGACCTTAAACAACGTGATCCGCTACTGCGGCGACAACAGCAATACCTGCGACTACAACTTTGACATTGTCGCCAAGGGCAAGACTGAGCACTGCACCATTGTCAACGCCTCCAAGCACTCTTTCTCAGGCCAGAAGTGCGCTAACGGTGATTACACTGTTTCTTGGGGATACGTCGCCAACCCTGCTCCTGCTTTTGCTGTAATCACTGTTGTTGATGCTAAGAATGAGTTGGCTTGGTTCGGTGCTAGCAATGTTGACAGCCAGCGTACTTGGGGTAACCTTGGTCCTGAGCAGGTTTACACTTACAACTAAGCTGTTGCTTGGAAGTTTGATCGCACATGAAGTGATAGAAATTTGTACATACTGACGTGAGGTGAGATAGAGGATAGGAGAACCTAATTCAAGCTTTCGCGAGCCAATTTTTCTTCACTAGGACTGTTGTTTGCCAATGTTTGCCCAGCTATTAGTATTAGTATTGCAACACTACTTTTCTCGGTTGTTCTAGATCACCTGGTTCCCCGAGTGGCTCTCTTTGATGCCGAAGTCGTTGTACAGCAAAGTTCTCGTGGCGCTATGTTTATCGAGCACATCGCGAGGTCGTGCTCGGCCTATGTTCCGGATTGTGGATGTCTCGTAGATCGTCCCTTCAACAGCTAAAATACATACAGATATTTGGAGTGATACAAAAGTTATCTGTTTTTTGCGCATGCAGGGAATGGTCATTTTGGTTGTTGGCAGGATATGAGTGACTGTCTGAGAGCTTCTCTGACATCGCCCAAACTACATTGATGGTGAAGGGAGCGATCATAGAAGTTTTTCAATGTATTTACTCGGCCACAATTCTAAATACAAGCCTGGTTGTTATCTCTTCTCAAACTCGTGCAACAAACTTCATGAGTATCTTTTGAGTGTTCTCTTGGTATGTGTTCATGAACGTGGCGTAATCGCCTCCTTGGATCATGCAACCATTTGTGCATAGAGTAAAGTCTAACCAGGCTGCAGGTTGAATAGAAGCTAGTAAGGCCACGTGTTAGTATTTGAGGCCCGACATGCGTATAACCCACTAAACATATTATCACTTACACATATCGTTATTGGTCCAGGTTGTAGAAAGACTTCCGCATGACAGATCGAGGTTCCACTGAAGAAAAGAATCAATATCAGTATCTACAGCGCATACACGCCATGTATCATTCTTTGACTCACGATTGAAGCCTCGGCAGGTCCGTTGTAGCCAAGAGCGGTAGCTCCAGTATTAACGTTCTGAGCCTTGCTATTAGGTGATACTGGAGAAACGTCAGAAGTCAATTTCAACTTGTCACATGTTGTCAAATACTAACCGTAACTGACTGGTCCAGTATATGCATAGCTGCGAGGACAACATGTTAGCCCACGTTTTGGCAAACACAGAAACAGTAAACTTACTCTACATGGCCAGGACCCATGGAAGAGTACCCACCAGAACCCCCGATGAGGCCCAGATAATTTCCGCCTGAGGGATCTGATGCGGAGTTCTGCATGGTCAAAGCGAGGCCAGATACACTTGTGCAGTCGGTCGAAGTGTATGCCAATTGCACGATCAGGGCGTTGTCCAGAGAATCCTCATTGTACATGTACCCTCCGGACTGAGAAGTATCCTTTCCCAGATACCCAAGCACGGCCGAAGTGCTTGCATCCAACAGTTGGATGACTCCAGCCACTGTCACCTTGTCTGTTGAACCGCAGACAAATTTGAGCTGCTGCCCAGTCGCTGGACATGCTGGCGCATACTGTGTGGAAGGCGTCACGGTTGAGATGACCGAAACCAAGGTAGTCTGTGCCGCGGCAGTGACAGTGGATGTGGCTACGGTGATGGTCGAGGTCACGGTGGGGGATGTTGCAATAAGACTGCAAGCGCTTCTAAAGATGGAAGAAGGGTACTTGGTAAGAACGGCGGGAGTGGACAAAGATCCGGCGGCGCGTTTCGCGTTGGCTGCAGCGGTTATGGTCGAAAATACGGTACTTGTAACCACAGGTGTGGTGGTGGTCAGAGCGGTGGCAGAAGCAATGGGGGCGCTGTAACCCAGAAGGCTAGAGCAGAAGGGCTGGAAAACAGCAGTCAAGGAGGATGGAGAGTAGGTCATGTCCTGACGAGCTTGGTACACAGCACCGGTAGTGTCACCGACAGTAGGGTCGACACCAGCGTCAGTCTTGGCATAACCGAAGCTGTAGTCGACAGTGTACTGATCCTGACCTCTCCACTGACCGCCGTTGACAGCGTACTTGATAGGCCAAGCTTCAGTGTAGAGCGAGCAGTATTGACCCTGAGGAACGATGGTGCCATTGGCCAACTTGGCTTGCAGGAGGTAAGTGTTGAAGAACCTGCAGACCTTGAAAGGAGTGCCGTCCTTAGGAGCTGTGGCGTTATTGTATTTGGTCTGAGCATCGCAGTAGTTGGAGCATTGCGAGACGTCCCAAGTTCCAGTGAAGATCTTGGCTCCCATGTAGGTGTTGTAGCCCTGGGCGTCGTAAGGTGCGTTGATGGCAAATTTGCCGAAAGGCACACCATTCTGGTAGCCAGCAGGAGTAGAGATCTGGGTAGTCACGTATCCGTTGGATCCAGCGATTGCGACCTGGAAGTTACCGCGCATCTGGCCAACGTTTTGAGCGTTGTCCTGAGTGACTTGGCCACCCCAGTAAACGCNACTGTCCTAGTCAGTCTTATATCAACAAGCAAACGCAGAGATGATATTCACCTTGATCATGGTGACCGATGCAGGATTCGAGCAGGATGGATCGTCAGGGTTCANCTAGCCAGAGTTAGCTGTGGTTTGGACAGAAGGAAAAGATCAGTGTCTACCAGAAGGATCACGTTCGAAGTACATGTTGAAGGAGACACAGCCGTATTTGGCAGTGCATCGCTGTGCGCAAGTGTTGACGTCGTAAGTGTCGAAGGTGTCAAACCTAGCGTGAATTAGCTTGAGGCTTGGTTGCGAACCAAACAGTATGTTGATTTACCCCATATAACCGAANNTCTGATTTGAATGTTAGCCCAAATTTAATGGCGAAGGGAGGAGGTTGGTAGCTTACGCATTGTTGGAAGCTGTTTGAGCCTTGAAGGATTGGGTATAGCCAGAGGGAGTTGGCGCGGCAGCAGCAACGGAGGAGTAGTAAGTGTTTGCACGGAAGGCAGAGACGTTGTCAGNTGTCTGCTCCGGGTGCGTAGGTAGGGGCGGAGCTGGCTCCAGCAGGCTGCTGAGCACAAGTGGTCGGGGTGGCAGCCGCTCTCTTGGATACTACAGCAGTCTGGGACAGAACATCGCTGATTTCGACGCTGACAGAAGATACAGCAGCGGTGGCCGAAGCGATGAGAGCTTGGGGGTNNCGACGGTGATTGTCTGAGCAGTAGCACCAACAGCTTCCGAGTATGTCGGATCCGGGGCAGCCAAGACCATATCAAGATCGATATCTTGAGGTCTGGGCATGGCAGCAGCCAAGTTGGCCGCCAAAGCGGGAAGAGCATAAGATGAGAAACGCATCTTGAGATCGAAGATGGTAGTCGGTGAGAATGAGAGATGAGCTTGAATTTGAGATCTACTGACCGCAGTCGCCCTATCTTATATACCACAGCATCCTCTCATGGAGGCTCTTGTATAGCAGAAATCTCGGTCTGGCCGACCGCTAGAAAGTACTCTTTCGGACGCCATGAGGCATCCAAGGCAAAGGTTAAGCTCACCATTTCCTACAAAGGCGTGGTCGATATCAGCTGAAGATCCAGGGGGCTTGGAGAGGCTTGGTAAATACGGGGTAAGAGCGCTAGGTAGGCATCACTCTGCGTGGTAGAAGCTGGAGAAAGAGTCAAGGTCGGTCGCTTGGAACGAGGAGAAAGCGCGATCCCCCCATGATCGGATCCTCACACGATGCCCAAAACGTGCTAGGGTCAAAAGCTTACCAAATCTTGGAGAAACCTCCGATTCGCATGTTTCTTTCTGTTCCTGCAGAGTACCTGTCAGCATGTAGAATAATCAACCACACGTCTTCGACGGCAGTGATGATATTTTTGCAAGCAAGCCCAACTTCGTTCATTCAACGACATCGTTGAAGAAGACTCACTTTGCGACAGGATCGGTCGCCGCACAAGTTCAACGACCTTGACTACCCCGTTTTCTGCCGTCCCCACGGGTGAGACATGGGCTTAGGGCTGGATCTCAGCTCCTCTGACTCTCTGGGCAGTTGAGCAGCTTCGCTTTCCCAGACCGCAATCTCTGATCACGATGCATTGAAGATTCGGGGTCCCCGACGAAGGACTTGCCGAAGTGCTAGAAAGTCTCATTGCGATGCTCTGTTGTTACACTCCCGGTTCAGGGTCTTGTCGAGTGCGGTGAAAGGTCTCTCCCGGGGTGAATCTTGCTCGGCCTAGAGCGTCGGACATTCTTTCCAAGATACTTTGTCTTCTCGGGGATCTGCGTGACAGGCCCACGTGCCTGTCGACGCCGATTCGAGAACTTCTTGTCGCTCCTTGGATCTTCAGGGATATCACTCAAGCCGGTGACTAGCCCAGAAGGGAAGTTCTGCAGAAGTCTTCCACATGGCAGATACCATTCCGGCATACAACTGAGCCACGTCTGATCTAGTCCGCATTGTCTTTGCATTTTCCAAGCCGTTTGGAAGCACTGCAGGATACATCGTACAAAGATGCCGTCCTTCAAAAGTTTGTGTGAAGTTCAGCAGCTGGACTTGTGGCTGAATCCGCGGTGGCATCTTCGAGGTCCGTGATGGTTGTTGTCGTTCCTGCGCAGCAGTCAGACAAGGTTTCTCCTCAGCAAGCTGAACTGAGATGCTTCTTGAAGTCATCAGATCTTCTCGGGACTCTGGCATGTCTAACGAGAGAGAATATCTAGGACAGTCATACGAGCCAACCGTTAGAAGCTGAATCGATGCTAAGGAAGATTCAGGCCGTCTGCCGATTACACTCAGCCATCTCGAGAGATGCGCGTGGCCGTCAAGTGATGGACGCACCTGTTTTGATTGGTCACGGCAACATTGAGCGTAAATGTTCTGATACCCCTCAACCTTCTTCATGGGTTATTAGCCTTCTGACATTCAAGAAGACAGCCAAGTATTGGCGAGGTTACCACCATGTGCTCGGCGCAGAGCAGCTGCACTAACACGCGATAGAAGGTTTCTCGAAAGGTGGCAGAGTTCACGGTACCACCAAACACCAGCTCATACCAATATCGGTCAATATCGCGATCATGCGACTATCCGCCCAGCCTTACAGTAGAGGTCATCAACAATCACATCCGATGCTTGGAGTCCTCAGCTCTGATCTCGATGTCTCTCCTTACCCGCTTCGATTCACCTTATGATTCACCCGCGCTCATGTCTGCTTCTTCGTTACCCAGTGCAATGTTTGGGTGTCACCGTTGCGCTAAACCGGCGTCAGGGCAGGTGACCGTTGTCGGCAGGTCATCTCCGACTCTGCCGTCCCGGAGGGCGAAGCGCGAGATCTTCAGGTACGCGGTTGATCATTTTCCCTTTTCGCGAACCATGCGAGAAAAGGAAGAGGATGTCGAGCCGGAATGCCTGTCTGTATTCTACCGCCAACTTCGAGGAGAGGGGAAGTGAAATGGCCTTGTTGCGCTCGATTAGGCTTGCGGAGGGGATTGGTCGGAAAAAACGTGATTGATGACCGAGAATCTGTTGCTTCTGTCATTGTCTAGTCATCTCGTGGGGTGTTCGTCTATGATCCTTCATCTATGTCCGTCTCTTCTGTCGACGTTATGTGCAATCCCGTCCACTGCTCCTCATCAGTGTATCCGGTGGTAAAGTTGCTTTCTATTCCTTCTTGTCTTCATTCTCTTCCTTGTCGCCGTTCTGCTTGCCAGCCTCCTTGTAGATATCACTGTCGAAGTTGACAGGGAAGTGCTCTCTGCCCTCTGCATCCTTGTTGACCCAGACAGCAACACTGCAACCAGGGCACTTGAAGACACCATTGCCTTCCTCGTCGATAGTGACTTCTCCTTGCTCCCATTCCAGCAAATCCGTCCACACCTCTCCCTTGTGCTCAGGCCCCACATGCATCTTGATCTCTCCAGGCCCAGTGTTGCTCATCACCACCGCACATCCATTCTTTCTATCGTGTGTTCCTCTTCTCACCCAACCAATGCAGTTGGGGTTGTCCCAGTAGTCATTGAGTTCGCCGTATGCGAAGATTTTGCGTGCGAGGATCAGGTCGGCGAGTTTGTCGCCGCAGGCAGGAGGTTCGGGGTTGTCGCCTTTTGTGCCGTAGAGGTCGCCATAGAAGATGCTGGGGTAGCCGTCGCGGCGCAGTAGGATTAGNNGGGAGTAGGCGAGGGGCTTGAAGAAGCCTTCGACGGGGGTTTCGACGGTTTGGCCGGGTTGCGTGTCGTGGTTTACTACTACTGNTCTGGTTGGTTGAGACTAATGTCAGCGTGCTGTGTTTTTCATAATGGGAAAGAGGGAATGGATGGTGCTTACCACAGCGTTCACAGGCATGTCCTGGACCAAGGTGTCATCGAACACCTTTCTCAGATCTGCGTTCTCCGTCTTGCTGAGGCTTGAGAAGTTGTTGAGCAGCGGGCTGTCATACAGCGAGAACTTTCTCTCCATCAGGTTGACCCAATCAATCAGGTCTTGCTTGTTGCCAGTCCAGAACTCTCCAACGTAGAAGAGATCGCCATACTCTTGCCTCAATGCCTCGATCCACTCCTTGGTAAAACGCTGCGAAAAGTGTTGCACAGCATCCAGACGGAATCCCTTCAGACCAACCTCTTTGACAATCCACTTGCCCCAATTGGTAACATCCTCGCACACTTCCGGATGCGAGTAGTCCAAGTCGGCAAACATGAGGAAATCGGCATTGCCGCCTTCATCATCCACAGACTCGCTCCACCCCTTACCCTCACCCTGAATCTGAAAAATCGCATTCTTGCCCGTTGCAGCATCATAATCCGTACCTCCGAAATGATACCAATGGTATTTCTGCTTGGAGTATTTATCGCCTCTGCCGTCGAAATTGAAACCCAGCCATGCGGTAATTTCTTTGCGGTCCGAGATTTGCTTGTCGCGGTCGTTGGGGTCGACTTCCACGACATGGCATTTTTCCTNTTTGTCGGCGGCGGCTTTGTGGTTGAGCACGGCGTCCCAGTAGAGGCCGATGCCTGCGTCTTTGGCGGCTGAGGACAGGGCGAGGAGTTCGTCTTTGGTGCCCCATTTTGTGGCTACGCCGCCCTTTTGGTCGAACTCGCCCAGATCGTATAAATCGTAGACATCATAGCCATTGCNCCTGTGTGGGAGTTAGTATGGAAGGACTGTGTTTGCGACAACAGTTGCGGGGTGGTGGGGGTGTACGTTGGGAGAGCTGGCTTTGCAGCCTGGAGGAAGCCAGATGTTGGAGATGCCGATGTGCTTGTAGGCGGGCATCGCATCGTGCAAGCGATTGTAATGCTTGCCATCAGCAGGAACATTCCACTCAAAGCCCTGNNGAAGCAAGGTGTAGTTCTCGGGTGTAGGTTCTTCGCCGCCCATGTTGCAAGATGTCGTTGTATGAAGTCGCAAAGATGTGAACGGAAAAGCGAGTAAGGGAGAGGAAAGACGCGAATAACCGCTGAGATAAAAATACAGAGAGTGAAGAAAGCTCCAACAATGACAGCACACTGGCGTAAACAGGTATATGCCACTCTCAACAACCTACCGGAACCTCTCTCAACAAAGAGAGAGCTGCCCCTCATGCCACCTACATCACGAATGCCACACGTGGCAGTAAACAGATCAACAATCAGGGCCTTTCGACCAACGGTTTGACCCAAAAGCAGGAATTCTAGGTTCTGGGCGAGCAAGGGAGGTGATAAGAGGCTAGACTTGACGTATGTGGGCGGCACGGCGACAGTTGAGTTTTGACACTTCTGCGGGTTTGTGGAGGAGGTGGCCTTTGCTTATCTGGCACGGATCCTGGTCCGTGGGAGACAGGGTGATAGCACAAACATCATCCTGAGGCGGTTGTATGGCAATATCATGGTTTATATGGCCTCTACAACAACTGCTCCATTATCATACTGATTTCTCGTGGTATATATCTGATACTATGTCCAATTAGTTTGTCAAAAGGTTGATGTGGTTGTGAAATTCCGTTTTGCACATTTTTGTTTGATTTTGAGAAAAGCCCTGGGTGAGTCTTTTTGTTTTCTACTCCTTGCTTCTCGCTCAGCTGAACATCTAGCTGTAGTTTTCCTCCCGTCAAGGAGATTGTCAGAGCTCATCAAGATTGCTCTTACCAATGCACATACAAATGCCATGTGCCTTTCGAGCCAAATGAGATGTAGCTATTTCTGCTCGTCTAAACGCCTACACGGCCATACGTTGGAGTCCTTTGTCTTCCGAGATTCTACCACGCTGCGGCTTCTCATCACGAACCTCAAGGACTCGACACCTCGTCACTAGTGAACAATTCACGTAACCACTCAAGCGCAAACGCATCCTCTTGTTCGACTGCATGCATCGCCTCACCCGCCTTCCTCGCACACATCACCACTTGATCAACCACGCGACCAGCAAGACCCCTTCGCTTGAGCTCCGCCGCATACGCAAACCGCTGTTTCCAGAACCTCCAGCGCTCAACGCTGAAACCGTCCTCGCCTTTCCACAAAGCCTTGCTGCCATCACTGCCACCGATCCACTCTCTCCATTCCATGTCCCCGCTACTTAAGTCTTTTCTCTTGCNAAAGTCCCAGATCCGCGCCGCTGAGTGGAGGAGCCACTGTGCTGCTGCGGGAATGTATATACCTGCTCTTCTGACTTGAGCGTAGGTTGAAATATCCACCTCTAGAGCTTGTATCAAGGCATCTCTAGCGATACGTTGCATACTCTTCCACTCGTAAGTTATGGAGGGTGTTAGAGCAGTAAGATACATTGCGGCAAAGCTATTGGCGGCTTTGTATTGTTGTGCTTGTTGTTGCCAGGTTAGTGGGCAGTTGCCCAGATCTATGTTGTGAATTGCGTGCACATCTGTAAAGTCTCTGTGAGCTTTTTGCAAGAAAATAGATGCATGCAGGGCNNACTTACGAAGACCGGTTTCCAAAAACCAGAAACTGAACTCGGGAATGTCTCGCCAAAAGGTCCGTCCGTTTTCTTTGAATGGCTTGCTGTCCACAATCACATCGGGTAGTTTTGACAGATGGAGAAGCACCTCGACAATGTGTTGATGGTCTTTTAATGTGGTTGCTGGGTATATGATGGCGCGAGATAGCAATGAGAAAGGGTAGAACGATATCTTTTCGCCTCTGAGCAGACGAGACTCATAGATTGTCGCGATAGCATGAGCTGCTGACTCGGGAGTGATGGACTGGTCGAGAAGGTCTTGGATAATGGATATGGTGTTTTGTTCTTCGGGTCTCGACGAGCAGAACTTGTCGTTTCGTTCGTGGTCTGCCCATTTTTGTGTCATGGTTCACTGTGGGATAACAATTTGCAGGGCGAGCACTGCTTCTATCAGATTTTGTTCGCAAGTGCGGTGTCTGGATACGTGAAAGAAGGATTCTCATTGCGTCATGGGAAAACACGAGTCAGTGTGTTTTGATATATACGTCCGTATGTCCTCCCCGTATGCTACAGACAGTCGCAATTTAACAACTGGCCGCTTCTCCATCCAAGGCGTAAGGGTGATTATAAGCTGTCGAAAGGCACAGTCGCAATTCACATATGAGTCTTGCCATAGAAATGTCCTGCAGTGGGGTTCCCTGTGTGAAACCCAAATTCTTTGTAATGGTATTGTGCATTTTTGCAGCTACACTGTGACGGTCTTCAGCACACGGGGAGGATCCTTGGCTACATGTCCAGTCATCAATCTCTGTTGCCGAGAACGTCCTGTCTCATGCTACGACCTTCTCAATCACAGCAACACCATGTTGCTCGCTAACCAAGACCTGCTTCTTCTCCAAGGACTTCTTGACAGGCTTAGGAGCTTCGAAGATGTCATCGAGTTCCTCGAGCTACAAGCAATATGTCAGCAAAGTTCCAGCGACTAAGGACAACACTGATATACTTACAGTTCGATTGCGAGTCTCTGGGAACCACACCCAAATGATACCGGCCTGGGCAACGCACCAGATGATAAAAATGATATAAGTCTTCCAGCCGATGTTCTCAAGCGACACGGGCCAAGCAAACTGATTGAGCAGACCACCGGCATTGACAGCCAAACTCGAGAACGCCATTCCCTTGGCACGCATCTCGAAAGACAAGACTTCAACAGGGTACAAGGCTTGCAGAGGGGTAAGGCAGAAAGAAAAGACAGCGCCAAACATAAAGATCATGGCGACGGTGGCTTTAGCAGCACTTGCGTTTGCGGAGTTGTTGAAGATGCCGCTGGCTGTGGTCATGCCGACCCAGACGATTGCACAGCCGGTCATACCGGTGAGCATAAGGCGGCGTCTGCCCACTCTGTCGACGAATGCGGATCCCATGAGTGCAAACACGAACTGGAAGCATGCGTAGCCTAAGTTGATGTTGGTTTGTTGAATTGCTTGGTGGTAGCCAGCAGTATCCAGCACGGCGCTGATGAAGTACGTGAGCACAGCGTTTCCTGCCCANNTCTAGAAACGAAGTCAGTGTCAGCACATCTCAAGAAGAGTCGAGCGAACGACGTAAACATACTGTGCGAAGATGCTAAAGCCACAATTGCACGCGAGTCTGTAGCGAGAGCTTCTCTTCTTGAACAGTGCGCTGTAGTCCCACCAACGCTTGTCGGCACCGTCCATGTTCAGGAAGTCTTCGTACTCAGAAAGCTGGAGTTTGACCCAAGCACTGTCTCGGTTGCCTTGTCCGTGCCATTTTGTGAGAGTAGCTATGGCGGAATCTTGCTTGTTGTTAACATAAAGCCAGCGAGGGGACTCGGGGATGAACCAGACAAAGGCACAAATGATCACAGGACAGGCCATCTGAACCCAGACAGGTACAAGCCAGGATGAGTTGCCGGTAAGATTGAGAGCACCTCTGACACAACCTGCAGCAATGATACTTCCAGTAAACCAGAAAGTGTTGCAGTAAGCTGTCACTTTACCACGATACGCCGGATGGGACATTTCGACTACATAGATTGGTCCAGCAGACGAGGCGATAGATACGCCGAAACCTGAAGCCCATCAGTCAAAGCACAAACGACGCGAATCAGCACACCTACCGAGCAAGAATCTGCCGCCCATGAACTGTCCGACCTTCCCATCACTGAATGTTGTTCCAGAGATTACCGTGCCGACGGCAATGATGAAAGAGCCGATGAACATGCCCCATTTGCGGCCCCATGTATCGATGGCAGGACCGACAAAAGGAAGTGCGACAACACCACCAATTTGGTACATGGAAGAGACGATACCGGCCCAGATTCCTGCGTTCGAGCCGTGGAAGAAGGATTTGAATTGTGGGTTGGCGAGTAGCCCGTTGAGCAGACTTCCGTCGTAACCGTTCATGGTTCTGTGTGACACATTAGATATCTTTGCAGAAGGAAGCAGCACACCAGTGACTTACTGGCACAAGCAACCAAGAAGAGTGCATGCAAAGAGCAAGATGGTGGTCGAATTCATCAGCGACGGGTGCTCTCGAATCAAAGCGTCGTTGAAAGCCGTGCTACCCACGATCGTCTCGATATGTTCATTGTCTGCTTCGGAGGTGTCGACCTTCTACTTAGCGTCAGCATATGTCCACAGCCACTAAGACGTGGTGAGTTGTACCGAAAGGTCTGCGACCACGTTCTTCTCGTCGTTGATCATGGTCGAAGATGATTCCTGATGTGACTCGACAAAGATGGTCAGACTGTAAAAGGATATGAGAAGAGATGTGTCGATTGACTGTGGGGTTGTAGTGGATAGATATAGATCTGCATGCACCCCGCGTGACAACCCCGGAGGTTTCAATCTGGGAGATTTTTACACGGAGGCGAGCCCTCCGCATGCATATAGGGAGCCGTTGAAGCTTACCGAGCCTGGGGAACGCCATTGTAGCCCATCCTCCACGATATCAGGTGTCCAACATCTAGTGCTTGGTAGCGAGATGATGACCAATGATTACAACGACAGGAGACGAGCATACAGCATATATCCCATCTCCAAAGAGTCAGTGGTTGACTGCGAAACCGAAGAGTTGTCGACGCTCCCAGACAGTCAAGAAGGCGTATCGTGGCTCAGACATACCTTGAGCTGTCTACCTATACGAACCACGAGAGGCAATAACATATTTGATCTGAGCAACCCTGCAAGAATTCATCCGTGATCCTGCAAGGTCCACATGCAAAGCAGCGCAAGCGCTTGACCTGATCTTGTCAACCAACACCACAAGACATTGCCAAGTAAGTTCGGCAGCGACTAGGACATCAAGCGAGGAGACTAGATCAAAACCAGAGGCGTTGCTGGAATTGCGGCCCTGATCGCCTGCGTTGAATGGACTTACTGACCATTGACATGCTTATCTGTGAGAACCTGAGGAGTCGAGAAGGTTGTGATTCAATTGTTCTTCGCGGTGCCGTTGCACAGCTGTTATACAACCACACAAGTTCGTTGACGTTTTCATATGTCGAGGATTTGACATTGAGCGCGATGATTACTGGAGGCTAACCATACGAGTAGCTCAGCCCGTATACTCGGATGCAGTTGCGCTACCGGAAGCGTTCGCAAAAACGCACGATATGTTACGTTCGTAGATCGACCTTCGTGACACGCGACCGTGGTGTGAACGCAGAAGGACAGCGGTGGAGGTCGTCTCGGAGGAAGCAGGTAGGTCCGTTCCTGATTGGGAACCTCGGCTATTACTCCTGCCCAGGATGGTGGGGAAGGACGATCTAACCATATTAGGAGCGGAGCTCTGTGAGGCACCTCCGTCGAGCTCCTGTCCCAACCTGGCATGCCGTTGACTATCAAGAGCGACGACTTCAAATTATCCGGCTCAAGGTCGCACAGTCCATCCTGGAACCTTTATAAGATGTGAACGCTTGCCTTAGTGTCGGCTACCACTCGTCCGTGTATACAGCAGACATGACAGATACAACCAAGACGTCAAAAGCCATGCTGGTGCATGAGCTTAAGTTTCAATGGGAGTTCAAGCAGACCGATCTGGACAGTTGGATGCCAGTAAAGACTGTTCCTACCAATGTGCATCTTGATCTGATCGCGAACGATGTGTAAGCGCAGCTTCATTTACGTGCCTTGTGTCACTACTGACTTCCAGCGTCGCAGNNTATCCCGGACCCCTTCTTGGGTTTCAACGAGCTCAAATGCGAATGGGTGGCCGACAAAAGTTGGACATACAGAACGAAGCTCCCAGATCTTGGACCTACAAGAGAAGGTCAAATCCATGAACTTGTTTTCGATGGCCTTGACACGTTCGCGACGGTCAAAATCAATGGAGAGGTTGTCCTCGAAAGTGACAACATGTTCATTCCGCACAGGGTGGACATCACGAAGAAGCTCAAAGACAGTACCACCAATGTGCTGGAGATAGACTTCCGGTCAGCGCTCATGGAAGGTCGTAAAATCAAGGATGCTCATCCTGAACACAAATGGGTCGGCTTCAATGCAGATATGGCTAGGCTTGCTACAAGAAAAGCTCAGTACCATTGGTAATTTCCCACACTCAAAAACTCCAGCGCAGATACTGACATAAGACAGNNGGGATGGGATTGGGGTCCTGTGCTGATGACTTGTGGTCCTTGGCGAGCAGTTCGTCTTGAAACTTCATATGCTCGCATCTCGGATATGCGCGTGGACTATGATCTCAGCAAATCTCTGGATGATGTTGTCGTGCGAATCGCAGTCTTTACCGAACGCTCTTCTGACGCAGATGTCAAAATTCGCATCCTCTCAGCCCATGATCTGATATTCGAGAAGACGGTCTCGGTCAACAGCAAGGGTGTCGCGAAGGCAGACTTTCATATCTCTCAGCCAAAACTATGGTATCCTCATGGCTATGGCGAACAACCGTTATACACTTGCGAGGCTGTGTTGGTCTTGAACGGCCAAACAGTGCAGTCTTGTAGCAGAAAGACTGGTTTCCGTCGTGGTGAACTGATTCAAGAGCCAGATGAAGTCGGCAAAACATTCTTNTTCAGAATCAACGGCATTGATGTGTTTTGTGGCGGCTCTTGCTGGATCCCTGCTGATAGCTTCACCCCACGAATCACGAAAGAGCGATACCAGTCGTGGCTGCAAACCATGGTCGATGGCTACCAAGTCATGATAAGGTACGCGCATCCTTCTGCTTACATTCTGACCGTCCTCTGACGCTGACTCNNCAGGGTCTGGGGCGGTGGTATCTGGGAAGAGGATATCTTTTATGAAACCTGTGACGAGCTCGGCATCCTCGTATGGCAAGACTTCATGTTCGGCTGCGGAAACTATCCCGCTGCGATCAAAGAGTTTAGAGATTCCGTCGAGGCCGAATGTGTTGCCCAAGTCAAACGTATCCGTCATCATCCTTCGATTGTCATTTATGCTGGCAACAACGAAGATTACCAAGTGCAAGAACAATGTGGTCTCACTTACGACTACCCCGACAAGAACCCTGAGAACTGGCTGAAAACCGACTTCCCTGCAAGGTATATCTACGAGAAGGTACGTAGCCGCTACAGTCAGCATTTGCATCACATAAATTAACACTCCATCAGNATGTTGCCGGAAATCGTTACTTCGCACTCGCCTCATGTGCCGTATCACCCAGGGTCACCATGGGGAGACGGCCTGATATCATCTGATCAGACCGTCGGTGACATGCATCAATGGAATGTATGGCACGGCACTCAAGAGAAGTATCAGATCTTCGACACGCTTGGTGGCCGCTTCAACAGCGAATTCGGTATGGAGGCCTTCCCTCACATCGACACGATCAAATACTATGTCACCGATCCGGCCGAGCTCTACCCTCAATCGCACATGATCGACTTTCACAACAAGGCTGATGGACACGAGAGAAGGATTGCAACATACTTGATCGAGAATTTCAGAACAACAGATACCTCTCTCGAAACGTACATACATCTCACGCAACTCAGCCAATCAGACGCATTGATGTACGGCTACCGTGGCTGGCGACAGCAATGGGGTCAGAAAAGGCACTGTGGTGGTGCTCTTGTATGGCAACTCAATGATTGCTGGCCCGTCACATCGTGGGCTATCATCGACTATTTCCAACGCAAGAAACCTGCTTACTACGCTATGCGTAGAGTTTTGGCACCAATCGCCATTGCAGTCAAGCGCGCGCACCATGATTGGAGCGTCGTTCATGCCCGACCTGCGAAGACAAGTTCTTACCAATGCTGGGTATCCAGCAACAGCACGAAAAGTGTGACAGCGTTCAAAGTGGAGCTAAAGTTCATATCTATCGCTACTGGCAAGGAAATCAAGCCAGCCCTCATCAGAGACAACGTAAAGATTACGGCAAATGGCACAACGGATATTTTTGATGGCGAAATTAACAATGANAAGGAAGAGCCGCATGTCCTAGCGGCGCGGATCTGGGTAGATGGGGAGGAAGAGGTCGTGTCACGAGATGTCGATTGGCCTCAACCCCTCAAGTATCTGAACATGGAGGAAAGGGGCGTCAAGGTGGCATTTGACGATGGCAAAATCACAGTGACATCACAGAAGCCGACAAAAGGTCTGGTCTTCGAAGAACGCGAAGGTGTTCTTGTGAACGATAGTGCTGTGGACATTGTGCCTGGAGACGAACAGGTCATCACAGTCAGAGGGTTGAAACCTGGTGATGCACCACTGAGATGGCGCTACTATGGGCAATAGCTACCAAGAAACTCTGCTAGTACAATCATCAACCAAAATCGTGACGCTACGTGGCGCATGGATCCGTTTGCTTTTGAAATGTCTATATTGTACCTGTTCCACAAGTGCGCGGGGCCAGAAACCCCACGCCGCCCGGCAAGGACGATCAAGAGAAAGCTTAATTCTATGCCCTAAGCATAAAAGGCACCTACCCCCAGACTGGGTCGCCGCGACTTCCTTTCAACACTCATCCAATGTGTAGTCAAGCGGTGGAAGGTTCTGGGTCCGCGCCTTCTCAAAAGCTCCAACATCCCGCAGGCTAATAGAGGTTACCCCGCTACCATGTTCCATACCTTCCAGGCCACCAAGACTCTCGGGGACGATGCGACAAATACTGCCAAGCTACAGCGACCATCAGGGACAAGACGTATTACAACAAGCAATGCATGTGGTAGGATGGCTTCCATATATCATCGCATTCTTCAGGACGCTCATTTGGCGACAGGATCTTGTAGGCGCAGGAAGATACGCTGCGATGGCGCGACTCCTTGTGGCCAATGTAAGTACGAATCATACAAGCTAAGGAATCTTGAGCGTTTTCTAAGTTGATTGCAGGTATCTACTATCAGGTATGAGCATCCGGCAACGTGCAAGATGGAGCAGTCAAGCGCTGATACTATANNGCAGCAAGCAGATGCTTGTCTCTACTCCAAGCCACCACCACGTGTCGTGCTATCCAAGAAGTAAACTCAGCACCACACTAGCTACACCAGAAAATGGAAATCTAATGCTTATAGATTGATGGAAGATCTGTCAGCGTCTGTTGACCAATATCGCTCGGTCTTCGACCGTCTTTTCNNCCCTGGTAGGAGTATCGAACAATTGGCCTCACTTCCCAAGGATGATCTCATAGCCATCATCGGTATACCTCCAACTTCGAATGACCAACTAGCTCGAATGCCAGAACTAGATTCTCCGATATCTACTATTGGGTCCGAAGGGGCCGAAAGTCTGGAGACGCTCATTCAAGCACCGGAGCAAGATCCAGTAGCCGATGAAGCCACACGACATCAATCCAGAGTGCAGGGTATCTCTGATGATGTCAATGGCCTGTCTTTATCATTGGACAGACCTTCCTCATACGTTGGTGTCTCATCTATCACAGCCGCCCTCAAGGTTATCTGCAGAGTGGCTCCTGCGACACGAAGATTGCTCGCGCTGGATCACACTGAAACGGCTCTACCTAGTCGGACGGACTCGCCGGAAGTGATCAACATAGACCCTGCATACTTACCACCCTCTGAGCTTGCACAAGTCTTGATCGAGACTTACTTCAAGAAAGTTCATCCACTCATGCCTATGTTGGATGAACAACAATTTTGGCAGACCTGGCTTTACGGAGAGCGAAAAGACCGTTCTTGGATGGCTCTGTTTAATACAGTCCTGGCTCTTGGGTCCGTGATGTCATCAGACTGTACCGATAAATCTCATGATGCCTATTACCAACGGGCGATGCAACTCTTGGATCTCGAGAGCCTCGGTAGTGGCAACATACTTGTCGTTCAAGCCTTGGGTCTCTTGAGTGGCTACTAGTAAGTACAAAATGCAACAAGATAGCGCGATATGCTCCACTAACAATGAAGTCTCCACTATATTAGCAGACCAAATTTGGCAAACAACCTTATGGGTGCAACACTGCGTCAAGCCACTGTACTAGGCCTACACCGAGAGTACACAGACGCAAGCACAAGCAGTGGAACCACTTCACACAAAGCTATATCTGCCGATGTGCGACGAAGAACGTGGTGGAGTCTTTACGTTCTGGACACCTGGGCGAAGTAAGTTTACCTGCTTTGAGAGATTTGAAGCAAGACAAAATGGAGCATCACTAATCTTGAGNNTAGCGCAACCACTGGTAGACCGTCATTGGGACAGCCAGATAGAGGAATCACTGTCCGGGTCCCATATGTAAGTGCAGAGCAATACATTTGCAGTTCAAGTGGTCGTAGCTGATTCCAGCAATCCAGNGTCAAGGATGACTTAGATCCAACAACAGTCAGCTTCTTACCCTTGCCGCATAACGTTACTTTTTGTCGAATCGCTTCCCAAATTCAAGACGCGTTGTCTACTACACCACTTCTGCCATTTGAGGAACTCAACAGATTAGACAGAGAGTTACTGCAATGGCATACTGATCTACCAGCTTACTTGAAGCCTGCGAGGCTGTCCATCACGAAGAACCAACGGCCTGACAAACAAACCGCTACTGCAAAAACACTCGAGATACCAAGCATGGTAATGTATTGGAGATACCAGAATCTTCGCCTCCTGTTACATAGGCCTTATCTCCTGGCTACTGTCTTGCGTACTGGAGGCAACACCTCACTCTCGACCGAAGAAAAGGTTGGAGTGGGCCGATGCAAAGCTGTCGCAGCTCGCACAATTTTGGATATCAGCAATATGTGCCCGGAAGACTTACTTGCTGGCTGGAACGGGGTTTGGTTCATGTGAGCAGGGCCAGTTGCATCTAACGGGAGTTCTTCGCTTACATGCCTACAGNNGTATCAAGCAGTCATGGTCCCGCTAGTGTGTGTTTTCTCCTCGCTGGGCAAGCTGAGAAAGATACCTGCAGATGGCCATCAGATCCTTGGAACGACCGGGCCTACCATCACTAACACTGCCGAGGATAGAAACATGTGCTCCGATCAGACCGAGATACACGAGTGGCGAGCATTGATCGAGAAAGCTTTGAGTTTCTTCGAGAGAATGGATCGCTGGTCCGTGGCAGCNAAAAAGTCGCGCGACGTCGTATCGCGGCTATATGGAGCCAGCAAGCTTCTCGCCAGCGGAGATTTGGAGCACACCCTTTCTGTCCAGGCCCAGTCAGACAGAGTAAACAATCCACCTCTCAATCTGGCTACAGTCGTGGATAGCCAAACTGCTCAGGAATATGTCTTTGAGAACACTCAACTACCCTACTCGGCTTCGGACATGATGACCGAGGACATCTGGGGCTTGTCACCGAATGGCGCTGCAGCGATGAACAACTTCTGGTTCGATGATATGATGTGGGAGGACATGTTTGAGAACACTGGCAATGGGCTCTCTTACAGCGAGTTAGACTGGTTGGCAAGCTTGGACACACAGACTGGCAACGATCAGACCTGGCAAGATCAATAATGAGGATGCGATCTCGAGCTCGCTTAAACTAAGTCTCTTTGAGGCAGGAAAACTCTGTGTTGCAACTCGATTGTGGCGATTATTGCAAAGTGCGATATTGTCCTGAAGCGACGCCTACTACATTGGCACGAGAAAATGAGGATGATGTGTTTGATTTGTTTAAGAAACAGTCGACCAGTGATTTCTTTGTCGACGACGAATAGAGAGAAAGGGATTACCAGAATTCCAAGCCATAGAACAAAAAAACAAAAACCATCATCCTTCTCAGCCACGTTCTGTCCGCTTTTGTGCAGACAAAGAAACAAGGAAACCAAAAACCAACAAGCAGTCAAAGAGCCAAACGCATTTTCGCGATTCATACGAGATTGAGATCGCAGTATCGTATCCTGACTGTCGTACATGTCTTCTGCTGCATCACTAACGAGCAAACAGAGCCGCACAAACCAGCAACTCGGTGAAAACTGGACGCTCAGACTTGCTCCTTCCTATTCGTGTAGTTCAGCATCAATGACCCTAGAATGAAAAGACAACAAAGAACAACTTACAAACCATCCAAGGCGGCAAGATCAGCTTCCATATTGTTGAGACCTTCTCTCAGAATTCCAACGAACTGTCTGAGTGCGGCGGTACCACGGTCCACACGGGTACTAGGGTTGTAAGTCTGCACGTCGAAGGTGTCGTAGTCGTGAATCAAGACACGCTGGCGGCGGAGCAGCTGGTGTGCGGTGGTTGAGATATCGTGAATAGCACGCTGGGAGGCTGACATGTTGTCGGTGGTGCTGGCGCCGATGCGGTCGTCGGAGCCCAAAGTGATAGAATCGGCTTCAGCGGCGGCGGTGATGAAGGCATCGGGGCTCTGGATGTTGCGAGCGAGGGCGATGAATGGGTTGGCGCTTTGACTGGCTCTGGGTACTCCGCGCACTTCGTCGAAGAACACAGGGAGAGATCCTTCGAGGTTACGAGGTTCGGGGTAATCTCCAGAGGAGAACAGGGCTTGGGAAGTCTTCTGGACGGCGGGAGTTTTGGCCTTCTTGGTCGTGGCGGCAGAAGTAGTCTTGGATGCTGCAGTAGCCTTCGGGGCCGAGGAGCTCTTGGGCTTCGAGACAGGCTTGAAGGTCGTGGTGGTACGACTAGTCTTCTGGCGAAGGTGACGAGGCGGAGGAGTGACTGGGATGTCAGCGCTGGCCTTGCGCTTGTTCAATTTGGGGTCAGGAGAGCGGCCGTCTTGGATGTGCTTGTCACAAAGAGGCGGGATCTCAGGATCGATTATGGCATAGCCGTTGGTGCGAGCGGGGGTCAAAGGGGAGAATGAAGGTGCAAGTGGGGAGGCTGAAGATTCAGTCTCGCTGTTGCTGTCATTCATCATGACAGGGTCTGTAGTAGTGCTAGAGTGGCGGACTTCTGCAGCGGGTAGCAGGTGTGCGAGAGCATCCGCTACAGTCTCACGGTCACTGTCGTCAAAGGCGAAGGTATGGCGCGATTGAGGTAAGGAACAGTTTCGGTTTGAGCGTACTGGACGCGCGAGATTGATGGCGTTTGAGCTACCGTTGACAGCACCAGAACAGTTTTTGGAGTTTGAAACCATGGCGGAGACTGTAGAGAGTCAGTATGAGAGGTAGGACTGAAGTATTGCAAAGAAAATGGAGAAACTCACTCTTGTTGTGGTCGAGTTGATGGTGAAAGTCTGCACCAACGAGTGACCAACTTGATAAGGGTCCACGAGACAAAAGTAAACAAACGTAGTGCAGGTGAAACTCAAACACGAGCGTGTCGACGTCGTCGAGAGCAAAGATCTCGGTCCTCTAGATGCACACACAGCTTTTGGTCGGTTATCAAAATGCATAATTCGATTCGGTATCCTGGTTTGTCCAGAGAGATGCCTTGCTCGATAGAGCTTTCAGTGGAAGAACATTGTATCTCATCACCTTCTTGCCTTATTACAGATATCTTGGGGTGCAACGATGACACGAGAGTCATGTTGGTCATCTGGCACCGAAGCAGACATCCTCCGAGTAGATAGAGACAACTATCAGTATGCTATAGAAAAGTACGAACGGCTCTGATTATGGTAGTCCAACCATAGAAGCACTCCGCTTTCCAGTTTCTCAATGGACAGTAGTGCAACTTCGAAACATATCTTGCGTTTCTATGGGCATTGAAGTGGTATATAGTCAATGGGGGGCTCAGATAGAAGTCACAGATTTGCACATGCTCGGGCGAGGAAAGGAGGTAATTATCACACCCGTCAGGGGTGGTCGCAGACTCGCAGTGAAGTATCATGCGTTAATGCACAGTTCTACTGCCAAAAGTCGAAGGTACAATAGAAAGTACGCAGCTCGTCGTGAGCTCGTATCCATCCTCCGCCGATACCGAATGCCCAATGCCCAATGGTCAAAAGAGACGGGCTCGCTTGTAGGCGGCCTTTGATTGTCCTCCATAGCGGGTTGATCACTTGTCGGCAGCAGCGGGAGAATCTCCAGTCCTGTCCACACCAATCAGTATCGAAGTTTGGAAGGAAGCATATCAGCTCAGCTTACTTGTTGGCCTCTTCAGTGGAGGTGCCGCTTTCCTTCTTGGAGCGGATGCTGTCATAGATTCTATGCGTGCACATCAGTATCGAGATCTCGCGCATGACGATCCTCGAAACTTACCCAGACTTGCTGCGGGAGAGCAAGCTGTTCTTGAGCTCAGCGGGAGCGGCGTCGACGTCGGCGACGTGAGCCTTGAGCTCTGCGTCTTCGACCCAAGTCTTGACGTCGCCGATGTTGGCGGCGGGAACATCTTGGAGAGCTTCCTTGATGAGCTTCAGGTCCTCGTCATCCTTGATGACCTCCTTCAGGCCATTGATATCCAGGACCAAGTCTGGGTTATCGTCGACGGTTCTGACTGGGCCAGTAGTGAAGTGGTGGGTAGGTCGGGTGGTAGCGGAGTTAGTAGGAGCATTGTGGGCGTTGAGAGGGGTGCCAGTGGTGCTGACAGCGTTGCGTGCTGCGGAGCGGGTGACGGGTGCCATTTTGTGCTGCTCAAATTCAGTATGTATGATCCAAGAAGGTGCCGAAGCGAAGGTGCAGATCAAGGAGTGGTAGGTATGTTATGGTTTGGATAAGGGGCACTTACAATCATTTTGTGGTTGGTATGCAAGGAGATAAGGCGATGTGGTTGAGGTTGGCACGTGGGTGTGAACAAAAGGGCATCAAAACAAGTAGCGAGTGTGAGAAGAACCTCGTTGTCGTCGACGGGAAAGCTCAGACCACCCCGGGCCGACGGTCGACAGTGATATTCCGTGGGTTTCTTTCACACAATAATGAGTTTGCACTGTTTATAGATCTATTCAGGATATGCGGCAGCATGTTTCTCTACGAAGGAGCTCATCTTCAGCCCCTATCTACTACCTGTATCGTAAGCCACAGGGCCAGCAAAGCTAACATTACTCTCAATATCTCTAAACACTATTGGTGGCATGATTCCAGACTTCTAGAGTCCTTCAGCGTGAAGACCAGGAGACAAGAGTACTATCTTTACGTTTTGAGCCTTCTACGCGACGAGTGGGTCGGCGATGCTGGGTGTCGAGGTAATGGGCTCTATCACTTCTCTGAGAGTAGGACTCTGATTTGTGTGACTCCAAAATCGATTCGAGTCAGGAAGAGCATCTTGAATGACAAGCTTGTAGCAGAGCGAACGGTTTCGAAGCCATTTGTCAAGAAACAGTCACCATTGTGTTACTGTGGCATACATGTTGGGAAACTGTGTTTGATTCATGTGTTTGATTCAATCGAGTGGTACCGTTATCATTCATTCAGACTGAAATGCAAGTTTATCCTCCTCTTCTGCTTGATTCAGGTCTACTCGTACTTGAAGGATACGTCCTTTGGGTCGAGAACAAATGTCTTCTTGATCTCAGTGTAGCTGTTCCCATGTATTAGTCTTGGGTCACTTCTTTGGCAGTGCTTTACTATACTCACACGACAGTCAGGATGTTCAAACAAGCTTGGGATTTTGAGACTTTGGCCAAGGTTCTGACCAAGGCGAGGAGATCTGCGAAGAAGCAGGCCTGTCTCAAACCATCGAGCGAAGCTTTGAGATCCTCCCACTCACGGACAAGTTCTTTCGAGCGGCAAGTCTCGAGCTCTGCCTCGATGACTTCNNCAAGAGCAGCTCGAATATCTCTTCTCTCAGGGGGGATGCCAGTGATCTTGACGGCGAAGTTGGGGTTCTCACTGGTACCGTCGCCGAAAAGCTCCTCGTNCAAATGAGCCAGAGATGGCCTTGGGAGCGGCATCATCGTCACTGTCGTCCTCGCTGTTGTTGTTGTTGTGAGCAGTAAGAGAGTCGTCAACGTCTTTGTGGGCGGAAAAGAGTCGTCGACGTCTTCGTGGGCGGGAGGATAATCATCGATGAGGCAGCCAGCCTTCACCTGAACCATGATCTTGGCCAACAAGAGCGAGTCCTCTGCCCAGATAGGATGGTGGGCGCCGTCGACGTCGGGGTGCTTCGTGGTACGATCACTGCGCACAAAAAGTCAGATCCAAGTTACGACCGCATAAACGAAGTTGTTTCAGTATGCGTACAGTCTGTTGGTGCGGACTTCGCAATCAGGATACATGCAGACATAGGGTCCCATGTTGTGAATTGTAGGACCGCCCAGGTGTGATTTGATGTATTTTTCACCGCGAAAGTCTTTGATGATTCCTGCCTGCTCGCAGATAGGGCAGCGGAAAGGAAAGGCCATGGCAGGCATCTCGTTGGTGATGCAAGATGTGGATGGATGCTTGTTTGTTGTATGTGGTGGAAAAGCGAGACAGTGATGGCGTTCCGTCGCACTGCTACACGGTCGTGCAAAGCGCGTGTTGCGAGAGGCTCCGTGTGTTGTGTTTGATGTGATGGTACTTGCATCTTCCGCTCCGCGACGACCGTAGCGGAACCTGCACTCCTGCTGGGTGCACGTTTGAGACTCACACGAGAATGGTACGAAATATACTATGCATGACACAACAAAGTTCCCGCCCTAGCAGACCTCTTCCAGATCAAGATGTACGCCTGCTAAACAGAAGTCGACAGCCTTGACTGGAGAAAAGCACGGCCATTCGGGATGCATGAGTGGAATAACATCAGGTTCGATGTGCTGTCGTCATGTTTTCTTGGATACTTACTAGTTGTCTGGCGAGATCTTACATATCGATAGCCTACAAAACTGCCTTACATTGCTGTGAGAGGATACCGTACTTGATGTCCTTGGACCATTTGGATCATGGATATTCACGAACACACAAGAGTCTAGCAAACTTGTAGCGAGAACGAATCAGATGCTTTTCTACCTTTCGCAAGTTTGTTGCTATGTCTCGCCATGGGGTGAGGTTGGAGAACGAATGTGGAGAAGAGCCGCAAGCCGACGCCACAATCCACGCCCTAATCCTGACAAGTCCTCCTACACCTCGAAAATGACCTCAAGCGCAATTCCACTCTATCGTTCAAAAGATCCCATCGAGAAGTTATCCAGGTGCAGGACGCAAAACAAAGACGAACATGGACAAGGACAAAAGGATTCTTATCGTCGGCGCTGGCGTCTTCGGTCTTTCCACGGCTTTGGAGCTCAGCCGTCGTGGATACAGCAACGTTATCGTCCTGGACCGCCACGCTCCTCCAGTCCCTGATGGATCCTCAGTCGACATATCCCGTATCGTCAGACCAGATTATGCCGATGCCTTCTATGCCCGAATGGGTATGGAGGCTCTAGCTGGTTGGAAGAAAGATTTCTCACCATTCTTTCATCGCAGCGGCCTTCTTTGTGCTCAATCCGGAACAGAGTTTGGTCACGCTTACCTGAAAGAAGCAAAAGCCAATCTCGAGAATATCGGTGCTGAGGTCAACCTTTGGGCATATACTGGGCGAGAAGCAAGTCAAAGGTATCCAGGTATACATGGCGATCTGTCGCAGACCAGTGGCTACTGCAATCTGGATGCTGGATGGGCCGATGCCGGCAAGAGTATCGAACACCTAGCTAGCTTATGCGAAGAAGCTGGTGTCACGTTTCTGGTAGGCCAGGATAGTACCGTCGTTGAGCTCATCACGACCAAGAGCGGCGATCGCATGGAAATAACTGAAATCCGAACGGCAAATGGAGAAATCTTGGAGGGTGAAAAGGTCATCATGGCTACTGGAGCTTGGACACCTCATCTCATCGAAGCTGGAAATCGATTTATCTCTACTGGACAGCCGGTAGGCTACATGCAACTCGCCTCCGAGGAAGCTGAAGTAATGCGAGGAAATCCAGTCATGATCAACTTGAGCACTGGCTGGTTTGCCTTTCCTCCAACACAAACAGACAACGTCTTGAAAATGGCAAGACATGGCTATGGCTTCGAGACCACACATACTTCTCAATCATCGCAGTACTCGGCTCCAACCTTGGCTTCTCAAGCTGACTACTTGCCTGCCGATGCAGAGCAAGCTTTGAGAGATGGGCTTGCACTGTTCTTGCCCAAGTTTAAGGACCGCGCTTTCTCGAAGACAAAGTTTTGTTGGTATACGGACACGCCGAAAGGAGACTTTATCGTTGACTACCATCCCGGGTACACGAATCTTTTCTTGGCTACGGGTGGGAGCGGACAGTGAGTCAAGTTTCTTGACCCTTTGATCGACATGATACTGACTGCCATCAGTGCGTTCAAGTTCCTACCTAGTTTGGGTCGCTACGTGGTTGACAACTTCGAGGGAATAGCTTCACCCGAGCAAAAGGAGAAGTGGAAATGGTCAGAGAGTGCTACACCTATCATGCCGGGTGATGGGAGCCGTGGTGGGCCTGCTAGACGATTACTCACAGGGGAAGAACAGTCCCGCTTGACACGAGCATTTGCTTCTTCTTCATCATGCATTGGCATAAATACCTGAATGTTATTGCAGCAAAAGGGGAATGTGATCTGTTATACAATAATTCAGGGGTATTCATCGGCCTTCAATCTTGCTGTTCTCTGAGCAGACTCTCTTGTTTGCACTGGCCTCTATGCTTTTCTCCCAGCTCAGTCTGTATCTCAATTTGTTTCCTTGCCGCCTCGCCTTTTGGCTCTGATGCTCGCCTCCGTTCCGTCGCTCGAGCTCTCCCCTGTCTGATCTCTCATGTCTCGTGGGCCTATCCTTCGATCAGCCTCCACGTCCAAGTGTGTTTCTGTTCAGAGAAGCATAGACTAACCGTGCATGTGCATTTCCTCAATTGCTGCATTGTGCGCGAGGCTCATCGCCCAGTGGTGCAGTCTTTGCGGCCTTCTTCAAGAGCCTAATGGCCTTCAAGTCCACCTTCATCGCCTCCAAGTTCTCTGCCGTGGACAGAAGTGTTCTGCGCCACAGCAGAATATCTATTATTGATCCGATAGCTTTTTGGATGATACTGGCGGGGTCGTCATGGTCGAAGGCTGTTCTCATTTGATAGAGCTCACGGAATAGAAAGTCTATGGCTTTGGCTCTGACGATGTATGTCTCCTCGACGTCTTCGTTGCTCAGATGGGCGATGTGCTCACTAGCGACGGCGCTGGCTCGAACTTTGATGGTACGCAGGCTCAGCTTAGTGGCACGACCGTCAGAAACCACGGGCGGAGCAGGAGATTGAGATGCTTCAACAGGGGTTAGAGTGCCAGAGCTCCAGTCGACTTCGGCGTCAAGGGCATCTGCTTCCTCATTTGTGGCATGGAGATAATCCACCCTCTTTGCTTTCACATAGACCTGGCCACTGGAAGGTTGAGGGACGGGTGGAGCGGTAACTGGGGCAGGGAGAGCGTGCGGAGCTGGCGGAGCTGGTGGAACTGTAGCAACAGTTGCTGCAGGCGCAGCTGGATGATGGGGAGGTACTGCAGTCCGACCCATCCATGGGTTTTGGTGAGGAAGGCGGCATTCTCGAACTTCTTGATTGATGCGTGTGTTCAGAGCGAGGTCTAGGTAGGAGCCCACTCCAGTCTCTCCGGCAGCACGGTGATGGGCTGTGACTGCCTCCCTGTGCGTGGTCTGTCAGAACCTGAAGATGAGATGAACATTGTCTGAGAACTACTAACCTTCTTCTGCCAATGTAGTTGCAGCCGGTGCACCTCCAAGGTCCGTATCCATGCGTCGCCAAGTGCGACTTCATGTTCGTAGCAGTCGCACAATTTACAGTCATGCCGTTGAAGAGGCACTCTCGGCAGCGCCAGCCAGTGTTGTTGAAAGCTATGGATCTTGACACCCCGTACTAATGCATAATTCAGTAAGCTGAGTGTTGTTGCGAGATGGAGTGTGATCCTTACATCAAAGAGATAAGTGCGTGGATGGTGTCTAGAATGGTGTATTACAGCTTGCGGTGCGATGGCGCGCGTGAGGGCGCGAATGTTGTGGTTTAAACTCGGCGACGAAGAGTTGCGTGGAAAATCGGCACCAAGAAAGTGGAATCGATTTTCTCGCCTCGATGGAGCAAAAGCGGCTGTTGACAAAAGGGTGTGGGACGAATTCAATGGTGCCTACTTAAGACAAGGAAAAGTTGGTACAGTCGACAGAAAAGTTATCAAACGAATATTCCGGTCGAGCAACCGTCGAGGTTACGACCATCAATGACATCAGCCATGTTCTCTACTTTTCGACTCGGTGTGTTTGTTTTCCTAGTGTCATGAAATAGCAGTCTACGATCTTAGTACAGAAGAATGAGATTGATGGGCGTTACTGTATCAAGCTTGGGCATCTAAAGTCCTACCATTGCTACTCGGTGGAGTACCATAAGGACCATGCCGTCATACCCATCCCTGATATCTTATACAGTCACAGTAGCCGCTATGACTCTATCTTCTTTGTCCTTTCGACTACCATTTGTGACTGGGAGAAGAAAGGAGTGACCCAGAAACAAGACATGTGTAACAACGAAACGCCAAACCCATTTCACCGACCAGTAATTGGTTGCACAGATCCAAAGCTGTACTCAGCATGTGATCTCTCAATTTGCTGTGCCGAAACATGCATCTTGAGAAGAGTTAACAGTTGCCTCCTTTCCCTTGCATCTCGTTCTCGCCCTCGTCGTCCTTCACAACATCGAAGTTGTCAACGATGGCACTATGCATCATGCTCAGTCTTCCCATATCGTCTTCAGTGTTTCCTTTCTGAGTCTGATACCAGGTAAGGGCGACGGACATCTGGCTCATCGCTTCACAGGCTCTCATTGCCAGACTCTCCAATTGATCTTCTTGCAGACCACCGGCTTTCAGACCTGCCTCTGCCAACTCAAGCTCCTCAATGGCGTGATAGAGAATCATTGCAGCATTTCGTCGCATTCCGGCTGGATTGACTTCAATGGGACGTCCATCAATGCCGACAACCTCGTGAGTGCCTTCGGGAATGGACAGCTCATCGATCCGATCAGTGTAGTAACGACCAATGACTGTCGTTCTGCGAATGATGTCTGCGATCGTGCTAACGAGGACAGTATGTTTGGAGGCAGGAGATGCTGGGTCCACGTCCTGGTCCATCTCCTCGTGCTCGTCGTCGAACCCGTCCGAGTCATCATCAGAAGACACGATAGTGTTTCCGGTTGCGGCTGAAGGGCCAAAAATAGCAGGGGCAATAGGGGAGGNAGCGACAATGAGAGGGGCGGCATGGGGTGGCGCAACTGGAGCTGCGGCAGCCTGGTTAGGCCAGACCACAGTGTGTGGTAACTGGCAAAGGTCACTCTCGTGCTGCAGAGCAAGACTCATTGCTCCACTGCGGAAAGGTACGGCTTGTGCATGTCTATTTGCTTGTGGACCACTGTGGCGAGCCTTATCGATGTGAGCTTGTACGTATTCCCTTTTGAAACTTAGTAAAGAGTTTTCTTGAGGATGCGCGAGAAACCTACCTTCTGACACTGGCGTATGCGCAGACTGAGCAACCCCATGGACCCATGCCGTGAACCATGCCCAAATGAGATTTCATGTTCCCCTTGGACACGCGGTTGATGACGGTGCCGTTGTTCAGGCACTCCCTGCATTGAAAGCGCTGCATCTTGAATTGCTGTACAATGATATGGTCTTCGTTTGTCGATCGGTGAGATGCAAAGAGAAAATGGCGGTGGGCGCGTGGAGATAGGGAGAAGAGCGCAGAGCCTGCACGAAAACAGCAAAGTCTGTCTGTCGTTATTGGATCTCTCGAGTAGATTTTCGTTTAGCAGGAGTTGCTGTCGTCGAGCAAGATTAAGCTACTACACAAGTGACGGCTCGTGGTGGAAGTTGGTCGTTTGTTTTCCAGTTTCACACCTTGCCCTGAACTTTTGATATCCTTCTCAGCAACCACAACAACTTTACGCGTATCTTCTTACGCGAGAGAAACATCCATACTCCTGAAGCTGCTATGACTGCATCAATTAAACCACTGTGTTCTCAAAATCTCATCTCTGCCCTGTGTTTTGGCTGGCGCGTGTGTCACAACATTCACAACTTGCGTGTACCACAAACACGTCTCGTCAGTCCCTCTGAACTTCATACGGTCAAGAGTGCATGACTAAAACATAGCATAGCACCTCCTCGCTACAGCTTCGACGCATCAAATAGATCCTGACGTCGCTCCGATGTCGCAGACATCGCATCGTACCTGTCTTGATGCTGCCACTGCAAGCAAACTCCTGTCTTCAGTGACTCCACCAGACGGCAAAGTCATGGGCCTGGGGATCACCTGCTATAATACCCCGTCTTCAAAACCTCCAGTCGAGACTTGCTGTGTCGACTCTATGCGCAGCTGCAATGTGAGATCCTATCTGAGCTCTACGTTGAAGCTCCCTAATCTGACCACCACCCAGAGCGATCCACATGACAGAGAAGCATCAAATGTTCCTATCTCAGCTTCCAAGGGATCTGCCGGTGCTACCATTACTCCTGATGACAGTCCTAGCGGTTTACTAGGCATGGAGAAGAAGAATGATCCCCCACGTCGTTGGCCCAGTGGCGTGCCCGGCCTGGGAAATACTATCCTAGGTCCTCGCCTTCCCATGATGTCCTCCTATCCAATCACTCCTCGCCAGAGTTCTCCAAAGCTCAATGACAGCGCTACCTCAAATCACATCACTTCATCTACCAAGGAACCTCTGGCTTCGCCGTCAAGAAAGCCCTGTCGAGCAATCCGCACGAACACCAAGAGAAGGGCCATCTCACCACCTTCTGGCGCTGAGCCTGCAGCCAAAGTTGCAAAGCTCCCTCCTGGCACATCGATCTATGCTCAAGCTCCTGCTCGGAAGCAAAAACAAACGGAAGAGCAGAACATGCCAGCCAAGCGATTCGGACCAAGACGCCTCGGAACCGCTTCAGAGACTGAGAAGAGAGAGAAAGCTGCTAAGCTTTGGCAGGCTGAGAAGGAAAAGCTCCTTGAGGAGATGAAGAAGGCTGTCGATTGTGAAGAAGTCAAGGCACTCTCTGATGAGATTCACTCCAATGTCGACAAGCAGCATGGTGCGCAGAACGGATCACAGCCTCTGGGTTCCGATGTCGTTATTGAAGGCCGTGCTGAAGTGGCATCTCTGTCACCTGAAGCGAAGAAAATCATGGAGTATGCATGTGAGGATGCTGATGACTCATCTCAACTGTTCATTCAGCAGCATGATGAGCTTGGAAAGACTCATATAGGTCACAAGGAACCTGGAGCCTCTACCCAGAGAGCATCACCCGACAGAAGAAGCACGAAGGATCATCCATCTACGACTCTCGGATGTACCACTGGCACCAACAACACTCAGGGTAGAAACCACCCCCTACCTTCAGCCTTGAAGAGACGTGGGTCTACTCCAACTTCGAGCGGAAAGCGAGTCTCGTTTGACCGCACATCCCGCCTCGTTGATCTCATCAAGGAAGTCCGCGGCTTTCTTCTACCTTACACCCATCTCCACTCTTCTTGTCCAACAGTCCGTCCTCTCCAAATTATCCACAACTCGCTCACTTCGCCATCTCTCACCGCCGCAACGCTTTCAAAAGCACTCAAAGATGCCCAAGAGCTGTTGAAAGTCCTGGTTGCCCATCAAACCACAACTCTCAATGACCTCGAGATCACCAGAGAGGCACTGCAGAGAGTGGGCATGGAAGGTGTTCTCCGCCACGCAAAAGCAAGAGTCCAGGATACAGAGGCCGATGTGCAGAAGCTTGAAAAGTGGATGGCTGAGTGTCACTCTCTTGCTGGCGAGCCTTGAGAAACCGATGTCAACGAAAGAGGAGCTCGGTCACCCAATTACTGAAGCTCGAAGGGTATAAATGAGAAAGGAAGGTCGGAGGAGCTTGAAATGTGTATGGCGATGATTGCATGACGAAGCAAACAAAGAACCGACTCAAAGCAAAGTTGCGGCAAGCAGGACAAGAGGTTTCTCGGGCGGATTTTCTTTGTTGTTTCGATCAGAATGCCTCGTGGCTTTGGTTGTGTCTGGCCTCCATGAAAAACTTTGGGAGAGTCGACTTGTCTTGCATTTTGTTTCTTGAGCTCAGGATTGCAGTATGAGAGCGCGAGGATCCGCACGTTATGGCAGGCAATTGACACGGGTATACCGGCACGTTAGCGACAAGCAGGTGATGGAGCTTACTTTTTAAGCAGTTTAGAGCGATGGCCTAGACGACTGTAGACGGCCACAATTCAGAAGCAGATTCGCGTACTGATGCAATGCTTTTTCGAACCAAGCTGTGAACGGTAGGTTGAAAGAACAAGTTGCAGAGTCTTGTGAGCTGGTTCGCCCTCGTGCAGACGAGCACAGTGATAAGCACTGTCCTTGCAACAGTCAAGTGTTCCCACAAGGATGATACCTCACTCGACCTAGGCATGATGAAGTTTGTCGCAATACTGCCGCCTTGTACTTTCTTCGTGATATGAGTTGAGCTGAGAACCGGTAATGACAACATCGAGTGCAGCATTGGTCAACTGAGAGCAACGGCATCACAGACTCTCGCCAGCAGTAACTTCAACACAGAAGCACGTTCTTGAATCTGTTGCAGCAATTTTTGTAACAAGACTTTGAACATGAAGACGAGGGCACAAAACGAAGTAAGCAAGATTTTGAAACAAGACTTTTTTCCCTTGATTCGGTCATGATATACATTTATGTCTGATACATTTCATGAAAGTGATGTTGATGAACACTGTAAAGTCATCATCATCTTTACTCCATGCCGGAGTAGTTGCCAGAGTCCTCGCCGACTTGGCGGTCGCTGCCCTTGCCCTTCAAGAAAGGGAATCATCTCGCGCCAGAAAGTGTTCGGTGGGTCCAAGAAGGTAGCTTCGTAGGCGTCGATGGCAGGACGCTCCCACACAAGGTCGGTAGTCATAGGCTTCTGGAGCTTGGTCTTCTTGAACACCTTCCAGAATGTGAAGGTTACGGGTGCGAGCAACAACATAGTGTACTGCGAGTCACAAGTCAGCTGGAGAATACATGGCAGTAAAAGGAGTATAGTGTAACATACGTAAATGAAGAAGTTGTCGACCGACCAGGGTGCGAAGGAAGTGTAGCCGTAGCAGGTAACAATCATGATCATCCAGGCAAGTCCGATGTATGCTGAGTAGGGTTGGAACCAACCACAGTAAGGAAGGAGCTTTCTATCGATACCCTGGGCCTTCAATGCGCGCCAGAAGAAGATGTAGGTGACGGTCATGGTAATGTAGTTGATGATACCACCAGCAGTAATCAAGTTGACCAACCAGGTGAGGACCTTGTTGGAGCCGCTGCTGACCTGGAGGAAGGACAAGCAGGGGAACAGCATAACGAAGAAGAAACAGTAGATCGGGACACCGTTCTTGGTGGTCTTGCGGAAGAGTCCAGGAGCGCGGCCCTCGACAGCCATACCGTAAAGGGAACGGGTGGCGCAGTAGGTGTAAGTGTTACCAGCGGAGAAGATGGAGGTGACAAGCAAAGCGTTGACGAGCGAAGGAAGTCCCTTAATACCCATTTGTGTCATGGCAATAACATAGGGCGAGGCGGCAGCAGTACCGGCACCTCCTTTGTCACCGCTAACAATGTCGACAAGTTCGCGGTTTTTGTGGGATACGACAATGCCAGCAGCGAGAGCACCACCGATGAAGAAGATACCGAAACGCCAGTAGACAGTCTTGAACGCAGTCTTGATGTATGTACGGGGACGCTTAGCCTCGGCTGAAACCATGGAAATATACTCTGGGCCAACAACACAGAAGGAAGCAGACCAGAGGGCGGCAAGGAATCCTTCGAATTGACCAAGGGAACCAGTAGATCTGTATTCGGCGAATGCGTTGGTAGGGCTGCCGAAGTTGCGGAAACCATATGCGTCGTGCTGGGGGTTACCACCGACCATGGTGACGAATGTGAACGCGAACAACAGGAAGATCAGGATAACTTTTCCGCCTGATAGCCAGAATTCAGCCTCACCGTAGGCTTTGACTGCGAGAACATTGAGAAGACTAGAGGAACATGTCAGCTAAAAACTTTTGGAAGCCTGGGCAGGCTCAAGCGCTGGAGGTTGCTTTGGGGGCGAGTCGCAAGGGTAAGATCAGAAGACAAGGAAATATCAATCACGAAAGTCGCAAGGGCGGTAGTTAACCGGTCTTTCTTGGGCGCAAGGAAAAGGTGCAAGGCAGAGAAATAGGTGCGAGGGTATTCTCCGGAAAGGAAAAGGCGCTCGGCAGAAAGTCGCATAGGAAGGAGAATGGAAGGGAAGTCGCAAGGGAGTTGGTTGGCGCGTAGGAAGTCTTACCCATAAAGAATCTGCGAAGATGTTAGCTTTCAACGACTTTTCACCAAGACCTGATAAGACCGACGATGCAAGCGATGGGAATCGACCATGGCGGTATGTTGTCACTCCAATATCCAAGAACGGTAGTTAGGGCAGTAATTTCGAATGGAATAAGCAGGGCTCTGTATGCATGTTAGATCAGCCACCTCCGGGTATTCTGCAAGGGCAACATACTCATAAAGGAAGAAGTTCCAGCCAGCCATGAAGCTGGGAACATGGTTAGTACGATGTCTGGACTCCAGAGAGAGTGGTCGTACCCGAATGCCTCATCCACAAAATGTCCAGCCAGACGAATGAAGCCTCCTTCCATCGGGAAGAGGATAGTCATCTCAGCAATGCAGTTATTCACGAAACCGAGCATGGCACTGTAAACTGCATATGCGACCAGAAGACTACCGGGGCCGCCTTTGACAAGACCGCCACCGATGGATACGAATAGAGCTGTGCCGATAGAACCTCCGATAGCAATCAATTGAATTTGTCGGTTACCTAGGCGGCGCTGGAGATGATCGGCATTGTCGTGAACGATACCCTCATCATGAGAGTCACGAGTAATGGGGTCTGATGGTGCTTGCGAAATAACATCGCCTGTCTTCTCGTTCTTGTCCCAGAACGGCATGATGGGCGAATGGGTGGAAAATCTGTAAAAGTGAATTTTGTTGTATACAAAAACGAGCTTGCTGAAAGCAGAAAAGAAAGTCGGGCAGGCACACGATAGTTATATCGTGAGGTGGGCTCAGCGAAACACTTGATCAGGCCGCTACTGATCCAGGCGCGATCTTGGCCACTTGGGAATGCAAGGATTCGGACTCGTAAAAACGCTACTTGATGGGGCGAAGAAACCCACTCAAACCCATTTATGAGAGAATTGGTTCGCTAGGCGATTAGCCTCACTGGGGTGTGTATGTTTTACCGAACCTTGCTAAACCCAAATTGCTTCATGGCAGTTTGCATGGAGGATTCGATTTGTTACGCCGAGGAATTGGCATGTTATCAGTGGTCGGTGATAGGACAAGAGGAAACCCTTACCTCATGTAGATATCAACCAGATCCAGCCCTTCAAAGACCTACTTCATTTTTCGCCATTGCAAAGATACAGCACTTTTCGCCGCACAAGAGCGGACCACACACGGCTGGCGGGAATGAAGCTGCTTCAATCATCACGCCCTTTAGAACACGATCTTGGCCGCTAAGCCCGGAAGGGCGTACCGTTTCTCTCAGTATTCGCGACGTTCTGTACGGGCAAGGCGCTGCAACTATCGCACGGTCATCTCCACCCACATCATCGCGACTTCACGTCTCGACAGCGATGGTTTGAACAAGCCTATCTCCCGCACCGCCTTGTCGGCGCAGGACGTGTATGAATCAGGCGCTGCAAGAGGCAACAAGTTCCAGGCACTCAGAGACACCTCTCGGGTACCTCCACGTGAGCAGTGGCTGCGGCCTGCGGGGCTCCAAAGATGTTGCGCCTTAGCCTGAGCGGACGTGGCTCAACACTTTGACGTCGGCGGCTGCCGTCAAACCGCTGGTCGGGCACGGTCGGGGGAGAGGCTGGGCGAATTGCCGTTGGTTTGAATGAACCATTCCCCACGGAGCTCTCCGGAGTTGTCGTTTCAATTGGCCAGTGATGTGAACCTGGATGACCGATCTGATGCGATGGGTGTGTCGACGATCATGGAAACAAAAACTTCTGGAGCGGTCGAGATGGAGGTGAAAGGGTCTGCGAAAATTTGAAAGGTGTGAAGAAAATCTTCCAGCTGTGGGGTTATTGACCCTTGTCTGTGTCGCGTACAATCACAAGAACAACAATCATCGCAAAAATGGCCACCGCGCGATCCGATACAAGTCGATTCTGACATGGGAGCATTGGCGGTTTCGTTGTCGCGTCCCATTTCTCAAACGCACCAACGGCAGACCATCAAAGCCACGCCCGAACAACCTCTACAATGCCGACTCGCTCGAAGCGACAGTCAATTAATATCGTCATGCGAATCCAATGCTCTGCACACAATACGAGAATTGCGGTACGGAGTATGATTTCGCCATGATTACATCGGGCAAATTGCCGGTATTCTGGGTAAGAAGCAACACACAAATGTGTCAAATGTCCAGGTAACGTTGGAGGCTGTATCTCGTTGATATCTTTCAAACCCTTCGTCCAACAGCTATCGATGCATGTTCCTCGTCGTGACGACTCATCCGCACTCGACCGCTGGATCAGTCGTCTGTCTCATGAGACACGATCCTGCGCTTCCCCCGCAAGATTTGATCTCATTTGTCGTCTCATGTCTGGAGTCTTTGGACGTCAACTGCTTGTTATGTTATTCACTTCTTCCAAAGGCCGTCACCGGAATGAAGTAGGGACACAGGGGCTACCACCAGACGATACCGCGCATATGGGAAGTGTAGACTAAGCATACGATGCCGACCTTCTCATGATTTCGCGCATTGTGTATTCATACATGGTTGCCAGACATGAGCTGATCAACAATATTCCTCTCTACTCGGCGGACAGAGAGACCGGAATCTTCGCCGCAATACTACTGTTGCATGAGTAGCATCGAACTCTGGACTCGGATGCGCTCCGTGCATGATATCAGATTATGGATTGTTGTCTGGAACCACCATTTCGGAGGCGCTCATTGTGGCCAGACAATTACAGGAGAGCTGGTCAAGTGATCATGTCACAGCTGTGAGAGAAGCCGACAAGAGACCCACAGGAAAGCATTACGACACGAAACTGCCTGCGGAGCTCCCACAGGTTCACGCGCTCGTTGCGTTACGTACACGTACTTCATGGCACCACCTTGGCCCGAAAGAGCAGCGAGCTATCTATACCTCATTCAGCTAGACAAGAGGAGGTACGACGTTCAATGCCGAAGGAGGATGTGGAAGGTTGCGACGGTCTAGAGCCTGAGAGGAAGTGATCAGGCTGGAAACGATAACAGCCGTTCGTGCAGCCAGCGGCGTGGTCGCAGCGGCATTGTCGGACATGCAGCCATTGGTTAGGATAGGGATCCTGCGAGCACGAACCGGTTTTGGGAATGATTTCGCTGATGACGACTGCAATCGAGGCTGCTTGACGGGCTGTGAGACGACACCTTCCAGGGTGGAGATTCAGGATGAACATGCATCGTTATCTTGTATAGAACCTCTGCTGCGTTTCTCCTCCTTATTGATGCTGCACAGCCGCAGCCAGCCATGCGAGACTACTTAGTCGTGGCAGCGGCACAGAGTGAACTAATCCCTGACCAGCGACAGTATCCGATCAGCCAACCTCTGCGATAAGACCACAATCATTCGTTCTTTCAGAAATTTGATATTGTCAAAATTCTCGTAACAAACTCGGACATTGATCAAACACAGGAAGTCTGCATGATATCTCCTTATCCGGGAGGGTATGGCAGTGGTGGAGCTTTGTACATGCGCCGTGGCTTTCAGTTCCTGAGAGACGTCTACGAGCACAATTTTGAACTCTCGCTTTGCGCAACACGAGTCACATGAGGTAAGATTCCAAGTGTAGTGCTGTCGGCGGCACATTCCTGAGAAGTCTGAAACTTCGAGACCTAAGTCTTTCGAGCAAGATTATACGTCCAGTGATCCCAGCTCAAGGTGGAAAGGCACAAACGTATACATGCGTTACACAGCCATCGGTTTTGATGTTTCTCGTGCTGTTGACGTACTCGGAGATGCTTCGGGGCGCTTGCTGCGTATTCTCCCATGTTAGGATTGACGGACCGGAAAGGGTAATATCTTGCCAACATCGACAGTCGACAAGAGCAACTGAATGATACAGCCGCGATAACACAACCTTACAGATGGAAAGACATCTCGCAAGTCGTCGACCATCGTAGCCAGTCACTCAGCCAAGTCTCTTGTCGCTCTTCAGCCCTTCTTGTTTTGGTCTCGCGCGGTGACATTGTTTAGGACACTTGACCAAACGAAAGAGCTGCCCCCTATGTGGCACAGATTCCAAGGCTTCGAAGGACAGGAGTCAATTTGTCGTATCTCAAGATGGACTGAGTATCCTTTGTCGGTTCTCGTTGCCCGACTACACGTTATGCGTTTTCGGTTGTCTTGTGTGTCTACTACGTCTTTCTTTGGGAAGCTGCCTGCTTGGCCCGCTACCTCTACAAATCTCCTCCTCGCGGGGTTCAGCATCGCAGCGAGCTTGAGGACTCCATCTTTCGAACGGAGCTGATCATTCACCTCGAGATCTCTGCCTTGTGTTCTGTATGCTTTTCGTGTTCACCATTGCTCGAGGACGACAAAGAACCGTAATTTCCCTCATCTGTCTGCATCCCATGATGGCTGCAAAGCCCGTGGACCACACTTTCTGCTCTCTGGCATATCTTCCTGCAAAATTCTTGGACAAAAGCTGACCGTTTCTGCTATCATAGTTTCCCACAAGACCGCCGGCGATCATCCTCGTATCCCTTCTCTATCCACCTGGCATCTTCAACAGTATCGAGTGTTATAGCCTCGAGGTCTGCTGTTTATCCCAGAGAGCAGCGACGACATTCCTTACTATACTTCATATCCGTCATATATCTCCGCACTGAGGAGCATCTGCTCTTCCAATCGGCAAGTTGCGTGTTCTAAAGCCCTTGAATATGATCGGACAACACAGGCGGACTCCTGCATCAATTTGCGACTCGCACACTTGCCTACTTCCTATCGTAACTCCAGTTGATATCTCCATCATCGTTGGCACATGCAACGATGTTCATGAAGTCTTTGTCTTTCGGAGTCTGAACAGGCTGGAATCATCCGCAGACATGAAGGACTGTCTTCTTACTCATTGCTGCTAGGTTGTGTCAAGAATCCTTGTTGGCACCGCTACCACAGTACATGAGCAATACACCTAGGCTAGGTATCCGAGCCCTTGATGCATTTCAAGCAGCGGTCGACTCGAACGAAACATAGGAGGAAGAGGCAGAATAAGGCAATCAACGAGATAAGTACTAGGTATAAGTGCATCTTGAGTTGCTTCCCAGGAACACCACATACGAAGCCCTATCATATCATGAAGCGAATCAACTTCTCTAAGTTCCAGTTGCTACTTATCGGGTAACATAGTAGGAAGCAGTCTTCTTTCGGGACTATGAATCTAACTAGATTATCCTGTCCACGAACTTGCCTGCAAGATAGATGGGCCACCAAAGATCGATAAGAGAGTTTTCATCTTTATAATGTATTTGTTCATTAGCTTGCAGAGCTTCATATGAAAAAGGTAGAAGCGAAGAAGACGGTCAGGTCCCTCACTAACAGCTTTGGCGCTGGTATATACAAACAGCGCTGTTTGGCTAATATCACTTTACGCTCGCAAAATGTAAGTCTCGCTCTCTCTTTCGATCTTGATCATTAATATATGTATCGATTTTTTTGATTTGCTGTATCTTGCTCTTCATGCTCAAGATCCAGGCTTCGATACACAACTTCAACGATATTTACTAAACCACCTCCAGCAGATTTCAACAAGCTATTGTCAGCTTAACTATATTGCTTCGATCACTCGGAGTAGCATATTCAAAGCCCCTTTAGGCAAAAACTGGTCTCGCCAAAGTCTCTCCCAGCATAACTCCAGACTTCACACACCTAACCCTACTTACCACCTCCCAATATTCCCTCCATCTATTCACCCTTCCCTTGACAAAACCACTGCCCTTACGGGCAAAAGGGGTCTCGCCGGGAATCGAACCCGGGACCACTCGCAATTGGCTTAGAGTTTTCAAGATGTCGAAGCACCTCCCTAAGCGAGTATCATACCGCTAGACCACGAGACCTGATCAATTGATGTGATTGATGAAGGACTTTCTCATGGTGTGTATATATACTCTGATCATAGCTCTAGCACAGGGTAAGATGGTTCTCTGCTCGTGGCTGACCTGTGCAATCTCACATGTTCGCTTTTTGACTTTTGTGCGAACACAAACGCGGCAAACGGGTACGCAACCGAAGCGGCAGAGCAAGTGGGGTGGAAAATAGTGTGCAAGGACCACATGGGCATGAGACGAAGCATCAAGCATGTGCTCTACATCTTCAAACAAAAGATAAGGCGGTGAGGTGCGGTCATGGTCTTATAGACGAGTAGACCCGAGGAAGTGTTTCGCATGGGCCTCTTCCCTGCACAATTCCAGCGACAAGAGACAGATGTGACAGTCATGTTATGGTTCCTGGGATTTGACAAAGGAGAACAAAGGTTAAACACAGATTAGCGAAGCATCCATGAAACCATCAACGGAGTATCTGCAGATCTTCGTTATACAAATACATGTCTCCTTGTCGTCACTTCTGTCGGCGATACTTGTACAACAAGGTTAGGAAAAGAACCTTTTCTCTCCAATGGAGGCTTTGGAGAAGGATGCGAGGCGGGGCACCTCCGGGGCCTCCGTACAAGTACAGCATGGAGTCGGTGGCATGTCGGCGATGTCAAAAGATGATGGACGATCTGATGGAACAGGTGTCACTATGTGATGGTAGAGTATTGGATTAGGGCGTAGTTAGGGCTCGGGCGCGAAGCGATTATTCGAGGGATAGAGAGGCCAATGAGGATTCGGGACGGTGCCGTGGTGTTCGGCATCGAGTAGCGAGCAGTTCGCAAACCATCTTCCGGGTCAGAGAAGCTGTCGCAGAGGCATGTCATAATGAGACGAAGGAAGGATAGGCATAGAAACCGTCGAGAAGAGGCTTAGAACAAACAGTACTCCGTACAGGCATGTCCAAGCGGTATGAAACAGATGCAACAGTTTGAATGTTGCTCGCTGGTTGGATCAAACTGGGTCATCTGAGCAAGAAGCCTCGGTAGCAATCTCCAGATGCAGGGACGCACAGCTCATGTGGCTTGCCTTTGCCCCGCAGCTCGTGTACAAGGAGAGTTCGAAGCGGTCCAGAAAGTTAGACCAGGTCATTGCGGGGCGGGGCCGGGGGTCGAGAGAGACAGAGATGTGATGTGAATCGTTTTTCCGAATGCTGTGATTTCTCATTCATCCTCTCGTCAAGCCATCACACACGAGGACTCATACACGATGCCAACGCCGCCCGATACCACGACACATGGCCACGATGTGAGCCACAGCCCTGGCGACGACTCGACATCTCCGGGTGTCAAGCGAGACGGCCCACTGGACGACGAGACCGATAGGAGTAAGAAGCGTCGCATCACTCGAGCATGCGACTTGTGCAACAAACGTCGAGTCAAGTGCGACGGACAACAACCATGTTCGAGATGCGCAGGACACGACGTGTGCGAATACCAAAGAGCAGTTTACAAGCGGGGAAAGCCCAGTCGTTCGGCCTTGCTGGAGCGACAGAATGGTCACAAGCAGGAAGCCGCGCCCGCTCCTCCCGTACCTGCCCCTGCTCCGGTGCAGCAACAACCACTACCGCCACAGCAACAACACACGCAACCGCCGCCTCCACCTACCGTATCCATCACCGCCAACTCGGCCATACCGGACCAGACACAACAATCCTCAGCATATGCTCGACACAGCTCTTTCGGAACTGATCATGGCATGCAAACATTCATGCATCGTCCGAGCCTGGGAGAACGTCATGCTTCTACCGTCACCTTGGACAGCAATGCAAATATATGGAATGGCCGATATTCGATTGACTTGGGAACCGCTGCTTTCAACGCATCAATGGCCGCTCCCGTCTTTGGTGCTGAAGATGGCGGCTCAGAGACAAACTCAGGGGGTGCTGGACATCCCAAATATCCTGTCCTTGTGCCGCTCCTGCCATATGTTGCCTCCATCTTGACTGAAGCTCAGGCTGCGAGTCTTCTCGAGCTCTACTTCACCAGCCAATTCAACACCTTCATGCACCCTGTGTGTCGCCATATCCATGCTTTTGTCTTCCGAAAGGCTTCGGTGATGAGCAAGGAGAACCCTCGAAGTTGCAGTCCAGCGTTACTCGCCAGTATGCTATGGGCAGCTGCCGAAACTGGAGGTCCGGAAACTCTGTCTTGGTCACACTCGAAACGCATCAACATTTGTAGGAAACTGCGACTGGTCACGATTCGCTTGCTGCACCCCCTGGTTCACTCGGATATCGGCTGCGTCCATGAATTGACTGACGGACCAACCAGGAAATTACAAGAGTCGAGTTCAGGAACGCTCGACGATGTCATAACGTATATTCACATTGCTGCCATTACATCTGCCAGCGAAGAAAAGGCAATGAGCATGAGATGGTGGCATGCAGCTTTTGCTCTTGCGCGAGAACTTGGTCTCAACAAGGAGCCCATCTCTGGCTCGTCGATCCCAGGGGTATCACCAACAGCCAATAATCAGAGCATGATCGAGTTTGAGAGTGACCCCTGGTTGGGCTTGAATTCATTCGACTTTGATAATGGTCTCGCACAGTACATGGATGCTGCAGATACCGCACAGCCTGAAGTTGATCAAGAGACGTTGGAGGAGCGACGAAGAACTTGGTGGTTGCTCTATATTCAAGATCGCCATTTGGCACTCTGCTATAATCGCCAGAACGCCTTGCTGGATGCTGAGTGTGAGGATCTCCTATTACCTCTGGACGAAGCAAGCTGGCAATCAGGCACTTTCTCATCACTCACGCAACGTCCACAGTTTCCTTCTTTCGAATGCACAGGTCACAATATCTACGGCTGGTTCCTGCCGTTGATGACAATTGTTGGCACCATACTCGACTACAACCACTTGAAGAACCATCACACGCTTGGCAAACTCTACTCGGATGGCCAACGTGTGCAGTCGCAGGTGCTGCTGCAACTCGACAACTACGAGCAAAGTCTGGTTCGATTCGAGCAACAAGCATCAGCGTTAGACTATCAAGACATTCATCACACAAAAACAGTCGTCGCATACGCAAAACTCGTCATTCAAGTCTCGCGAGTCTTGCTGGCAGGCAAATGGGACCCCATGTCTCTGTTCGACGACCGAGATCTCTTCATGGCTACCCCTTCATTTACCACGACCATCGCAAATGCCATTGCGGCTGCGGATAACGTCTCACACATCCTGGATGTCGATCCGGATCTTGGCTTTGTGCCCTACTTCCTCGGTATTCAATTATTGCAAGGCAGTCTACCACTTCTCCTCATCGTAGATCGACTGCAAACAGAAACGGATCCGAAGATTATCAATGCTTGCGAGGTCATCATTCGAGCAACTGAGGCTTGTGTTTCGACTCTGGATACCGAATATCAGGTAACCACTATTCCGCCTCTTGCTTCGAACTTCCAGTACTGACATTCTTCTCCNCAGCGCAACTATCGTCAAATTCTCCGCTCCGCAGTTACACAAGCACGAGGTCGCTATGTACCGCAAAAAGAAACACAATACCGACGACACACCGTCCTTGCTTTATACCGCTGGACAAAGAACGGCACAGGCATTGCGTTACGATGAAGAGCAGCAAAGGGATAAGAACAAATGAGGACTGAACACGAATGATCATGACACCTGAGGCGTTGGTTGGAGCTCACAGAGCAGCGGACGAAAACAGCACAATTGCTGACTACAAGCACATATATTTTTGGAAGGTTTCGGCCGCGGTGTTTCGGCTGGACCTGGTTTTGTCATACATACCCTCGTTTTACCATTCTAGTGTACATTTTTGAGACGATGCAATGAATGAGCGATGCCAACAGATATGTTCCTTTTCATAGTTTTATGCCGGCGAGCTTGTTCCAGACATCTTGCTTCTCTTCGTTTAGCACATCATGAGAATCTTGCAACGAGAACGTGGTGGACAGGGTGCTACCACTTACATATCTTGAGATCGCTGTCGACGACATTACTCGACCACCAAGGATATCCTTCACTATCTGAAGTTCTCAAGGGTATCTCTATTGGTCTATATATGCATCAAGATGCTACGAAGAATCTAACTATCCATCCTCATCGCAAAATCGTAAAAACCAACTTTCAAATCTCGTGTTGTCAAAAGATACACCAGATTCCTTACACTCCTTACCTACCAATCACCCACAACTCGCACACTACTCTACCAAAGACAAGATCAATCAAATATCAACCAAAACAATCCATCGACCATTGATCTGCAGTATAATTAGGAGATTCGCAAGGTGTTCAAACAAAAAGTTGCAACAAGTCACTGAAGCCTCCTTTCTCACCACCTTTTTCTGACCAGAAATGCTGTAGGACACAAGCAAAACCATGATTCCGCCCGGGTTCGAACCGGGGACCGCCTGTGTGTTAGACAGAAGTGATAACCAACTACACCACAGAACCACTTGATGGTAACGACATCGAGATGTAAGAATATCAAGAAATTCAGAGAAGCGGCTTGACATCCACGAGCAAGAGAGCTCCTGCTTGCAGCAGATCCTCCTTGGGCAGTTTGATAATCATGGAGCTCATGCAGCTCCCAAAGCACCGAAGAATAGCGCAGAAGCCACAGCACATCTCACGGCTTGCTGCCTCTGGACGTCGGCCGAGCTCGCCCACACAATCGTCGTTCGTTTCTGCCGTCAACGCATTAATGGACGATGCACACGATGATGGAGTTCATGACGGAGGTGGAAGGATCCTGCAGTTGTGACATGGTCGTCGGCGGTGCTTCGGACAGAAGCTGGAGACTTGAGAGATCGGTTGTCACAGGCAACAAGCCGAGGCTTTCATAAAGATTTGGAACTGCCGGCCTGGCGACAAGTGAGGTCTTCTAAAAGCTCGAGCAATCGTTGTTAACGTTCGCTTCAAAGAGGCCTTCGAATATCAGGATCGAGAAACTCATGGCAGCTCCGGTGTGCTCGTAGCGAGAACAGAAAATGAATGAATAAATAAATAGAAGGAAAATAATGACGCGGCCAGCCGAGGTTCACACTGACGTGGGGAAACCATGACGATGGACTAACGAGCTCTCGAGTCCATAGGTCAAGCAAGATCACACCATACCAAAGCCCATCATGTCAAGCGCTCCAATCGAAGTGCTCATCTTCGGCGCAGGCGCTGTAGGAGCTTTCTATGGCTCCAGACTCGCCCAGGCGCCAAACGTCAAGGTCTCGTGTGTGTGCCGCTCCAACTACAAGGCCGTCGCCAGCAATGGCTTTGCTGTGAGCTCGCCGCAGTACGGTGATTATAAATGGATGCCTACGCGAGTATTTGCGAATCCCAAGGAGGCTGAGCAGAGTGGTGTCAAGTGGGAGTATATCGTCGTCACCACGAAGGCGCTGCCGGATGTCAGTGACGACTCCGAATCGTTGGAGGGATTGGTGCATGAGGGAACGGCAGTCGTGCTAATACAGAATGGCTTGGGTGTTGAAGAGCCGTACTCGAAGCGTTTCCCTTCAGCATGCATCCTCAGCGCCGTCACAGTAGTCTCAGCAGCCCAAGAACGACACGGCGAGATCAAGCACAACCGCTGGACTCGCATCAACATCGGCCCATACCTACCAAACACATCCTCATCCTCCTCGCACGCCGAGCAGCAAAACGCAAAGTTCGCACAACTGCTTNNCCAACAAGGCGGTGTCAAAGATGCAGAAGCCTACACACACGCAAAGCTCCAGCTGGTGCGCTGGCACAAACTCGCCATCAATGCCTCGATGAACCCTTCCAGCGTCCTCTCCAACGGCAGCACAAACGCAGCAATGGCNAAAGACTCAGAACTGTCCCGCCATCTGCACGCAACCATGCTCGAGATCCTGACCACCGCGCCCAAGATCATCGGCCAAGAGTTCCCACCCGAGTTCGCTTCAGCCGACAAACTGCTCGCTAGCACCAGAAAGAATACTTCGGGGAGCAGACCTAGCATGTGGCTTGATTGGGAGGCGGGCAAGAAGATGGAGCTGGAAGTCATACTCGGCAATCCCATTCGCATTGCCAGAGAAAAAGGCTTTGAGATGCCGAGGCTGCAGACCTTGTACGCGTTGTTGAAGATGGCGCAGGCCAACAGAGACGACCAAGCTGCCAAGGCCAAGCTATGAGGTGTGTTGAATACCAGGCAAGTGCTCGCAAGAGCAGCCGAGCTGTGTACAATAAAGAGTGACTCTTTGCGGTTCGGCGGACGACAACACGGCTGGAAAAGGGCCAAGAATATTTTGTCTTTCAAGGTTTTCCATTGGCGGACTTTTGAAAAGTGTGTTTTCTGTGCCTTCAAGGGTGGCTTTTTCAGCGGCCGGATCCTTGTCGGACGACCGTGTCGCCAGACCCTCAACTACATATTTTCCTTGTGCATGACTTGTACCTTGCTGTTCTCGACTCCGAAACCCTTGTTCTGTCTTGCCCGATGCATCAATCCTTGTAGAATCCAGGGCTTATTATTGTGCTTGCGCTTATGTGCGATGGTCAGCCGCATCAAAGGGAAGAGCTGACCCTGAAGCCTCGAAGCCCTGCGATCTAAACGAATCGTGGTACCTGAAGCGATAAACTTTAACACTTTTTCTTTTGATCCCTTGAACAAAAAGGCCATAAGTCAGGTCAAGCAAAGCCCTAGAAGGGGAAAACTTTGCCAAAGAGGACACATAGCACATGAAGACTGTATACAGTATACCGCAGCGAAAACTTCGGGAGCTATCGATAGGACAGATAGTGGATAAGAGACCAATGGAAGTTTGGGCGCAGTAAAGACGACGAACCGCCGCCCGTCGATGGTACACTTTTGTTGTTGCTTAGTGACCCAAAGGAACAGTCTGCGCACTACGTTGCCCGCACAGTCACCGTCCCGTCGGCTGTGTCGTACCGACTTGGTGGTCCAACTGCGGGCTGCTGACAGAATCGAACACTTGGATATCTTCTCCGAGTTGCGCAACAACAGCCTGAAGAAAGGACGGACACAAGCCGAGGGCTAGGCAGTTAAGCATATGGAGACACCAAGAGAAAATCACAAACAACGGTTTTTTTTGTGGTGGTGGTGATGGGAAAAAGTGGAGGATGTGCCCACTCCACCTTTCGCTAGAGCGTTGGCGAAGAAACTGCTTTGGTTGATGGAGGTCAAGCTCTTTTGCAACATGTCCGAAAGAGTCGAAGATGTGCTGCTATGTGTCGCGTGCGCTGGCACTTGTCGTCTGTTGTGCATGTGAAATCGTGGATCGAGGATCCTGGCTCTTGTCACGTCCCGTCCTTGCAGGAAGGACAGCCGCTTCGCTACGAGTCGGTATCCGAAAGTCAAAAGAGATGGATGCAGTTGAGGATGTCAGCAGAAAGGTGCGTATGCCACAAGTGCGGCCCAATGGATTGGTGCATCCGTTGCAAAGTCAGCATCTCTGTTCGGATAGTCTTTTGATGAAGATGCAACTCGATGTCACGCCGTTGAAGCCAGATGGCAACTATTGTTCAACCGAGACATCGAAGACTATTCGGTCGCTTTATTGATCCTATAAGCCAGACGGCCAGATTTTGAGGACTCTGAGACAAGGTTGATAGATTCATTGATTGAAGTCGATAAGATAGAAGTCTATTCAACTTGATCACTTCCCACGACTTCCTTGTCTCCAAGCTCCCCATGTATGGATCTACTGTCGTTGTAACCACGTGTGGAAGGTGCGACTGCATGCAAGCGCTGAGTTGCGCCTTGCATATGGCGGTCGATCTGTTGACCATAACCTTGCAGCTTTCTTCCCACCACAACTTCTGACTTCGCAAAAATCCACAAGGTACACGACTGTCATAATCTGCCGAAAATTTGACAACGCGCGGCTGCTTCCACTGGAAGCAATTGGAAGTTATACATCCGGCACTTCTGGTTGACACAAGGGCCCACACACACCAGCAGTCTCTTCTCTTTTGTTAATAATTGTCCGATGCAGGGCGCGTAGAAGTAACCGAAGAAGACCACAGTCAGGCAAAAGTATTGGTGTGGATGGAACGGGTGTGTAACAGAGGGCCGAGAAAACAAGGTTTGGTACCTGGACACCAGCAAAAGCGTATTCTGCAACATCGTTGGTACCTGAAAATCTGCGACGCCCGTACCTGAAAACTCGGAAGCCATCTCAACACATGTGCATCTACATCCATGTCTGTCAATGGCCGCCGGCGCGCGCGGAGTTCCTGACCCGATCCCTTGTCGATTCACAGTTCACGTTGGCAGCCTTGCCGCGCGCGTAGCTCAACTGCGGGACTTGGACATGGCCAATCACCCGGGGTACGTAGCGGCAAGATGTGGACCTGGCCGCAGCAGGCAAGGATGGTGACGCGCAAGATCACACCGAATTCAATACTCGAAGCGCTTCGACATCTCTTGCTGTCGCGAGTCAAAACAACCATACAAATGTCTGGTCACCGTCAGGTACTCCCGTCCAACTAGCCGAATTATACCTTTAAGCCACGAGCTGTGTACGCGGCAGAGCAACGGTCGACGCTTTCCCCCTTGACTCCCAATTAGCGGGTTCTAGACTTGAGTTCACTCGCCAGCACAGCAACAAGTGTTCCAAACACCTAGACAATGGATATTCGGAATCAATTCCTCAAATCCCATTGGCTCGCGGCTGAAAAAAGAAAATTGGGGCTCTCGGTCCATGCAGTCCCAAAGTGTATGCAAAGCACAGCTCTTCCACAAAGACAACAAAGCATGGATCATTGTCTCCATCCTGGCGCATTGACGAGGCGCCAGATGATGGGTAACGGCTTGATTACGTCCACTGGGAGGGGGGCCCACGAATGGATGGGCCCTGCATTGCGGAAACGGCTTGATTAAACACTGATCAATACAGTGTGTGGAAGACGCTCAGATTCATAAAAGAACGGTAAGCCCATCCCATTCTCACTCTCCTTCCCTTCATCAAGTCACTCTCTTTTTCCTTCTTTTGGTTGTATTCCAGTCGACGCCATCGCGGCCACACATTCACTTAACAACACTATCAAATCAAAAAACCAAACCACCAACCCTTTTCCACCACCCCCACAATCATTTTATCAGCCGTCAAGATGCGCTTCAACCTTCCCACCATTCTTCTCGCCAACCTGGCCCTCAGCAGTGCTGCCGCCATCCCCAAGCCCGCCATCGAGGAGCGCGGTCTCATCGGTACTCTCCTCCAGACCCTCGGCTGCCTGACTGGTCAGAACGCCAAGTCTGCCTCTGCTGGCCACGCCTCCTGGATCGGTAACGACGGCGACTATGTCACCGAGTTCAACAACGAGTCCGGTGAGGACATCGTCCTCGTCATGTGGGGCCCCGTCGGCTCCTGGGTCAACGTCCAGGCTCCCCTGATCACCTACCAAATCGCCAACGGCAGCGCCGTCAACGTCTCCACTGTCACTGGCACCTCAGGCGGCTGGGCCGCCCTCTACGAGGACACCAAGATGGTCAACGGACAAGTCAGCAACACCTGGGGTGAATTCACCTACAACGGCCAGTACTCCACCGTCGATGTCTCTCGTCTCGTCAACATGAACGGCCGCAGCATGTCCATCGAGGGTGCCCAGTGTGTCTCCGACATGGAGCAGTGCGTCTTCACCTGCGACTCTGGCGACTCTTGCGAATTCGGCTACACTCTTGAGAACTGCTCTTCCCAGCCCGGTGCTCAGTCTGGCACCTACGCTGGCGCTGCCAGCGGTGGTTGCTTCGTTGGCCAGAACAACAACTTCATCCGCACCACCTTCTCATAGAGAACGAACCTTTGCGACACCTTTTTTCACGACTGGGTTTGAATCCAAACTCAAACACAACAACCAAAACGACCATCTTCTTCAAAGCTTCATGTACATACACATTTGTTTCGCTTCTATCTGGATATCACTCTTTGAACAAAACAATTTCAACTTTTTTTCTTCATTTCACTTCATTTCCACTGTCCCAATTGTCTCAGAAAGTTGCTGTTGTTCACATGTGATGACATTGTTTTGATTGTACCCATGTATCAAACGCCCTGCCCCTGAAGCTTCTCTCCTAAGCCTCAGTCGTTGCACGTTTTGGCGATCGACCAACAGCGGTTGTCTCATTTCCCCTGCGAATCTCATCAACAGTCGCAAATCACGCCTCAAATCACTATAACAACGCAGCCACCACTATCAAAATGTAGGATTACATCAATTACATCTGTGCCGCATATTCCAAATCTCCTTTTTCTCGATAGTCGATGGTATCGCTGGATGAGTCTATCGCAGAAGCTTGGATGTGAGTTTGTTTCGAGAGCCGCCTTTCTCCTGCAGCCGTTGTAGAAAGGTACAAAGACAATGTTCTTAACGGTTAGGTTTTGAGTCCACGAGTGCGTACGAGACAAAGGGGCTCGTATGTTCTTCGAGAAATCTGAAACAGTAGGCACGCCTGTTGTTTTGAATGTACAGTATACGGCAAAGTGACTTGCTGCTACAAGCACACCTCCTATTCTTAGGGAGAGACAGGCTTACGACGATGTGTTGATCGATTGGGCGTTGCGCGGCTGTCGAGGGTTCCCGAGTTAGGGGATGGGAGTGGTCATAAGTCTTGACTGGTGAGAGAAGCCTGTCTTGTTCAGAACGTCTGGGACATCAATCTGTTGCGACTTGGTTGTCAACATGTCTGCTCAGCTTGTGTGGTTGTTGCCCTTTTATGCATCCTTGAAACAGACTCGTCGGACTGTACGGGCATGTTGTTTCCATCGCGCTCCTCTCCCAAGAGCATCAAGTGGAGCGGCAGCTTGCTATTGACTTTCTCGAAAATCAATTCTGTCTTCTTTGTGCCTGGAAGAGGCCATTTTTGGCGACATGAACTCTGCCTGTTCCTCACTCCAACGATGAGTCTATGCGTTGCGACGGAATCCAAAAACAATTACTTCTATCACCGCTTCTTCTACAGTATCTCCAACAAACTACTTGTAAATCTTTCGGGTCCCATCGCGACGAGTGTCTACCTGTAGTAGCTTCAAAACCACCAAGAACGCGCGGCCCTTTCTCAAGCATACTGCCATGCCATCTTTTTGCAGTATCGGCTATTGCTCATAGAAGAGGAATCATCGCAGTTCCAGTGTCTTATCTGATACCCGCTCAAAAACACATAGCATGCCGACTCGGGCGAGCAAGTTGGCCGGATGACTAAGCCAAAACTCCACAGACCGAACACGCATCATCGTACCATTCTCTCCGCCTGATTACTGTGTTCACAGCTCGTGGCAAGCATCCAAGACGCCATCCTGATACTTAGCGACTACTTTTGAATCTTGCAACAATGTTTGCGGAAGTGGCTAATTATGCTAATGATGCTGGTATGTGTTTTTTCTCCCTTGTATGTTATTCGATCTGCACTTTTGTGTTTGGGTGGTGGCTCGGGGTATCGCTTTCCCGAGTGAGGGTTTTGGTATACGAGACTTTTGTTCTCAGCGATGTTACACAAGGAATGGACGGAAAGAGATGGGAGAGACTCGGTATCAGATCAGAGCTTTGGCATCAAGAAGACGTATCGGGGTCTCCATCATGGATGGACACGTCGCCAGATCTTGAGATATAATGGTCTCGACACCATGGACTGGGCCTTGCGCCTCTGGAGCTTGATTCACCTTTCTTCTGCTCATCAGTCCTAATACGCTTCTCTCACTCCCATACATCTGGTCTTGTCGAATTAGGAATCATCCAACGTTCAATGCCCACAACTTGCAAAAAAAAAAAACAAGACTGACAATACTGCAAACAGCCGCGGTCGAGAAATCATTGAGATTGCTGCAGGCGCTGGTGCAAATTGCAGCTGGCACCACATCATCAGCCGCCGATGCAGAGACTTGGAATACGGCTAGAGGACACTTCGCACTCGGTAAGTTTTTTGGTCCCGTTTTCTCTACTTTTGTGTCTTGGTTCCAGGACTTTGCAGTGTTGCATTTGTCCTTTTCATCGCTACATTTTTCTTGTAGTTTGTTTTCGTGTTTGGAAGTTTGAAGGATGTAGATGTTTCCGTGCTGGGTTCATACTCTTGGGTATACAAGTTAAATCAAGTCTAATGCTCTTGGATGTGTGGCGTTATGGAAAGAGGCTTGCGATATTCGATCTGCTCTTTTCTGATGAAGCCACGACTAATAAGACTGGAATCTACAGCACGCCGCTACCTCCGCCTCTTCAAATGGATAGATTTCAGCCAATTAACACACCAATCCTTTTACTCCTCTGAAACGGATCCCTCCCGCCGCATCCTCAAGACTGCAAAGAACGCTTTACTGGCACTGTACTTNTTCATGGAGATGTTTTGTATCGTGAGTTTAACATCCCTCCTTCTTTCGGAGTAGGCTAACGGAGGTTATATCCAGACCAATGCGATGAATGTTACGAATTCTGACTTGCTGGTGGCGCTCCAACACCACGCACTTCAAATCTGGTTCTTTGCTATTAGTGTCTCGTTGCTCTTGACCTGCTACGACCTCCTCTTTATCTCCACTTCTTCAACCGCAAAAACAACTTTGTACACCAATATCGTAATCGACTGCTGCGACATCCTCATCCCCGGTTCTGCAGTAGGCTGGATCCCCGTTTCGTCAGTGAGTGTAGGCGTGGCCTCTAGTATCTCCAGCACCATAGTGATGAAGAGCATTTGGGAGAGGGTGCANAAAGAAGCACAACAAAATGAACAGAGGAAAAGAGAAAAAGCGAATAGGAAAGTTAGATTTGAGGATGGGACTAAGCAAGAGGAAAAGGAGAACAACGAGCTAAAACCAAACGGCGAGAAGAAAGGAAGTAATGGCATAGTGAACGGAAGTGTCAAGGCACTAGTCAACAACGTCGGCGATGGCACCAACACCCTAAAAAAGAGATCCAAGCAATCCTAAAACCTCCTCCTCCACCAAAACCAAACTCCACACCTTCATTCCCTAGCATCCAAAAGGTCCATTAAACCAAACCCCCTCTCTGAGCACCAATTTCCCCTCTGTCGTAAACTCCACCCCTTCNNCTGCTTCCAACAATCTCAATTTCTCGGATTGATTGATGCCACTGGGTGCTTTTTGCCAGTCCCCCATGAAACCTCCTACAAACCCGTTTGCTGCAATGACGCGATGACAGGGCACGTGTGGTGCAAAGGGGTTTCTGCGTAACGCGCCGCCGACAGCGCGGGGCGAGGAAGACAAGTGGCGTGCGAGGGTTGCGTAGGAAGTCACAGTGCCGGAGGGGATGAGGAGGAGATGTGTGTAGACGCGCTGATTCCATTCACTGTGAGTATATCGATGGCGGTTGGAAGAGAGAAACAGAACGTGTTGTGGGGTGTGTTGGACCTACGTACGCGTTGGAAATCTGTTATGGAAGCTGTGGTGGCTAGCAGAGTGGAGATATCGGTGTCTGGAGCTACGACAAGCTCGGATGTCGCGTGTGCCATGATGCGGAATGTCCACTTGCGCAGATGAAAGAAAGAGCGGGAATCAGAATCTGTATAGTATCTTAGGATGAAAAGAGATATCCCAATTCGATCGGCAGACAAGACGAAAGCTCGTGAGTATTATGGTGTTCGCAAAGTGATTGGTCACTCTGAGAGCAATGAGACGCGTCGTGCTGCCTGAGGCTCAACTGCCCGCAGGCAGACATGGACAACACGAGTCAACGTCGCTGCTGAAAGCACCAACTGGATCATCATCTAAAGTCGTCAGACGGCTAGCCCCTACTGAACGCAAGACGACACGATTTGGAAAAGACATTGAATGAATTGACCATGGCTACAGAGCAAGCGGCCCGAAGAAGTCGCCCACCTATCATGGCTTATTCATGTGGTAAACTATGTACATTGACCATCATAATCCTGCTGTTCTATACACTGAGAGTGCTATTTAGCGAAGGGCGGTCGCACTGGAAGTGCGGCCTGCTGGAAGTTTCTGCTCGGCTGAATCTTTACTGTCGACCACCAAAACAGCTTGTGTAGAAGAGTTGCATGTTTGAAAGACTCTCGTCTCAGTGTAGCCAATATAGCGTTGGTGTCTCACGAACAGGTCCTGAGAAAGCGCTTTCGTGATTGCAAACCATCGTTGGTCGCTCGACCTTGGATCTCAGGGAAGCTGAAGACCGGGTAGTGTTCTCAAAGTACACGCAGTTCGGTAGCATGAGATGGACGAAGATGGTCCGGTGTGTGCGAAAAAGGTATCAAACATTTCAACCGATGAAAGTGCCAGTTCGCTGAGGCGCAGCAGCAAGTTTTGAATTGATGCCTTGAGCAATGAGGTTCATGCGGGTTTCTTCAACAGCACGCAGTTCGTCCTCCCACTTTGCCTCCTTGTCTTCTGCCTGGCCACTTGAGAACCAGCTAGACCATGAAGAGGAAGCAGCAGGCTTGACTTGAGACTCTCTCAACAGCTTTGCAACCATTGCACCCCAGTTGGCGATACCAGTATCGAGACATGCCTTGCACTTATCACGACTTTCGGGTAGGATGTCGTTCGAAGAGGTGCCACGCTCAGCAATGGCGACAGCTTGCTTGGTCCAGCCGAGACCTTCGTCTTCACGACCTGACGAGGCGGTTGCGAAAAGAATCTCTCCAATGTAGAGCATAAGTTCGGCTTCGGCGCAGTCAGGGACCGAAGCTGGTCGGCGCAAGAACGGCTCATCGCCACACGGAGGTTCGGCAGGGTAGGCAGGAGGAGTGAACAGAGATTTGACGATATTGATGAAGGAGCCGATGTCAGTGTTTGTAGGGTCCGAGACGTAGAAGGGAGTGTAGTCGGCCCTGGTTGCAGGAGCAATGTCGACTGGTGAGGCGTGTCGGGCACGGAGGACAGACAAGAAGATGGGAAGAGCGGACGTGACATTGCCAGAACGAGCGCGATGTGTAGCAAGAGCAGTTGCAGCACGAAGAAGATTGGGGCTAGGAGGGGTCGCTTCCTGTACACGAAGGATAGAAGAGTCCTTGTCAATGACAGCATCTGGTGCAGGCAGAGCAGAAGCAGCGATGTCAACAGCCCACTTGTACGTCTCATCAGCAGAGTCAGTCAAACCCTTGATCTCAAGCCAATTGGCGTATGCCAGAGCAGCCTCAATTCTGTGACGGCTAGAGAAACCGACACCAGTCAAAACCTTCAGGTAGAAAGTCTCAGGTGGGGCATAGGCTCTACCACAATCTTCNNCCTCGCGAGGAGCAGACTCAGCGCCAGGAGGGCAGGGACGAGGATTGGGGTTTGAAGGACCAATCACGACATCCATTGGGAAGATGATGCCGCGGGTAGTGTCGAGGACCATGTTGTCGATGTGTTCGGAAGCGCGGGCGCATTGCATGACGACCTGGAAATAGCCTTCCTTCCATGCATACGACTTGTCTGAGATATCCAGAGCTGAGGGGTTGACGCCCCGAATATCCTCCTGGCCAGGGGCAAGGGGAGTTGTGCCCTTGCCATCGATATCGGGATTCTCAAGTCTCTCCAGGCACCTTCTGAACTCGGTCGCGACTTGAGCCCAGTCGGTGTATTCATGGTCTGGCTTGACAGCGGCGTTGGCGCATCTGAAGTGATTGCGCGAAAAGAAAGACCATTCACCAGGGGAAGGGGTTTTGCGTTCCAGCACTTCTTGGTTGATGCCGTAAAGGGCGACGACTCCCAGGAAGAAGAAAGACCATCCTACAGCGGACCACTTGGCAGCCAGCCAGACCTGCTCTTTGACATAGTTCTTGTTTTCGGTTGTGAGGAAACGCGCCGTCTGTCTCGAGGCAAAGGCGTTCCGTGAAGGTTGCGACAGATAGGGAAGTTGCGGTCGAGGGGACGATGTGCGCGTGATGAGAAGGAGCGGGTGGTTTTGGGTGAAGAGTCGCAGCGACGACTGATTTGGCAGTCGCCCAACTCGCAGGGGCCGTAGCAGCGGCGGCGGTCGTGATATCAAGACCATCTTGTCATGTCGACCAAGGAATGTCAATCGTCAATTCCATCATCGACTCTCGAAATGCCAAGACTCTGGAGCTTCCATTCTCCGCAACACCCCCGAGTTGTCACGCTTGCTCTTTCTATGCATTATCAGAGCCCCTGAAACAGAAGAATGGCAGACGGATCGGATAACAAGGGGGAACCGGGCGTAGACGAGCTTCGTGACCAGCTGGACGCGCTGTGGGAGAAACACCTTACACTACTGGACTCGTACCACCAGGCGCAACAACAGATTGCCCGTCACTTCTCGTCTGGCTTCTTCGACCTCGCTCAAGCCACTTTCAAGTCGACCACCCGTGTTCGCTATGGCCAGGAATCATATGACGACCGTATGCAAGCGATCACTCGCTTCGACACTTCAGTCGATGACCACGACATACCTTGTCTCGCCCTGAAAGTCAATGACACAACACCCCAGTCGACCACAGGCGAGAGTACAAAATCCGCCGACGACAGGCTGGACGAGAAACTTGTGGTGGAAGAGGATGTCACGCCCAGTCAACAGCCGACTCCACCGTCAACACCACCAAGAGAGTCTGATGAGGAGCTGCTTGAGAAACAAAGCCAGGAGAACAAGTCTGATACGACAGGTGACAAGGAACCAAGTCAAAAGAAAGTCCGCGACCCCATTCACTGGTACGGTATCTTAGTACCTCCTTCTTTGCGTTCGTCACAAAAGTCTTTCAAATCTGCCATCCAGGATCCTATTATTGAAGCTGCCAATTCGGCACAAGCCCTTCGCCATATCAACATGGAGATTCGTAAACTGCGCAAAGACATTAAGAAGGCTGAAAAACGTGTCTCATAATATTACTCTACATCGGATCAGTAGGAGTACCTGAACCGGGGGTTCTCAAAGTCTGTCAAATCCTCAATCGTCTCCTCGCTTGTGTCCATGTCAGATACCAGGCCAAACTCTGCATCTCTCTTCTTGTTACGATGGATCAGAAGTGCTCGCAACGCAAATACAAGCACCACCTGGATAGCCGCGCAAGCAATAATAAATTTGCATCCAGTCTCGTAGATTGGAGCTTCGTCTGCCAGGAATGCATGAGGTCCGCAGATGTTGCCGATACAATATGCCAGGAACACAAATGCTGTGGCTGTCACTCTCTTGGTGTATCCTGCCACATTGTTGGCCGGCATCTGCAGCGCCAGTACAAGAGATGCCACAAAAGAGCCAATNNCTGTGTCATTGTCAGCACTGTGTTCATATACCGGTCCTGGAGTACGCACCAAGTAGTATGACACCAGCAGGCCATTTGAGTTGCTTCTTGGGAGCTTCCACACAAGACTGGTTCCGATGATGGTTGGCAAGAGATACAGCGCCATGATGTATGTCCGAATGTTCTTGAACTTGGAAGCCAGAAATGGTCCAGTAAATACAAAGAATACTTGGAACGCTCCGGAAGGAATACCGTACGCTGTCGTTTTGAGTGCATCGCCGTGAGCGATACCTTTGACGATCAACTTGCCGAAATTTGCGAAACNCTGCCTACGTCAACATTTGTACGACAAGGTGGCACATCATTACATACCTCCGTTGATGCCTTCGTTGCACAAGACAAACAGGAACAATATCCAGATTTGAGGATCAAGCAATGCTTCTTTGACCTGCGAGAGCTTGATCTTTGGGTTGTATACGCCAGTTCGGTTGGTCTGACTACGTGCAATGAGCAGTGCCTTTTCTTCAGTTGAGAAGAATTTGGCAGTCATGATGTTGTTCGGAAGCAGGAAGAAGAGCGCGATGCCCCAGACGATGGTCAAGCCTCCGCAGAGCAAGAAGATGACNNTCCTGGTAGTCGTTAGCGAAGTGGCTCATCTCGGATGGCGGATACTCGGCATACTCCAGACTGGGAAGCCCTTCAACTGCCCGACACCATAGAAAAGAATGCCTCCAACCATACTGCCAACTCCGTTGAAGCAGTAGAAGATGCCAGCACGTGCTGGTTGTTCTTTCCTCGTGAACCACATGCCGACCAGCATCATGAAGCAAGGAGNTCTTCCGCTATGTCAGCATATTCAACAACGACGGAGGATAAAATCACTCACGATAGGAGCTTCGAGGCAACCCAGAATGAATCTGCAGATGGCCAGGCCAGTAAAGTTCGAACACGCTGCCGTCAACATCAACACCGATCCCCAGGTGACGACAAAACAGCTCAACACTTTTCCAGTAGGAAAATGCTGCGCCAGATAACTACTTGGCCACTCGGAAACCAAATATCCAAAGTAGAATATACTCGTTAACCAACTATACTCGTCCGACGTAGTTTTTGTCGAGGTAAACAAATCAAACACGGCAGAATAGCTCAATGCTTGTTTGTCAATGTATTGGAGTAAATAGGTTCCGCAAAGCAGTGGCATGAGCGTCCAATTGACTTTGCGGACGAGTCTCTTGCAAGCAACCTCGTCTTGAAGTAGTTCGTGCAGGTAAGCGTGGGAGAAATTGTTGTCGCGAAGGAAGACTTCGGCTGCATCGAGGTCTTCGATCACCTCACCGGCTTTGAGGTCCATTTCTGTAGTCTCTGGATCGGCGAGGGTCTTTTCTTTGATAGATATATCGTCTGCACGAGGAGTCTGGTCAGGCATATTCTCTTTTGTAGATGGAGTCATTGTGTGTCTAATTGAAAGAGACACTGGAGGTATGAAAGAGATGGATCGAGTTGTGCAGATCTGCGAGGCGGACTTTGTACTCGAGCACTCCCTATACCTTCAGCTGCCAAGAGAACATGGTGGTCGGGCGATAACCTATCTTTCCCCTCTTTCTATCTGCATAGGGCTAGAGCATAACTCAGATTGATCTGCCGGCTCTTAGGCCTATCAAAAGATATCGGATGAGTGAGTATTCACATCTGAGTTTGTTTCTAACAGAAGCCTGTTAACGGAATGAGTTTCTCGGATTTGCACAGCTCGTCAGTCCTCGACATTACTTTGATCTGTTATACAATTGTGCTTCGACCTCAAACAAAGCTGTTCAAACAGCATTGACGCTGTTCCGAGTCAGTCGATTTGCCTATCTTGATCCTTTCGGAGATCTTCCCTGTCTCTGCAAGTCGGCTTGCCTCTCCGCCATGCTTCTTTGGCCGCTGGCCGAAGGCTTCCCCGCGATAGGGTGCCTGGCCTATCGATAACACCAAGTACCTGGGTACCTCTCACCTCTATCGTTCCCTATCTTGACATCGAATACCACGGCAAGGTATCCCATCAACATCACAGAGTTGCCCGCTCCGCCTTCGGAACCACATTGATGGCCGTTGCCCCAGCTCCGATGTCGTGATCTGCACTCGACTACATCAACCAAGAAGCGCCCATGATGCATTACATTTTGCGGTTTTGATCATTTGTCCAGGAATCATACATCATGCCGTCTTCAAATCCAGCGAGGCACTTTGCCTTTGCTCTGCTTATCCCTTTGGTCCTTGCAGCAGCGAACTTTGCATCTTTGCAACAACAGGTGCTGGACTCTGTCCAACGCTTCCTCAGTTTCGAAACTGCAGCTCTGCCTGTTGTTACCATTTCTCAAGCTTCTTACGTTGGTACAAACATTGAAGATGATTTTCCTGTTCCTGTCGAGGCTTGGCTGAGTATCCCTTACGCTCAATCTCCAATCAACGACCTGCGTTTCGCCAAACCTCAACCCGTGGCTCCAAGTAACCAGACCTTTGAAGCCAAGGCATTTGGTCCAAGATGTCCTGGCAAACAGCTACTTCCGCCTGGCGGTGGTCCTGATGTCTGGTCTGAAGACTGCTTGACTGCAAATGTCTTTCGTCCTGCCACCATGCCTCAAGGCAAGAAAGTGCCAGTTATGGTGTATGTGCATGGTGGAGCCTTCAACCGTGGCACTGCAAAGATGCACAATACGGCCAGTATGGTTGGATGGAGCACCCAAGCTTTTGTGGCTGTGAGCTTCAATTACCGAATCGGTGCTCTTGGGTTCTTGAACTCGGAGTTGACACAGAAGGAGGGAGTACTCAATCTTGGACTCTGGGATCAGGTGTTGTTGCTTGAGTGGGTTAGAGACAACATTGAAGCTTTTGGAGGTGATGCTGGCGATGTGACGTTGGTGGGGTTGAGTGCTGGTGCACATTCGGTAAGTCTTTCCTCTCTGATTCTGCAGATTGTGATACAAGCAAAGAAAGAAGCAGAATCACTGACAGGGATTTTCAGNATTGGTCATCATATCATGAACATCAACACCCCATCTCAACTCTTCCACAAAGCCGTCATCGAATCAGGAGGTCCAACATCTCGCGCCCTACACCCGTACGATTCGCAGCTTCACGAAACCCAATTCCAGCAGTTCCTCGAAGAAACCGGTTGCAAGGATGTCGCTCCCTCTTCAACTCTTTCTTGTCTGCGTAATGTCTCTGAAGCTACCATAGTCGAAGCTTCTTACAATGTCTTTGCACACTGGAACCCTTCTGTACGATGGGCATGGCAACCGGTTATCGATGGCGAACTCATCAGTCGTCGACCACTCTCAGCCTGGAGATCCGGTGACTGGAACAAAATCCCCATTCTTACTGGTTTCNNCAATCACAACGAAGGCACCATGTACGTCCCCAAAACTGTTGCTTCGTCTGCCGACTTCCGTGCCTTCTGGTCTACACTATTGCCACAGTTGAGTGAGGCAGAATTGGACGAGATCGACGCTTTATACCCCGATCCTGCCACCTATCCAGATTCAGAGTATACGGATACAAGAGGCTTGGATGTGGGTGCGCAATACAAACGTCTAGAAGCCGCGTATGGACATTACGCCTACGTATGTCCAGTACGTCAAACCGCTATCCTTGGCTCTTCCTCACAAAACCCACCCATCTACCTCTATCACTGGGCAACCAACCGCACCGTCCTCGGTGGCGCAAACCACGGCGACCAAATGTGGTATGAAACCTTTGATCCCTCTGTCAGTGGTATCTCCGCCACACAAAAAGAGATTGCAGGTGTTTTCCATGATTACATAGTTTCTTTTGTGCTGTCTGGGGATCCGAATAAGATCAGAGGGAGATGGGAGCGTCCGACATGGAAGGCTTGGGAACAGGAAGAGCAGACAATGGTGTTTGGAAAAGGCAATGATGAAAGAGCTGGTGGTGGCCATACAGGTGTGGTTGCCCAGTCTATCGACGACACTTGGGCGAGAAAGCAATGTGAGTTCTGGTGGAAGCAAACGAGCAATGTGGAGGACTAGGTATTCAATGATGATCTGGTATCTAAAATAAGCTAAGCGACTCTTGTTGCCAGTGTGCTGGTCCGATCAAGCCAACTGTTTCCGAGGTGTAAGTTCTCGTGTTTCAAGTGAGGACGATCATAAGGTGAGTGTCCATCTTCGACCACGGAAATGTATGCCGAGCTTTGATTGGACTAAGTCTTGACTACTGCATAGCTAACGATTTGGGAACTTGTGGTTTGTAGGATTCTGCAATGTGGATTAGACAGTGCTTGGCAAGGCTTGCAGCCTGTTTGTGCTGAGCTTGGTAACACCTTTGATTTGCTGCAATCCTTGTATACACAGAGACATGGATGTGCGCAATATACAGCAGTCACAAGACTGACCGGTAGTTCTGCATACTGCCTCTAATGAAATTGCCGCTGAATATGTCCTTGTTAGAGCATATAGTGATGTTTTCCCTCCGACCGTGAAAGAGCTTTAAATCACTCTGGTCTTCTAGCACAATATGAATGTCCTTGATTTGGCCGGATCTGAGACTGACTTGGTGTCCTGGGAACCAATGAACCATGAGGCTCGACAACAATCCGCCTTCGATCATGGATGCGACTCAACAACAAGCACATCCTTCTGTGGTCTTGAACACGCCAATACCGAATTCGCCATGATGGTGTACGCTAATGGTTCAACAAACAAAGAAGACCATTCTTGTCTCCCATCTCAACTGAACCATCTCGTCAACATTCATTCTTCACGCACTTTGCCTTGCACACAACCGCAGCCACCACCATCAAGAATGCCTTCGCAATCCGATGCTTATGACAACCACCAAACCTACAACGCTTTCAGTGCTCTACCCGCATGGGAAGGATCCAACCTGCATCTTCGGCCAGTGTCGAACAATCCACCCCACTGTTTCGAGCATGGTTGCAACGGACGCAGATTCTCCTGCCCAGAAAACTACCGACGCCATCTTCGCGAAAGACAGCGTCAAAGCCATGTTGTGTGTAGTTTTTGTGATGCTTCGTTCAGCAGGAAGAGTAACAGAGACAAGCACATTCTCACCGGTCGATGCAAATTCTTAGCTATGGTTTAGTGCTTTGGGGGTCTTTTTTTTTTTTTTTTTTTTGGGATATTCGACGATCGTGGTGGATTGCGGCACGGAGTGAGCTAGCTGTTTTGATTCATTATAACTCTGTGTCGATATACGGAATTGGCCAGGAGTCTAATAACTGCAATGGAATCTGGAATAGAATAATATGGTTGCTTAGTTCGTGCTTCGCATCACTACAGAGAAGCGTAAAACAAACTGTCATCGTGGGATCCGTTCAAGATACTCTTTCAAGATACTCTTTCAGGATACTGGAAAAATCTGGAACCCGAATTAGTTTGGCAGCAAGAATCTGGCAGAAAGAATAAAGCTGGCCACTTACATCTAGACAGGTCGGACCACTCTGTCTTGATACCACGACGAATCCAGGTACACCACCTTGCTTACACGCTGCCTTGAAAATCGCATCGGAGTCATCGCCCAGCTTGCTTACCAACCGGCCGGTCTGCAATGCAGATTTACAAGAGTGCTGGGCACAAGGTCAGGATACCGGGTACCCATTATATCTCTACGGCCCTATGAAAATCACTTCCGGTTGACTGGAGTTATTGAGTCAACGTCGCAGAATTCTTCAAGCCATTGCAGTCTCCAAAGTGACATTGTGAGGTTAACATAGAGCGTACTTGATGGAATTAGAGAACAGAAACTTGGGGACCACACCTCGCCGCCGTATCTACATGGAAGCGAACCTGTCAGTGACCTTACACGCTCTGCTTATTTCTCCCACACCACCTGCTGAAGGGTTCGTTGCTCCATCGCGATCTAAGCAAATACGCTGTAGAGTCATGGTAGGATGATGCTGAATTGCAGTACAGTCACCACTGTTTTGAAGAGAAGGTGTGAACCTGAATGTATTCTCTAACTAAAAGAGTTTGTTGCATTGCGGTTTTGTATGGAGAAGTATTTAATAGTGGATAAAAGAAGACCCAAAAAGTCATTCGACAGGGGGGAAAGAGAAGAGTTTGCTCACAGTCGATCTGGCTAGACCCTATACGTAGCAAGATGCAGATCTTTGATACCACAGTCTGATTCTTTATTAATGTGTCTCGCGTTTACCTTTCAAGTTGTGCTTTAAGGTGATGGGACTTTTGGTCAGAAGCAAAAAGAAAATCGCGGCGGGTGAGATTCGAACTCACGATCTCTGCAATTTCACGTCCCTACTCAAGGTGCTGACGCTACCCGTAGTCGCTGAGACACTACTATACTTGTGTTTGCAAGACACGTTGATGCAGCGCCTTACCACTAGGCCACCACCGCTTTTGCTGGAGAACAATCCAACTTGTCTGGTTATATGTTGCATATTCATGAGTTTTGGTTCATCAACTTGATGAATCAGATTATTCGTTGTCCCACTGCATATAAGTCTTTGGACACTCTACTTGCACCTCATTTCCCTCGAGATGCTCACATGGTTATCTGCAACCAGTTCACTCTTTAATTCGTTAACCACTAAAACGTGGTATATAGTCTCCCGTTGTACGATTGTCTGTGACAAGTGAACAACGTGAACCCTATTTAAAGTTTAATATAGTCTATCTACGATCTAAGCATAAGAGGAAAAGAAACACTGATGTGCTTACGCCAGCCTTGGTGAAAAAGAGCTTGAAGGCGCTGACGCTGCCCGCAGTAATGGAAGAGACATTGAAGGCGCTGACGCTGCCCGCAGTAGTGAAAAGGAGACTCAAGGCGCTGAAGCTGCCGGTAGTAGTGGTAAAGGAATCGTGGATGCTAACGCTACCCACAAGGGTGTTAGCAGGGATACTGGCGCTACTATCAAAACCCGCAAGATCTGGACCGAGAATGCTGGACCAAAGTATTCACAGCAAGGGGTTGGAAAAGGCTTGCAGGACAGAGAAGACGCTCATGATCGAGGTCATCTGATCGCGAGGCTCTACAAACCTGCTGAGGACTGCTAGCGATGCTGTCCTTATCGTCGGAAGCGGAAGACTCCTCATCGGAGCTGTAAGGGACTCTCCGCCCTATCAACGACTCGGGACCGAATTCTAAAATGCCGCGATCAACAAGTAGTCGTTGACGACTTGATGTGCTATCATGGTCGCTTTGCAAGATGTAATAGTTGTTGGCGTATTGTATGTAAGGAGGGATAGATGCTCTGTTCTGCGTATGTGTTGGTGTGACCGCCATCTTCGCCGAGTTTGCCTTCGGGAGACTCGATGAATCAACATCAGATGGTGAAGAAGATGATGTTCTCAGGCCTGTCCGCTGGCAGGACCTGTATGGAGAAACAATGAAGGCCCTCGGACAGTCACGCACGCCATGAGGTAGAAAATCGGGCTTCGCGAGGAGTTGTTCCCTGCTTTGACCCACCCAGCCTTTCTTGACACGATGAGGTGGCATCGGAGCATGAATTCGATCTTCAGGTGGAGGAAGAACATAAGCATTCTCCAGGCCGCTCGCCAGCATCTTGTCGAAGACGACGTCATTGTAGGAGTTGTCCATTACAAGTGTACAAAGACACCTGGTGCCTCCAAAATGACGACACTCCGAGCAGGGATCGAGCGGATCATCGACATCGCGCTGCAGCCTGTCACACTGTGCTAGGTCAGACCATGTTCTAGCATAGCTTCGAGTGGGGTCATATCACTTCTCTCAGATTGTCCAGGCAGTTCTGACAAGCATTTCCAGTTTGATTAGGAACCATGTAGCCTTTGGGCTCTTTGGTCCCAACCAGTGCTGGGTTGAGGTTCTCGTGGTGGTACTTTGAGCACCATGCCCCAGAGCGAGCCAAAACAGCTGCAAGGTTCGCACTAAACTGGCTTGCGCTTTCGTGATTGCTGTGAGATTCCATCTTTTGTGTGGTTATGTTTGCGATGATATCCTGTCGTAGGTGCTTCAAAAGTTATGATAGTATGTTTGTGGCGAAGGAGAGCTAAAAGAGGTGATTGATCTGGCTGGACTTGCAACAATGGTACATTCACAGTTCTGTTACTTGTTTCATCGGATGCAAACATACAAACAAGAACACGACACGAACACGAGATGGAAGAAGTGTCTGGAATGATACCAAACAAAGACCGAAAGTGAAACAACCAGAACCTCAATTTATAGATGCACCTCAACTTTCGAACAGCACATCAAACCTTCAACATCACACTGCTGTCAACTGTCTACCCATCACAACTATCCTAATCTTTCTTCCCTCACAAAAGATATCGATCATGCCTTCCCCCTATTCTACTGAGCGCAGCGAGCTCTGCCGTCACGACACTTCTCGCGTCGGCTGCATTTCATGCAAGCAACACGGCGTCAGAGGCAGGTTCACAGAGGTGCATAACTAGGCATTCACTTCATAAACTGATTGTTTCCAGTCGGAGTTCAAGCTTGCACAGATCCACGATCGCTTGCGCGCCTTACCAAACTCCATCTTGCGGGCGTCAACAGAAGAAGTGCGTCAGTATCTGGTGGAGGAGGCAGAAGACGCCAAAGCAAAGCAGGACTTGTCCGAAATCCGCAAGGTTGTCGACAGTGTCGCGGATGAAGTCCGAGCTATCTGTGCCAGTAAGTTGATTTTACCATCGCTGCTCATGAACTGTACTCAGTTTACTGACAACTCGCCAGAAACTGAACCTCACATGCTCGCGAAAGCATTTGAGGAGGACGCTGCCGCCCGAGAACTGAAGATGAACGACACTTTGAGAAAGGAACCTCCCAAGTCCACGACAGTAGATCCCAAATTCGGAAGAGAAGAATCAGAAGATCACAGACCGGCGTCGCCGTTCAAGGGCCTGGATCTTACCAACATTCCCGCCACTCCTGACTACCTCCTCGACGATCCCATCGGACTGGCAGTGTTCTAAGAGCGGGCAAGGCAGAAACCCCATGTCAGCAGTTGGTCCAAACCCTGGACCTGCAGTCATGAGTCACGGTAGAGCCTTGGCCATGTTCGGCCCGCCAGAATCTCACACCGAGTCGATGCCCAGGACTGAACGCGAGTATCGTGAGCGAGACACTCTCAATCCTCCAACCGTTGCCATCCTGTCCGAGGAAGAACAGTGGGCTCTGTTCACCAAGGACAAATGCCTTCCGTACACGGAGATGCTCGTCAGCGAGTATGTCAAACGCGTAAAGGCCAAGGCAAACGTTGACAAGACCAAGACTTCTGACTCTTCTCACAAAGAAGAATCAAGCACTGGAGGTTGGCCAGATGTTGAGGGTCACGACTAGGCTGGTCTGACCAACTGGATCCACAGATGCATGAAGACGGACAAGAAGTTCTTTGAAGTCACGCTTCCTTCATGGAAGAAACAAAGAGAAGATCAACGCGCCACAATGATCGACCGACTGTCAACGTGGAATCTCTCCGATGCCGTTGCAGCAGGTTTCGACGGCGGCTCTTCAAGATACGAAGATCCGCGCAAATACTGGCCTTTCTCGAACTCTCTCGCCGAGATTGAGGCAGAGGAAGCAAGCGAACACCACTGAGGTCAGCGTCAGCACTTCTTCCTCTTCTAGGGTGCACCAGTCCATACTTTCACCACTACGGGTAGCGTCAGCACCTTGACTTTTCTACTTAAACCACTGCGGGCAGCGTCAGCGCCTTCAACGTCTTTTCCACCACTGCGGATAGCGTCAGCATCTTCAGTTCCTTTTCTTTAAACCGCTGAAGGTAGGATAAGCACCTTAATACAGTGCCAATTGTAGTATAGATATTCCAATGATGAGCTCTCCCTTTCTCAGCCTTTCGACCATAGCTTTGTCCTACCTGTACACGCTCAAATATAGAGTTGCTCAAAAGATCAACAGTCGATCGGAGTAGCATGATGCAGGCATCTGCTTAGCATCACATCTAATCAAAGCAAAACTCTGTGATGTGACAGGTTCCAAAGTAGTAGAAATTGCCTTATGGAAAGGATCGATCGTAATACATGAACATCATTTCCCTCCTCAATCAGTCTGAGGCAAGGTTGTGGAACAATCTAATGATGCCCATCGCACAACCCGCAGCCACGCCACCCACAAACATCATCTGGACACCTCCTATTACACCCTGCCAAACCTTCTCTTTGCCCTTCCACCCAGCAACAAACCCGGTCTTTGAGTATCCAAACACAAACAAACAACTTAGCATGACACCAAACGACCAGTACAGAGCCAACAACACATCTTCCCTAGGCACAAAGAAGTAAGGAATCAGAGGAACAAGTCCACCGATCAGATAGCCAAGTGCGATTGTGATGGCGCAGGTGATAGCTCGTGAGCTGGCGGGTTCTGGTTGCATGTGTTCGAATCGCATCAAGAAATCCAAGAGATGTGGTGACTTGGAGAGGTGGAAGCTAAGTTCGTTGACGAGGTTTTCTGGCAGTTCGAATGAATCGAGGATGGTGGAGACGGAGTTTGCGGCGGCTGAGGGTGTCTCTGCGACTTGTGTGCGTGTGGAGGATAATGTAGCGCGATAGGATTNCTCTGCAAGTGGATATTAGCATTGACACCAGTGCGGAGAAATTGGGAAGCTCTACTCCTCGCTTTTGGCTCCCAGATATCCACCAAGTCCCATGGAAATGGCACCGGCAATTAGTTCTGCGACACCACCAAGGATGACCACTCTCGAATCTCCCAAAGCTGACAAGCCAGCAGTCAAGGCGAATGGAACCGTAAGACCATCAGAGAGACCAATGATGGCATCTGAGATGACTCGAGCATCAATCATGGTCTTGCGTCTGTGTGATTCTGTCTCGAGCGGACTGTCGACTTGTGTAGATGCCAGCGACTCTACATCACTGGATGAACGCAATTGAGCGTACGACTTTTCGGTGAGCGTCTCTGAAGACCCCAAGAGGTTCTTGACCCAAGTCAAAGACATGTTTGGTAATGGAGTGATGAGTTCAGGAAGAGCTGCTTGGATACAAGTTGAATGAATCTCTGTCTGACTGTGAGAAAAAGTTGGCTTTGTCATTCGTTGCTGCAAGGCTTTGGCTGGACTTTGTGTTATCCATGCGACTCTATATTCTTTTCAATCATTTTGTGCTTGTACGAAGACATGTCAATCAAGGTAGTTCGTAGCTCCACAGCCCTGCCGTGTGTTGAGGCATTGTGCAGCTTGCTCGTAGCCATTACTGACCAATGAGTCGACCAACGTGCTGGCACGCTCTGGTGTAAGTTTTTGACAAGCATGCGGCCAAAGGCCAAAAAGTTTTTGGCGATCTGCGTATACATATGCAGGGCCTGAGCTTGTCTAAATGCTTGCCGGATTTCCCGTCCGGTCGCGGGTCTCGGCACATGAGGCGTTTGCGGAACTGGCCTATGAACGCGACCCTATTATCGACCTTCCAGAACGGTCGCATCGCCGCCGACGATCTTGCCCCACTCACTCGAGGACCCTACGTGGGGTCGTGGTATACACGAGCAACTTCGTCGACACGACGTGCTACTTTCGAGCACACTTACTGGTCCAATGCCATTAACGATAATCCATGCTTACATGTTGACCGCTAACTTTTGGAAGAATACTCCGCCTCTGCTCACATGCACGAGCATGCCCAACATTCTGTAACTCCACTCGAGACGGCAAATATGCTTTAACTCCGCAGAAATTTGTCCGTGATGCGACTGTAACAGTCCACGTGGGAAAATTCTTGTTGCCATTGATGGTCAGTCTATTGTGCCAGCGATTGAGGCAGGAGTATAAGATGGATGTCGAAAGCGCTTCGATCATGGTTTGGACAGTCAACCTGCTCAGTCTTTCTTACACACAACAATGAAGACAACCACAGCATTGGCCGTTGCCTCCTCTCTGGGCCTTGCCTCCGCATTGCCCTACATGGGTCCAGGCACTCTGGAGATGAGACAGCAAATGACCACCAAGAACTCGACCTGGACTGATCTGAGAGGAAAGGTTAGTCTCTCCCATAACAGATGTGATCGAAAGAAGCTAACATACTCCNNAAAGATCAAGCACGTTGTATATCTCATGATGGAGAATCACAGTTTTGACAACATCGCCGGATACTGGGATTTCCACCCTGACATTGACAACCTTCGCAACATCAGTTACTGCAACCAGTACACAAACCCCAATTGTACGTTGATATCTCCGAAGCAGTGATATTTCGCTTACCAGTCATACNNAGGGACTGTCTGGAATGAGCCCATCGATATCTGCGCTGGGCCATATGAAGATGAGGTCCCGTTGAAGGATCCCGATCACAACTTTGCCGGTACCTCGTACGAGATCTACCGCACCTGGTATCCTTCCAAGAACGACACACCCAACATGGGAGGTTTCATTGAGCGTCAGTCCGAGAAGTACAGCGAGACTCCTGGTGATGCTGCGTTCGTTATCGGAGCATACTCTCAAGAGAAGTCTCAGGTGCTTGCAACCCTTGGCAAAAACTTTGGCTTTTGGGATAGCTACCACGCTGAACACCCTGGGCCAACAAACCCTAACAGACAGTTTGCCACTTCGGGTTCGACTTGTGGAATGGTTGACAACACCGACCAGGCTTCAGGATGGTTCGCCAACGTGACCGGAACCACTTGTGCCAAGTCCATCTTCGAGTCTCTGTCTGAGAAGAACATCACCTGGAAGAACTACTACGAGACTGACATCATCGATGCTTGGATGTACAAGTGGGTCCANGATAATGCCATGGACAAGCTTGTCCATGCCGATGAAGTTTACTCGGATCTTGAGGCTGGCACCCTGCCTGCTTTCAGTTACATCAACCCTGAGTGCTGTACCATCGACTCGATGCACCCGTCTTCAAACATGGCAGCTGGTGAGCAGCTCATCAAGCATTTGTATGATGCTGTCAGAAAGTCCAAGTACTGGAATGAGACGTAAGTACTCACATAGTTTTCAACAGTTGACAATTGCTGACTCGAGTGACCAGANTTGATCATCATCAACTTTGACGAGCATGGTGGTTTCGCCGATCACGTCGGCCCACCTGTCAACATCCCCGCCCCTGAGGACGGCATTACCTTCAGTGGTAAGAGTGATGCCCACAACGTGACTTACGATTTCACCCGCCTGGGAGTTCGGTTCGTTGTTCTCTTACTCATGGCTCTCGGATCCTACTGACCGTCCCGTAGTGTCCCAGCCTTCGTCATTTCTCCATGGATCGCCCCCAACACTTTGATCCACGACCAAGGCACCTCGTATGCCGACAACTCAGCCTACACCCACACTTCGTTCTTGCACTTCCTTCAGAACCTTTGGGATCTCGAGGGTCTCAATAACCGTGTTCAGTGGGCAAAGACTTTCGAATACGTCTTCCAGGACAAGATGAGAACCGACACGATTGAGGAGCTGCCTACTCCTGTCTGGATTGGTGGTGCTGGTCAACCTGAGCCTGAGGCTTTCTACAAGCTCAATCAGCCTTACAGCTACTATGCTGAGTTGGAAGACTAAAATGGTGCGGATATTGAAGATGATTGGCGGGGCTGAGATGTAAATCGATGGGGTGTGATGCTGATGTTAGTGCCTTGATAATGACTCCCATAGATCGTTGGTTCGAATGAATTGTTAAGAAACATTATACGAGCTCAAATACGCCACGAGACTGGACCCAGAGTATGATACTTTAGCGTGCAACAAGCATTCAGGGTCTTCTATGAGACCGAAGAAGCAATGTTTTCAAACCAGAAAGTTCACATGCTAGACCATCGCGCCTTCCACGACCGGTTTCGGCACAGCTTTAGTGCTTACCGGTCCGCTGTCTCATCCCACTCCTTATCGATGGAAGGTACGATAGATGACCTGATTGGAATTTATTGGCCTTCTGTCTGTATTATCGTCGCAATTGTTCCCCCGACTCAATCGCTTGTCTCTCAGCGCCAGAAGTCGAGTCTCTTGGTCAATACACCTGTTTCAACATTTTTCAGCAGCTTGATAAAAGTTCTCAATCAAGCATCACCGCATCGGTTGGTCTTTGTCTCAAGCCCCGCATCGTCATGAGTTGCATTCCAACCGTATTACGTATCATCATGGCTTTGTTCGCCACACGTGGCCATATGATCATCTCGCAGCATGCCTTTGGTCTTGTTGCTAAGCATGCCTCCTCACCCCTTGCTTCACAGCTTGTTGTATCCTACCATCTCTCAGGCACAACAACCACAACTGGTTTGTGTCTATTTTACCAGCATAGCCATATCTCTATGTCGATAGCGTCATGCCTCTAGGGATCCTCGAGCCGAAGGCGAAGAAAGTGCCAGGAACGGCGAATGTGTTGGATCAAGAATGGAAACGAGATCCGACATTGAGACGAGACAAAACCGGCAACATCATCTTGGTACCACAACCAAGCGAAGATCCAAATGATCCTCTGGTACGACCTTAAGCAGAAAGCTGCAAGATTTGAGCTGACTGATGTCCATCANNGAATTGGCCATTATGGCAAAGAGACCTGATGCTATTGCTCCTTTGTATCGTCTCCGCTATTGCAACAACAGCATCACCATTATGTGCTGCCAACTCAGTCGTCCTGGCTGTCGTCTTCAAAGTCAAGTTTCAAGATGCTGCACTACTTACTGCGTACCACCTCTGTGGTGTGGGTGTCGCTAGTTGGCTATTCGTGCCGTTGGCTAGAGTATGGGGAAAGCGACATGTCTTCCTGTTTGGTGCTCTACTCATGGTCGCTTCGTCAGCTTGGGGTGGCTCGACGCANAAGAGTTTGAACTATAAAAGTCTCATCTGGGCGAGGGTGTTTCAAGGTATCGCACTTGCGCCTTTTGAGTCTTTGGTCAATGATGTTGTTGGCGATTTATTCTTCGTGCACGAACGAGGTTTCCGTATGGCATTTACCAATGTCTGTTTATTCGGAGCTGCTTTTCTGACTCCTGTCTGTGGTAAGTACACCTTATCTTTTCTTCGTAATCGAATACTAACCAGGAACATTNNAGTCGGCTTCATAACATCCAACGACTCTCTAGGCTGGCAATGGTCCTTCTACTTCCTCTCCATCTTCATGGGCGCCGGCTTCGTCCTCCTCTTCCTTTTCCTCCCAGAAACAGCCTACCAACGTCCTCGCTACCTTCAGATCGACATCAATGTAGGCCCAGTAGCCTTCCACGACACCCCTTCCTTCCCGCCAAAACGTTCTTTTCTGCATAGGCTTCCCCCATTCAGTGGCCGTAAAACAGATGAAAGCTTTCTCAAGCTACTATTCAGACCTTTCCCGCTGTTCTTGCAACCAGCAGTGGCGTGGGGCTGTCTCATGCAAGGTGTGATAATCGGGTGGACGGTTATCGTCGGCGTGATCCTCGCAATAATATTTCTCGGTCCACCTCTCTTCTTCACTGAAGAAGACGCAGGAAAAATGTACACTGCAGCGTTCATCGGCTCTGTCTTAGGTCTCATTCTCGCAGGAATCTACACCGAACTCGTTACTAGATTCTTGATTCTGCGAAATGGAGGTCAATACGAGCCAGAATTCCGTCTCGCGCTGGTGATACCAACACTTGTTTTCTCCGGGATAGGACTCTATGGCTTTGGCATCGCGGCGTCAGATATCGAGAAATACGGCTGGATAACAATCGAGATCTTCCTCGCTTGCATCACAATATCCATGGTTATGGGAGCTACAGCCTCTGCTCAGTATCTGCTGGACGCGCACCGAGATATCGCGATTGAGACGTTTACCTGCTTGATTATATTCAAGAACATCTTTTCGTTTGTACTTGCTTACTATGCTTATCAATGGGTTCTGGAACAAGGCTTCCAACGCATGTTTGTCACTTTCGGGAGTATTGAGGTGGGCATTTGTTTGTTGAGCATTCCTATGTATGTGTTGGGGAAGAGGAACAGAGAATTCTTCTACCGCCACGATATACTTAAGTTGGCGAGGTTGAGGTAGCATATACCTATGTATCGAGAGGGTTCTTGATCGATGCTTGGTATCTATGATTCTTACTCTGAGGATAAACATGTACTTTGTCAGAAACGATATTTGGCGTTACATATGAGTCTTCATGCCGCATCCTAGGCAGCTTGGAGCGAAGCTGGAATGCGGTGGAGAGACCTTAGAATGACGCCGCTAGGGAGAAGCTCCAAGCCTCAATGGATGGCTGAGCAGAAGCATCGCCGAGATACTAGTTTACAGCCTATAATATGATAATGTCGGATATCTGGGCAAAGCCGTGCGATCTTCTAAACCTCGTAACGCTGAATTTTCAAACCAAGTAAAGTGAGTCCCATCTGTAGTTCCTATCCAACATCCTTTGTACATCCAGCGACACAATAGCCACACAGCTATGCGAGTGATTTCGTCAATAGTCTCAACATTCCCAGATTCTAAGGCCTTGCACAAAGCATCCCTAAGATGATTGGGGACGAGCGCACCACCATTGATCAGAAGCCTAACGACTTTCATGTGACCCCTTTTCGAAGCTAAGTGCCAAGCGGCGTATGTTTGATCGAAACTATGGAGTCGCAGTGCGCTGGGGCAAGCACCTCGAACGAGCAAGTCTTGAACGACGCCTTCGTGGCCTTGACCTGACGCCGCTATCAGCGAAGCATCGAGCCGTGTTTCCAGGGCATTAGGACCCTGAACCGACTTCACATATTTGCGAGCACACTCATCATGATCATCGGACCATACTGCAGGAGTATTGTTCTCGGAGTGCGGTTCGGAGCTGCAAACGTCGACCTCAAACTGTACCAGGCGCGCACACGAATGCCGAAGTCCCAGAAAGGCCGCAAAATATAGCGGGTAGCATTGTGTTTTGTCGAAATGTGTTTNTGTCAGCCCAGTGAAGCGATTCGATGTGATATTGGAAAAATGCTCGGGAACCCACTTTAAGAAGTCGAGCACAGAGGCAAGATTACCGTCGTCGATGGCTTCCAAATATCTAGCATGCGCCAGCCATGTAGCGGTGGCCCAATCAGCGAGAGTTCCCGCTCGGGGGTATCCACAAAATATTCTGCTCCAGTCGACACAACGTGAGGGTGTACATGCTCTGCTCCAGTCGACACAACATAAGGTCGTACGACACATGTGTAGAAGGTCCGACCTTGCAGCTGTCTCTGCGAGCTGAGATTTGAAAGGCTGGATAACCTCCTCAGACAAAAGATACTCCCGGACNNTGGAAGCATGAGCTAGCTGCAGGAACTGGACGTAGGAGCCAGTTGTCGACACTAAGCCAGAGCATATATTGACAATGTCACGGGTATCAAAGAATCTATCGTTCGCAGAGAAGCCTAGCTGTTGTTCTGGTTGCACAACGATGGCATCGCCGCATGCCTCAAGTGTAGGAGGGTGATCGCACCACAGTAACATCTGCAAGATAAGGACAACCTCTCGGCAATACGGAGATGTTTTGATCGAAGTCAAGATGCGTGCGTAAGTCTCATTCAGCGTTTTTGGCAGATCTCGAAGAGCTCGCTCGATGGCAGGTCTGTTGCGACATTCCCGCAGGGTGTCCAATTGCAGGGCTGCCCATCGGAANNCCTTGCTGGCGGTTCAGTACGTGCCGTCGGAGATAGACAGATATCATACTCACATGCCTCCAGCCTTCTCGCATATCGTGGTCTCAATTTCATGTCGGAGCATCTCCTGGCTTTCCCAGTGCGCAAACTCTTCGCCGTGCAGTCTACGCCGAGTATAGAACTTGATGTCTTCGTCAAGACCTTGGAGTGGGAGAGGGATAATGTCCTCCTCGTGAGACCAATTCACTACTTGTGTTCGAGAGGTGACGAGCAGACGCACTTCCAAGGCCTCTGCGCTATCAGTGCTCCGGCACCACTGTACGATCTCGTAAATTGAATCTGCTTCATCTAACGCATCAAGAACGATGTTCACACCCTGCAACTGCTCGAGTACAGAATCTAGCGTGTCTTTCAACCGGTCCAAAGTTGGTTGCCGACGTCCCTGTTCGTGAGAATTGTAGCAGTCCTGTATGATTGTTTGAGCTATAGGCGACTTATGATAAAGCTGTAGCAAGAGAGATCGTAGCATGTCCTTGTAGTGCTGCTTGTTTGTGTCGGTGAAATCGAAGTAGAAGTAGATGGTCGGATGGTCTTGTTCGCCGAGAAGATCTTCAATGATCGCCGCGCTTAGAATTGTTTTGCCGCATCCTGACAGGCCATGAAGCCAAAGAAAAGACTTGATCTGGGTCTTCCACATTTGAAGGTCGGCACCACGAAGAAACCATTCACCTGTACCAGTGCGGTGTGTTTCAATCGCTCTTATGTAGTTGACGGAAGAACCTGCAGCTTTCAACCATTCAGTGACTGCATTTGATGCGTTGGTAATTTTGATCTGCTCCACTGACGCAGCTACGGTTTGGACGTCACTTGACACTTGATGCTGTTAGGAAGTGTTATGGAGCATTGGTATTTCGATGTTCACTCCACGTCGTTCAATGGCTTCCGCAAGTCGTTCCTCTCGTTCGACCCCTTCAGATGGAATCTCCATCAGAAGTTCTTTGGCGTATGCTGCTGCAGTCATTGCGGCATATCCCTGCCATTCCTTGTTCTTGTGACTATCAGAGTAGTCACAGATGCCGCGAACCACTAAACAAGGAAAGCGGTTCATGATGCCAGCAGCCTCCATATCAAAACACAAGACCCCTTCTTCGCGCGCGAGCTTGTTTCTCAAGGTGGCATCCCTGATGACCTTGTTTCCCGAGCCTATGAGACCATAGTGGATAGCAGGGTTATCATCATGCTTGTCTCTTGACTGACGTGTTATCAACTTGGTAGGCTCTGTTCCGCAGCATGTATCACAACTCTCCTCAGATGTAGAATGTACTACATCGGCCTTGTACAGTCGGTCGCTTTCTGGAGCCGGACAAGCATAACCTCTTCTCTTGAGGCGCGGGTTCTCTTCCAAAGCGGCCTCGATGTTCTCGATGATATGATGTCCTTTGCGAATGTGCTTTGATTCGAGCGCAGAGACCGCAGTGCGGACCACTGTTGGTGGCTGATCTAGGAAGCCAGTTTGCCTGAATCCGGAGTCTTGTACTTCTTTACCTAGGTCGTAGTGATATACTCCACCATAGCCGTCCTTGGGTGAGCTGACGACGACATCGCCTAAACGTATGTCGTTGGTTTCGGTAGGAGCGCCACCGCCGATACCGACCATGAGACCGACCCGGATATTGGCAAATGATCGAAGGATATTGGTGATGACACTGGCGGCAGAGCCGACGCCATATTCGCCCTTAGGAAGCACCGCCAGTACCACGTTGTGGCCAGAAATACAGCCCAACGTATAAACATTTGTGTCGCTGATCGCGATTGAACCCGCTTCAGGTTTCGAATGTTCCACATCAAGAAAAGTCTGCGCAGCTACATACTCTGTTGTGAGTGCGCAGAGCCAGAGGATGGTGTAGTCGTTCGGATTGGACATGCCAGAGATTGACAGAAGCCAGATCAAGAGATATCGGGTCTTTTGAGACGCTGGGGCGGGATCATTTATCTTGCTTGGTTCCGTCCCTGTCCTGCAGCCACATTATGCATCTTGTCTCGTGATCATGCATACACGACATCTTTGAACCAATAGCGAACGACGTAGCTTCGAACAGGAATGGCGCCGCACATATGTACAAAGTCCGTGTCTCCATCTTGAGGCGCGCTGGTGGCGCGATGAAAACAAGCACATTTCATTGATGTCGAGGATCAATGGTGACAGATGTCAATCGAGCTAATTATGCAGGTGACGAGCTTCGCTCCTTCCCAGCGCGTAGCTAAGAAGAGTGAGATGGTGCCAAGACATACCACAAGCCGCCGTCATTGTATCTACCTCACCACTCGAACATTTCCCTAACTTTCTTTTCTTCCAGTCTTTCCACAGCTTCAACAACCCCCTCCAACCTCTCCTTTTCAACTCCAAACTTAGCAGTAGCTTTGACTCTACTGTAAAAGACCGGACAATCTCTGCTATCACACTTAACCTCATCACCATTTGGGACGTCAGCACAACTCCTGCAAACACGATCCAAATCCGCCTTTTTAGTTTGGGCAGCACGTAACTTGTTGCGAAGAGCAAGTAAAGTAAGCGAAGGTGTCGCCGCGCACTTGGCGCAAAGAGGAAGTGCAATGGTGCCTGGAGCAGGTGGGGAGAGTTTGACTCTGCAGACCACACAGGTTGAGACACTCATATACGATTCCATAGTTTTGTGGATGCCTTTGTTGGTGCCTACGCCGCCGATATTGCGTACACGTTGGACTTTGGGCATTTCATCGTACCAGGAACGTACGTTCGCGCCTACGAGATTGAAGATGCGTTCGAGTGGTGGGATGAGGTTCTTGCTGATGTAGTATTCAGCGTCGAGTTCGGCGTGTTCATCGAAGAGTAGGCGTTCAGGTTCGACGCAGCGTTCGAACAGTCTGGCGCCAGGGCCACCAGCAATGACCACATAAGGCACTCGTTCTCCATACTGAGGTTCTTGACGAGCATCCTTGAGCATACGTTTGGTGGCTATCAGTGCGCCAGGAGGAGCAGGTCCTTTGTCTGAATACGTGCCCAGTTTGACTTCTCTAGCGAAACAAAAATCCTGAATGCTGAACTTGCCAGTCATGATTTTATGACATTGAGACTGGAAGTAAGCTTTGACCTGGGATAAATCAGAAGTACGAAACAGTAGTTTCAGCGCTTTCTCTTCAATCTTTTGCTCGGCCGGCGTGCCGTCTCTGCGGACAGTCTCTATGCCTTTGGCGTCAAAGTCTGGTTCGGTCTGTGAAGTGTGCTCGTACTTGAATCCGACATAACGCTTCTTGGCCAGTAGAACACAAGGATGGTAGACCTTCTCGAACTTCAGTTTGATGGGCCTAGGATTCATATCTGTGACGGCTTTCGCGATTTCGTCGCCAATAACAAAAGCTTCGTCTCGACTACGACCCTTGAGGTAGACGAAGAGTGAATCTGTATCGCCATAGACGACTTCAGCGCCCCATCTGGAGACCGAGTGTATTAGTGCGATGGCTTTCTCGAGTGTCTCTCTACCAGTCTGGACGATTGAATCAGCAATCTCTGAACATGGCATACGACCGGAGAAGGACGCAGATGTGTAACCGTAGGTGACATTAGCGATCAACTTTAGTGCAAGTTGTCTGTTGTTGAGGAGTTGTTGCAGGGTTTTATCATCCTTATCCACTTTCATGCCTGACTTGACCATGACTCTGGTTTCCAGAATCTCGCCTAGCATCTTTGCAAGTAACGATTTGCGCATCTCTGGCTTGACATACATCATGCCGTTTGGTGAGATATTCAGCTTGTCTTTCACAAGGTCAAGCAGACCAGGATCACGCTTGAAGTCCGTGAAGCCCATCTTGTTTTGACCTCGCCATGGAGTGATGCGACCAAGACATGTGGAGTAGCAATAGTTGTATGCAATCATCACACTTGGGTACAGACTCTGAAAGTCGAGTACAAGGAGTGGGCTGTTGTAGAAAGCACTCTGAGGCTCCATGACAAGCGGCAAACATTCGAGAGCATTTTGTTGACCAACTTGCTTTCGACTAGGAGAAACAAGGACGAAAGATTCTGGTTTGGCAATCCGGAACATGAGTGACTCCACTTTGAATTGTGAGCCTCGACTAAAGACGCTGAAAAAGTCGACACCAAGTAATCGTGCTTGTTCAGATGTACGAGGCACAAGCTCATTTGCATCGAGTATTTCGAGATCGAGTTGGACACGAGTGATGAGATAATCTAATGCTTTCGCTAGATCTCGAGGCTTTGAGCTCTTGTACCATTTTGTCAAGTCCGCGAATGAGTAGTGAGGAATGCGCTTGTGAAGAAGGTGGAATACAACACTCTCCATGGTGTATTGTAGCAGGTTGAGTTCGCCTCTCATGGCACGCCAGATGTTGATCATGTGCCTGCCAGTGATGCGGATCGTTGATGTATGCTCGAATCCCCACTTGTCTGCATCTTTGCCAAAGCGGCCATGAGACTGAGACTTGACACGAGAAAGTTCCTCGCACAAATTGAACTCGTACTGAAGGCGAGCACGTTCAATCAGGTAGCCCCACGATGAATTGTGCACTTCGTAACCAGTAAGTATATCCGGATCGTACTCGCGGACGATGTCGACCAGTCGATTCAGGACGTCCAGCTCATTGTCTTCTTCCTCGACATCCACGCCGATTGACTTGCGCATACGTTCAGTCAGATCTCCTTCAGTGGACAGCACGATCACTCCAACATATTTGTCGTCATGTCCGGCATTTCCAACAAGATCAGTATCGTCTGCCTTCAACGACCAAATGACACACGAGATCTCATCATGCTCAGGGTCAGGCGCAAGATCACTTCGAGAATTGACGTGAACTTCAAGACTCATGATAGACATGTATTGGACCTCGTGCTGCACACTCGTCGACTTTTTCTTCTGCGGAAACTTGAAGCCATGTTTGTTTCTTTGGGTGGGACCTTCAATCTGCGAAAGCATTTGTTTGCTTCGCTTCAAGAAGTCTTGCTGAGAAGGAGGATGGTCGATCTCGCCGTCGTCTTCTTGTGGAGCATCTTCGACAGTCGGGCATTTAGCACGCAGCCAGTTCTGTACTTCCGAGAAAGACGGAGGACGAGTTTCAATCTCCCACTTTTGAAGAAAACAGTCTTGCCGTCGGGCTTGATGTTCAAGCTCTTCTTTGACTTTGTCGAGGATTATCGGAACTTTGGCTCCTCGTGAAGCATCTGACTCGCCTGTAGGATCAAAATCGGGCAGAAATGGGACAGTGTTACTCTCAAGCTTGAATTCTTTACCGGCATACTCTCGCGATCTTTCAGGCACATCAACCTCGTCACTGTAATATGCGTCCTGATAAATCACTGGCGGAGCTCCATGATCGATCATTGAAGATGAGACGTCCACACGTTTGGGTGGTGCTTGAGAGAAGACGACAACGCCATTAACGCTTTGTTCGAAGCTCTTGCAATAACTACTTGCTAGCTTCCTCGCAGCTGGAGAAACGACAGTCTGCCTTGAAGGGGTAGCATTAGCAGTGTACCTTGATCTGCTGAATGATGGGGATGAGAGGTCATTTTGCTGAAATTGACTCGATTTGGCAGGTATCGTCGTCTTTCTCTGACCAGGCACATCATCTCTCTGACTGAGGCGCAGCGCGGAGTCTGGGTCATGTGGATTCTTCACAGCTGGATAAGTCTGTGAGATTCTTCTATGGTTGTTATTCTGACTGCTTGGCAACTGTGTAGAGGCAGGAGGAAGATCATGGAGCAGATCGCTGTCCTCATCAGCCTCAGCATCCGCCATGACTTGAGAGGTTGTTACGCAATCTTTGACCTTGAAATTCTTACGTCGCGTGTTGGCAGCNNCCTGACCAGGCGGGGCTTGAGCGGTCTCTGTGAACCCAACCACTTTTCGGCGTTTGACAGATGCCTCTCCGTCAGCCAACTGACGCTTCTTGCCAGATTGGGCTTCTACGGCCGGAGCTATTGGTGCAGGCACACGCGATTGCTCGTCTGTTTTCGGCTGAGAGGTAGGGGGAAGCGATGCAGTGGACATGGAGTCCAACGGGTCAAGAAACTGTTGAGCGTAGTCATCGCCATCAGGTCGAGTCTCATCATCGGCTTCGACATCCGGTGCGATATTCTGTTTGGTCTGGTTGGCTTGAGTTAGAGCTATCTCGCGAGCCAGTTCCTCATCAGACTCATAAGACTGCTCGTCTGCCATCAACTGCAGGATACTTGATTCGTCGACAACTGCGTCTTCGGAATCGAGGCCGCCTTCAGAAAGTCTTTGGGTGAGATGTTGAGGCGCATCTGTTGAAGTAAACTGCCACTTCTCGTGGAAGAGCTCTTCTACGCTTTCAAGAGTAGTTTGCACGGGAAATCCTTCCTCGCGAGGCTTGACAAAGGTCTCGAATGAAGGAGCGTTTCCACCCATTCTCTCTCGTTCGTCTTTGGCAAGTTCTTCAACAAGCTTGCGAAACTCTTCCTCGTGTATCCAGCCACCATTTTCCGTATTTCGTGGGTTATGCGACATGGAAACAAGGACTTGCGGAGGAAATGGACTGCTGCCAGGATCTGTGATTCCCATTCGCTTCTTTCTCCTGATTGTCTCATCCCTCCACAATCCAGCCATAGACTGCACGAACTTTTCTTCTGGTGCCAGATGGTTGAGACGCTCGACAAAATCATGATGCAACGATCTATCCTTGACTTCGTGTCTGTTGAGAATGTCCTGTACACGAATGTCGATCTCGACACTACAATGACTCTGGCGTTGAAACTGATCCACATTCAGACGCTGTGAATCAGGAATTGATCTGTCATGCCACTCGTGGTGAGGGTTTACGAGCTCCTGGACGTCCGGTACGGGATCGCGAAAGAAGGGGTTGTCGGTGTCGATATAGTTGCAGCCGTAAAGATTGAAATCGCACATCCATTGAGCAAGGAACTGCAGATGGCTCTCGTAGGGCTGGAAAACTTGCTTCAAGATGGCGCCTTGATGCAGTAGATCGGACAGACGAGTCATGTTGGAAGGGTTGAGAAGGTAGATTTTGAGGAAGTACTTGTAGCCGACATGATAGCCAAAGTATGGAACACCTTTGACAAGGCTGATATGGGCGACGAAGACAGCTTTGGCATCTGCCGTGTTTCTTCTGTACGACACTGCTAAGGCATGGTCGGTTGATACTCGGAGGGTTGCGATATACTCGTCGACGGAGACACGATCAATGGGGCCGGGGTATTCGATGTAGAGATACGGGAATGCGCCGTGGATGTGTAGGCATATCTTCTGACCAGTCTCTGTTGCGCCGAAGACGCGAATTACGGGAACTTGAGGGAGGTTTCTTTGCGACAGTAACGAGGGATCACCCCATAGCGGAGGATCAAGAGGACCAGGGTAGGCTTGGTAGTGGTCCAGGCAGTTCAATCGTACACGGCAGAGCACCATGACGGGCCTGTGTTGAGTGTTTGCGCAAGACGGTTCGAGATTTCTGCTATCATGTTCGATTGACTCGACGCATGCGACGCGTAGATTTGGCGATTACAGGATGTTTTGCCACAGTGAGTCGCGTGGAATGGAGGGTGCGACCAAGGAGACGCGATCAGGAGAAGCCGTCAATTTGCACGCGCTCGTCTGCATAAAATGCACAGCTGCGGGCCGAGCCAGAGCCGCATGCGCAGGGGCCAATGACGCCCACGTGTAAACACTCACCTGAAACAAACACCTTGGACTTCTCCGCTTGAAACAAACGCCATTGCAGCCTGACGCCGAACTTCATTCTACCAGTCTAGTTACTGCAGTCCAAGTCTGCTTTACAACAGACGACCACTTTCACTGCAGTAATCATGGATATCTTACTAGCCAAAGTCACCCAGCAGGCTATGAACTATGCCATCCGTTCAGGCATAGCCATTACCAGCACGTACGCTATACGGCAATGCTCAAGACTAGTCAAGACAGCACCAAGGGGAGGCAAGCGAGAAGAACTCCTCAACCTCCAGATTCGCTTGGAAAGCAAAATCCGAATTATCTCACCAGCCATCGATATGATAGAGTTGATTGCCGCTCGTGGAAACACTTCTCTGGAATCTGCTGTCACTCTGACCAAAGACTTGCGCTGGGAGATCCAAGCCCTTGGTATTCGTCTTGCTAACGCCGCCAACGAAGAGGAGCTGTACCGCCGGAAGAGTTCGCGGGCAAAGTCAAAGGAGCAGAATGAGCTTGAATTGCAGCTCATCGTTTCGGACGTCAAGAAACTGCTTGATCGGATAGAAGATGCTGTACCGCTGATCAATCTCGCCATCACCACTTCTGGAGTCAATTTGTCCACAAATCTGCCAGCTACCGTCTCGCCATCTCGTCTCTTGCAGGCCAGCACTTTTCTCACAGCTGCCGACTCGCAGTATACCGCAGCTCCTGGCCAAAATGTTCAAGTCGGTCCAGTATATACCCTGTCGGTCTATATGCTTTTCGCCAGTCACACCAACAGACCACACGATGAGCAGACCGCTCGTGAAACTACCTGGAAGGAAGTCATCCACAAAGCCAGAGTCAAGCTGGTGCGCGTACCGCTGGACAGTCTGTATAACCTACCTGGAAAATTGACGACACCAAGCGGCGCCCGCTACTTTCCAAAGGAGTTATCTTCTGACAACTCGTCCGTTGAGTATGCTTACCAGCTGGTCGTGATTGAAGACCTAGACGATGACAGAGTACATACTTTTGAGGAAGGCGAACCTCAACCTGGTCCTTTCGAAGAAGTCGCTCTTGCAGGGATCAGAGACGTCATCCCCATTCACGAGATTTCCAAGATATTCTACGCGGATACTGGTAAGATTCTCAACATTGGATCTGAAGGCGAGACCAACAATCCCATTCTCCTTCTCAAGCGCGACATTCATGCAGAACCACCAAGACGCATGATGGAGAGACGAGACACAGAAGACCAAGATTACTACGATGATGACGAGGAAGAAGACGAGCGCCCACAGACCCAAGACAGTGATGATACGGACTTGGACGAACAAGCACAAATCAACGCCCAGATCTTGCGAGACTCAACACCACAACCTCAGGTCGAGACAGAAGAGCCAAGGACACAAGACGATCCTGACGCTCACTGGCGACTGCCTCCAGACCTGGACCCAGAATGGATAGCCTTTGAAGTCTACACTGAGGAACCTCCGTCTGACGATGAAGACGAAGAAGTGGATACATCGACTCCAGATCCCATCACCACACCTCGACCACGTCAAACCTCACTAGACCCCGAGCTCACAAATGGTCTCTCCTCCCTAAACCTTCAACCCACATCCTCCTCGCCAATTCCAACCACACCTTCAAACCAACAACTTATCGCCACAACCCCCACACCACCACCACAAGCCACCATCCGCACCTCTCTATCCCTCCTCGAAATGCTCATTCGTCTAACCGCCCTGCAACAATTCCGCCAATCCTCCCACCTCACCATCGAAGACGAACTGCTAAACTTCTTCCTCGAGGACAGCGCAACCACCGGCGCAGGCTCCAACGCCGAATACCGCCAACGCGTCCGCAGAGACGCACGACGAAGAGTAGGTTTCGACCCTTACGACGAAAGCCCCATCAAACGCCGCGGCGAAGAATACCTCCAACACCCCAGAAGCGGGAATACGCCAGCGCCAGACGAAAGCGACTACGAAAGGGGATTCAGAGAAGCTTCTGAAGGACTGGGGTGGAGTGGGAGTGGGGAAATTAGACAGAGTATAGAGTATCCCGGGTATTTTTCTGGGCAGCAGAGGGGAAGTTCGAGTATGCCTTCTAGTCCTTCGCCGCAGGTTAGAGGGGATAGGGCGAGTGCGAGTCCGGTGTCGAAGAGGTATTTGGGCACGCCGGAGCAGAAGGGTAGGAAAGGTGTGTTGAGGAAGAGGGAAGGCATGCCTAGAAGCCCGCTAGGAAGAGAGAGTTCCGGTTCATGATCGAGAAGGCCGTGAGGCGTCAAGGCAAGAGAGGCAGAAGAAGCATTTTGCATCGAATGTATAGCATCAGCATCACAAGGCATTAGCGTAGCGTAGCGTAGCATAGCATAGCGTTTTTCATTCAGCCTGGCTTTCAGAATTCGAAAATCCAACCCACTCCATACTCCATCCTTGCCTTGGCTGTTACCCTGAGAGAAATGAATGACTTAACCCCCCTATCGCTTGCAATACCCAGAATGTATGTGATCAAACTCGATTCTACTCCCAATCCTCCTCATCACTCTCCTCGTCAATCTTTGCCGCTGCGATCTTATCGCTCTTTTCATCTTTTGGTGAGCCGGTTGCTCGGCTGGTTGTTCCGGATACCATGTCGTAAGAAGCGTCACTTGAGGATACGGATTTGATGTCTTCTTCATGTTGTTGGGTAGTAGAAGTTTCAGGCTTGAGCGTTGATGCAGTGGAGGCAGTGGTTGTGGAAGGAGCAGTAGCAGTAGTGGCAGGCACGGGAATCTTTTCTTTTGTAGGTGTGGGTGCTTTGTCTTCTTCGTCGTCTGAGTCGTCGGAGCCCCATGTGAGGTCTTCGTCTGTGGTTTGGGTTGCTCCTGTATTTTTATTAGCATTGATGCAGGATTAGCGGTTGAGTCAAGTCATGAAACATACCTTTGAGAACTTCTCTCCTTCTGACCTCTTCTTCTTGGATCACCTTGCGCAAAAGTAGTATCGAAGCCAGAAAGTGGCATACTCGACTTTCTCGGGCACGAGTTTCTCCATCGCCCTTCTAAGCTCTGGATACTTTTCCAAATCTGCAGCAATAGCATCGGTTTTTGCGGCAATATCGAACTCCTTTGCAAACTCGGCGTACTCGGCGCTATCAGGGTCGGAAGTGAAGCTCTGAGCTGACGTGTGGATAACGTGCAACTGCGCATCGAAGCGTGAGGAGTGAATGACTCGCTTGCCTTCTGCATCGTTGGTTTCAAACAGCACTTCTGTGCTATCTGATGAAGCTGAGGGTGCAGTGACGGTAACAGCATCCCGCAGGAAAGACTTTATGTTTGTGCCGAACTTGAGGAGTGCTTCATCTGCTGCATCTTCCGCCGCTTGGATTCTCTGGAGGTTGAGATTCGCCGTCGCAGCCGTGGCTTTAGATCGTAACAGCGACACTAGCGAAGTAGCTTCCTTGACGATATCTGCTGGTAACGAGTCCGGCCTTGTTGGTTGTGCTTCTGACTGTGCCTCCTTCTGTTTCCCCTTCTCCACACTCGCATCTTCCGGCAACGCAAACGTAGGATCCGAGAATGAAGTATTCGCACCAGCTCCAGCAGCACCCTCAGCATTCAAACTGATATTCCTCGTGCTCTCCACAATACTCTTTTGCAGTTCTCCAGCGACTTTGGCGGCTTGTTCGCTGCGGTTGGCGTATTCCTTTTGCGCATCTTGATAGAGACTTTCTCCTTGCTTTTTTGCAGAGGCGAAGAAGCCGCCTAGTCGTGCTCCCCAGGGTGAGGCGGAGACGGCTTTGAAGGCTTGTTGGAATTCGGTTTCGAGGGTGATGGGTGCGGGGCCATCATTGGTGTTGGGTTGATTGGAGTGGTCGGAAGGCAAAGACTCCTCTTGAATCTGATCGTAGGCAAAATCCATGGTGGATGGATTTGGGGAGTGATGATGGAAGGATAGTGATATGGAAAGTGTCAGGAGCTCGAGGGGCTTCACCGCTGGTGGGGTGGAGAAGCTTCCAGGGTCTTGAAGCTTGCGACATTCACATGCAAGACGCATGTTTGGTCAGAAAACATTGATTTATATATTTGGTAGACTACATTAGGCTCTATCAAATGGGGTTGTGGTCTAGTGGTATGACATCTTCTTAGCATTGCTCTTCGAGTATTTCTGAGTGGAGAAGGTTCTGGGTTCGATTCCCAGCTACTCCATTTTGCTTCTCCACCTTGAGGCAAGAGCTATTGCATGCTGATTTGTCTTTTGCTCCTGAATAGAGGTGACTGAAGAGACTGTCGGACGTGCTAGAAGTTTCCTGCTTGCGCTGGCTGTTTTCTTACAGGCCGAGGCTTCTGAGAGAAACAATTTCTTATCGCATCAATGCATGATTTTTCCTCCAATGGGGTTTTCACTACGACCTAGTAGACACCAGTCTATGATTTATCTTTTGCCTTTGTAATTGCTCTTCTCGGAAACACGCCTGTCGAAAAATGTTATCCGGACATACTGTTTTGATCTGCCATTCTTGATAACAGAAGTGCAAGTCACAAAATCGCGTTTTGTGGTTTCAAATTAAGAGTAGACAAGCCCAAATCTCAAGAATACACACTAAGCGACTTGCAGCATAGGCTTTCTCAATCTCAGGTCTTCTGGTTGACACTGTCGCTAGCAATGTTCGATCTATCGTTCATCAAAGTGGTTGCTGTTAGCACCCTGTCGATATCGAAGCCTTTATATGAGTCTTGGCGCATCTAGCTCCTGCTTTCTCCAACGACGTGCATCGAAAGCTCGACTCATCTCAACTTCACTACTCATCGTGAAGGTAGGTTACGATGTCACGATGACAGTATCTATGAGATGGCAAATATGGAGTGACTCTGGCTGCTCGCATTCAGTCGGATATGCTTCTCAGCTTTCCCAACATCCATGTTGATTACCACGATCGATATCGATAGGAGTATGCCCCACCATTGCAGAATAACATTTGTCTAAGAGCTCTTATCGTAGCAACCATTCCATGCTTCCAAGGATCTACAGATGGCTGTGAACCTTGTTCATTGCTATCATTATGACCAGGGTAAGTAACTGCCGATGGTCACGCGGTCTACACTTCGGATCCTTTTGACTACGGCACGCAAAAAGCCTACCAAAGTCCATCCACTATATGCTATATTACCCTGCATCCCCCTCTTACCCATATGACCAACTCTGATCCCATCGCTACAACATCATCTTCTTTCCTCCTCACGTACTGCAAAACCCTATCGACGTCTTTTCTCATCAACATACATCTTATCAACGCTATGACTTCTTGTACAGTAAAAACTTCCGCATACACTCACCCATCTTCCAAGGCATACTCACTCACGTCCCATACAGCCAGCCCCTCACATAGCAGAAGCCTCACGCATCGGCCGCACCCTGCGGAGCTGTCCCTCCGGTCAAGGATTCTCCCATCTAGGAAGCGACGGCGTATATCGCAGTTTTAGCTCTTCGATGCAAGTAATCGACTACAAGCAACTGTCTCCGCAAGAGATAAGTGGTGTTCTTCAAGCCTTTAGAGCAGGGAAAAGCGCAGAAGAAGTCAGAGAACTAGAGGACAAGTGGAAAGGTGTGAATGGGAGAAATGTGCAGGGTGAGGAATTGCTTCATCCAGGTGCTGGAGTTATGCCAGCTAGACCTTCCAGTTGAATCTTCTTCGAGAAGGAGATGTGGTTGAGATGTATGGGTTCTGGGGAGTGAAGTCTTCAGGATCGTGCTTGATTCTTCAATAAAGGGCTGTATAAGATGGGCACTTGGCAAGTAGCATCACCATCTGATCTCATCTCGGATAACAGATACTGAGAATCGCATAAAGGGACATTGAAGTCAAATCCATCATGATTTTACACTCAAGACGTTGGAAGATATAAGTTCTGCTATTTTCACTCGACATACTCTTGCAGTTACGGATTATAGGAGAAATCTTAGGGACGATCCAAGATCTGTGTTGCTATGGCAGACAATCATCACCGAAAGAGGAAATTTCCCTTGTTCGCACTTTCCCAAAAACCGAACGCAACGAAGACTTACAGCTCAAAGTTCGAGCCTTCAACTGATGCGAGAAGCAACATCTTCTATTCATTACGACCATACAAAGGTTCAAGGGATTTTTCTTTCGAAGGGTTGAGGTTGGCGGGACACGAGAAACTAAACAAAACGAGCAACGCGTCGAACAGCTTCCGTCAACATCCAAACTCGCGAGCATTCACTGCAGGAGAGAGTTCCGCGTCAACAAAACTCGCGTCTCTCAAACAAAGACCACTACGCATGATGGATCCGCTCAATCGCTTCTCTTTTGAAAAGTCACTGGCACGGCCCCATTCACATCTTTCAGAAAATGAGACCGCCAAACACAAGAAACCAAAGCCATCTTCGCTTTCCAAAACACAAGAAGCGCCTACAATGCTGGACAGATCGCCTTCCATCAAAGGCGATGGAACAACAGAGAAGAAGGGCATAGGCTCAACTTCTGCAGTCAGATCTATACTAGCGTCAGGCGCAAGTGCTGATGCGAGTGCATCCAGATCATTTTTCGGTTTGCCTGAATCAAACGTCAAGACCAGTTCATCGTCTCTGTCCAACCCCAAGCCTTCGCCCGCGCTGGCACAAAACACAAATGCATCACTTTTCGAATTCACTGCTCTGAAAGAACCAGCTGCAGGCGCTACACCGACCACCTCTTGGTTCTCTTCTTTGAGACCTTCGGCACTGGACACAAACACTATGAACCACACATCTGTGTTCAGTTCTCTGCCTAAGACAACGATCGCTGCTGACTTCACCTTCAGCAAGACTTCTGAGACAAAGTCGTCTAAGGACAAAGAGACAAACCGCCAACCAGATGTATCCGCCGCAGTCAAGACAACAGGAGTGTTGAACAACAACACGCAGCAGGGTCACGCCAAATTCCTGAAAGATGTCCCAGATGCCACGTCGTTACATCCCAAGCACAAAATCACCTGTGGGTTACCAGCAGGAACTTCTTCTGCAGAGTCTAGTCTGGACAAGCCAACTCTGACGATCGGCAACGAGCTTTCGACTGATCAGTCTGTCCTGAGATCTTCCTTGACCAGTCAAGGCAAACCATCCACATACAGGCCTCCCTCCAAGTTATCCTCCAACCTGACTGCTGGTTTACTAGAATCTAACCAGGTCACTACTGAACCTACTGTCAACGGTATAATGAAGGAAAACTACTACTTAGCATTGCAGTCTGCACAGCAGTCAAATCAAAGAGTCGGACACGACCAAGAGTCAACTGGACGCACCACTTCTTTCGCGCCCTTATCCGCTATGAAAGCCAATCCGCTTCAATCCAATGACACTCCCAAGGCTTTCATCTTCGGCAAGACAACGACTACTGCATTCAAGCCCGTACCTTCTGCTTTCAAACTCAAGACAAAGTCAAGCCCGTTCTCTTCCACTGAAAACATGCAGGGAGAGAGGCTAGGATTCATGCAACTACACCACACCAGTAAAGACAAAGCTTCCGGTGCAGATGAACAACTACGCACCACACCACTTGTTTCTTTCACCGTCAAAGAGATATCCGAAGCGAATGTGAAGACGTCAATGTTCCCTCAATATGCTTTCCTGGGTTGTAGTATCCCAGAGCCTTCCTCCTTGGAAGAGAACAGCACATCTTCCGCGTCTGACGGAATGCAGAGTGCCTTTCTCTCCACCACTTCTATCCACGCAGAGCCTGAGCCTGTCCTCCTCAACACAAACACACCTTGGTCGGCGTTCATCTGCGGCTCCCAAGGAAGCGGAAAGAGTTATACACTGTCTGCCATCATTGAGAACTGTCTGTATGCTTCTTCTTCAATCGGAAAGTTGCCCAAGCCACTTGCTGGAGTTGTGTTCCACAACAACACTGCTTCTGCGCACAACATTTGTGAAGCACCTCAACTGGTGTCTTTGGGAGTCAAAGTCAATGTTTTGGTTTCTCGCAGCAACTACCATGTACTGAGTGCCATCTACAAGAAAGCTGTTGGCTCAAAGTATGAAAAGCTGCTCAACGTCCAGCCTCTGGTCTTGCAATCTCATCATATTACTGCTGAGCGTATGCATCGGTTGATGGCCTTTGCAGAGGGTGAAACAGCAGTTCCTTTGTATATGGAGGTCATCATGCGTATTCTTCGCGAGATGGCTATTGCAGGAGTACCCTTCAGCTACGAAACCTTCAAGGCCAATCTGGACAAGGAAGGTCTGCAGCTAGGCCAGAAGGTCATGATGGATATGCGTCTCAACTTGCTGGAATCCTTCTTGGACCCCAGCTGCATCAAGGCTTCCACGAAAGCTTCTAGCAAGAGAAGTAATCTCTTTACAACTTCTCCAGGCACATTGACCATTGTCGACCTCAGCGACCCTTTCCTGGACGCAGGTACAACGTGCACACTCTTCGATATCTTGCTCAGTGTCTTCTTGTCCTCGCGTCCTGACTCTGGTCTGCTGGTCTGCCTCGACGAAGCCCACAAGTTCATGAAGAACACACCTGCAGCAGAGACCTTTACCGAGAATTTGCTTACGGTAATCAGAGAGCAGAGACACAATGCCTGCCGCGTTGTGATTGCCACCCAAGAACCTACCATTTCGCCCAAGCTGCTGGATCTGTGCTCCATGACGTTTGTGCATCGCTTTTCTTCTCCAGAGTGGATGTTTACGTTGAAGGAACATCTTGCTGGTGCTTCAGATCTCGTCACTGCTGTTACGTCTGTTGGTAACACTGATAGTGGCAGCGTTGGGGACAAAAAGCATCACAGAGCAGCACGTCTGTTTGAAACAATCATCAATCTGGATGTTGGAGAGAGTTTGCTGTTTGCACCGTCTGCGATGTTGGAGGTGGATGAGCAGGGAAAGAAGAAGAAGTTGGGAGTGGGATATGTGAGATTCAAGACAAGAAGCAGACTGGGTGCTGATGGAGGACAAAGTATTCTTGCTGTCAGAGAGTGATGTGGTGGTGAAGTACTGCAAGAAGCATTGTGACTTTCCTTGGTTCCAGGATCGGTTCGGAGGGATTCTGAGTATGGGGTTGGGTCTCAAGTTTTCTTGATGGCGTTCTTCGGAGGTCTGAAGATGACGGTGGGAAACAGATACAATTCTCGTTCTTTTGTTCGTAGGTGATCAAGATGGTCGCGTGACAGCATGTAGCAAAACATTCAGACTGAGATTTTGTACAAAAACATGAACCGCCTTCCAGACACCGTTCCCAATGCCAGATAATATTCCTACACGACAGACAGCACTTCTGCATTACCAAACGCGGCAAAGGACCTGACCACCAATCTTTCTCTCGACACACTCTCTTGCCTCCATGATTCCCTTATCAGTGCTAACGAAAATGCACTCGCCGACTTGTCTCAACCCCCTAACAAACTTGCAATCCTTGCCTCTCACAATCTCGCCCAACTCATTGCTGCTCAGCCAAATGCGCTTCGTAGGCTTTGACAACAACTTCATCTTGCGCAAGACGGGCTCGCCGTCCCAGTACTTCATGCCCAGCCATAGCCTTCTGGAAGCGCGGTTCTGCTGTGTGACCTCTTCGACCTCTTCAAGGATTGATTTTGTGGATTCGTCGGCGTGGGTGGGAGGGAGTAGTTTTGCGGGTGGTGTGGGACCGCCGAGGGTCACGGTGCTGAGGAAACCTTGCTTTTGGAGCAAAAGAGAGAGGGAGAGGTGCATGCGTGATAAGGGGATTGATGTGAGACCTAGGCGGGCGAGGGAGGCGTTCTGCATGTGTGAGCAGACGTGGGCGAGGTTGACCAGAGACATGGTGGGTTGGTGTTTAGGGCGCCCTCTCGGCGCGGGTTTTGTTGGGTGTGGAGTTTGTGTGGATGAGCGCGAGTTTTACGGGCAGAGGTGTGCGGTTGTAGTTGAAGCGTAGATGCGTGAGCGAATGTGTAGTTGGTATGGGCAGCAAATAATTAATTCATGAATGCGACTTTCTCACATTCTTGTCGCGCGTCTTGGCGCTCGGGGTTCCGCCATCCAGAGGGCCCCCGCAAGCGGCCAATCACGATCCGATGGCGCCTCTCACCACATCAAGCATGTGACAGAGGTCACTATCTTGTTTGCAACACAGTAAGCGCCCGACTATTTGCTGCCATATCTGCTGCCATCCAATTGCAGCTAAGGAGTCGAGGACTACTGTAATGTTACTTGTATATCTAGTCCCCCGACCCCATCATCCACATGACTCCGCTCCTTCTTCTGTTGCTGGGCCTGCTGCTCAAGTTCCCTACCGCCTTTTCTATTGAATACATCTTCAATTACCTCTGTACTGACTACGTCGCTCATCTGGTTGAATTCGTCGAGGCTTATATTCATGTCGTCGATGTTGTGAGATATCAACCACACCGAGAGAGATTACAGAGAGAACGTCAGACTCGACAGTGAAACATGCCTTCTTTGCCAGGAGAGACTTTACTCCTCAACGTGTAGGTTGAAACCACCACATCTGCTCAACGTCTATCAGTCTGACTGGATGCAGCNTTTGCAGACGTACACACGTACTTCAATCAGCCTTCGTCGAAGCCTGTCCATCATCGCTTTGACAAGGGCTCGTATCTGTATCTTTACTACAATTCGACCCAACGCCGGGCACGTCTTGAAGTAGCCAATTCAGCTGGCACTCCGGATCAGGATGCTTTTAATGGNCTGTATGTTTGATTGCATAAGTTTCCATTTTACATCCGCGTGTTTGGCTGATTGATGTCTGCAGACCTGGACCATGCCATGTTGACCAACACATACAAGCACCCAAACTTGTTTACTGTAGCTGTCGAAGGCAGCAAGCACGGCAATACCGCTCCACGTCCTGCAGATCATTCGCATTGGCACCTCCCAGCTTTCGGTCTTACCCATGAACACAAGTACCTGTATAAGATACACACACTGGACCTTTACCTGTGGACTGCCAACGACAGCATGAAGTTGCTGGATCTAATAAAGCGTATCATGCCCCATCAACAACTCGACATTACCGAGGCAACGCCACCTCCAGAGCACGACGGTAGCATGAGCCCTGTAGTCCAGCAGCTAGAGAACATGGCTATTCATACTCCTCACGCTCGCGCCCCGAGTACTGTATCAAATCTGTCAAGTCAGAGCCGCCATGGTCAGACGCCGGAAGGGCAAAGAACGGTATCTCTGCAGTCAGCTTTGGCGTCTACGCCAGCATCAGCAGCTCAATTGGCACCTTACAATCCAGCGGCACCTGCAGCCCCTGAGCCAATCGCCCATCGAGAAAAGACACCGCCGCCTCCTGATGCAGGCAATGGGACGGGACTTGCTGCTGCTGCGACACACGAGCAGCCTCATGCTTTTACCCCAGCGGGCACTCAGTACACTCAAGCGATTCCACAACCGGCCTTCCCTGGCCCGCCGCAGCGAGCGACAAGTCTAGGCTCTTTCCCGCCTCCACCACCTCTTGCTGCGCACTCTCCACATCCTGGTCTGCAGACTGCACATTCATTTGCAGGGCCTCCAAGCAGTTCACAGAGTATTACACCTCAACAGCAGCACGCTCAGGCGCAATATGCATCTTTTCCGCAACAGCAGTCTGCACACTACCCACAATCTCCTGGCTTTCAAATGCATACTCCCCTGCAGTCGCCAGGTGTTCCGAACACGCCTAGTCAGCCACCTGCATATGGAATACATACACCTCTACAGTCGCCAGGGTTTGCGCCGCAGCATACACCTCAGTCGCCAGGGCTGGCTTCAACACCTATCGGAGGTTTCTCGAATTACACGTATGGACCGCAGTCGTCACAGCCAACGTTGCCGACGGAAGCATATGCGGTACACAGCCAAGCGTATAGGCCTACGGAGCAGGAAGCAGCGCATGGACATGGACCTAAAGTGCAGCCGCAGCCGCCTAAACCTGGAGGATTTGAGGAGAGATTGAAGAAGACGGAGAAGGGAGTTGGAAGATTTCTGAGAAAGTTGGATCAGAAGATATGAAGACGACAATATGACTGTATAATGGTTGGATGCTCAAACATGGAAATCAAGGAGTCTTGTTCTGAGAAATCTTACAGCCGATGTCGCAAAGTTTGGCGGGGATGACGTGCGGGCTGTCAGGGTCGGAGCGAGTCAAAAAGTTATAGAGAGAGCAATAATACACTTTCAGGGTAGCTACAGTACGTGAATCGAGCATTGCAAGATGAATTGTGGTGGATCGTGGCCAGTATTCGAATTGGAAACGTCAGGAAATGATGTTGCGAGTGGTGAGTTTGAGCAGGAGTTGGGCAAACAAGCAGCACGCGACTGGAGACATTCGTGTTAAGCTGCGATAAGCGACATGCAAATGTCATGTCTACGTCTAGCATCCACGGCACCATGTCGTCGCGGTCTCGATTAAGATTGTCGCTGACGGTCGATTCTCCAAATGCAGGCTCGGAAACCGATGAACAGCTTCTTCCACAACGACCGTCGCTTCCTGCTTCGAGAAACAGCCACAACCAAGACTTGGAAAGTCAGCAACAGCAACAACAACAACAACAGCACAATCTACCCACCCTCTCGCACCGACTACGCCATGATGCATCAGTACTTGCTCTCGCCCTTTCAGACGACGCCATCTTTGCTGGAACTCAACGCGGCGAGATCCTCGTCTACTCGCTCGACACGTATGACCGCATCGCCCTGCTCGAAGCACACAAGAGCAGTGTTCTCGACCTCTGCATCTGTCCAGAAGAGAATCTGCTCTTCTCTACCGCCGCCGACCGCATCACAAATGTCTGGGACTTGAGTTCCTACCAGCACGTCTATTCGCTATACTCGCGCTACGATACCGGCGATGTCTTTTGTGTCGCATACTCGTCTCTGCTCCGGACCGTCTACCTCGGTGCCCAGAACACGAGTATCCAGTGGTACGACTTGAAAGAGAAGGATCACAGACCAAAGCCAAAGCGAAATGATCATCCCTCGTTGAGAGAAGATCCTTTCTTTGACTCCCGGGGGCCTGGTGGTGTCAGGACACCCAGACCGGCGGATCAAGGTCTTCCTGCCAGACATGCTGCTGGAGGTGACGTTCTGGAAATCGACCAGGACAACATCAAGCACTTTGCGCATTATGGCTATGTTTATTGCATGATGTTAGCAAAGGGTGTTGTGCCTGATGCTCCAGGCGATCAGGTCTTGATCTCTGCTGGCGGAGATGGTGCTATCAATCTGTGGACTATGGATGCGAATCGTGGTGGTGCCATTGATCTGCTCTACACACTTGACGATGGCAGAGAAGAAGGCCAGTCCATCTTGTCTCTTGCCATTGACGCCACCTTCCTTTACTCTGGACGCACCGGTGGTGAGGTCAATGTCTGGGACTTGGAGACGAGACAGCTTGTTCGAAGCTTGAAGGCGCATAGAGATGATGTCTTGTCAATCTGTATCGGCGGTGGCTACATGTTCTCCGCCGCCGTTACTGGTTACGTTAGAGTGAGTGACCATCTTTTGACTGAACTGGCGTTATCCTAACACGCAGCANNGAAATTCGACCGCCAGTACCAGTGCGCCAGCAGACTTCATGCCCACGAGGGTCAGATCTTGACTTCGGCCTTTACATACCATAAGGGCAAGCCTTTGTATGTGACTGGAGCTAATGATAACACCGTCGCTATTTGGGATATCAGCGATTGCATCATGTCTCCAACTGCTGTCAAAAGAACGACCGATGAGCAGATGCTTGACCATCTTAAACGCTTCATCTCTTACCGCACTGTATCTTCTGACCCCAAGTACAAGGGTGATTGTCGTCGCGGTGCTTCATACCTTCGATCCGTCTTCAAGGGCTTTGGTGCTGCCACTGAAATGCTGCCGACCGAAGATGGATCAAACCCCATCATCCTCGCCCGCTTTAGAGGCAATCCATCCACGGCAGCCACCAGAAAGAAGGTCTTGTTTTATGGCCATTATGATGTCGTTGCTGCCGACAACGAGCAAGGCAAGTGGATCACTGACCCCTTCGTCATGGAAGGCATGGACGGTTACCTCTACGGAAGAGGTACATCGGATAACAAGGGTCCGATCATGGCTGCCATCTTTGCTTGCGCCGAACTCATGTCAGAACAAGCTCTTGGCTCGGATGTCATATTCTTGATTGAGGGTGAAGAAGAGAGTGGTTCGCGCGGATTTGCAAATGCTGTCAAGCAGCACAAACAAACTATCGGAGACGTCGACTGGATTCTGCTCGCTAACAGTTATTGGCTGGACGACTCGATACCTTGCGTCACCTACGGTCTTCGCGGTGTCATCCACGCTACCGTTCAGGTTGAGAGTGATCATCCTGATTTGCACAGTGGTGTTGATGGAAGTTCACAGCTTGATGAGCCATTGAAGGATCTTGTCATGTTGCTGTCTACCCTGACAGGTACTCATGGCAAGGTCAAGATTCCCAGCTTCTACGATCCCATTCCGGAGTTGAGTAAGGAAGAAGAGATCTTGTACGAAGACATCACTCAAGCTTTGGTCGCCAGGAACCCCGATCTCGGTGATCCTCGCGATCTTGCACTTTCTCTTATGCGTCGCTGGCGAGAGGCTTCACTAACTGTCCATCGCTTCCAAACTTCTGGTCCTGCAAATGCAGCCATCATCCCCAGACTCGCAAAAGCAGCTCTGTCACTTCGCTTGGTGCCGAACCAAGAAGCAGACACGGTTGGAGAGGCACTGATCAAATATCTGCAATCAGAGTTCAACAAGCTGGGATCACACAATCGTATGACTGTCACCATCGACCATCAAGCCGAACCATGGCTCGGCGACTTCAATAACCAGATCTTCCAGACTCTTGACAAGGCAATCATGGATGTCTGGGGCCCTATCCCCGAAGTACCTCAACATCGCAGAAAGTCGTCTCTCGCAGTCAGCAAGGAGAACGCACTCAAAGTCACCATCCCAAAGAAGGAAGAAGTACAAAACACACAGATCTCCAAACCCTCACCTACCACATCCTCCGTACTCGCCAACGGCGGACCCAACACCTCTGCGTTAACAGACGTCACCAACGACGCCATCTCTCTACCTCTCCCACAACTATCAGCCAAGAAACCGCGAACCAAGCCTCTGTACATCAGAGAAGGAGGTTCCATCCCCGCCATCAGGTTCCTGGANAAAGAATTCGGAGCGCCGGCTGCACATTTCCCTTGCGGCCAAGCATCAGACTCTGCACATTTGGACAATGAGCGTTTGCGATTGACGAATTTGTACAAGAGTAAGGATATTTTCAAACGAGTGTTTAGGGATTTGCCTATGAACTAAAGGAGAGGGACTGAAAGTTGAGCATGAGAGGAAGTCAACAAGTTTGGATTCGTTTTTGAACAGAGAGGCGTGTTGCATAGCATAAACCCCGACCCATGAAAACGAGGGATACAGAATCGTTTTGAGGGGCGTTTTTTTTTGATCGGGTTTTTCTTCAGATATAAGGCACATTGTTTAAGAGAAATAGAGATACCCAGTTTTTTTTTCTTAACTCTGACAATCCTTGGATTTTTTTGGTTTCTCTTAGTTGAAGAGGCTAATTAGCAAAACCGAGTTTTTGAGATTTTTTAGTCGGTTTAGGTAATCTCGACTAGAGATTGTAAGACGTCTTTTGTTTCTGTTCTTTTTTCTTTTTTCCTTTTTTTCTTTTTCTTTTTTTGCTCCAGCCAGGCAGTCGGATCTTCTTGGTTGATACGAAATCAGAAGGTGCAGAGAGGGAAGCATATTGCTACTCTCTCACAATAGCTATGCAGCAGCATCATAAACACAACCATGAAAATACACGATAATGTCCAGAGTAGGGTTACTTTCCAGTGAAGAGCCTCTGTTTCAACCCTCTGCATCCTTGTAACAAAATTCGCATCCAGAAATAACAAATCGTGCCATTTTCGTCAAAAGAAGCAATTGATCTACTCAGTAATTCTCAGGCAAACCCATACCAGAATAATCAGGAACACTCGCACACTCAAACGTCCTCTCCCAAGTCTTTTGCGGCAAAATGCCAGCAGCAAGACCATCTCTATAGCTCCACTGTGTGGCAGACTCGGTCTTCCACGTCCAGTAGAACCAACCCCACCCCTGCTCAAAACTGTACATTTGCGCTTCTGCAAAGTCGAGCAGCCATTGTTTGTAGGCTGGGGAATAGGAGGAGGGGGACGCGTTGGCATTGCTGCAGGAACAGCGAGGCGAGTTTGATGTTGGACAGGTGGGGTTGAGCACGCTGCCGTCTAGTGAGCCGCCTGGTGTGGATACCATGTTTAGTGTTCCTTCCCAGCGGGATCCTACGCCTACGTTGTTGAGGTAGGTGGCGCAGTCTGTATCTGCCTGGCTCCATTCGCCGCATAGTGTAGGTCCAAAGCCAGTGGCTTTGTTGCTAGACCTCAATGTCTGGTTCGTCCAGCCTCCACACGCAAACTCGACTTTGGCAGAGTGATCGAGAGCGATCTGTTGATTGTTGAAAATGACATATTGATGCACGTCCAACAGCAAGTCCTCAAAATCTTGGAGTTCGCCTTGCCAGTTGTCTAGACCTCTGAAACCATCGCCGAAGGTTATTATCGCTGTCATGTTGTTGGAGCGTATCTTTTGGATTGCGGATTTTGTCCAGGTGAGCACGGTGTCCACGTCCAAATATGTCATCTTGGGCTCGTTGACGAGGCCGTAGATGGCGATGATGTTCTTGTAGCGGGGTTGGGCGAAGAAAGTGCTTAGTTGAGAGTGGATGTCTAGAGTGCGTTGGCCATTGGTCGTGCCGTCTGTGCCGTTCAACCAGTTTATGGCGCCCTGGTGTCCGCTGTGGTTCCAGCCGTTTTGACTTCCAGGAGCGCCATGGAGGTCGAGGTTGATGCGGAGACCGTATTTGCGAGCCCACTCGATTGCTCGGAGAAGGTAACGCCAGGAGATCTTGGGAACGTACGGGTCTCCATCGTAAGTTGTGACCGCCCAATATGAAAATGGTATGCGTACGTGATCGAATCCCGCTGCTTGAATGTCGGCAAAGTCTGCTTCGGTCACGAAGGATGCGTAGTGCTTTTCAAGTGTTGTCTGGGCTCTGCTTGCCCCCAGTTTGCTGCATAGCGTCCACTCATCTATCACGCCATCGCTGGTCTTGAAGTCGGNAAAGAGAGAGGGGGTTATGACTGGTTCAATGCTGAACCAGCCTCCAATGTTGACACCTCTGATTGGCATCTTGCCGTACTCCCAAGTTTCATTGAGAGCAGGTACGTTATCGTTTGCTTTTGTCGAGTCATTCCACGTGTCGTTGAGTCCCATGATGGAGAGTCCGCCTACGGTCGCTGCTGTGTATGTGACGTTGAAATCGGTCGTGTCATACCAGGTGAAGGGATCCAGGATTGTTCCTTGTGCTTCTTTTGGTATATCTGATTCTGACATGCCGTCCAAGTTTTTGTTTGACGGTGAACTTGAAGATGTGTCGCCAGCTGTACTCGTTGGAGAAGAGGATTTGTTCTTGTTGGACAGAACCACAGCCACCGGTATCACGATCGCCAATATGACTATCACCACAATACCGATGATGCCTAAAATACCATTAGCAAGGATTTTTCCGAGCTCGTTTGAGCAAGACTTGCCGATTCTTTTCGTTTCCGCCTCCGGGCNTTCATCCTCGTCAGACTCGACACTACCAGCACCACCCCTCATACGTCCTGTGTGATCGACCAGAACGACTTTCTCATCATAAGGCTCAGCTCCACGTTCGAGATAAGTCCCACTAACGACTCTTGATTGCTTCCGCCTCTCCCTGTAACGATCGTCTTCACCTTCAGCTCTCTCCCTCCTTCGCCTCTCTCTTCTTTCCCTTCTTTCCCTTCTCTCCGCTTCTTCCTCAACACTCCTATACCGCTTCGCGCCTTGGATCCCGCCATTACTATTCCAAGGAATGTCTCCAACATTAAGTGCATTCAAGTGCTCTAATGCGCCTGCACTCAATGCATTACTCGTGCTTTTACTGCCTCCTTCCGTGCTTTCATCCTCCGTATAGTGATATCTCTTCTTCCTCGGTCTTTCCTTTCTCGGACTCTGTGATTCTGAACGTCTGTTGCGATGTTGGCGTGGAGAAGAAGGTAACAATTCGCTTGTGCTGTCGTTGTAGCGGTGACCTTTGCGTCGTTGTTGATGGCGCTCTTTACGTTCGCTGCGTTCGTGGGAGGCGTCTCTTCTTTCGCGATGGGAAGGTGAAGAAGGCATGGTTTCCACGAAAGGTTATTTTATGTTCGCCGTTTTTTGCTGGCTTTGGAATGTTACCCAGGAAAACGGCGATGGTGGGTGTGCATGCATGCATTCATGTGTGCTTGGTCTCCCCACAGGTTCTGTCAACAAGGCGGTTGATGGGGAAACGCCATGGGGAACAGGCGACGGAACCAAGCGACCATCCTGTTTTCTGCGCATCGCGGCACCGCATGCGAACGTGAACGGGTTGATCGCTCATATCCTACCAAGTCCTGAATTTTGCAACTGGTTCTCGTCGAGCGGAAACATCAAATTTCGGTTATGTCAAGAAGTCTTTCTAGTCACGCGAGCCGAATCGCAAACTCGTGTTCAAACTTCTAGCTTGTCAAGAGGCGCTCAACGAAGTTTTAGGAGCATTCATGATCCATGCAAATATTGTCTTATTATAAAGGGGTGTTACACAAGGCAAACTCTACTGCAAGGCTACCAGAACTCTAGCTTTTCTCTTTCATTGTTCAAGGATCTGTTCGAACCAGTGCGCAATGTGTTGTAGGTCGTGTGTTTGACCTAGCGACCATAAGCGAAGATTATCTGGCTGTCTATGGTATATCTGTCGCTCGGCAAGCATGTACGCGGCCTCCTTTGCCATCTCGTCTTCCTCGGCCGCCACAGTCTTGAGCTCTTGCGATACGATGCTCTTCTGAACCAGCCTGGCAAACTCATCGACTTGATCTGAGAGTGGACTGGTCACCGCAGAAGAAATACGCATTTGAGGTATTCTTAGCCCGCTACCTGCGTTGGGCCACCTTCGGTAAGATTTTCGAGGCTTTTNTGTGGTCTCTGCTGGGCTTTCCTCCTGCTGGTCTAGACTCTGCAGTCTGTTTGACAATGAACTCATCTTCAATTGCTGCCGATGGAATTCATCTCGCTCAAAGAGAGCAAGTTCTGCAAACTCATCAGCAGGAGTTTTTGGCTGTGGTGGCGGTACAGGAACTCCTGGAGTGCGGAAGTTGAAGATTGGTGATGCAAAAGTATCGAAGTAGTCTTCGGGACGTCTGAACAAATCGTGCCTAGCCTTGAGTAAATTGCTGGCGCTGAGATGGGTGCTATTGACGAATGTCGAAANACTAGTCTGACGAGGTTTTGATTTGGCCTTTGGTTTTTGACCAGTTTGCAGTCCATGAATATACGAGGCGAGACGATCAACTGAGGTTTCGTGTTCAGTCTCGTCGTCTTCGGGGAAGACCCAATTGAGAACGGGCTCGTTGATGGCAGCGGCAGCGATGTATGGGCCTTGCTGACGACACTCGGTCAAGGCGAGCATGGTAGCCAGGCTGCCACCAACAAGCTCACCGCATACGGCTAGCTTGACCCTGTGGTTTGCAGACCGACCAGGGCGATAGAAGGATCGGCTAGGAACGAGATGCTCCAAAACCCAATCGTAACCTGTCAAGACATCATGGATGGGAGTAGGATATCGATATTCTTGCGAGCATCGATAATTAATTTGCACAACAGTAGCCGAAGTCACTGATGAAAGTGCAGTGCCAACATCAATAGTAGGCAGTGTGGTAGACAAAAGAGGACCAGGAGGAAGATACAAGATGATGGCGGGTGCAGGACCCGAAGCAAGACGAGGGTGAAATAAACNTTTCGGCGCAAATAGAGTCAGAAGGAAGTGTTACGCAAGCGAGCAGTAGTTTTTTTCGAGCAAGGCGTTGAGGGATATACGAATCGAAGGATTGGCGACGACGACTTGCCTTAGTGTAATGTAGCCATTTGATCTACACGGGATGGTCACCTGCTCTTTGTGCGAAGAAGAAAGAGTTGAATAGTGGCTGCGGAGGCAGCGACGTAGTTTTATGAGGGACGTCTGGGAAGAGCGCAGCAGAGCGGGAGCAGAAAAAAGCATCGAGTGTGGAACAGGAGCGGCAAGAGTTGCAGACGAAGGGCAGATAAGGGAGATGTCACTGTGGTCGAGTTCGGTGTGCGTCTTGCAGGAAATTGCGGCCGGCGTCGTCGTCGACAGCGGCTGGCAAGAGCTGGTTCGCGGGCTGTGCACGTTTTGCGGGGAGCGAACCCCTTTGGAAGGTTGAAAAGCACAAGCTTTGATCATCTCGCGCTAAGGGACCCTTGTCGATGAAGCCGGCGTTGATCGACCTGTCTAGTCCTCAGCCATAAACATGTAGCAATCGCGAACTCATGAAACTGTCTTGCTTCTCCGCTCCTGCGCCGCAGTCTGCTTGGTCTAATACCTCAGCCTGCCCACGGTCTCTATCGACCTCTGTTCTACTGCCTCTTGTGCGACCGTCACCCGAACACCAATCCCTAATAATAAGTCCGATACCTGTTTCACAAATAAAGGACTCGACCATTGTTATGACCCATTGACAAGTTGGTCAAAAATCGCTCAATTCCTAAAAGCACCGAGAACAAGTCGCACTTTCCATCCAAAACTTCTGGGCGATTTCACATTGTTCCTACGACCTGCGACTTAGCTTTTCCCGCCCTGTGGCCCTGAGCCCCGTCCTTGGATTGGGGTACAATGTCTGACGGACGAGCTCGCGCATGCTTCTCACTCATCCGAAACCTGTTCTTGGCCCTCGTTCTCTATGCATTGATCTATACCACTATCCACCTAGCACAAGATCCGTCAGCCAGACAAAAGGCACGCCAGAAAGTCGCTCTCCTCGCAGATGCCAAAACGGTGACACAGACAAAGTCGGGCAATGTCCAGATCAAACTCGCTGGTGCATCGCGCACCGTAACCATCAACCCTCACGTCAATGTCTTCAACCGTCCTTCGAGCGCTGTCGTTCCGCGCGACGACTTNTTTGGCCCCAGACCTCATGTCGACACCGAAGCCGACATTGACATGCTTGTAAAAGAGTGCAGAGGCTCATACGAAGGCGTCGAGAAGATGAGGGATGTTTTCAGTTGCTTAGAGTTCCTGTCGGGAGCCGAGGACAAATACTANCCTTTGCCAGAACAGGTGGATCGTGCAAGTGAACAAGACCCTAGAGCGGCAGAATACTTGAACGCAGATGGACATGGAAACACACTGATGGAATACGTGTCGGTCAGGGATGCNAAAACTCCTTCAAAGACAAATCTCGGAACTTGTGCTGGGCCCATCATTCCTTACCACGTCTACTGGGCTGGTCCCGCAACATGGCGTCTCGAAGTCTTTGTCAAGTCCTACCTCTACACACAAAACTTGCCTTGTAGTCGACTCTGGCTCTGGGCAGATACCGATAGAGCTCCTGATGCTGTCGACAAGTTGTTGAACCACGATGCTCTATTTGCTCGTTTCTTGCCGCTGGTCGAGAGAGGCGACATCAGAGTGGTACCCTGGAAATTCCCTACAAGAATGCCTCTGCCGAAGGAGTTTGACAATACAGATGGCGTGGGCTATTACAAGACGAAGGGGAAACCAAATGCCAAGGGTGAAGTTGCAATTGCAGATGGTCTCATCGAGGACGCCAATGGTCAGCAATGGATCACTCTCACACCAAAGCAAATGACTTTCTTCCCTCAGGCAATCTCCGACACAGTGCGCTTCATCATCTTGCATCAACATGGTGGTGTATATCTGGACATGGATGCACTGATGCTCCGCGACATGCGACCTTTGCTCATTCCCAAGAAACACGACTTTGCCGAACGATGGGGAGCCCATAACAACCCAGGAGACTACAACACTGCCATCATGTCTTTGTCTGCGAACACATCACTTTCCAGCTATTTGCTACGAGGAGGTGTACGCATGGGTCTCAACTTCCATCCTCGAGTCATCGGTCGTATGATCTGGAAGGAAGGTCGCGATCTTGAGTTTCCTATGCTAGAAACTGCTGCTTTCGACCCCATTTGGACTGAATTCAATTGGGATCGTCAAGGTCGCTGTACAGTGCCTTGTTTACGCGACTACAGCGCCGTCTTCAAAGGCAAAGCCAGCAGTCTGAAAGATGAGTGGGAGAGCTACGATGGTCCTCAATTGAAGCGTCTGAACCTCAATTCCACATCTGCACACAAAGAAGGCATTCTGTCTCAAATGTCGCAATCACTACGCTCTGCAAAGTTCCCCCGAGAAGTCAAACCCGACACTGCCTCGTCTCCCGACCACATCAACATCACTCCCATGCCCGGTCCCATGGACAGTTTCACCAGCAGCAAATCCGAAATCGCCGCTCTCAAACAAGCCGGCATTGTCAAAGACTACAGGCTGGATGAAGACAAATACCCACCCAACAATCGCACGCTCGAGAACTTTTTCCGTGGCGCCTGGACATACCATATCCATAATCAATGGTTGAAAGAGCCGGAGCCGAGTTCATGGTTAGATGTTTTGCAATCCGCTCATGATGGCTTCTTTTCTGGCGAGAGAGTCAATCCGTATGGAGAGAAGTGGACAGGGCCAGAAGTGTTGGCTTATAATGAATGGAGCGATATGGTGTGATGTGATGCATAGCCTATGTTTTTCTGTATACAATAATGATGTTCCAAATGATACCAACCTTACTGTCTTCCATCGACTCGTTCCCACCTCCCTATGTTTGAAAGCAAGTGACTTCCATTCTACTCCGACCACAGCACAAGGTAAGGTACATGCTATGAAAATGCACAGTCTCATTCGGAAATAAATGCTGTCCGTAGGAGTCATTGGTCTGTTGCTTTCTAGTATGAACTGTCCAATTTCCTGGTGGTCAATACATTTCTGTAGGCCGGGAAGCAAATCCAAGCCATCCCTGTGATATCGCCGACATCAAATCACACGACCTCTTACCCTTCCCAATATCCAAAAGGGCTCTACTGTACTTCTGTACCCATCGACTTTTTCTTATTCCCGCGATCCTTGACAGCACAGCAAGATCTTGGTAACCTTCGAACCCTGATATTCCTACGCCAATCACGTCTCTAGAATCCTTGGAATGACTCGAATGACAACCACTCAAGCTTTATGAGAAGCCTTTGTCAAGCCTTTGTCAAGCCTTTGGTCTCGTATTCCGACTTTATTTGCGGTTTAGGCGAGGGCGGCGTGGGTTCGCGACTTTGGAGGATTGCGTGACGCGCGTTCATGGCCCTTGCACAATGGTATGTATGCCTTACGGGTATCTCGGCTTCGGTTGTTAGTTCTGTTGCTTGCAGCTGACTGCACAGAGGTGGCGGTATTCTGGTGGAAAGAAATCGAGTTGTGTTTGCGAAGATGAAAAAAGAAGTATCTTGTGAGACGCGTCTGTTGTTGAACATGCAAGTCGTTGGTACTGGGTGACCTAGACTAAATGAATATAACACGGATCAACAGGTAGTGCTTCAACAACATCCGATATGGTCTAGTGGCTAGGATTTCTCGCTCTCAAACCGTTCTACCAAAGAACAACTAGGTCCGAGGAGGCCGGGGTTCAATTCCCCGTGTCGGAATCATCTTTTGACATCTCTTTATCTACTTGATGTTAACCTAAGAAGAGCGGAGGAAAGACTCTTTTGTTCTTCCAAGGTCGATACGTTGTGGTGGTGGAAGCTGTTGTGCTTTACCGGTGGGAGGTGTGTTTTGTTGGCACTGCTACTTTCCGTTGCTGTTTTGTGGTATCTTGACATCCAGATCAAAAAGACAGGAAAAGCAGAGAATGTGGACAATTGAGTAAAGTACACGCTATAAAAAGGCACAATTCTATTTAAAAAACGAAGATTGGCCAAAGAGAGCTGGCTGCTAAAAAGACTGGCACACTATCCTAATGTTCTGATAGTATCGTGTATTTTGATTGCCACCACGCATTACCTACTATTTGCAAACCAGGGCGAGGGAATATCAAGGATTTCGGCACCATTACTACGGTATGCCAGATTTTGCAGAATATCAATAATGATGATAATACATGCTCTCTAAGATCTAAACATCATCAACCCAGCCTCTGCATCCTCATCGTCCTCCTCTTTCTCTTCCTCCTCCTCATCCTCCTCACCCAACCCCATCCTAGCACCAAACAAACTTCCAAACAACTCATCTGCAGCTCTCTCGGCCCAATTCCCTCTATCCTCCGGCGCCATAAAATTCTGCAACTTCTCGTGCACGGTATACCTCATCTTTCTGCCCTTTGACGCCTTTGTATCTACATTTTTCTTTGTTTTGGCTTCTCTGCGCATTTGGAAGCCGCTATTGATGGAGATTGTGGAGGAGGCTGAGGCGGCGATTGAATCGGCACTGCGTTGCTCGAGAAGACTCTGCAGCAACAAACCGTAAAAGTCTGCGTCGTCGTAGATGGATGTTGAAGGTGAGGTAGTGGAGGAAGCAGCAGCGAGTTGAAGAGGAGCACACGAACGAGGTGTCCTTGCGCGTTTGGTGAGGCGGTCGCCGTGTAATTGTTCTTGCAACACATCGACAATACTCTGATTTGCGGAAGAGTTGTTGAGTTTGTTTTTGGGGGTGATGGCGGAAGCGCCTCTGGCTTTTTGGTTCCATTTTTCGAGGATGGAGGCGCGGGGCCCAGTGGCGGAGGCTTCTTGACTGCGCATGTGGGACCAGAGGTCTTCTGTTGGTGTGTCCAGTGTGTATTCGGCGTGTTTGCGTTTGTGGCCTGTTCGATTCGATTCGAGGGTTTCGCGTAGGGAGTTGAGGGTAGACCAAAGCGTAANAGCAGCAGTTTCCGCAGCACGGAAAGCATCTTCTGTATCTTCTGTAGGTGTCGAGTCTGCAATGACGCCAGTAAGGGTATTCGTACCGATCAAAGCCTTTTGGAGCTTGATGCGAGTGTTGAGCAGAGAGTCAAAGGTTGTGCGTTGAGTCTTGACGGCGCGACCCTTTTCGGCGTCCTGCTTTGCTGCTTGCGAGAGACTGGCTGCCACTGTCTTTTGCTCTTCGGCCATCATCTTGCGGAGTTCTGATTTGTCTTCGGCTTCGTCGTCTTCGTCATCCTCCTCTTCATCATCTTCGTCGCTCATGTCGGTGGCAGGACTCTCGTCACCGTCTTGCATATCGTCATCCTCATCAATGACATCGTCTTCTTCGCCCTCGGAAGCAGACATCTCGGCAGCATCGTCAACATCTTCCTCCTCTTCGCTGTCTACCTCGTCAAAGCCCTTGCTGAACGGGTCATCCTCATCCTCATCTTCTCCAGTAGCAGCATCTCTGCTGATCCGAGCTCCTTCATATCTGGGTCCCAGAGGCACAATGTCGCGCTTGCGTAGCTTGCTCTTGCCGACATCGACGTAGTGTTCTCTTGCTGCGGCGGCATTGTCGTTATCCGAAACGTCGTCGTCGCTGTCGTCCTGTGGCGGCTCCTCTTCCGGGTCAAAATCTGCGAGTGCTTGTCAGAGATTGCTGCCAGTTTGATCGTGGGGATGTGCGCATACCTTNNTAGGGGCAGGATTATCAAGCTCGGCGAGCTGTTCAGCCAGTGTCTTCGTTCTGCGTGCCATAGTTGTTTATTTGATTGTTCAAGAAAAAAAAGTTGGTTGTCGCAAAGTTTCTTGAGACGCTCCGAAAGATCAGCGGAAGTCCCTGCCGACGGCCTTCCGCTGCGGAGCCTCATGTCTTGGCTTTGAACAACCACCTAACAACATCAATCAATCACTATCACTTTCGTAGACAATAATGTAAAAGCAATGCTGTCTTTCTCATTCATAACAGCTGTCGTCCCATTCCCTCATAAACTTTCGATGCTGAGCTTCCGATCATGTCTCAGCGATACACCTCCTTCTGAAAACTTTCATAACAATTAACACAGCGAACAGATCTCGTCGCCCTCCAGTAGCGATATCATAGCTCTCATACCACCATCGTCCATGAACCTCATCTGTATGAACAATCTCACTCGTTGATCTCTAGATAGGCTCAGATCCATGACTGTAACAGGACAAGCACATCGAGTCTCTCAGGGTTGATCTCGTCGTACTCGGCAGCATAGTCGAATCTGCGCCATGGGAACTTCGAACGAAGGAACTCGTACTCTGTCTTGTTCATCGTACCATCCCTTCTGGCGTATTGACCGACCACGTCAGCCAAGACGTACTCAGCCTTCTTCACCTCACGACCAAGAGATGGCTTGGGTACTCTCATGGCCTCTTGAGTGTAGAGAACCTTGACTTGGTTGACAGCTGTTCTGACACGCTTCGAGCGGATGCCAAAACTCGCTCCAGTAGGGTTTTTGACGAATGGATGGAAATGAGATGGAGACCTGCTGTATCGAGCTTGGGGTACCAAATCCATGACGAGATCCACAATGTCTCTTCCTTCTGCAGTCAGATAATCCCTCTCAAGCGCTTCACATGCAACCTCGCAGATTCGGTTCAGCTCGTTTCTGCCCAGTCTCTGAACACTTTGTTTCTGTACCGATTCGGCGAAACAGTCGATCAAGACAGCAATTGCATCGTCACCACGGTCTGCGGCCTTTGCCATGGCATTGCGAACCTTGCGGTGAGTTTTCATGATCTCAACACCTGATGCCTTGAGACCAAAGGGTTGATCGCGGACTGGCTCGCGTCTGTAACGAGCCTTGCGTGCCCTGCGTACTTTGCGTGACGCTCTTGCTGCTGTACGTGTAGTGCGGCTGGGTGCAGCTGTTGGTACAAATCTGCTTTGAGGTGCTGGCTGACGCACCAGGTGACCGAGGACATCTACGACATGTCAGAAGAATTCAGGGCAAGGTCTCGATCAACAAACTGTGTTCCTGGATAATTCTTTGTACATGTTAGCTTGGTTCTGAATCCACTGATAACAGCAGCTTATGTACCTGTTCGAATACAAGCTGGGCAGATAGCAATACTCATAATACTTGAGGGCATCAACGGGCTGTGCATAGGTCGCCATGGTAAGTAAGAGAATCTGCTGCTTGGTGAGGCGATGACCGGAGTGGTACGCCTGGGTTAGTAGCCAAACCCCCTCATCCAACTGACCCAGAAGTTCCAAGCACTGACCAATATCACTGATGTGATCGAAGAGTTCGGGATCGTGAGAGTGGTGCTCCAGTGAGATTGGACGAACAGGGATCTGTCCATCCTCTGGAGCTGGAAGAGNCCTGTTGGAAAGAGTAAGCAGCATGTGCACCCAAGGGCTATCAATACTCACGCCATCGACGTATCTTGCAGGACGCAAGTAACCCTTGACAAAGAAGAGGTAGGCTTGCAAAGGAGGCAGAGTGTTGAGTTGGTGGCACCAACTCGGACAAGCCTTCAAGAGTCCCGGGTGTCTCTTGAGGAAGTCGTCAATGTCGTTGAGGAAGTGAAACGAGATCTTGCGCTTCTGAAGGTAGTCAAGCAGATCCTGNNGGTCTGCTCTGCGAGCCAGAGAAGGCATGAACTCCAGCTTGATCTCGGATCCATCCTCGAAACGAGGCTTGAACTTCTGCGAGAGATCGTTGGTCGCGGGTTGTTGCGAGGAGATGGCTCCTGCTGGGTGAGCGTGTGTGGTCTGGCTCTCATAGTGGTGAAGTGGTTTCGACACGTTGGCAGTGTATGCTTGCGCATATGGGTCACCGCGAGGGAGCGGACCTCCATCTGCGAAACTGTACGATCCTTCCATTGCGGCTGAATGGATCAGTAGTGAAGGAGTTGAAACAGCGAACAAGACGCACACAAGAAAAGAAGAGCTGTCACGTATTGATGTGGTTGATGGTTAACTGAAAGCTCGGCGCGTCTGGATTTCACACCGTGTTTGGAAGTCCCTGAGGCAGTAACAACTCGACGCGTGCTTGCCTGTTTGGACGAGAGCAAGCCGGACGCCGATGTGAATAAGAGGCCGAGTTTGTCGCACCCTCACTGCCCTTCAAAAGAATCTGAGAAACAACACCTTCTTCCCACAACCCCTGAGAGTGATGTATTACCTATAAGAAGGCAGAATTAATTCCACGAGACTTGTGACCATATAGAGTCCATACAGTATGACAACTCATCTCGAACTATATGTATCGTCATAGCTTCAGCCACAAAGGATAGAATACAAAGAGGAGAGATCGTTTGTTCTCCGCCATGGAACAATGTTCACTATATCATCTCACACAGTTCCCTCGCGCAGTCAGTCAAGATGCGAGTCAATTTGCATGCATTTTGTACTTGAAGCAAAGTCTAGAAGCGCCCACCAAAACCAGATAAAACAACAATCGATATGAACAAAATCTTACGCTAACATATGGGTATGAACGCCGAGGGAGGAAACAAGAATTAGACAGGGCCTTTTACAAACAACCTAGAAGACGCTGATGTAGTTGCCAATTCTGTCCTTCTGGTTCTGGGCAATGCACTCTGCTATCCAAGTGATGTTGCGGATTTCCTNGTGCGCTTGTTAATATAGTTCAGACAAAGTAGAAGATAACACAAGACGTACCTGCTCCCTTAGCTTCACCCACGAGTAAACCACGGAGTAGGTGAATTGGCGAGTGAAAGCAAGCTTGGACAGTTCCATCTCCTTTTGGTAGAACAAATCTTCCAAGCTCTTGCCTTCATCGGAACCACCAGCCATGTTGCCAACGTTGGAGCCTGAACCCATGCCAGTCTGATCGAAGAAAGTGCGGTAATCATGTACACCATCAACGGCAATTCTGACAGCCTCGGGATCATCTGCTCTTGACAGCATCAAGGTTCCCTCCGGGTGCAACTTTCCAAAGCCAGGGTACAGCTTTTGCCTGTCTGCCTTTGAAAGATCGGTGCCAAAGGAGTTGAGTGTGATGTTGATGCTTCTGCGGTCGGCCTCGAATTCAAGAACCTCAGACATGACTTCGGCTGTTGGGCTGCCAGCGACACCAGAGTGGGTGTTGACCCAGTTGTGGAAGTCCTCAAGGTAGTTCTTATAGAGAGTGTTGCGAATGATTTCGATGTTGAGTTCGTCGAGATCTTGGTGACTTAGAGGNNGGTGGCATCGATCAAGCAGCTGCTCGCGGTGTCTCTCGTGCAGTGTTCCAGTAATGAGAAGGGCGACGTTATCAATCATGTATCCGTAGGTCAAGAACTCCATGAACTTGGACAGGGCTCCAGTAGCGTTGGCCTGAACGTAGCGGAACTCTGAGACGAGCTTGTCGAGTAACTTGTCGGCGAGAGCACTCGTTGAGGGGTTCGGAGGGAGGTCGGCAAGGAAATCACCGTATGCGGGACCCAGTTGAAGCTTCACATNCTGGTGGTTGGTTAGTAGAGCTCATGATGGGACAAGGCGATGCGGAGAGAGGATACCATCAATGGTCTCGCATTGTGCCAGGTTGCTGTATTGTTGACCTGTCAATAATGTGTTTCGGTAGCCGCGCACAACACCCTCGATGTAGCCGGTAGTGACGTTGAAAAAGAGACCCTCCGACATGGTTGCGCTGCGTGATGTTAGGCTGTCTAGTTGCTATGCCTCAAGCATCGCCTGCCTTCTAGAGTTCATTACGTTGGACGTCGGCGAGCCTACTATGCCAAGCCCGACCTCCGACCCCAGACGTCATCTTGGCAGAGGCTCTGCCGGATTTATTCTTCTTTTATTTTGCTGCAATTATAATTCACATCTAAAGCACGCGTTCCATTGACTGATCTTTGATACCCGGCGCAACTCAACACCTCACTGGTTGTACTTTGGATTGGGTCTGTATATACTGTTACCGGTCTTAATCATGCTGTTGCAACTCTGGAGATCGACCACTCTCGCGAGATCATCAGCATGGATACTACAAAGCTCCCGCTTCTCTTCCTTCTCTTGTCACAACAATACAGCGAGTCCGAGTAGAGACGAAGATACTCCTCAATCGTTCTACTTGGAATTGAAGAAAGAGGACCCGGAGATGTTCCGTACGCTCCAAGCGTTGAGGGGCACCATCACCAAGGAGTTCTACGCCAGACTGCGGGCAAAGCCAAAGTTACATCAGCTATACCTCAAACATAAACGTGCTTGGTTCAACGAGCAATATGCCACTGTTGCCGAGTTTCGAAAGGCAGATAACCAACGCTCCAGAGACAGGTATCAAGCTCATAAACGAGACGAAGATTTTGTCAGACAGTGTATAGTCTATAGGTGGTTCTTGAGTGCCGAGTTCCTTGAGAGATGTCCGTGGACAAAGGATCTACCCTGGAAGACTCATCGGCCCGTGGCATACACGGAAAAAGTGTCTCATTATTGTTCAGGATGTGCAATACGCCGTTCGGGAATCAAGACCTGGGTGAGTACACCTGTCTTCGAGATGGTTGAAGAATTGCTGAATGTGTTCTCTATCAGNTGGCAGTCGATCGAAGACCCAAACAGTTTCCTGTGCAACAAGCACTATACAGCTCGTGGCTGGTCTGTGCCCAAAGGCTACGAAGATGTCAGAACATTCACAGATCTACGTGCACGATACGAACAACTGAATCCGAAATGATCTTATGAAAGTGAATCTTTTGGGGCCAAACGAGGAGCATGAAGTCCAAGGTCACTCACTGAGACTTTGGATTGGGGGTATCTATCCTACAGAAGCCACTGGAAACACGAAGTACTACACTAATCGTTTCCTTTTCCTACAACTCGATCAGACTTTCCTCGACCTTCGGCTGGACAGGAACATTCTGTGGTGCTTGAGGGAAACTTTCTTGACCATAGCCATTGTGTGTTGAGGGTGCCTGGGGCCACTGTTGCTGCTGAGGTTGGGGTTGGGGTTGAGGTTGCGTGTATTGCTGATGCTGCTGAGGTGGCGCCTGTTGTTGGTATGGCTGTTGGAATTGCGGAGGGGGTTGTTGATGTTGTTGTGTGGGTTGAGAGTATGACTCTGGGCTCACAGGCTGAGGAGCGGAAGGTTCCGAGTACGATTGGTGATGTTCAGGAGGAGAGACAGGGTTTTGTTGTGGCGTGGGAGCGTATTGCTGAGGTTGTTGCGGGTAGGATTGTTGTTGTAGATGAGGAGTGCTAGGAGGTTGTTGCTGAGGAGGGTATTGAGAGTATTGTTGTTGGTATGCAGCTTCGCCAGGAGCTTGCTGAGGGTAGGGCTGTTGGGCATAGCTTTGGTGTTGGTTGAAGGTAGGATAAGGGCTCTGGTTGTAGGCATGCGAATCCATAGACGGTGCCGAGCTGTTGTAGTAACTCTCGACTCCACCCATGGGAGCTGTGGGTGGTGCTCCAGCGCCAGCAGACAGAGATGGATACATGCCAGACTGTGGTCGAGGAGCTCCATAACGAGATTGGTTGTAAGTATTGGACAGGCGCTCCTCCAGCATGCGGTCGTAGTATCTCACAACAGTAGCCAATTTAGAGTGAAGGTCAAGCAGTGTGTCATGCTTGCTCATCGTCTCTCCATATGTCCTTGCCAGCTTCGGTCTCAGCGACCCGATGCTCTCATACAGTTCTTGGAGTTGAGGTTCCCGCAGGATGGCGCCAGGTGGTTGATGTTGCAGGCGATCAACCAGAGTAGCGAACAGGTTGATGTTCTCGGCTTCGACAGGGGTAAGCTCATTGTTGGTCTTTGGTGCATAGACGCTGGGTGTGCTGGATCTCTGTTGTTGTTGCTTGAAGTTGGCAGTGTGTTTCTTCTTTTGCTCCTCCATATCTGCCAAAGATGCAGCGATTGCAGCTGCCAATTCTGGATCGTCCTCATCATCTTTCTTTGGTGTGGGTGCCTTCTGGACAGGCTTGGGTGTCGCCATCTGTGATTGCGGCACGTATCCAGCACCAGAATGACCCTTTGATTCTTCCAAGCTCATCTCCAGTGCTCGTTTCAAATCAGCGTCGAACGAGTCTTCGGCCACACGAGGATCGCGAGCTTGCATACGACCAGGATTCGGAGGCTTCATGGCATTAATGTATGAAGGTACGGGAGTGGCGCGCGACTTCTCGGTAAGTCTGGCGTAACAGCCATCATCGACACGGACAGGCTGGAGGATGCCCAGGTGAGGCAGTGGTATTGACTTGGACGAACATTGACCGCAGAAGACATTTCCACAGTTTCGGCAGTGGTGCTTGCGGTTGGTGAAGGTGAAGCGTTCGCGGCAGCGCATGCAGACATCGGAGTCGGCCCATTCGGGTGGCTAGACAGAGTGGTCAGTATGGGGCTTGGTACTAAGTGCAGGGTAGAACATACAGCACTGCTGTCAAACATGGTTGCGGCGACCTCGATCTTGGGAGGAAAACGGAAGCCTTCCCTTTGTAAGGAGCGATACGTCTCATCAATGTAGCCAAGAGAAGAGCGGCCTGTAGCGGCTGTAGCCCAAGACTGAATCAGGTCGAGTATCCTCGTCTTGACCTCGTCGTTCAGCGGGGTATTGAGGAATGAGACGAGGTTGTCCATGAACTCGCGCGAGGCGATCTCTTGAATGAAATGCTCTCCACCGTTCTTCACACACGTGTCGGTCAAGTTGAGAGCGGCCAGTTGGACGTTTGGGTTCTTGTTGGCGATTCTTCGTTTGAGCGAGCGCATTGCCTCCTTGGGTGGGATAGTCTTGCTTCTGATCAGATCTGTAATTTCCAGATTGAGAGCAATGTCCTCTAAACTGCTTGAAGTTGCTCTCTCGACCTGTTCGTCCATGGCCGACGTGCCGGCACCGAACCACGACGCCATCTTGTTGTAGGGTCTCTCGGAGATGTGATGTTCAGTTGTGTATTCTGTGTCTAGAGTAATCGAAAGTAATCCGCAAGTGGTGAGAAGGTCGGGAGATGGTGGTTGGGCTTGAAGTGTCGGAGCTCTTGGTGGTGCCTAACGGCGAGTGCTTCAGCTTGGGGAAGGCGCGACCCACCGAGCGTGGCGGGCAGGACCAGCAGACGTCACCCGCGACCGCGCCTTCTCTGGGGAAATGCCATGGACTGGCTTCATCATCAATCACCATACAACTAACGCCTGCCTAATTCTCTTGACTCTCGCCCGCTACCTGCGACTTCCTGCTGTCGTGTCCCCCAACGATATGCTCGCCTCCGCATCGTGCCCTCCGACTCAGTTATGAGCCCGCCTTACCCTAACTCTCCCACCAACATGGCCATTCCCGATTCTAATTCCGCCGCTACACCGAACAGGCCCTATCCGCACATTGAGGACTTGAAAGAGAAGGCCAAGATCAGCGCTGTCGACAAGAATCAATCTCTGAACCACTTACTCGCTGAGGCCGCCACCGCCGTGAAACAAGCCCAAAGTCTTGTCGAATACCGCCGTCCTGATCTTGCCTATGTCGAATACCTGAGAGCCTTTGAGATTGCTGTCGCTATCATCCCACAACATGAACAATACCCCATCCTAAGCAGCCGCCGAGGCTCTCAGTTCAACCAGCACCAGTCCATACTCCGCAACATCAGTCAACTCGCCGACCGCTTCGACAAGATCAAGGAAATCATCATCAATGACAACAGGCGAAATTCAACCCAGAAGGCTTCCGACTTGCCTGTGCGCCGTTCTTCAATCCAGTCCTCCTCTCCTGTCTCTACCAATGGCAATGCCGCCCTCGCTGATCGTTTCGCCAAATTGCGCATGCAACCCGCTTCGGTGGATACCTCTCTCGCGAGCAGGCGACTCGACTCTCGTTCCTCCCTCGCATCCAGCAATGGCTCCATCACGTCACCTACATCCTACAGCAACCGCTCCTCGCTCGACTTCTCCAACTCCTCGTTCGCAAATGGCTCCTCGATCAGGCCAGTCGGCCCGCGACAGATGCCTAATGGTGCCCCAGGTCACCCATTCGCGAACCGGATGACACTCGACACATCCGTCACAGATGCCTTGCCGATGGCCCCAGCTCCTGCCTATAGTCCAGCTCGCAACATGAACACCCCAAGCCACATTGTCCCTCCAAGGACTACTGCCCGTAGTATGGTCGGATCAGGTGGAAGGAACAATTCTGTCGCCTCATCTGCTTCGACTTACGCCCCGGGGAACGAGGGAGAAGAATCCGCCGGCTATTTTCCTCGTATGTCACTAGACCGGCCACCAGCAGGTCCACCTCGACGAAAGTCCATACACCGTCCGACAGAATTGCGCATTGGACCTGAACGACTTTACGACTATCTGAGANNAATGCACAGCGTCTTGCTGATTGATGTTCGAAATCGGCAAGACTTTGACGAAGGCCATATATATGCTCAGTCCATCATCTGCATTGAGCCAGCTGCACTGGAACCCAACATGTCTGCTGAACAGCTCGAAGACGCGCTCATTCTGTCGCCAGACGCAGAACAAACCATGTTCTACAACCGACACAAGTATGATATCGTTGTCTACTACGATCACAACATCTCCTCAGAAAGCTTCATTCACCGCCCGACGTCGGAAAGAGAAAGATACCTCAAATACTTATACGATGCCCTTTACGAGTTCAATTCAGAAAAGCCTCTACAACGACCGCCAATTTTGTTGATGGGTGGCATCGAAGGATGGGCAGAGTTGGTGGGTGATCAAGCATTNAAAAGAACAAACACTGTCGCACAACAGAAATCTGGCCGTCCAATCAGAAGGGTACCGGTGGCTAGCAAGGAGTCAAGATTGTACGTCCCCAAGAAGCGACTTCGAGATTACAATCCGCTTGATGCCGAAGAAGAGAGAAAATGGCACGAGAGGGCTCGCGTCGAGAGTGTGGTCGTTGAACGAAAACCATCCCTAGACGAAGGTGACGAATCGTGGCAGGCTGAGAATGGCACGCCATCGTATCAATCCATTGAAGAGTTTGTCCGACGATTTCCAGAAGCTGGTTCCCTCGAGCAGCGATATGGAGTCCAGGAACATCCTGCATCCTTACTTCCGGCACGACCACAGCAGGTACCGTCATACCCGACTCCTCCGCCAAAGTCAGCGATGCCCTCAATTCCATCACGGCCGGTTCCTGCTGCAGCGCGGGTGTCATATAGCGGTGTCAGTGATCATCGTGCTGTTTCAGCTCAAAGCACTGGCTCTACATCTACAGATCTCCCACCATATGTTCCTCCGAAGTACTTACCTTCCAACCTTCGACTACCACGAACAGGTCTCGTCAACTTTGGCGTTACCTGTTACATGAATGCTACGATTCAAGCTCTCTCCGCGACAACTCCTCTGACACTCTTTTTCCTCGATGACAGATTCAAGACTCTGGTCCAACGAGACAATTGGAAAGGCAGCAAAGGTGTGTTGCCCGAGTTGTACGCAAATTTGATCAGAAGCATTTGGAAAGGAGATGTTGAAGCTATTCGTCCAAGCACACTGCGGTCGTTCTGTGCTCGTCTAAACAGCGAGTGGGGTATTGATCGTCAACAAGATGCGAAAGAGTTCTTTGACTTCTTGGTGGATTGTCTACATGAAGATTTGAACAAGAATTGGGCGAAAACGCCGCTCAAAGCCTTGACAGCGGACCAAGAAGCTACACGCGAGAAGATGCCCAAGCCGATAGTCTGTCGAACCGAGTGGGGCAGATACACACATCGCGAGCAGTCTTATCTCACACAGCTCTTTGGTGGTCAACATGCCTCTCGCCTACGATGCACGACTTGTCACTTCACATCCACTACCTATGAAGCATTCTACAGCATATCGGTGGAGATACCACGTTCTGGTGTTTCTAGCATTCAGGACTGCCTGAGGTCGTATTGCGCAGAGGAAAGACTGTCTGGCGATGAAGTCTGGAAATGTCCACGCTGCAATCGCGAACGCGAGGCTACAAAACAAATCACCATCACTCGGGCTCCGCAATTCCTTGTTGTCCATTTCAAACGATTCAGCGCTGGTAGAGGCGAATCTGCTCGCAAAGTCCGCACGCCAATCGATTTCCCTCTCAAGAACCTGAATATGTCACCGTACATGCTACCATCGCCGACCGAGCAAGACGTTCATCTTATCACAAAACAATACGGTGCTGATGCGTTGAAGCCTGATCCCACCATGTCACCGCCATATTTATACGACGCATACGCAGTCATGAGACATATTGGCACCACACTCACCTCTGGCCATTACACATGTCTTGCCAAGGACAGAGCGAGGAACTGCTGGAGACAATTCAACGATACTTGGGTTGGTGACTTTGATCCCGAGAGGTTGAGTGAGCGCGACCGTCTGCAGAACGAGATGGCATATATAGTATTTTATGAGCGAAAAGCGGGAAATTGAGCATAGCGAGAGGGGTCTTTGTATAACGAAACATCAATTCTGAAACTTTTCAGCTATTCCTTCGACACAAGTGCAACTGTAGAATTACACAGTGGTGTGAAAATGGGTGGTCGCCACCGAGAGGCGCTATTGAAGAGCTCTACTTGGTTAGACTTTCTGTGAGAGCTACTGTTTATCTTGATACCTTTCAATACGATGGAGAGTTCGTCCTGGAAGGTATGGTGGTTGATGTGACAGACCTCACTCACCGAAGATTCTCCATATGATATCCAGTCAGGGTCGTACCTCCGGCAACAAATTCCACAAACTTTTTCCGTCTTTTGCTTGATTATGATGGCTCGCGGTATGTTACAAGTGTAATAGGTACTTGACCGTATAACCAGGGCGTCTAGGTATGTTCTGTAAGAAGATCGAAGATGCAGTTGTGGGTTTGGAGGTGTGATAAGGAAACCAAGGATTTAGATTTAGGGACAATAGAGAGATGGCTTACGAATAATGCCAACGAGTTGTGGGTTTTGGGCAATAGAACACAGTAGAGTCAAGTCAAGCACCAGAATCCGAAAATTGCTTGGTAACACTACATATGCCTCTTAAGATGCGATCTTACTCTTCTCTACCAACACCAAGATATCCGACAACAGGTACTCGACTGTCTGGCAATACCCTTGGCGCGTGAGTGATGATGTAGTCGAGCGAAGCACAGTCTCATCAACCAATCAGCGTTCGCTGTCCAGGTCTCGTGGTCTAGCGGTATGATACTCGCTTAGGGAGATTTGCTTCGGCACATCTTGAAAACTCTAAGCCAATTGCGAGTGGTCCCGGGTTCGATTCCCGGCGAGACCCCTTTGCCCGTGAGCGCAGTGGTTTTGTTAAGGGAAGGGCGGATAGATGGAGGGGATGAGGGGGTTATGTTTTGGAGTGTTGGGTGGGTGTGAAGCCTGAAGCTTGGAGTTGTGTTGCGAGAGGATGAAGCTTTGTGCTTGTTCATTTTGCCAAGAAATGAAGGGTTGTGGAAGCAGAAAGAAATGTGAAGCAGAAAGGAGTGCGAAAAGAGATGAGAAAGAGCAACGAGGATGGGTTGATTGGAGCTCTAACATACCTTATGTCTGACGACGATGTGGAGTTCGTTTGACTCAGAACAACACAAACCTTAGATCCAATGCGCAGAGATCGGACACAACGACAGCTGTCATGTTGCAGGATGCTCACCGGGGATGCTGCAATGTCTTCTGAAGAGACCTACCTGGACCAAGCCTCTGGAGAGAATTCCAGCCCGACCACGATAGAACGACCTGATCGCGGAGGGCGACGAACAATATTTGCTATGCAGGCGAAGTACTCCGATGACAACTCGCAGATAGAAGGGATCCAGGATTGGTGTCACTGTCTTCCTTGCAGCATTGACAACCACAATGACAGAACCTCGACAATCACAAACGACATGTTTGTCTTGATTTTGAACAACAGGAAGAGAATCTGACCTAGAAGGGAGTACGAGGGAGATGTAGATGAGCGAGGACGCGGTTGGTTTTACGACGTGGTCTCGTGGTCGCAATGGTAAGAGATTCAGTTTGAGGCAAGAGCGACTTCCTGCCCAGCCACGCGGAAACTTAAGGTACTCGCCTTTCTTGCTCAAACAGAAATCGAGAGACCCGATCAGAAACGGCGAGAACAATGCAGACACGACTTTACTGACCAAGTGAGCTTCGTCGACAACCACGATTCCCAGCTTGAAGGACTCAACACCAACCATTTCGAACCAGACATACCACAACTGTCATACCTATCACAACTGAGATGGCCTACACGAACCAGGCTTGAGACACCTACAGCCAAGACCTCATAAAACTCATCTCTTTCTAACTTGCTCAAACCTACTCCGCACCACACAGTCATCCATATTTCCTTCTTTGAACTCTCCCCAATCTTTGCTTTCTCCTTTCACTTTCCACCTACTACTCATCTGGATTATCCTCAGACCTGTATCGAGATGCGTAACCCCTTTAGATAGCGCCTTCGCCGATAAGGCCGCTACCGAGAGAAAGGATGTGACCGAAATCTTACCACCTCCATACGAAGAATACCCACAAGCAGAGGTGATTGATAGTATTTCCAGCTATACCTTACCGAACTATCCAGTCTTTGCTCTCAAGCGTTGCCTCATCTAGCGTATGGCTATCGATTGGGGACTGCAACGCCATGTCCCGAAGCTCGAAAGACCAAGCGACATAGAATACTCCACGTTTGAGAAGAATTGTGAAATCTTTGGTGCTTTTCTCGGAAACCGCTATGTCGACCTTGAGAGAGCGGAGAAGCATCTCCAGATATGGATGTTCGAACCAGCCAGACGTATAGGTGTTGAGAAGAGTAAGAATCGACATAATCAAATGCCTTTGTTTTCCGTGACCAGACCGTCGCACGCACGCTGTCCTTCTTACTGACCTGATGGGAATCTCAGATCTGCTGGAGTTCTTCTTGTTCTCGGTCCAACGGGCCACGAGATTGTCCCCCAGACGTATTGCCTGCCGTCGAAACGCGATGATGCTTGTCCGCCTAGTGCTCGATTCCCAAATTTTCATCGACCTTGTTACTCACCCCAATTCCACTTTCGCCAGAAAACTCAAGGCCAAATGTGCAGCTTTGCACGAGAAAAACTTCTCCTGGCTTCTGGACCCTGCACTTATCAGGCTAGACGAGCCCGTCAAGGCAAGAGCAACCGACATATACAGCAAAATTGGGACAACAGCTGTCGATGGCAGGAAACAGAGCTGTTGATGAGAGAGTGTATGCGCCCATGCGCTGCATTGATGGATCCTTCTCTTACCATGTCGACCATGTATGAGGTTGACATGGCCTATTTCCGATCGGATGTAAAGTCTCACCAACAACCTGGATTCAACCTGCGCCCCTTCCGGATCCGCAAGAACCTTCTACCGACTACCGTTGTCTGTGGTCCCATTGCATGGTCGAATTATGACGCAATTTCTTAAGATGCAGACAAGCTGAAAACCGCTGGGAGACTCAAGGAATAAAACAATCAGCACAAGGAGGAAAGAGCTTAGAGGTATCAGTGTTATCCCAGATCCTCTATGTAGATTAGCTACTCTTGTACTGGTACAAAACGGAAGGGCGGCTGTCGAAATGCACAATCACCTTTGATTTAGAGACGTTTCCATGAGAGCCGATTGTGATGATGAATCTCCTTGGACACTGTCTCACCCCTTAGATCATTGTGTGTTTCTACAGTCACTCCTGTTTCAAGCTTCAAAATCTGGGAGGAGGTTGTGCACCCTTGCTGTCCTTGCCCAGGCCCCTGATATGCCCTCCGCGGGCTACCGATTCATCAATCTCCTGTCAGAGACTCGTCGGATCAAACAGCTATGAAAATACACAGTAATTAACCAGTAGGAGAGTGTTCCACGGAGATAGTCTGAGATGCCTTGTTTCCATGGACACTACTCACTCTTCCAAAAGCATTGTGCATTTCTACAGGTGCTCTAGTCACAGACTTCAACATCTGGGAGGAGGTCATGTCTTGATCGTCTTATGCGAATCAACCCCTTGAATCACATCTCCCTCCACGAAGGGCTCGTCCCATACATATGAAAAAGCATAAATGTTCCGTATTTAAGGTAATGTCCCACTGAGAGTGGACGCAGTGACGGCTTTCACTGGACAGCTCTCAAGCTCTGAACGCATTGTGACTTTTCACAGTGCATGAACTCCATGTGAGTGCAATCCGGGAATGACGGGAAGACATGTAGGCTGCTCTGAACGAGAGATAGGGGTGCACCTGCAGGCATCGCTCCCAGAATGGCAGCGAACACCAATTCTGACCATAAAAATACACAATGATATCTAGACTGGGGTTGTGACCAGAGAGAGTCGCAAATCGTCGTCTCTCCATGGACACAACCTTTTCAGAAAAGTCTTCTGCATTGCGACAGCGAGTCAAGCATCAACGAGGAAGGAAGAGAAAAATGTAGTGTTACATGTGAAGGAGCTAAAACTCCTTGGTCTATATGAGAAATGTACACCACCCCGCTATGCGTTTTCATGAAAACAGACAACCAAAAAGTGAAGAGTGGAAAGTGTTGGTACAAGCAAGGAAAATGGCGTTATGTGCTCGTGGATTTACGAGCGAGCAGGCAAACCTGTGCGGGCAGCGAGCATGGCATCAGGGCCTCTCTTGCCAACGGCCGAAGGAGAGGGGACTCCTGCAGCAAGTCTTTGAGCGACTAGCTTAGCAGCACGCTTAGGAAACCAGACTCGGCTGCCGAGAGCCATTGTTCCCGTCAATAGAGCCAGAGCGCCTGCCTGATGGGCAGAAGCCAGAGGGATGGGAACCATGTATAGCAAGGTGGAAATGCCGAGGGCGACCTGCAGCCAAACCAGGTGGACGACACCGCGCATACCCTTCTTTGCGCCAGGAGTCATAAAAGCGCGGACACGAGGGTTGAAGCGAGTGTAGGCCCAGAGAGCCATGACAGCGGTGAAGGTGGTGGTTGCCAAGATACGGTGGTCAAGCTGGACAAGCGAGGGGTTCTCGAGAACGTTGCGCCACCAAAGATCAGAGTGGTCAGTAACGTGGCTGTAGAAGGTATCGAACAGCTCTTTCTTGGGTGGTGTCAAGCCGAGGCCCATGTATGGGAACTCGTTGTAGATAAGACCAGCATCCAGACCAGCGACAAGACCTCCAGACATGGCGGTGACGAAGACCAAGACAAGAAGAGCACCAACACTGCGGCGGAAAAACTTGAGTTCAGGAGCCATCATCTGCTTGAGCAGCTTGGAAGATTCTTGCGGGTTGGCCACAAGACGGTTCTCACGGAAGATAGACAAGGCGTTCCAGAACATGGCGAGGTAGCAGATGAAGGCAGTGCCCAAATGAGCAGTGAGACGGTACTGACTGACACGAGGGTGGCTTCCAGGAGCAAACAAATCATCCTTGAGACCGCTTGCGACCATCCACCAGCCAATGACACCTTGGAATCCGATCAGACCGCAGATACCGGTGAGCTTGAGAGCCATGCCGGCAGAAACACGGCGGCGGGCGATGAAGTAGGCAGTGGGTAGCAGGAAGGTAATGCCAATGAAGCGACCCCACAGTCTGTGAATCCATTCCATCCAGTAGATTTGTTTGAATTCTTCCAATGTCATACGGGGGTTGAGGAGCTTGAACTCGGGCGAAGCACGGTAGAGAGCGAATTCGGACTCCCACTTCTCAGCGTTCATGGGAGGGAGGGAACCAGTAACAGGACGCCATTCGGTGATACTCAATCTGCGCCACACTCAGTCAGTTGAACAGTCGCAAAGTAGAAACAGGATTGGCCACGCACCNNCAGATTCGGTCAATCTGGTGAGACCACCAAAGATGACGATACCAAAGACACTTGCAGAACTGGCCAGCAACCAGTAGCCAACCTNTTTGTCCGAGGTTTCAGGGAACGAGCTCTTTCTTGCTGGGGCGGAGGTTTGACCAGTTGCATTTCTTGCGGGAGCCGAGGCTTGACCAATTGACTTGCTCAGTTCGGAGAGCGGAGACGAGGAAGGAGCAGTTGTTGATTGCTGTCTTGCCGGAGCAGCACGAGAACGGAAGGCGTTCAAGAATGGAGTCTGGCGAACAGATTTGTATCCAGTCTGTGCCTTGTTGTGTACGCTCTTGCGACACACAAATGTTTCGGCAGCATTGAAAGCTGGAAGTGTGCGCCGCAGCGATCCAAACACTGCCAACGGTGGGCGCATCTTGAATGTCTGTTGAAACAAGAAAGTGGAAGGAACGAAGAATGGTGGAATCGTAGAATCTCAGTCATGAATCACGCTACAGCCAATGGTCATCTGGCGTGACGCCAAGCACTGACCCTCGCCGCCGCTCAGTCTAACCATGATCGGTATGGCTCGACTCTCCGCAAAAGGGTCCTGCCTTCGCGTGGTGGCTTGAACTTCTTTTGGCAGGCTGCACCGACCATCCAGGTGCTGATACCGAATCTTCGAGCATCGTTTTTCTGTCATTCTTGATGCTAGAAAATCTCCTCTTTCGTAATCTCCATGTCGCCAAAATCACACGCACCTTTCTTTGCAGCACCTCCGACGCTATTTGTTTGATAGACACGCTCGTTCTTCCGCTCACAGGGCACGCGGTACACAGTTACCTGCCTGCGCCCGCCTAGCTCATCACGCATGAGGAAGAGCTTGTGTAGCGTGCGTCCGCCTCATTCCTTGCGGGCCCAGTGCACATATCTCTCCAAGTGACCTTGACATCATGGCCGACGATAACCAATTTTTTGATGCTTCGTCGAACTCGTCGCTGCATCAGAATCTCTCGAATAACTCTCGCTCTAACCTGCCGCGTCGTTCTCTCTTCAACTCGTCGCCTAATCATTTCGTCCCAACCCCTTCTACCCCCACTCCTGCCCCCGCTCTCCTCACCTTAGACTCGTCGCGCGCTATCGCCGGCGACTCAAGCACTCTGGATTCCCCATCATCTCCGGAGGACCATGTCCGTGCTACTATCAACCGACGGAGAATACCTCGCGTGGANAAGGATGTTGATGATCCCAGTAACCCGGTCTCGTCTAGCCGCTACTCTGTCAACAGACAGCAGAGCACTACCCTCACTACCCTTAGTCGGCTGTTTGCTGTCCAGTCGGTAACTTCTCCTCCTGACTATCGTCCTCTGTCCGACTCTCAACTCCCAAATGGTCTTCCTGTTCCATGTATGTCTTATCAGCTGTCTTCTCATCTCATGACCCACATCCTAAGTACCTTGTATTGACTAGTTTCAGCTGCTGCTACTCGTGACACCGCACCCTTACACACTCATCTCTATAATAGAGGTCTTCTAGGAGGACGACACTCGGACATTACTGTTCATGTCTTTGGCTATCCCTACAAACTTCACCGCCTGATTCTTGATCAAGCGGCTTTCTTTGCTTCTGCTCTATCTGGACCATGGCTCGAAAGCAAAGCGAGCGATATTACCCTACATCCTGAGGACATCGATACCAACATCACTCAAGTCTCGTTCGAGTTGGCCCTAAAACGTCTCTATGGCGCGGCTGTACCCGAGGAAGAAGATTCTGAAGCAGTCAGTCTGTTCGCTACAGCGTGTTGGCTGGAGATGCCTGATCTCATCGATTCGAGTATAGAGTCTATGCTACGACAGATGTCGACCGCTACTCTGGCGCCTCTCATCAAGCTGGTCACCAGTAACTACTATGGCCGATCTGGAGATAAGATCCTTGCATCAGCCAAGGCTATGTTGTGTCGTGATGGTTGGAAAATGCCAACAAAGTTCTGGGATGGCATACCGGGTGATATCATTCGGGAAATTGTTGGTGGTGATGGTTTCTTCATCAATGGTGAATGGGATAGGTGGGTACTTGCCAAACGGCTCCTGGATCGCCATCTCAAAACACTGGCTATTGAAGCTGGACTGGTTGATCCTGTCTCTTGGTTGAAAGTGCGAAAGGCTCCAGAATCTGTCAACCTCATGGCTGTAAGATTTGACTCGGTCTATCGCAAGAATTCTATGGCAGCTGGAGCCGCTCCTGATGGTTTGCATCGATGGATCAGCCTCTATACTCATCCTGACATCGAGCCCCTACTGGTTTTGTTGGACGAGGGCATTCACTATATCCACCTGGACTTTGAGCAGTTGCAGTACATTCGCAGAGCTCGTGACGTCCTTGGTCTCCCTATGATGCCCGACAAGGTCATATCAAATGCTCTCTGGATGCAAATGGAACTCCGTCANAAAGTCTTGAATGCCAAAGACACCGAAATGGAGCTTGGCTTGAGCGAAGGAATCAGCGAATTGCGAAGTCCTCATCTGAGGGCGGCCTCCCTGACAGAGCCCTCACTCAAGGGTAAACAAAAGGCTGATCTTTACGACGAATTCGAAGATATCGACGATGAGGACATTGCTTCGAACTCTTGGGATGGCAACGGAAAACCCCGAAAATTCTGGATCCCATCAGCAGACTGTAATATCGTCATGGGAGGAGCTACAGATCCTGCAATGATGTCTGCAGCGAACACACAATCGAATCGTCTCTCTGCCACCATCCAACCGGAAGACGTACAATGGGCTTCTGACTTTGCCGCAAATCCGTCAGACACCCGATCGATCCCTCAAATCATCCGACCCGACTCTGCTGCTGATTCGAACACATCTGAGTTGCGTCCCGTCAGCTATTCTCACTTCCCTCCTTTCAGATTCGCTGTTGAATTCCCGAGTCCACGACTGCTCAAAGAGAAGAAGCGCGTGTACAGTCGTACCATCTTCTATTCAGGGTCTTGGTGGAATCTATACATTCAGAAAGTGCGGAGGGGTAAGAATCCTCAGCTTGGAGTATACCTTCATCGTGCCAAAGAGAGAGACACCGAGGAGACTCTAGCTGCCAGTGGACAATCCGTACCGAACACGCGTGTGGACGAACGCATAGGGCATCTCGAGCGGGAGATGATGTTACGTGCTGACCGCCGAGCTGAAGAACGCCGACGTCTACTAGCCCGTAGACGTAGCGGCGATGTTGCAGATGCAGACAATGCCGATAGCAGTGGCGATACTGATCCCGACGCCACGGCTGCCGATACAACACCGAGATCCAGAGGCCTCGGTGGCTACCGCAAGAGCAGCGAACAGGATGTATTGTCTAATTTTCCGACAAAGCCTGCATACTACGACGAGCAAGATTCAGACTTTGAAGACGAAGATCCCGAGATCGCAAAGCTCACACGCAGCATACGCGTTCCAACACTACCACCCTATGTTGATAGCAGGCCAACCATCAAGACCTACTTCAAAATTTACTCGCCTAGTAAAGGTGGACGCATGCTGAGTGTATATGAAAGTGCGCCAGATACCTTTAATTTCAGTCAGAGTTGGGGATGGAAGAGCAGTACTTTGATGCTTGACGACGGTATGCTTGGCGATGGCGACGAGGTTAACCCTGAAGCTGAACTCCCAGTGAGGGACGCAAACAAGTTACGATTTATGATTGTCATCGGTAATGTTTGACGTTTTCTCATAGCGAGCAGGAGTACATTGCATACCATAGCTATTGTCAATTCATCGTCTTTCCCGCTTCTCACATCTGATTTATGATGCTGTTCCCAGCTGTGAAAATACACAATATTGTTGAGAAACTGCTGGCTTCCACTGAGAGCTGAAAAAACTGGGCATCTCCTTGGAAAGCCTCCAGACTCGGAAAGTATTGTGCATTTCTATAAGCGCAATGTGACAGTCTTTCGAACATGGGGAGGTGGGAAGCATTGTGTGCTGGTAGTCAAGCTGCATGCTCAACCAGGTCAGCTACTTATATTGGTGTAAAGATCATAACAAATCACCGTATGACCAGATTCACACAACTTTGTGAAACCAGCCAGCGGTCCTCACAGAATCGAACACACACACTCAATGCTACTCCAAAGTGCTGTCATAGTCACCCCAAACCGAATTTTGTGTAATAAAAGCAGCGGTGGCCCAATGGCTAGGGCGCCTCACCATTAAATGACCTTGCAAACACAAGCATTGTCGCCAATGACCCTTCTTCAAGGCTTTCCACGAACGTGGCGCTCGAGGAGAGGCGAATATCCGTGCTTGCAAACACAAGCATAGGGTTCGTCAGTAAGACCTTCCAGAGGGGAGGCATAGGGGATTCGGATGGATTTGAGGAGATGTAAGTTCGAGTCTTACTCGCTGCAATGGAATGAGATAGTTTTTGTTTCTTTTTGGTGTGCTTGGGAGACTAAAGGGTCTGTCATGTGTAAATGAGTGAAGAAGGTTTCACTTCGCTTAGCCAGGTGAGCACACTTGTCGAGGATGCATTATTCTCCCTTCTGCTCCTCCATCCTCCTCTCCTTCATGACTCCAATCAACACCTTCTCAGTTACCCACTCAGGCAACAAGCTCATGCACCACCATTGCACAGCATGTCTCCACCATCCAAACACTGCTGTCTGCCCGCACCCAACCCTGTCTAGCGAGAACTCCGCCATTTGTAGGCCTGTACACGTGAACGCTCCTTCCGTAGTCTTATTGCCCCCGCTGACCACATTCGCGATCACTATCGCCAAAGCCTCAACGTCAGACCTCTCAGCAGCAAGTTCGGAAACGAGAGATTGGTTCAGAGCGTAATTGAAGGCTTTGGAAGCCGAGTAGACCGATAGGTAAGGCAAGCCGCGGAACCCAGTGATAGAGCACGTGCTCATAATTAGCGACGGTGAGCTTCTAGATAGTAAAGGAAGCAGAGCCCTTGTCAATTGGGTAGGAAACCTGGAGTTGAGGTTTATCATCTGGTCCACATAACTCGCATCTACTTCTGCCAAAGTACCATAGGAGGGGCTTAACGGCGCACCACCGACATTGTTGATAAGCAATGTCAAAGGACCTGGTAGAGCCTCGCAAGTCTTTACGATGGAAGAGATATCCACCTCAATATCGAATACGTCTGCGATCACGGTTTTGATCTGCACATCCGGATATTTCTTCTCCAGTGTCGACTTCAAATTGTCGAGTTTTTGCTGGTTGCGGCCGTGAAGAAGGACATTGAAGTTTTTGGCGCAGAGTGCGTGGGCAAATCCTTCGCCTATGCCGGCTGTGCTGCCGGTGACCAAAGCCCAGGAGTTCTTGGAGGGGTTGTAGCGGTGTATTGTGCTGGGGTTGAGATAGATGCTGCAGAATGAGATAGCTCTATAGGTGAGCAGAAGAGCTGTGGCCGCCCCGAGGTACTCTAATGTCGATAGCAGAGACATCGCATTGATTGTGATTGATGTTTTGGACATAGAAGAAGTGGTGTGTTATGGAGGTGATGTTCGAGATGGAGATCGGCAAGGCGGGGAAGCCAGGGTGACTTCAAGCACTTTGAGACTCCGACAAGCAGGAAAAGATGAATGTGCTTTGTAATCACAGCCTGTATGTCTTCTTTGAGGTTTACCGAACGAGTTCCTACGCTTGTTCATTGCTGTGAGTTGTTTAGAATCACAAATACTGATCTCCAGACTTTTGAGATAGATGGGTTTACATTTTCGCATGTCATAGCACACGCAGGGAGAGTGGAAGAGACTTACAGGTCTGCTTCAACTGTATGGCAGAAGAGACATCACATAGTGATGCTAGATGCGTTCGGAAGATACACTGCAGTCACTGCTTAAATTTTTCTTTCTGGATACAACACGCGTACTGCTGCGAGCATGCAGACCAACCACAGCTTGGGACAGTATCTCAAATGGAAAAAGTTCTTGAGAGACTATCCAGGGCCATGTATCTGAATCAGATATGCGTGTTACGATCGCTTGTTAGTAGTTGTGTGCAGTCATGGAACAAGAGTATCAGGTTTGAGGCTTGAGGCTTCAGGCTTCGAATAGTCAAATATGGCCATACCTTGTTTAACCACAGTCTGAGCATGGTGCCTGTCGCCTGGCTTCTTTATGTGAGCCCCAGAGATCCCGGAGTCATCTCACAGCCGACTCATATTTTCAGTTGGTCCAAAAAAACATGTTTGTATACCATTGAGCTCAAAAGAAAAGAGGGCCCCAACCGCGATTCGAACGCGGGGCCTCTCCCAATTTATCTGTTGAACAGACGGTTTACCCGAAGGGAGAATCGTACCACTAGACCATTGGGGCCGGATCTAGGACGAAAAGCATTCAAGAAAGTACCTGAAATGAAGCCTCTAGGGTGATATAGGTATGGAGCTGAATCAAAAGAGAGTGAGCGTGCCAACGCCATCAAATCTGCTTCAAACAAACGACAGAGACTTCTTCTGCATGTCTGCAAGATAGAGTGGCCATATGAAGAGGTTCGAGCAGTGGGGTGAATATTCCGTGAAGGGTGGGGCGGAATTTGAGGCTTCAAAGCCTGGCGACAGCAGCACCCCTTTGCCAAGATTGAGAAGAGTAAAACCGTATATGTCTTGTTCTCAAGAGTCCAATTCACAGGAATATCTTGTCAAGATTGAAATTGGTGCAAAGTCGTCTTGATTTGGGTCGATGAAAAAAATTCTTCCTCCTTAAGATTTAGTGGTCAACACTTTTGTCCTGCGAGTGCTCACTCCACATCTACCCTAGAGGCTAAAGCTTTCTCCCTCCCAAGATGTAACTTCCACTGTACTCCAACCATAGCAGAGAGTAGTGCACGCTATAAAAATGCACAATTCTAACTAGAAATAAGGATATGACCAAAGAGAGCCGATGAGTGATCGCCTCTCAGTGGACACTATCTCATTTTCTAATAGTACTGTGCATTTTTATAGTCACACGCGTTACAAACTGTTGCAAACGGGGAGGTCGGAACCAACAGCAGATCAACAGGATATACTCGAGTACGGACTGAGAATGGCATGATCAGGTCTCAATACTAGAAATTCTATGCTGGTTGGTTTATGGATATCTACAAGTTTAATCAGACATCTCAATACCTTGCACCGGTCGCCGAGGAAGTTGGAGACGAGACCAATGAGGACGAGAACGAAGAGGATGTCATCTCCGCCACTTCTGCGCTGCGTCAGCAACAGCAGAACATACCCGCCCCTGCAGCCGGCGTTCAGCAGCCACCACAACCAGTTGTTCAAGCCACCACTGGACAACAACAACAGGCTGGTGCTCAACAACAACCCCGAACCCTCTTTTCCAACTCAGCGTGGAGTTACGGGAGTGGGTGAGGAATTACCTAATATATCCTCCAACCACCATTGAACGGACCCCGGAAGTCGTCAGAAACTATGTAGACGACACGAGACGAAACCTGCTTCAATATGTCACACAGAGAGAAGCTCAGAGAGCTATTCGCGGACAATACCACACGACCGCAAGAGCATTGCGGGACGCTGGGCAGCCGATCCCTGACGACTTGGCCACCAGATGGCGCACTTCAAAAGCAGCCGGAGAAGCGGCCCATGCCCAGATAACAACCCCCATAACTGCAAACACAACAAAACGTGAGGGCTTTTGCTGCACGGTCGAGGCCGTCACGGAATGGCAATTCGCAGACCACGGCGTCACAACATCCTCCTGCTTCACAACAGCAGCAGCCTCAAGTCCCGGCCATTCCTGCTCAGCAGCAGCAGCCTCCTCCTCGACCCCAACCGCCAGCCCCTCCTGCTCAGCAGCAGCAACAGGTTGCGTCGCACCCGCCAGTCACTGGCAGTGTGGCTAATGGCGCTCCAGCTTCATCTGGAGAGGAGTCTGGTTCTCACGAACGTGAGCCCAGTAACTCCTCCACTCCCTCGCCCGGCGACTGACGATAAGGAACCTGAGTCTGAGCAATCAGTTTCATTTGAAGATCAGCTCGACAGCCGTCGTACGGCAAAGGAAACCTTTGGACTGCTGCAAAGTAGACCCCCCCAACCGCAAAATCGCAAAATTGAGTATGCCAGAGCGGTGGCCCGACTTGCAGCAAGCAGAGGTTTTCGAGCCCTTGTTCAACCAGTATTGGCAGAGCACTACCACAGGGAACTCCAACAAGCTGAAGCAGCTGTGCAACTCGGTACAGAACGCCAGATCATGGTCAAAACCATGCAACTGTCACAATAATGGATTAAGCCACAGGCGCTAAGCGATCAAGAAGGGGACTTCGACACCACGCTAAAGGTTCTCTCAACGACAACTCAGAACTAGAGGGGTTTGTGGCTACAAAAGTGTGGCACAGACAGCTAGGTGTGAGACGCATTCCAAAAATTCGAGGATGAGTTGCATACAGCTAGAGGTTCCGAACAATACGGACAGGCTTCGAGGCTGGTGACCCGAAGACTCCATACGTCCAGCTCCCGCTATTGATTGACTCATGTTATATAATCTTGGGAAACCGTCAACTATATCAACAATCGAACTTTCACGGATGTTCGCCCAGCCATTGACAAACTGCAGTGCAACGCAGCAACAGGTTGGTCGAGTTGCAAGCTTGTTGTCGCCCTTCGAATCAGATCTGCAGCAGCAATCACAACTCGAAAAGCAGCGCCTACCTGCTCCCTCGAGCTTGCACCAAGTATCATCCATCTCATTATGAACGCTTGGTAAATCGATGCGACAGTCAGTTGAATATCAGGCTCTTCTCACCGTGACGCTTAGATTTGTCGGAACCTTTTCTAGCTGCACACGTTGGGAAGGAGCAACGCTCGCCACTTCCAGAGCTAGCTCGTTGGCATGAGTCGACAGCACCACAACTCATCGTTTTGTTTCTTCTCTCTACCAGCGCGGCAGCAGTGGGGACGACTCTGAAGCTCCCCGGGTCGTCCGCAATGAGGCCCGGATTTTGTGAGATCCTGCAGCACCGTTTCGCCAGGCATTGATTTGAAGACCTTGGACATACTTAAACCCTCTCTTACTTACCACACGTGTTTCGAACAGCCTGCAATGTGCAGCTTGGGCTTCATTTCGTCCACTCTCAGCAGCCAAACCAGCCCTTTGGCTTCTCTGCCAGCGTGGTAACGTGGTTACACATTTNTGTACACAGTCTGAACATGATTGCTGGACGCATGCGCTTCGGCAACTCAAGATCGTGGAAAGCTTTGAACGCCACGCGCTTCACCATGGCATCCATGTCGCTCGCAGACATTCGAGTGAAGTTCTGAGGAGCTGTGACTGCGTGTGCTCCACGTTCGCAAGTCTCGGCTAACTCATAGAACTGCGAAACCAACGGCGAAGTGGCGTCCACTACTTGCACAGGTGCGTCTCCTGATAACCCGAAGAGGCCGGTCCCAGCAGCTCGTGCAAAGTCAAGGTGTATGACGATAACTTTTACAACTACCTGCCATTCTGGTAGTAGCTTAAGTGCTGCTAGGTCTTCCTGATCGCTCTGGTTTATTGGTATGTTTTCAAGCGGCACAACTATAGGTTTGTCGAAAGGCTCCCGCCCCANTAGGGTGTCGCTCATGTAGTCTAGCATGATCGATGCTGACCCATTCAAAACCTTCGATCCACGGACCAAGGATCGCAGAGGGTGACCATCAGTCGTACAGCCATGGTCCGCCTCATAAGCTGGAGACCAATTCAAATGTGCAGAGTCGCGGAGAGGGTCCTGCCAGTATTCGTAGTCTATGACATTTGCGGCCGCCCATTCAGCTTCACGCGGCTGCTGAGGGCTTCCCTTCTCTCGGATCACTGTCGCCCAGTTGCCTGATGCAAAGGCGATTCCTCGCGATTCACGGCACACTCGCGTAAGTAATGGCGGGCGATTATTGTCGAAACTGGTCGATCCGAATATACAGGGTAACTTTTTCTCGTAGCTGTCGTAGAAAATGAAGTTCGAAGGATTGTCCATTTCGCTGACCCGATGCGGGAGACAGAGACGCCATATCTCTACGCGGAGCTCAGCAGGCAGTCGCGAAAAGTGTTCAAAAGTATCGTCGACCATCCTCAGATTCGCAAGGTGAGATACAGAGCCTTATCTGCAGATAATGTCAGGCTAGTGAGGATATATACCAGATATGCCAGAAACAGAAGAACGTATCGGTGTGAAAGAGAAAGGGCGAGGGGAATGTACAGTTTTGTAAAATGAGTCTTGGCATTCCAGGCAACCGTAAGTACACTCGGGTCGTTCTTGGGACACTGCGCAAGCTAGGTAAGCATAGATAACAAAAGCCTCATACCGCTTTTGAGCCTTCGTTCTGCAAGAGATGGTGCCCTTAGGCACGGCCTGGCTTATCTCAGAAGTTTGAACACAAGCCTGGCACTACAAACAGCTTCACATTGTGTATGGGCTATACTCGATGAAGCGTGAAGTCCAAAACGAGGCTTCAGAGCCTGCCGAGATGATT